TCGATATCTTCCTTCTTATTCCCACTTAACTCTGCATCCTCGACTCTCGAGTACGGCCAATTCACTTGAGGCGGGATCCACACTGCCATATCTGCTCACAACGCGTCTTATTTCAAGCGTCCTCTAATATTATAATCGGTTGGCAGTGCGTTTGGATTCAACTTTGAAGTTCGTGAGAATGTATTGCCAGACTAAGCATCGGAGTTTATCGGAGACAACGCCATCTCAATTCTCTCCTTACTCCGTCCTTTCTGTACATGTTTCACAACCTGGATTATCGATCTGGCCTCCTCGAACTTGGTCCTATCTTCCTCACACTCGGTCGCCAGACTGCAACGGCACGAAGGTCCAGCACGACTGGATCATGAGTCGTCAATTAATTGACTCTTCAAGCTTTCTTCAAGCTTAGAAGCATCTTGTCTGTAACTGCTTTTTGCAAGTTGGTTTGTGTAAAAGATCGCCACCCTTGTCGAATGGCTTCGCCTTTGAAATCGACGTTGACGGCGAATCTGATGCTGAACGAGACCGTTGTGAGTGGATCTCGTCAAATCAATCGGTTTGAGCTGATCGTCGGCGTCATTCTGAAGGAAACGCGATCGAGAAATGCGCGGGGGCTCGACGCGTCGCGTCGCCGACTGCCCACAAACAAGGCATAGCAATAAACGAACCTCAGAGGTATAAAGGTCGAATGTTCCTCCCCTTACATCTCTTCCTCATACCACCATATCGTGCCGTATCTGCTTTCCAAAGCTCTCACACTCCGTCATGGGTGCTTTAAAAATGCCCTCCTCCCACCGCGGGTCGCCCTTTGGCCTCCATCCAGCTCTTAGCATTGGGGTCACCGCCAGTGTCACCGCCAGTGTCTTCGCCGCGAAATCGAACACTCTCCTCCCTGTCGAAATCACACCCCATATCGCTTCTCTCATCGCTGCCACGTACGTCGCCGGGTCGGTCGCCTATTTCGCCCGGGACGTCTACACTCCGACGTTCTTGCAAGACATCCTCTACCGCCGTTCTGCCCTAGGCGATATCATCGACGTCGACCTGCTCCTGCCCCACCCGGAAGTCTTCGTCCACGACGCCAAGGTCTACGGTCCTGCATGCATGCGCGTTTCCCAGCTCGCCGCCTTCGAAATCGAGCGTGCCATCCACGACGCCCGCACTGTATGCGCCTCTAACGATGGCCCTGGCAAGGAACTCGCCATCGTGATTCAAGGCGAGGGTGTCTGCTCGCCAGAGGACGCTCCTCCCGTTGTTGACAGCAATTTCTATGGGCCGGCTTGCATAAGGCCCTCTCAACTAGCCGCCTTCGTGGAAGAGAAGATCATGTGCGCCTCAAACGGTGGGCGTCGAAGGAGTCCCCGACTGGCAGAGATTGCTGCTCGAGGCGGTTCAGCGGATCCCTCGTCGTCCCAAGGCGGTGACGACGGACCTGACGACGAGCCAGGAAATGGTTCAGGTGAGTCGAGGCGCAATTTCTCAAGCTCGCCATTCGTGATTATTGACGTGTGTGGCCTCTAGGAGGCAACAACGCCTCCGGTGGCGACTCGCGCCAGCCCACACGTACTGTTGCCAGCAGTGATGGTATGTTCCTCCCTGCCCAGTCCATTGCGCCAATTTACATGTGTCTTCTCAGGCAGCAAGAAACCCCCAAGCAAGAAGAAGCCCACATCAAAGCGTGTGCGCAACAACGACTCTCCCCCACCGCCACCGCCTCCGTCACCTCCTTCTGTGGAAGCGCCCGAGCCCGCCAACAACGGCAATAACATGGGCTGGACTTGCTCGCTCCTCTACTTCATCCTTGGCGCCCTTCTCACTGCCGTAGTCAAGTCTTCCGAGGCCGAGCGACTTTCTGCTTCTATTTGCACTTGGGTGAGCAAGCGATCTCGACGTCAAGAGAGAACCATCATCATGTCTCGCAACACCGTACTCGCCGGTCTCGCGCTCGTGGCTCTTTGTATTGCGGTCAGCTATATCGACCCCTCTGGACGTTTATTGCCATCTGTGGCGAAGAGCCCGATGCCTCCACCCACCACCTGGATCGTCGACCCTCAGCCTCGGGTCACCGAACCTCCTATGCGTCTCGTCATCGACAAGAACCATTATACCATGGACTATCGCTCGATGGCTACCGCCACTGCCACTGCCCAGGCAACAAGCCTTCCTTCGCCTGCTGGTGACTCTCTTTTCGACATGGAGATCGTCGCTTGGGTCCTTCTTGCGATGGCCATGCCCATCTTTCTGTTCATCGTCTTCCATGTCATTTCGTTCATCGGCCGCGTCTCGATCAAATTGATCAAGTGCTTATTTGCTCGACGCGCTGAGCCTACAAAGTCGGCCATTATGCCTACCGTGAGTGCTTTCTTTCTCGTTGTTGATCGATTATTAACCATCTTCTTTGTGATAGTCTTCTCTAAAGCTTGTGCCCATCTACATCTCTCAGGGACTCGTGTTCAACCCCGAAAAATACGATCCTGAAGACCCCTTGTCTTGCCTCAGCAACGAGACGCTCTTCGTCGATGTCCGAACCGAATTCTCTGTCGGTACGGACTCCGCGAGCGGCTCTGACTCTTGAGGTCCTACAACAGAGTTATCGACAAGGGCAAGGGCAAGGCCACCGAGGTCGATGTCGCTGTGGAGTCCACCAATTCCTCCATCGAAGCAGACGAGGTAGACTAGGTCTTCACCTCAACAAAGGACATACCGAATACCAAATACCAAATATCAAGCATTTCCGGCGTTTACCTGGCTCGCGCACGGCGACTTCTCCCGATACTTCTTCGACAACACACGTACCACACGACCTCGAGCGCTTTTCCAGCCTCCGCTGCCACCTTCTGCACCACACCACACCACACCACACCACACCACACCACACCACACCACACCACATCGACCTTCCGACACCCAACACACCACTTCAACTCCGATATCGACAATAAAGCTAGGACAGGGCGTTTGGCGGGCTGGCGAGCTTGCCGCCGTTCTCGTCGGGACAGAGGGCGTCTTCGGGCTGACGAGCTCGTTGATGTCCTCGCCATCGAGATGGGGTGTCGCCTGACGAGGTGGGCACTCCCTCCGCACCGCAGGTCCTGCAGGTGTTGCTCGAGCGTTGACGAACGTCTCGGCTTCATCTGTGGGCCTGCGGTGTTCGGTGTACGGGTTGCAGCTGGCGCTCTGACGAGGGTGTCTGTCTGTGATCTCATGCATCGACGGTGGCGTCCCATCATACCGCATCGTGTCGATGTTCTTTGGTCGGGTCGGTGCGCATACAGCAACCTTACTTGGTGGTGGGGTCTTGCTCGTGGATCATTTTTCGTATCTGTATCGGTCGCCTCGAACTCTTTCTCGCCGTCGAAACACGCCAAACATCAAACGTCTTTTCTCTCTTCAAGTCTCGGTCTCGGTCTCTTCATGTATCGGTATTCCTTCTTTTTCCTTTCCTCCTCTCGCACATGTATTCTTCCGATTTACACTCTCTTTGTTTACTGTATCCTTCCCTTTATCTCCTATACCCTTTTTGTAACACCTCTGGATTTATATCATTGGTTTCTCTCTCATGTATTTCTATCTTAAAGATACTTTATTCTTATATATCATTTGTACTCCTCTACTTGCTGCAATCAAATTACTTTTCTTCTTCTTCTATGTCCGATCCCTTCTATGTCCGATCCTAAGAAATCCGACTTTCTTATGCAAAAAACCTGTCAAAACTTGAACGCGTTGCGACGCGTCTATCACGCTCACGTGTAAGTGAATGGAGTCACAATTGTCGTTGCCTGAACTTCGGGTTTCTTCTCTCTTCTCTCTATTATCATGTCGCATCCAGCATCCCCAAAGTCCCTCGAAGCACTGAACGCCTTCACCTTCGAGCGGATCCTCCACGAAGACCCCATAACCCACTCGCTCACCCTCCTCGGTACCTTTCCAAACCAGAATGACGCCAGCGCCAAAGTTCAAGCCATCGTTCGAATCGAGAAGACGGCTCTCACCGCAGAGGACAGTCCTCGGTTCTTCGGAGAGAATGGGTTGATCAGGAAGGTGGAAGTGGAGGAGAGCACGGATATTGTATGATCTGATTCGTGCCCTTTGTTATCTGAGGATCTCGCCAACCCTCAGGTTCATGCAGTACACTTGGTTGTTTGGATGGTTGAAGGAAGAAAGAGAGCGAGACGTGAAGATTAATGTGATATGTCCTGCCACTGAAGTCCATATTCGCAAGGTAAGAGCTATATCTTGAAGCCGTCGACGAAGGGAATCTGATTCAGGCGATCACCCAGTATACAACCCAGGAGAGGATCGTGGTCCACGAAACGCCAGAGCTGTACAAGAAACACGTCAAGCCGTACATCGAAGCCTTCCCACCTTCCCGAACAAAATGGTAAGCACGATATCTTGTGTCCTCTCCCGGCACCTTAAACAAATCTAGGGTCGAGAACATCCTCACCGGCGTATCCGAACAACACAAAGTTCTCTTCTCCAGTCCCGAATTCCTGATCCTCCCAGATATGAAATGGGACCTCAAAACTGTCTCCTCTTTATACCTTGTCGCCCTAGTCCAGGATCGCGCCATCCGGAGCCTGCGTGACCTCCGGCATACGCACGTCGAGCTGCTGAAAGCCATTCGCCACCAGGCGAACCGTGTTGTACAGGAGAAATGGGGTTTGGAGAGAGGATCGTTGAGGATGTATATTCATTATCAGCCCAGTTACTGTGCGTCACTTTATGGTTTTGCTCTAAAGAGGAAGCGCTAATTGGGATATACCTGTGAAGATCACTTCCACGTCCACATTGTGAACGTGAACTACGAAGGCGGTCTGCTGGGCATGGCAGTCGGTCAGGCGCATCTACTAGACGATGTGATCTCAATGGTATGCGCCTGGGCTTTTGTATCCCCGATTATGAATTCGTTCCCACTGATGTATCCTTTATTCTACAGTTAGAACTGGACACAGGCGATGGGCCTGGTATATTCCAGAGAATTACACTCACGTACGCGCTCGGCGATCAGCACGGTTTGTATGAGGCGATGCGCAAGAGTCTTGAAGATCCCGCTAGTCAATAAGCGAATGTCTACGCATTTGGTTACAATTTCTGCTGTCCTGTGTCTACTTTTGAATCATGAATCTAACGCTACGGTACCTTTGATTTTCCAGAGTAAATTATTGATACGTTGCATTGACACTGCAAACCATCGAAGCTGGGTCTGGTCCCACCATCCCTAATCGGTTCTCCAAGACCAGTGGATTCAGCGAACGCGCTCAGGTTGAAGTTCAGAATTGACGTCGCGCGAGACACCAAAGTCTGCTGGTCTAATCCTTGAGACTGGTCGAATAACAGGAAGATCTACCTGCAAAACCCAGTCACAACAAATGAATGGCCCCTATCCTATACCAGGCGCGTCTGTCACGAGCACGTGTGCGTGAATCACACACCGGTGTGACTCTGCCGAAAAATTGGTGATTTCTGCACTTTTTCTCCTTCCGCTTTCTCTCTGCAAGTTGTGGTGAATCTCAATTCGCCTTCAGGCCAATTTACAAGATCAATTCTTGTTTGAATCTCAAGCTCAAGACTCGAAGACAGATGACTTTGGCTCTCAAGCACTCACGCCTGTCAAGTTGCAGCCTGGACCCTGCAAACCTGCGCATAATGGTTCATAACCCCAACCACGGCAGCGCAGCTAGTTCTCCTGCTGCGACATGACGATTGACACCTCCCCGCCCGCTTTCAATGTCGTAAACACCATCGATCTTGTCTCTATCAAGGACAGCAAGGTCGTCAGCGTCGGCGTCTACTCGGGCCGTGCTGAAATTACGCGGTTGTTCAAATTCAACGTCAAGACGGGGCAGAACCAGCTGAACATTGTTGGGCCCTTCCGAGAGTGCTGGACAAAGGATTTCTTCCGGTGCGTTTCCTTCTTGCCAAATGCTTCGTTGTTAGCTGACCAGATGCACAGCGTCGAAGGTCGCGGTGCAGCCACCATCCATGACGTCACCATCTCTACCATCACGCTCATTCTTTCTCCAACCCTCGAATCTCTGAACGCTCACGGTGAGACATCACATATGCATCATCCCTTGCACGTTTGCAGAAATCACTGAAATCTCTTGAGACGTACCTCAGGTCCGTCAAGGCTGAGCACCTCGACGTTTGCCAGCTACAGGAGGTGGTCCGAGGATATGACACGACGGCCGGGGAGCTTGACGACAAGGTCACGGAGCTGGAGGAGCAGCTGAAAGAAACCGAAGAGGCAATCACTCAAGAGAGGAATAAGCTCACGGGGCCGACTGGGAATGAGAAGCTGAATTTGAAGGCGACAATTGAAGTCTTTGCAGACTTTGAGGGGGAGATCAAGATTGCGCTCATTTATGGTGAGTTGGTTTGCTCGTTGGTCGCTATTTCAGTATCAAGATCGGTTGCCTCGAAGTCATTCTCGCCGCCTCAAGCCCACATCAAATATATAGCTCTTCTTGCACCACGCCTCGGTCTATCTAATATTCGATCATTCCTTCTGTCCTTTTTTTCTCGCACATCCTCTCGATTTGTATCCTCGATACTTATTCTCTGGACCCCCTTCTCTTCATCTTCTCATATCATTTTTAAGTCCCTGTCAATCTGTCCCTTTCTCAGTTTTTTTTTGTGCTTCGAGTTCGTACCACTCCTGACTTATTCGTGTGTATCATTTAGATTTTTCTGCTTGAACCAAATCCTTTTTTCCCACCTGCCAATGCCCATGTCTGATTCGAAATTGCAATATTTCACGTGATGATTCACCCAACTTTCTCTCGTCCTTCAACTGGTTTATTTCTTGCTGCAATGAATCTCACTTCCCTCCCTCTAATTCTCGAGCTCAAGTTTTAGCGAATCGCAAGATATGACGACAGAGTGTCGGTGATGACTCGACCGCTGTCAAGTTGGCCTGGACCGACCCTGCAAACCTGTGCATAACGGCACGAACGCTGGTGCGCAACTGAAGCCCCTCTTGTTTCCAACATGACAACAGATACCTCCCCGCCCGCTTTCCAGGTGGTAAACACCATCGACCTCGTCTCTACCAGGGACAGCAAGATCATCAGCGTCAGCGTCTACTCGGGACGTGCGGAAGTTACACGGTTGTTCAAATTCAACGTGAAGACTGGCCAGAACCAGCTGAATATTGTTGGGCTTCCACGAGTTTTGGACAAGGAATCTTTTCGGTGAGCTCTATTCACGTATCAGCGCGCTTTCGAGCAAGCTAACAGTCGAGCAGCGTCGAGGGCAGAGGTGCGGCTACCATTCACGATGTCACCATCTCCAGCATTGCTCCCCCACCCGTCCCAACGACTTCTCCAGCCCTCGACTCATTGCTCGCTAAGAAAAAGCAGGACGAGAAGGCCCTTGCGCGTGTTCAGAAGTCTTTAAACTCTCTTGAGACGTACCTCAAGTCCGTGAAGGCTCAGCATCTCGACGTTTCCAAGCTGCAGGAGGTGGTCCGAGAGTATGACACGACCGCTGGCGAACTCGACGACAAGGTCACAGAGCTGGAGAAGCAGTTGGAGGAGGCGGACGAGGCCATTGCTGAAGAGAGGAAGAGGCTCGCAGGGCCGACTGGGAACGAAAAGCTGAACTTGAAGGCGACGATTGGGGTCTTTGCAGACTTCGAGGGGGAGATCAAGATTGCACTTATCTATGGTAAGTTGGTCTTATACGTATCTCACTTTCTTATACATTGAGTTCCCCTTTAGCTGTATCTCGTGCAACGTGGAGCGCTGGGTACGACATTCGTGTCGACATGCAGGCCAAGGAGAAGCCCATTTCCCTCATCTACAAAGCCTCCATCAACCAAAGCACCGGCGAAGATTGGGACGACGTTCCTCTGACCCTCGAAACCGCAACACCTACGTTCGGCGTCGGTGTTCCAGTCCTCACGCCCTGGACATTATCGGTCTATCGCCCAGAAATATACTTCAAGAAGAGAGCACTACCCACTGCGCCTATGATGGGTGCACCACCTCCACCCCCACCAGGACCTCTCCCAGTGCCCATGTTTTCGCGGCGCTCCAGCTCCTCAAGCGAGGACGCCGAAATTCAATATCGAGGACTGCAGGTGTCTTCTAAAGGCAATGTCAGCGCCACGTTCGGCGTCCCAGGACTGATCAGCATCCCAAGCGACGGCGAGGGTCATAACGTAACCATTGTGAAGCTGTCGTTGGATGCCGACATGAGCTGGGTGTGCGTACCGAAGAAGGACAGCAGAGTTCATTTGAAGGCGAGTCGCTTTGAGATGGAGGAGAGACGGGCGCTAATACTGTTGTTAGGCGAAGATCAAGAACGCGTCCGAGTACACACTCCTCGCGGGAAATGCGAGCGTTTATGTTGATGGTAGCTTTATTTCCAAGTCGGAGGTGCCTCTCGTCAGCCCAGACGAAAGCTTTGACTGTCCTCTTGGGTGCGCTCTTTGCACACCAGTCGGTTATCAAACTGACCTATGCATTTTTCAGACTGGACCCGTCAATCAGAATTACCTACCACCCTCGTAGCAAAAAGACTTCGCGATCCGGGTTTTACAACAAGTCAACCATGCATTCTTACTCGCAGCGTATCACTGTGCACAATACGAAGTCCTCGTCTGCTGGGGGCGGTACCGATGACCTGAAAATCAAGATCATCGACCAGGTGCCCGTCTCCCAAGACTCGACCATCAACGTCAAGCTTGTCCAGCCCTCTTTGGTCCTTCCCAACGCAGAAGGTGTTGGCACGGTCAGCAGCGCAGCAGGTTCAAGCGAAAAGGCCAAACTTCCACCTCCTCTCAAGGTGTCCTCTGGGGTAGTCGCTACATGGGACGGCGCAGATGAAGTGAGCCTCGGGCAAGGACAGGTGGACGTGGACGTGGATGCATTGGGCAGGGAAGGGCGGCTCTGTTGGATTTGCTCGGTTGCTCCTCAGAGTAAAGTTGGTCTGGTGCTTCAATGGGAGGTTTCAGCGCCGTTGAGGACTGATATCACTGGCTTGTAGATTATCATTCTAGGGAGTGGGTGCGTTGGCTATATTTACAATGCTTCATTGAGCTAGTTATTCTCATGACGAGAATTTGTGGAGCGTGCTTAGGAGATGCAACAATGTGAATCCCAAGCGTCTCGAGGAATCCCTGCGTTGACTGGCAATTTTGACTTGTGAGGTTGATCACACATGCAATCCCTGCTTTCGGAGAAAACGGTTTACTACATAATACCTTGTTTGCACGGTTGGCGGTCATGTCACCAAAGTTTGATCAGGAGTCGAATATTCAATGCCATGGTCGTTTGCGCTTTGCGCTGGGAGAAATGACCCTCGGCGCTAAGACGTACCGTCCCGGAAAGCCGTCGAGCGCCTTTTGCCATAGCTAGACTAAAGGGATTTCGGTTTCCCTTGTTGGGGGCAAACTAGGTTGTATATCTCAGGCTAATAGAGGATGAATCTTCTCTTTCGTGGTTTCAATGAGATCTAACGTCCTGCGAGCCATCCAAGAGGTCTACACTACCTGGTCCATTCAGGTTCTCAGCGCGGTTTTATTGGGTCTTCCATCATGCATGTCAAACCCAGGCTGATGTATTTTGGAATACTAATTATAGTGGACAAGAGACACACTTGAAACGTAACGCGCCCTGACCATCGGCCATCCCAGTCGCCAAGAGGTCAGGCTGGTCCTACCAATATGAACATCCCTCCAAGAGGCTTCCCTGGCAGACCAACCGACTCAGCAAAAGCGTTCGAGTTGAAGTTCGCCATCGAGCTCGTGCGGCCCGCGAGCCTCTGATCGTTGAACCATTGAGGTTGCCCAAACACCAAGAAGATGTACCTACCTCAGTGGCACCAGCATCAGCCATATACCTGCCATTATCACGATGAGCGCTTACCGGTGCGCATCCGACGCAGCAGGCGGCGTCGGCTGCTCGAACTCCGAGTCTGTCAGCGCTCGCCGCTGGGGTGGTGGTGTTCACCAGCCGGACGCCGTCTCGTATCTCGAAGCTCCCCCTTCCCCCCCGAGGAAGCGTCTTATCTGAGCGACGGTGGGCGCTTGTAGGGTCGGCGCGCCCGGATCGACTGCTGCGACTACGCATGGCACTGGATTGGCTCCTGAGAGGTGGAGGAGGGAGAAAGAGGGTGGGCCGGCGGTCGTTGTGGTTATATAAAAGGGGGGAAGGAAAGGAAGAGGTTAGAGGTGTCGATGGGAGGAAAGACCAAGGAAAGACTCGAGCAGGGTGTATACGGTATGTATTATTGCCTATTGCGTGGCAGCTCAACGCCTGAATGAAGGGTTATCGAAGCAACGTCAGGCTAGACTAGGAAGGTGTCTTCGAGCAGGACGGGGGGTTGAGCGTTGAACGTGCGGGCGGTTGTTTGGGGAATCTAGCATTTTAAAAGAAACGGGTTCGAGCGATTCAGCGTCGCTCGCCACTCTCGCCGAGGCTGCTGCTGACTTAGTACTTTAAGTACTTACGTTGGCGTTCTCGAAGGCGCGCTTCACGGCATATGGGTCAGCAAGGAGGCGGCAAGAATAGTGAGAAGGGAGAGGAATCACATTCTCGTAGAAAACGACACAGCTTACAGAGAGACTTGAGGCTTGAGCTTGAGGGGGGATCGAGAGAACGAATCACTAATAGCAGGTCGTCCGGGTCTTTTGAACCGACATTGTTTTCCGGGCGAGGCTGCATGACAGACTCCTCACACAGGTGGGAATGTCCCCGTGCCGGGGTATGCCGGATTTCGAACGTGTGGCGGGTTGCTTGAAAAGGGAAGTAGTGTCTAGAGAAGTGGTTCTTCTGAGAAAGTCAAGCGTAACTTGTTCGAGATGGAGCTGTGAACCATGAGTAAGAAAGAAGAGGCGAGATGAGAGTAAGTACTAGTATAGTAGGAATAGTACACTGAGACTAGCATTGCGAATACAGAGAGAACTATTGTACACACAAAAAGGCCAACATTTTGTCCCATTCGAGCCACCTCTCCCTCCGTCTTCGATCTCTCAAACTCACACCAGCCAAATTCACAGCACATGCCCAAGGACAACACCCACAACATTATACGCCACTCTCCCAGCACCCGAGTTCTGTGTATTCGCGCCAGTGCTCGTCGTTGCCGTCTCGTTACTACTCCAGTACTAGTGGCAGGCGAGACTCCAGGCCCGATTACTACATAAATAGCTCAGGTGTTAAATAACTTCGGTAGAACGTGTGCCGGGTTGCAATTGCTTGAAAATGTGAACCGTGAACCATGAGTAAGGAAGAGGCGGCGAGATGAGAGTAAGTAAGCAGGAATAGGACACTGAGAGTCTGAGGCTAGCATTACATGCAGAAGAGAGAACTAGCGTACATACACACAAAAAATCCAATTTTTTATCCCATTCCCAAACTCACACCACCCCAAGTTCACAGCAAATACCCAATCAAAGCGCCGACAACATTATACGCCGCCCTTGCCGCCCCCGAAGTCTGCGTATCCGTGCCATTGCCCGTCCCCGTCCCATTCGTGGCGTCAGTACCGTCAGTACCGTTACTAGCAGCAGGCGCATCCGGCCCAACCACCATGAACGTCCCCCCAATCGGGTTTCCCAACCCGGTCGATTCGGCGAACGCGCTCAGATTGAAGTTGGCGATAGCCGTGTCGGGCGTGACGGCCGTCTGTGCGTCGAACCCTGCTGGTTGGGCGTAGATGAGGAAGATGTACCTATGTATAACCTCGCGTCAGGTATTCCGACTGAAATTCGCTTTCGCAAAGAGTGTTTCCTCGAGCAAAGCAACAAGCTGGTAGTAACTCACCGATGCGGATCCGACCCCGCCGGCGGGTTCGGGCCCCTGTACTCCGTCAGCGCAGGCGTGCTGTTCGCCAACACCCCGCTCTCGGTGCCCGACAGCACGAAGCTCCCGCCCAGGAAGTGCCTTATACTCGCCCGGATGGGGTCCTGGGGCGTCGGCGCATCGGGGTCGACGGACGCGATGACGAAGGGGCCGGTGCCGACGCTGGCGTTGGAGCGGAGGGAGAAGGTGGGTGGGCCGGCGGTTGCTGTTAAGGGGTGGGGTGGGGTAAGTCGGAGGCTGAGAGGGGTGGAGGGGACGGTGGAAATACGTACCGTTACGGGGCAGCTGGAGGCCTGCGCTCAGCGTGATCGGGTCGCCGCTGGTCTGCGGGAGGGTTACATCGAGGAGAACCGTCGGGTTGAATGTGACGGTGAGGTTTTGCGGGATCTAAAAGTATCACGAGGGTTTAGAACTTTTTCTAAAGGACTGGACGTAGATAATAGATCTACATTAGCGGCCTCGAATGCTTGTCTGACGGAGTCGAGGCTGGCGTCTTGCCCGAGTACCAGCGGGGCGAGTGCGAGGATGGAAGAAACAAGGGCAGAGGAAAGACGCATTTTGGTACGACCAAGTCAGTATAGTACAGCGTGCAGCGTTCGATCGTCAGAGTGGGTTCCAAGAATCGAAACAAACAGAGCGCTCTCAGCCACTTTATATCTTCCACCACCCACTGGTTGCAACCCCCCAGTCCATCCAAGAACTTTGGAGATGCTGCGGAGACCTCCAAAGAAGGTGGACGGCCGGACAGGGCCTTCAATTCCCGGACGGTATGTGCGTGGTAGTGCGCTTGGCCAAGAGGCCTTAATTAGCTCAGGGTACACAGGACGACGTTCGGTTGGGAAGAAATGGACGTCCAAGTCGCGAGGAGAAGCGTTGGTGCGGTCTTGGCGGTGGTGTCAGCAAGTGCATCGGTGAGGTCGGTGAGAGCATGGGAAGGCTGTAGGAGGTTCGAGCAGTCACTCCAGCTTAAGAGGATTTCGACTTGGTGCAAGTTGCAACTTGAAAGGCAAGGCCGCGGACGGGCGTGCGAACTTCGGCAAGCCGTTCCGTCTCCTCCCGGATGACGCCACTGGTTGGTGTTCGTGGTGCGGAGAAAAAAGTCGTTTGTATTCGTAAATTACGGTTATAAAGAGGGGGGGCACTCTATGTCAACGCCGGTCAACGTACCACCACTTGTATCCTCCATCCCGAACCGGTTCATGAGTCGAAGACGAATTGGACACCAACCTGGATTTGGGAATGCCATTAGGACATAACCAGGGGATATCATTTAAAGACTTCAGCTCACCTTGTGGGAGGGCCCAACGGGGTTGGCATCGTTCAACTTTTGGGTGTCAAGAGCAAGTCCAAAGGAAGCCTTGACACCAGGGCGCAAAGCCTGAGTGTACCCAAGGGCGATAACACCCGAGTTATTGATCTTCGCCTTAACAAAGGCCGACGCGTCGAGGTAGGTCTTGGTGCCGACCTCGAGAGCGACGCCGCCGTGGGTGGATTTGGAGTCGTACACGGCCTTGGCACCAGCCTCGACGTCGCGGCTGACGCGGTGGTAGTAGCTCGCGCTGAAGGTGTTGAGGTTGTTCAATGCGTGCAGGGTGACGGCGTACTCGGGGGCGTTGTACCCCACGGCCGCGGCGTAGCGGGTGATGTTGCCCCCGGTGACGTTGTATGCGGCCTCGGCGCCGACGAGGAAACCGTCGCGTCCCAGGACAGCATCAGCAGTGAAAGTCGGGCCCTGTACACAAAGAATGATTCAGCAACGGTCATTGACGTGTCTAACGGACGGACGGACCTTGAACACATCCAGAGCAGCCCTCGTATGCAGCCCGCTCTGCTTATACACCGTATTCACCACCGCCGTCTTCGCGCCCTTCTCCGGCGAGAGCGACGTCGCCAAGTCCAGCTTCAACCCCTTCGCAAGGAGGTTCTCCACCTCGATCTGGTTCTTCAATATATTCGCCGTCGTCCAGGTCTGCGTGAGCGTGAGCCCGTGGACCTTGTCGGTCCACTTGCCCTCGATGTCGCCCGCGATGAGCTCGGACTTGGAGTCGCGCGTGCCCTGCACTTTGAAGGCGACGGCGGAGGGCGTCTGGGTCTTTACCTCGAGCGAGGCGCCCTGGAAGTGGTAGTCCTTGCCGAGAAGGTCGTTGGACGACTTGCCGAGGTCCTGTGGGGTTGTCAATGAGCTGTGGTGGACAGCGAAGATCGTAACGAGGGGCTGACCTTCCAGGAGGGGGGAACGGGCTGGGGGAGAGACATTGTGGATGGACGTTGGTGAAAATTGGAGCTGGGGGTGGGTGATGATGCTACGTGCGTCGTCAACAAATTATGAGGGGACGACCGTGGGAAAGGAGGAAGGAAAGAACCGGACACACGTTGATCAGTCCACCCGTCCAATCAACTCGTCGACGTCAACGGTGCTTGCTCCGCAGTCCCTCCCCACCGTCTGCCGCCGCGACGCGTATTCTTGGACCTGTGCGCTATAACTGTCTGGATTCTGTGCTTGCTTGCGCGTTACCTGTGCACGGGCCCTCTGCTCTCTGGTTTTTTGCTTTAGCATCGGATCATATCACCTGACTGCCAAATCTTTGGGGACGGTTGTCAAAATAAATGTCGCGATGCTCGCAAAATGGCTTCGACGACGCGCTTGTCTCCTATAATTCCTCTCCTGGTTTCCTAGGCTTCTCTCGCTTTTCTGCCATCAGGAATGGAGAGGCTCTAACTGCACGTTTTCGCTGGTGAACCCACTTTCTGCCCACGCAAAGTCGGGATTCGCCCTTGAAAAAAATCGCGATGGTGTACTTTCTTTTCTATATGGAAGATGAATAACCGTAGGTTCTTGCACTCGCTATACTTCAGTCGTTTCTTTGTCGGCGACCCTCCAGGATTCTTTTACACTCGCTGGCCACAGCGATATGTGGTCCTGGCGTCACAACCCTCTGAGGCGAAATAGTGTGGATGCCTTGGCTAACCCTTGTTCATAGGAGCTGTCTTTCCAAGAAGACTCAGTTCTACGTCTTCTTCGACATCAAGGAAGCTGACCTAGTCAAGCTCGTCCCTCCTTGTCAGGAAAGTTTTCCGGGTTCTCAGTATGAAAACACGTTGGAGATCGTAGTCTATGGTCTCATCTCATGGCCATCGGTTTCGAAGATAGAGCAAGGCGGTCGCTATTTTATTACCTTTCGCTTCACTTCACCAGAGAATTTGGTGGGGGGTTTGGTTCGAATTACCCTTGTTTCTTTGATTGCTTGAAGGAGTGTTACAAGGCATTGAAACATTCTTGGGATCATCTTTGACAGTATTCCGAATTCATAGCCAATGAGATTCGTCGAAATAAATAAAAATGAGTTTTCACGTTGAATCTATAACCATCATAACGAGTAAGACTGAGTAAGACTCCCTGAAAGCTGCCTGAGCGTCGAGCACTTGGTCGAGCGACGAGGACGCAGTGAATGTGCCAAGGATTTTTCGAAACGCGATCACGTTGGTCGACTCCAGCAGACGCCACGAAAGCGGAAGCAAATTTACCAGAACGCAATCCCGTTCTTTGCCTGGATAAACACTCTCGAAGCCTCACATTCCTCCGAGAAGAACACTCACGCCTCGTGTAGAAGGCATGCATGATGCCGTTTGCCCTTGGACGCGACGTTTTTTCTCAGGGCGACGCGTTGTTGATGTGTGTTGTGGCACAGTTCATTCACGGAAGCGAGGTCAACCAAACGCTTGGCCTTTCGTCCTCCCTCAGTTCAGTTCCGCCACTTGTACTACTACTAGCGACCCCCCGCCCCCACTCTCAACCGCAAGGCTGGAGCTGCTACGAATGCGATGGACCCCACAACCTCCTCCCAGCTCCCAACGCTACCCACAGAGGGATCCAACGACATCTTCTCCCTATCCGACCAGACGCTCTCCGAGAGGCTCGAGTTCGTAGAAGAGGTGCGTGGGCCCCTTGGGGTCTGGCCAGAGATCTCGGTTCTGACCAGGGGTGTGTGCAATGTAGATTGGCTTTGGGAATTGGGGCAGCGTCTGGCTGTGCAGGCCCAAGCCTGCGACGAAGGACGACGGCACCGTCCGGCCTCTAGGGCAGAAGATTGCCGTCAAGCTCGTGCATAGGTCCAAGACGTCCACGACGGCGGCGCGTGTGCGGTCGCTGTGAGTGCCCTTCCGCGAGGTTGTTGGAGGTGGTGGTTTACTGACGTGGGGACGCGACAGATGGAACGAAATGAAGATCGTGCGCACGTTCAAGACAGACCCGCACCCGTCCATCATCCCATTCCACTCGTTCATCATCACGCCCTCGTACGCCCTCATCACGATGTACGTCTTTCGCTCTTTAGTGTTGCTGTTGAGGCCGCCCACCCACGCGGTGCACGGGCGGTGTTTATGATTACTTACCCCGCACCCTGACGACAATTGATGCTGATGCCCGGCTTGCGACAGGACATTCCTCCCCACACTCGTCCCTGTCGAAGTAGAAGAGTCAAAGGCGCGCGAGTGGTTCAGGTTCCTACTCTCAGGCGTCGAGTTTCTGCACAAACGCGGTGTTGTGCATAACGACATCAAGTACGTGCTATTATGCCTTGTTCTCTTCCAGGGCATTGATTTTCATTGTTATTTACTTGGATAGGCCTGCAAACATCCTGCTCTCACCCAAGAGCATTCCTGTCCTTGTCGATTTCGGCTTCGCAGAAAAGTATGAAACGGATTCAGAAACCGCGTTCCACAGCAACCTATCCTATGGTACACCAGAGGTAATTAGAGTCGTATTTAACGCGTCGTTCCTTCTTTACTGATACCATCCAACTCGTAGTACCTCTCCCCCGAACGCGCCAGAGGCCTGCCGCATGACACGCGCAAGTCCGACGTCTGGTCGCTCGGCGTGACGTTCTTTGAGATCCTCGTCGGGCGGACGCCGTTCGAGAACTCGGATGGCGAGCAGTTCAATTCCAACGAGGAGCTGGAGAAGTATTGGGCACGAACGGTGCGTGGACCAATCGTTTCTATTGGCCCGGCCAAGCTGACTTTTCCCGTATTTCTAGCTCCGAGGCAAGTGGGTCGGCACCTGGCAGTTCTCGAAGGGCATGGAGAAGCTCCTGCACCGTATGATCTCGCCCAACGCGGATCTGCGCTGCACGGCCATGCAGGCGATGGCCGACTCGTATTGGCAGGCGTCAAAGAAGGACCCGGCTTTGGTCCAGCATAGTGCGTTTTCCCGTCATTTACTCTTAGTATGCAGTGGAGTCGATCCTGACGTCGTGAATTTCCTTCAGAACGCGCGTCAAGTTATACATCATCGATCGTGTTCGAAAAGGACGTCGAGAAGCTGCTCAGTTTGACTCCGCCGGCGTGGAAGGGCAAGGACAAGGAGAATGTCAAGGGCCTGCTGCAGTCTCCCCCAGGCCTTCTTGACGTGTTCAGAGACGAGAACGACACGTCGAAGCGACGCACACTCGCCAAATCAAGGTCGCAGCCCAAAGTCGCGTCGAGGAGTAAGATTCTTGTTCCATATCCTTGTTCTGATAGGCTAAACATGCCTTTAGTCGCCCAACCAAGGAAACGCGTCCCCGTCCCGCCCGTCATCGACCTCTCGCCCATCAAAGCCTCGCCGACATCCACGAACTCGCCGTTCTCGAGCGCCAACGCGAAGGAGAACATCTCGTCGTTCAATAGGCTCGCGAGCGTCGTTGCACAGGATGACGCGCAGAAGAAGCGGCGCGAGCAGCGCGAGAGCCGGGTTCTTGCCAATGCGAATGCCAGTGCCAGTGCGAATGCTGCCGATACCTCCTTATCCCGCAGTGCCAACACCCACCCCAACATGACCACCAACGGACGGAGACCCTTTGGCACCCTCAATGCGCGCGAGAACATCCCTGCGCGTCCCTCGTCCGTCATCGCGAAGAAGCCGTCAGGCCACTCGCACGGTGCGAAGGCGCACAAGGTCCTTGGCGATATCAGTGCCAACATCAGTGTTAGTGCGAGTGTGGACAAGTCGAGAGACTCGTCGAGCGTGCGGGATAGAGTCAGGGAGTGGGAAAGGGAGAAGGAGAGACTGAGGGAAATGGAGAGGCTGGAGGAGCTGGAGAGGGAGAGGGATGAGATGTATAGGAAGGAGAAGAAGGAGCGGGAGAGGAGGGAGAGGAAAGTGAAGGTGAGGGTGGGAGAGGAGGAGAAGGAGCAGGAGAAAGAGAAAGAGAGTCCAGAAACGGAGCAGGAGAAGCATGACGTCAGGCCGGAATCGAGAGGCCCGCAGGAAGAGGTCGAAGAGCCAACCTTAAGCTTAAAGGAGAGCAAGTCCGCCAACGCGTCTCATTTGCAAATCAAGATCCCGCGTCCGAGTGGTGCAGTCTCGAGCAAGAAAGCGAGCAATGGGCTGGACGCCTGGGATAAGGAAAACATTGGCTCGTCCGGCGTCTCGCCTGTGTTGCCGATGTTCAGGCTTGGGCCGCCGTTGACGCAGGGTACGTCCTTTCTTTTGTTGCTTTTTTGTTGGTGTCTGGGATTGACTGGCATGACTGATGGCGATGTAGTGTTCAACATCTCGACGGACACGCCCCCTCCGCCCTCATGGACGCGCGGACAAAAGGAGAGCAAGACAAGCAACGGGTTCAAGCATAGCATCAAGCGGTCTATCGGTGCGTAAACTCCTCTCCTCCTTGCCCTTTCGCACCTATATCTCTCCACCTCTCTGCTTTCTCGACCTTTCCAACACACGTAAAACTCAAACTCAAACTGACCTCGCAATATAGACAAAACCGTCCAGTTCTGCAAGTCCTCTACGCTCGGACAGGTCGCTTCTGGAAGGACGACGCCCGCGCGCGGGTTCTCGTTTGACGTAATGCGGTCGCCGCCCCCTGGCCAGCAGCAAGCCTCTGCGACAGCGAAGGACAGGGAGGCGTGGGAGGCACAGGCGGAGGAGAGCCTGCCTGAGAGTGAGTACCGTGTTCTTGATCTTTATTGTTTGGCTCGAGTCAGGGAACGCTATGGGTTGCTGGGGTATAAATACCCTGAGCATAAATGCCTAGAGCATAAACTTTGACCGGTTGAGTTTCAGCGAGCGCTGACGATGGGCTCTTCTTCCTTCATGACAGTTTCGCCCCTGCCTGTTATCAGGAACGCCGCTGAGAGCGAGAGGATAGCGGCGGACTCGAGGCTGGATAGGATGACGATTTGGATGAAAAATGTTGAGAGTACGCGTTCTACACTTTTATCAGTCTTGGGGCAGCACTGATGAGACTTTTTCAACCAACAGAAGTTGTAGAAGATGCCAAACAGAATTTCGCCTCCTCCACTGCGGCCAAGGACGTACCTCTCCCTCCTCTGCCACCGCCTCTCTCGCGCAATGGATCCAACACGCGTCCATCGCGTCTGCCACGTCGCGTCCTCGCTGCCAGCCAGATCTTCCAGTCGGACGAGAATGGCAACATCACCCCTATGATCGATCAGAGCATGATGTCCGCCAACACCTCGTCCTTCCTCTCCCCGAACGACGTCTCTAGAATCAGCACTGGGCCTGCCAGCCCAACCACCCCCAACACTAGCATAGCGCAAGGTTCTCTCCTTCCCGCGAAGACCACAACTATGACACCTCAAGCGACCACCTCTCCGCTTCCGAAAAACATAGAAAGCCAAGGACGCAGCTCCCTCCAGATCCCGGAGATCCACACCCCTTCGAGGCAGCGTCGCGCGACTGTGACAACGCGCTCACCTGAGCCCGCCGACCCTGTCCTAGACGACCTCGAAGGTGGCTCCCCGTCGAAGAGGAAGGAGAAATCGAAATCCCACGGAAACCTCTTCCAGAGACACATCGCGCCCCTCTCGTTCATCGAAGCCGAGCTCGCGAAGCCGCTCGCTCCACCCGAGCCGAGCCCGAGCGAGAAGAGGCTCTCGCAGGTCATTGACAGGAACTTGTTCATCGCCCCTCCGCTTGGCTCGCGAGACGACCTCCTCGACTCGCAGGAGCTCGAGATGCCCGAGAGGAGCTTGGATGATTCCCTGCAGGCGTCGCCGTACCACGTCGAGCCCTACCCACAGCGCGTCGGGCGCAGCCTCGACGTGCCGGTGCTCGACACGCCGAGCAGGATCCGTGTAGAGGGCGTCTACGATCGCTTCCTCATGGCCACCTCGGGCGTCAAGCGACTTGGGAAGGGATACCAGTCCGAGTACGCGCGGCCTGCTACGAGCGCCAGCACCGGCTTGGGGATGTCGCAGGGCAAGGGCCGCCCATTCTACTCGACGAGGAGGCCGATGCCCCCGCCGGTGTCGAGCGAGGACTTGGCGCGCCGGACGGCGTCGGTTGATGAGTTGGGGAATATGACGTTTGAGAGGAACGTCGGCGAATTGCAGCCGGTGCAGCAGCAGCTGAAGGAGGGGTTGATGAAGAAGGCGATGAAGCTTATGGTGCCGAGCAAGAGCACGTCGAAGAGGCTTTCGAGGATTGGCTGAACGATTTCCTCTCTCCCTTTTCTTTTGTCCGTCACAGCGATTTCGTTCTTGGTATTTCTCCAACATCCCTCCGCATCTCCTGGTCTATGATCCATCTCTTTATCTCTCCTCATTTATCGGGTTCATCATCCATTGCATCGCATCACTTCATTTCTCTTCTGTTCTCTGTTCATTCGTTTTTGTTCTGTCCGGTCTTCGCACCACGCTCTCTGCCCATCTTTGTTCTACCCACTTTGCTCTCGATCTGTTCTGCTTGTCCATATTGCTATCCACACCTGGCTATCCACGCTGCTATCACGTTTTTCCACCTTTCATCCATCGCCGTTGTCGTTTCAGCATCCCGCCATCGTCATCATCCACAAGAACAAGGACAGTAACGACCCTCAAGAGCTTTTTTCTACTGTTGAACCCACTTACGTCCTCGTTCGCGTCTTCTTTTCATCTACATTGACATCATCCTCATATTATCTATTTTATACACCTACTTACGTCCTGGATGACATTTACGACTACTTATGCCGTGTTCATTCTTTCATCTTGAATATCTCTGACGATTCAGATTCGTTGGCTCTCTCTGTTCATACGTTCACAATTGAGTGACAATATCTTCTTTACCTACCTACCTACATACCTGCATACATCCTCACCTTGCTAACGAGTTCTTGCGCTGTAAACAAGTTTACTTACGATCTGTGTCATGAATTTTATCTCTTGGTTTTCTTCTCATCGCTCTATCACGACTCTAAGTTCAAACTCGTTCGGTCCGAGATATCCGAAGCGTCTGACGTAATCTGAAGATTGTCTGCGAGTCATCTGAACGCGTTTTCTTAGCCCACCTACTCAGCGCTCTGGACATATACATATACTTATACGGTCCTGGTATCCCATGGACGACTCGTTAGAAGCACCCAATGCTCTCCTATCGAACGCACCCCTTGGGGATCAACCACCAGAAGACGACGAAGGACCTGCGTCTGACGAGGAGGATGGCGGCTTGGATTGGACGAAGTTGCTGTGAGGGAGTCCTCTGCACTAAGCGATCGATTGACTAATGACTAAAACGTGCTACCAGACCTCCTTCGCAGAGACCCGTCATACCGAAACGCGGAGAGAAAGAATTCGAACCGCGAGGGGCTGGAGGAACGAACTTGCAGCAGCATGTCCTTGATCGCTCGAGAAATGCGATGTTTGACACCTTGCGCGCGACAAGGACTACCTCAAGGTGCGTCTTGACTCGATTTTTTTTGCTTAGGGAATAACCCGGTCGATTGTATAGCAAAGCTATCAGCTACGCGACCTGGTACCCCAAAATTGCTCGCACGCACGTTACAGTCGCTCGTGGCATCCACTTCTCGACTATGGGTCACTCTGCACCCCGCGCCATCGTAGGAGAGGACGGCATTTCAAAGATCCAAAAACGTCTCGAGCTCTTACCAGAGGAAGCCATCTACCTCATCGAGCGAGGGACCCTGTTTTGTTGGAAGGCGGTCGATTTGGAGTTGGGAGACGTGCCGGGGTTGGAGGAGGTTGGAGGGGCACCGATGACCGTCCAGCAGGCGTACAGCGAGATGATTGGGAAGGAGGATTTAACGCTGGAGAAATTTCAGGTGTGTAGCAAGGGCTTGTTGTGTTCCTCATTTAAAAGTTCCTGACCTGGCTGTAGGTGTACGCATACCTGAAACGACTAGGCTATATGGTGACGAGAACAAATCCTCCTGATTCACACTATCCTGTTCCTTCGAGTCTTGCGATTACACGACCCGCACCTTCAATCCTGGAACGAATACGGTCCATATTCCCTCAGTGGATATCCTCCATCTGGAGAGTTTTGTTTGGCCGTCTGGATTGGTGGAAGCCCGTAAAAATCAGCCGCTGGCTACAGGGCAATAAGTCATACTGTAAGTGCTGGCCTGGGAGAGCATTGAAGAGCCCAAGCTCACAGGTATTCCTCGCAGTGTCGCTGTATCATTCGATGCGCTTCATGTCAGCTGGTCATAAAGTTCCACTACACTCCTCAAAAGCCACATTAGGCGCAAGATCTACGTCGCCCTATCGCATATTTTATAACCTATATAAACCCTCTACGCCTTTCAAGAAATCGGCACCCCCGCCTCCAGACTTTCAGATCGTGGTAATCAAGTATGATCAATTTCATTTCTTCCTGCACAATACTTATCAAAATGCTCTTCAGCGCTCGCACCACGCCCATGCCAACCCTTCAAGAGCTGACAGACCTCTTTGACGTCCTCCCCGAAGTGCCCCTTCCCGGACCCCGTCAGAAACGGGGACCATACGGGTCGCAAGCCCCCGTCGTGTCTGCAACCACCGCACAACGACCGACTCCAACAACAGCCGCCGCCGCTCCCGAACCTACTCCAACGTCGTCGCCTCCGCCCTCATTCCTCCGCAAATTCTTCCCGTGGTTCTTCCACTCATCGTCTTCGTCTTCTTCTTTGCCTCTGCCAGCTACAGCGTCCGCGCCGGCCGGAGCGCGTAGAATCAACCCGTTCGTAGCACTGAAGACGGGAAAGAAGGTCGTCATTATCGCGGCTGTGGACACTGGGAATATCAGTTTCTTCAGGTTTGGGCAGGGCGAGTTCAGTGAATGGCCAATGGCGTAGACGTGGAGTATACAGGATTCAGACAGGCTGTGAAAGACCGGTCGTCAGGGCGTCGAACCCGTCAGAGGAGTTCTTCCATCTGGCGTCGAAGCTTAACGTCATTTCTATGTGCTTCCTTCACTCTGTGCCATTCATGGAGTTTGTTAAAGGTGGCATAGGCGTGACGTTTCCAGGCCGACGTCGATGAGCACATATTCAATCAGTCTCCCCGGTAGAACCACCAACAGTCCTCGAGAGCCAAGCAACGAGGATCATTGAAATAATATTCTGACAATAAACCTGTATCAATATTGCGTCAAGTACATGTTGCTGAAAGGTGAAGATGACAACGCGAACCCTCCATTGAAAAGTGTCGGCGAACTGGGGCAAGCTCCCTACTTTTTTTGCTCTCTGATTTCAGAGAGAGAACCAATAGGGTCTGAACAAACTCTCCCGGCTCATTGCACGCCGTCATCTACCTTAGAATCTGCAGCGTTGGAACCAGTGCTCTATCAATGCGAGTAACTATCTACTAGATGCAAGTAAAATGTCAGTGTGCTACCGAAGCATGAACCCCCAAAGTCCAAGAAAAGCAAGAAAGACCACTGATACTAATAGAACACCCAAGACGACCCGGACGAAAACCCGGAAACATCTACATATACCCGACGGTCCATAAAATAATGATAGAATGACTCTGAGGGTCCATGTGCCAGTGCTGCGATTACACACAAAGAAAGAACATGATAGCGAACGACTGCAGGGCGAAGAGGAGGGTATGGGTATAGTGGGCATGTCGAATGCCTGTGGTCGGGGCGAAGGCCCCGTTGGTATTGAGGTTGGTCGTGGTTGTGCGATTCTGGGGGTTGCTGAGAGTGACGAAGGCGGGTGCGGCGCCTAGGGTGACGGTCGTTCGTGGAGCGGAGGCTGCACGGGCGGTGGGTGCTACCGCGACGGCGTCTGTAATGGCATTGAAGGTCAGCGTCGATGACCTTGAAAGGACGAGGATACCGCCATCAGACACGGCCCCACTTACTGGGAAAGTTGCCTCCATTTTGGGCGGCATCGCGCACCGCGTCCTGTAGGAGCGCGTTCGCGTTCGCTGGGACCTTTGAAAGGAAGCCTATCCGCGGCGGGTCAACCGAGGGGTGCGTGAGGTTGCCGTAGTGAAACGCGACGAGGTTCCTAAGGGTCCAGGATTCCAACAGAATTAAAATTAGCACAGAAAATAAAACGTGGCTCAAAAATGAAGACGAAGACGAAGATAGACGCACGATTTGAAGAACGGAGCGCCTAGGCTCCATCGGAAGAGCGCACCCACATTCGGGGGGTCGGTCGGGACGAGGTTGTCCGCCTGGCATGTCACAACGTCGTTCGGGTCCAGTTGGCCGATAAAGTCGCGCGGGTCGACGGGGAACAGCTGCGCACGTCACAAAAAAAAAGCAAACCACAAATTTCAGAGATCAGCCCCCTGTACGCAGTCGCCTTTATCGTGATTGCAAAAGTAATGTGCTCACCTTACCACCGATCTGGAACGCGAGCTCCCGGGGCACGTTACACGGCAGGGCAGCAGGCTCGTCCCTCCTGGGGTCAAATGACGGGGAGACCGTGGACAGTATGTTGTTCACGACGTCCTCAGGCCCGCGCAGGAGCGAGTTGCCGGTGTCAATGAGCGCGGAGACGCGTGTGGAGGAGACACCGCCCTCAGCGGGTATCGTAGAGTCAGGGAGCTTTTGTCCGTCGAGGAAGACGGCGTCGATGTCTATTTCCCAACGGCTGGAGAAAACGGGGTGTTAGGCGTAAGGAGGAAGCCGGGGGGAAGATTAGATTGGCTTACAAAGGGTACACTTCGTTGGGAGCCCAGGAAGGAGGGTCCATCCCCCCTTCGGCGACGGTGTATGGCCGGACGGGCACCCAGGTCAAGGAGGAATTGTCCACGCCGTCTGGGAGCTTTCCTAGCGTTAATAGACCTTCACCGCCAACGTCGATGGTGTTGCGTTGGAATTGAACCTAAGTGTACAGTTATGACGACTGACATGAATTAAAATGTACACGCATTCGAACTCACAGTGAACATAGGCAATTCCAGTGCACCACTCATCGCGATACGGGGTAATAGCGGGCCGCTTGTATATGTTGATTCGATGAACTTGTCAGTTGTATCAATAGGTCCTGACTAGAGAACAATCAGATGAACAAACTGCAGTGCCACAGTTCAAACGCACATTTTTGGTGACAACTGCCTGCTGAACTCGACTTGGAGAATCGGAAACAAAATTAGCTCGTCAAACGCAAACATGATGCCAGTGAAACACACGTACCTTGCAGCTGGGAAGCTCAACCCAAAGATGCCAGCAGCCTCGAACTGGACAAGGAGGTTCGAAGTGTCGTTGACGACCCCGAAGGCCTGTTGGTTCATGGACACGCCGGCGATCGTCGCAGTGTCAAGCCCGACAGCGCCGGACGCGAAGGTCCCCGTTGTCGAGTCGCCGTAAGTCATGTTGACGTTGGCTCCACCGCTGGGTACCGAGCGTTGGGGATAGCGAGCAGTACGGGCACCACTGCATACGCCTCTCCGACAAGTGTCCGAGACGACCCAGAGATCACTCGACCCGGTGTCTGGTGGCAGAAAGCGTCAGAGTTGACTGGAGGAGGGGAAGAAGATGGATAAACTGACCGAGATTGACAGCGAACACGTTGTTTCCCACCTCTATCGGAACTGTGTAAAGGCTTTATTTCATAGGCGGTCATTCAAGATGTGTCGGGATCAGAGATATGTTGGGACTCACAGGTCGACATTGTTGCCTAAACCAACTGACCCGCTGGCGTTTCCTCTCCTGCGATTCCGGCTGGTCGTGCTTCGTGCTTTCTTCGTCATGATTGGGATGTCGTACCCCACGTCCGTCCGCTTACTCGTGCCCTCAATGGAGCGCAATCCATGAGGCAGGGCAGCAACACCACTGTTCGTCCATAGGTGCAGGAGAGCGATGTGGAATATGCAAGCAAAGGGGATTCCAGTGACCATCCGACCGTCGTTGGAGATTTCTAAAGAAAGTCCGTGAAGAGAAAAAAAGGACAGTATCACTCGTGCGCTGCAGTCGAGGCTGATGACGGCTGTTCCCTGGCGTTCCGGCGGCGGGAAGTCGTGCAAGGATGCACCTGGCAGTGAGGGCGGAAAAGGAGTGTGGGGGGTCCTTAGAGGATGGAAGAAAGGAAAGGAAGTTGAGCCCTGGTTCAAGTGGAACTCTATGAACAAAACCAAGGGATGTTCTTCACACACCAATTGCCTCCGCCAAGCGTTCCATTATTCCGGGTTGCGCAGCCGACCGCTTGGCAGGGATTTTTACTATCGCATCTCCGAATGGGGCTGTCGTATCCATTATTGGTGGGGGCTCCTACTCTATTGCCTAGAGAACTGGAGCCGCTGTCCGTCCGAATTTACCTCGAGAAAATTTTACATGGGAGACAGACAAGTGTGAAGTAGTCGCTCAAGCACTACAACTGCGAGATAGAAAATCTCCTTCTCGAGAAACGCTCATTTTTATGACGAGACTTTACACCAGCGTCCAATGATCCAATCGCGGTCTTATGACGCGGTGGATGCGAGTTGGCGCACTGGGGAGCGCTGATGCTGATTGTCCAATAGAGATAGTTCCCAGGTCCAGCCTGAACTCGGTGAAGGGCTCGACAGATCACTGATATCATGATCGAACAAACGTCGGCGGCACCATGAGCGTCTGATATGATGATAGAGCGGTATAGCCAAAGTCATCACTGTTCAAGAATAAGTAGTCTATGTTTCGTCTACAGTCGGGGATGTCAACAACAAGCACTTTGTAGTCCTCCTTCATCCTCTACGTATCAAAAGTCGCCAAGGAGCTTGATTACAAGTAGCAAGAGAATCGGGGTGAGTTCGGGTTCCATCCAACTAGTTAACGCAATCAGCCAATTGCCCTCGTACGAGAATATCTTCAGAGTAAAGACTCACCACAATGCCAGCAGTCCAGGAGATGGTCAGGGTCACTACGCAGAGTTCATGAGATGAGGCTAAAAATAGCTATCAAAGGACCCACTATTTTTGCTTGATGCGCAGCAGCTCTGGATAATGGCTGCCCCAGAAAGCGACTGCAAATTAAACGGGTTAACCCACCGCCACTACCACGACACAACACTCGGTGCAACGAGATAAGACGACACGACGCACCCTGGTAGTTAGGCTCATAAACGTCTGCTTCATTCTACGAGGTCGGAGTCGAACATGAGTCGGAAAACGTGTACCAGGTGATAGAAAGAGGACTCGCACTCACAAGATAAGCAGCGTCAGGCGTGATCCTCCGCAAGTTGTCAATCGCGCTGCTGGCGTCTGCGTAGCGCGCCCTCTTCTCCTCCTTTGTCGCGTTCCAATTCCATGGAGCGACGACGGTGACGTGGTACATGCTCGAGCGCCATGCCTCAGTAACGCTCGTCAGGCCGGAAGAGGGCACGGAAGCGGGAGCAGTCATGAGCATGATGAGCCCCGGCGTTTGGGCATCCGCTGAAAGGAGCGCATTGACGAGCGAAGATCGTCTAGAAGGGGTGGAGAAAGAGGACTTGGGGACCAGCCGCGAGGCGAGGGCGAGGCTGGAGCCAATTGTCTATAATGTTTTGTAAATATACTGTTTTCTCTTTTGTCAAGAAAAAGGGAAACACCTACCGCAACGAAATCGCGACTGAACACCTCGAAAAACCCACCCCACGAGCCAAACTCTCTTACGCTCACCTGCACGCCCTCGACTCCCTGTTTGCCGACCCGGCCCGCGAACTCTGTCAGAGGCGCCACACTCTCGGCGGCCTCGGCAGCGCCGAGAATCGGGTTGACGAGCACAACGACATCCGCCATCGAGAACCCGCCCCAGCCGACCCGAGACCAGCGCAGAGAGTTGTCGGCGAGAATCGTCCACATCTCTTTAGTGAGGGAGCTGTCGCCGCTGGAGCTCTTGGGTAAGATGAGGATGAGAGTTTGGAGTGTTACGCGCGGGGAGGCGAGGATGGTCGCTTCGGTCACGACGGCGAAAGTGCCTCCTCCACCTGTGAGGAAATTCCGAGGTGAGTTGGGTGCATGGATGCATGGGTTAGAGGGGGCTGGCGTACCACCGCGAAGCGCGAAAAAGAGGTCTTCATGCTGACACTCGTTCACGACTCGGTGCTGGCCGTCAGGCGTCACCACTTTGTATTGAAGCTTTCCATAAAACCCATGAGCAAAATGAACACTACTCAGAGAGGAAGGACGACTTACGACACGGTCGACCCCAAGGCCCATTGTATTAGAGAGCGCACCATGACCGCCGCCCTGAAACCCGCCGCCGCAGGGAAGTGAATGTTCATCAGCGTCGCGTTCTGCAGTCTCTGGTTACACACTGGCAGCGGCTTACTTACCTGGAGCCACCCGCCTACCGCGCCCACCGTCTTGTCCGCACCTATCGGAGAACGAAAGGAAAAAGATCAGCAATCAATACTCAGAGGGTGGTTTCCAGGTTATTCAATAGCAACAAAGCAACAGAAGTGAAGACTATAGAAACTTAAAGCACTTGGACACGCACCTCCCACAACCGTCACGTTGTGTTTCTCGGCAAATGCGTATGCTTCGCCCCATTGAACGCCGGCCTGCAAGAAAAAATGGAGATAGCCACGTGTCGCGACATAAGCGTCAGCGCTCAATGGTCAAAAGTGGGCGCTTATCACGCCGAGGGTCGGACGTCGTGTGATGTGGTATGATTGACGTAGCGTGTTGTGCATTGTGAGACTCACCCCGAGTGTGATTGCGCTCCGCGGAGCCGCTGGGACATGGCACCCGTCCGGGACGAATGCTGGGTGGTACGACATCTAGAGTATAATGTCGGCGTGTGCGGTGAGTCGACGGTGAACCGAAGCAAGACCAATGAAGACCCGAGGCCGCTTACATCCTTGAGATTATGCATCTGCCCCATTGGAGAAGAAAATCGGTAAGCGAACCCCGTTGAAACTCGAGCTCGAGCCTCCGAGGTGTATCGGAGCCCGCCTGGACTTGAAGCGGCTTACTACTTACCCATAGCGCAAGCGAACCGGGGGCGCTGCTCCTCCCCATGTAGTCGTGCTGGGTGGACATCTCGGTCAGTCAGGCTCGACGGAGAGTGAAAGATGGAGTATGGGGGCGCACACCCGTGTTCTTGATGACCAATGGAATCCGGCCCAGTTTCGAGAATTTGAAGGCTGCGGATATGTCACTTGGCTGGCGGACGTCGATCTAAAGGAGAGGTTCGAAGGGATGACATATGCATTAGGTGGTGGTCACCGAGACAGGGTAGGCAGTGAAACGGACGAAATGGCCGGGCACGCTTCCTTGGAGGCATTGGTTGGAAGGAACCGTTGGGTCTTGCTTGTCTGGGGTACGATAGTCGAGGAGGCATTGCTGATTTGTAGCCTGGCATGTCTCCCACTGTGTCTGAGTGTATCCAGCAGGGTGCTTGGTTCGAACCTCTATTTGAGTCCAGTGGGTCAGCTCCGAGCAAAGGTCCAAAGTATATGGACGAAATATACCTTCGTCAAGGTAGTCCTTGCGAGCAGTGATGCACTCAGTCGAATTAAAAGACTCAGAGAAGCACGCTTCCGCAAATGGCGTCGATTGGAACAGTCTCCCGCCGACCTCCTTCCGCAGGGCATCCCAATCGAGAGCCTGGCTAGCAGGTATAGCGTGTCCCAGTCCAAGAGGGGATTGGACGGCGAGGAAAGAATACGTATCGATAAAATGAACAAGGCGAGCAAAGAGCATCTTCGAAAGGGTGTTAGAATGGCGACATTGGCGATCGACCCTCCTCTATTTATCGTGTTTTGAGGGCTGACCAAAAGCAAGAAGCGGCGTTGAAAGTGTGGAAGTGGCGTCGGGGTGCCCGGCGGATAAGGGTCGGATGCATACGCCCTAGAATCGTGAGCAGAATGGAGAAGGTGATGCAAGCTGAGCCAGAGCCTACTTGACAAGCTGTTGTACTTTCAGCTTGAACCCCTAGCCTGGGTTAAGACCGGCCGGTAATGAGCCCCTCCGAGAGCCCTAGTGCTGCAGAATCTTGATATGATCCCATTCCGGAGAATCTCAGCGCGCGCTACAAGGATTTGGTACTGAGGCGATCGGGAAGGTCGGTGTGTAAATGGAGAAAATGATTCATAAGCGGCTCATGGCAACATCGAGAAATCGCGACAAAAGGTACCAAGGAGGAGTACAAGAAACCTTGACGAAGTCATGCTGCAAGGTGCGCTGGTGATCCGACCCTAAAGAGCTTCTTCCTTCAAAGCACCCTTTGACTAGATAGAGTCCATTTGGTCACCGCCTGCAGGTTAGAAGCGCTGGTGGAACCGGTTTCCGAAGGCTGGAGTGGGCCCCGAATCGCGGCGACAAAACGAACAAGCCCGCAAGTAGTCCAAAAGCCCGAGTCATAGATATCTCCGTGGTCGCGACATTTGTGTGGGCATATCGGATGATACCTTACCGAAGTGAGTAGACAAGCAACGAAATCGGAATACCAAGGTCCCAAACGAAACAGCTTTTCGGCGAAGAGGGTAGCACTATGTTTCACTGGGCAGCTGCATACCGTTCCTCTTCCGTGCTGATGACAACCAAGGTCCTGTAGGCGCAGCGGGCGCCTAGTCGATCTGGCGGAGATATGATGAATGTCGCTGGTAGGGTGACACCGGTTTGTGATTCACGCCCACGTGCTTGTGACAGACGCGCCCATTAAGACAGTCGGATAGGAGTTATTCACTTACTGCGGTAATTAGAGATGCAAGGACACTGCGAGTCCTGACGCACATTTGAGTACACGTCAAAGGAAATTGTACTGGCCTTTTCGTTGTGCATGTTATGTAGAAATGAATGCGAACTGGCCTGACAGAAACTGGGACTGGAAACGCAGCACCAGTCACTGGCAAGAATGTACAACTTCGCGTATCTTGTTTAATCTATGTAGATCGCTCCATACATTAGAGTCATTCCCTGACATGTACCCGGACCCTGTACCGCACGTACCTCTAACTGTTAGTTTCTCTGGGCGTGTATCTCGGTTCCACTACCATACCCGGTATGCAACATTCATGATTCACATCCACGGGGTGGGCGTCGAAACGAGTGTAGTATTGAGTCTGTATTGGCGCTCATGCGGGCGTCCTGTGCGACAAAGAAAGGACACTTTCCACCGGGCACTCCTCTCCTCCAGGAGTCATCCATCGACACCTATTTCTGATTCTATAGTCGCAATGAGGGACATCATTCTGTGATTAGCGCTCGCGTCAGGCATGTATACAATTTTGAAGGGACTTCACGATGGTCGGGGATGGCAATCATCTACTCCAAGGAGATAATAAGGACTTCCGCCTCATCTAGCACCAAAGGCGTGGGCAACTACGGGTCGCTCTCTCCGGACTTGTCTTCAGTGTTACCCCAGCCAGAAGGCCGTTCGTTGCCTTTCACAACGGAGAGGTAAATCGTCAAAATTTCAGTGTTATTTTCGTCCGAGAATGACGTTGGCTTTCTTCCTCACCGATTTAGATTCCAGAAGGTATTAAGTACCCTTTCATTCAAACCAAAGGTCCTCCTCGAGGTCGCCTTTCCATTGCCATGTGGGATGAACATCACCCTCCACACAGGCATGAGCGTACTATGCATCGGTACGTCCTTTTGCCTTTCGCATTTCCTTCATTTCATCACGCAAAATAGCAACTGTAGAATTTCTCTCTTCGTCACCGGGGAGTAGCTTCGCGGGACTTATTTGTCCTCGCAGCCGTCGACGCTAACGCCCCGATGCCCGACGCGCCTCCGACAGACCAAGCCAGGCACTTGACTTCCTCCGTCACGGGAGTAGGTTGAAGAACGCGACACCTGGATTGACCGAGTTCCAACCACACACCACCTGCTGGGTCGGGGCCGCATAGGCAAAGGTCCCGGTGCCCGAGTGTTGACGTTTATTCGGCGGCTGGAGTTTGTTGCCTGTACCACCGGGTACATCTTCCTCTTGTCTTGTTCGACCAGCTTCGGCGGTCCGACCAGCAAATTTTCGTGTCGCGTGCTACCCCAATCTTTGGGCTTAGCTTGAGCGAGTTCACTGAGGCCGCAAGCCGCAAGTTAACCACCCCGCCTCGACAGCTTGATCTGTCAATGCCACAGGTTGAAAGACGCCTCCGTAAGGTGAAATTTTGTGGGCCCCATCCGACTTTACGAGTTCAACTGACATCGCCAATGTGAATACTCGGTAAGCCAGTTAGATCCTTATTGAGTCGCCCTCCGATACTTAATATGTATCAATCAAATACTACGTGAATTCGTGCAGTTAGCTCGATGAGGCGCTCCAACAGAAAGATGGGACCTACTCACCAGTATCACAATAATCTACAGGCCAGTGATATCAGTCCTCAACGGCGCTGAAACCTCCCACTGAAGCACCAGATCAACTTTACCCTGAGGAGCGATCGAGCAAATCCAACAGAGCCGCCCTTCCCTGCCCAACGCCTCCACGTCCACATCCTCCTGTCCTTGCCCGAGGCTCACTTCATCTGCGCCGTCCCACGTAGCGACTACCCCAGAGGACACCTTGACAGGAGGCGGAAGTTTGGCCTTCTCGCCCGGACCTGCTGCGCTGCTGACCGTGCCAGTACTTTCTGCGTTGGGAAGGACCAAAGAGGGCTGGACGAGCTTGACGTTGATGGTTGAGTCCTGCGAGACGGGTACCTGGTCGATGACTTTGATTTTTAGAGCATCAGTGCCGCCCCCAGGGGGCGAGGACTTTGTATTGTGCACGGTGATACGCTGAGAGTAGGTATACACGGTCGACTTGTTGTAAAACCCGGATTGCGAGGTCTTCTTGCTGAGCGGGTGGTAGGTCATTCTGATTGACGGGTCCAGTCTGGAAAACGCATAGGTCAGTTGGGAAACTAGCCGGTATGCAAGGAACGCACCCGAGGGGCAAGTCGAAGCTTTCGTCTGGGCTAACGAGAGGCACCTCCGACTTGGAAATAAAGCTACCATCAACATAAACGCTCGCATTTCCCGCGAGGAGTGTGTACTCGGACGCGTTCTTGATCTTCGCCTAACAACAGTATTAGCGCCCGTCTCTCCTCCATCTCAAAGCGACTCGCCTTCAAATGAACTCTGCTGTCCTTCTTCGGTACGCACACCCAGCTCATGTCGGCATCCAACGACAGCTTCACAATGGTTACGTTATGACCCTCGCCGTCGCTTGGGATGCTGATCAGCCCTGGAACACCGAACGTGGCGCTGACATTGCCTTTGGAAGATACCTGCAGTCCTCGATATTGAATTTCGGTTTCCATGCTCCAGGAGGTGGGGATCTGCGGGGAAATGAACGCTGAGGCAGGTCCTGGCGGGGGTGGAGGTGGTGCGCTCATCATAGGCATAGGCGCAGTGGGTAGTGCTCTCTTCTTGAAGTATATTTCTGGGCAATAGACCGATAATGTCCATGGCGTGAGGACTGGAACACCGACGCCGAACGTAGGTGCTGCGCTTTCGAGTGTCAGAGGAACGTCGTCCCAATCTTCGCCGGTGCTTTGGTTGATGGAGGCTTTGTAGATGAGGGAAATGGGCTTCTCCTTGGCCTGCATGTCGACACGAATGTCGTACCCAGCGCTCCATGTTGCACGAGATACAGCTAAAGGGGCATTCAATGCATAGGAAAGTGAGATACGGATGAGACCAACTTACCATAGATAAGTGCAATCTTGATCTCCCCCTCGAAGTCTGCAAAGACCCCAATCGTCGCCTTCAAGTTTAGCTTTTCGTTCCCAGTCGGCCCTGCGAGCCTCTTCCTCTCTTCAGTGATGGCCTCGTCTGCTTCCTCCAACTGCTTCTCCAGCTCTGTGACCTTGTCGTCGAGTTCGCCAGCGGTCGTGTCATACTCTCGGACCACCTCCTGCAGCTTGGAAACGTCGAGATGCTGAGCCTTCACGGACTTGAGGTACGTCTCAAGAGAGTTTAAAGACTTCTGAACACGCGCAAGGGCCTTCTCGTCCTGCTTTTTCTTAGCGAGCAATGAGTCGAGGGCTGGAGAAGTCGTTGGGACGGGTGGGGAGGTAATGCTGGAGATGGTAACATCGTGAATGGTAGCTGCACCTCTGCCCTCGACGCTGCTCGACTGTTAGCTTGCTCGAAAGCGCGCTGATACGTGAATAGAGCTCACCGAAAAGATTCCTTGTCCAAAACTCGTGGAAGCCCAACAATGTTCAGCTGGTTCTGGCCAGTCTTCACGTTGAATTTGAACAACCGCGTAATTTCAGCACGTCCCGAGTAGACGCTGACGCTGATGATCTTGCTGTCCCTGGTAGAGACGAGGTCGATGGTGTTTACCACCTGGAAAGCGGGCGGGGAGGTATCTGTTGTCATCTTGGAAACAAGAGGGGCTTCAGTTGCGCACCAGCGTTCGTGCCGTTATGCACAGGTTTCCAGGGTCGGTCCAGGCCAACTTGACAGCGGTCGAGTCACCGACACTCTGTCGTCATATCTTGAGACTCACTCGAACTTGAGCTCGAGAATGAGAGGGAGGTGAGATTCATCACAGCAAGAAATAAACCAGTTGATTCTTGAAGTTGAAGGGCTCGAGCCGACGAGAGAAGCTGGGTGAGTCATCACGTGAAATATTGCAGCTACGAATCAGACACGGGAGAGGAGAGAAAAAAAGGACTTCATTCAAGCAGAAAAATCTAAATGATACACACGAATAAGTCAAGAGGTGGTACGAACTCGAAGCACAAAAAACAAACTGAGAAAGGGACAGATCGACAGGGACTTAAAATATCGAGAATACAAATCGAGAGGATATGCGAGAAAAAAGGACTGAGAAGGAATGATTGAATATTAGATAGACCGAGGCGTGATGCAAGAAGAGCTATATATTTGATGTGGGCTTGAGGCGGCGAGAATGACTTCGAGGCAACCGATCTTGATACTGAAATAGCGACCAATGAGCAAAGCTCCACCAAAGTTGGGTTCGGTTCACCGACTGGACACCATGCAGTACTTAACGGGACGCCACCATCGATGCACGGAACCACAGACAGACACCCTAGTCAGAGCGCCAGCTGCAGCCCGCACAGCGAACACTGCGAGCCTACAGATGAAGCCGAGGCGTTCGTCAACGCTCGAGTAACACCTGCATGACCGCGGTGTGGAGGGGATGCCCACCTCGTCAGGCGACACCCCCATCCTGGTGACAAGGGCGTCAACAAGCTCGTCAGCCTGAAGACGTCCTTTGTCCCGATGAGGACGCCAGCAAGCTCGTCAGCCCACCGAACGTCATTGTGCTAGTTCGACTTGTTGGAGTCGGAGTCGGAGTTGAAATGGTGAGTTGAATTTGCGTACTGGAAGGTCGATGTGGTGTAGTGCGGTGCAGAAAGTGGTAGTCGACAGTGGAAAAGTGCTCGAGGTCGTGTGGTGTTGAGAGGTCGCCGAACCAGTAAAGGCCGTTTTTGCTTGGTATTGAATGTTTGGTGGGCCCGGTGTTCTCCCTTATCGAGGTGAAGACCTAGTCTGCCTCGTTCTCTGCCCCCTCGTCGTCATCCTCCCCATTCTGGTTCTTCTTCCAGTTATGAGGGTGGCGACGGCCACGACGCCGGCGGGTGTTGTGCGTCTCGGGGTCTCGTTTGTGTCTGCGCTTGCGACGGCGACGGCCAGGAACTTCGCCTGGAGCTTCCTCACTGGACTCCAGGAGTTCGGTCGCCGTAGTTGTGGGAACGAGTCCAGATGGAGACATTGACGTAGGTGGGGAGGTGGCGGAGGAAGAAGAGGCGACGGGAGGAGGGGCAGGAACAAAACTGGCCGAGTCGAGGGTGAGACTGCTGGAGGAGGCTACTGCCTCTACGGCGTGCTACAGCAAAGTGAGCGACATTGTCATTACAATGTAGCAAAAGGCACACCATCTGTGTGACCTCCTCCGTCTTCTCGAGCACCTCGAGTGGATCGTTGGCAGACTCCACTTTATCGAGGGCATCGTTGCTGAAGGAGGCATCTGGGGGCTCTATGGCGAGCTATAGAAAAGTGAGCAACGAAGTCGATATAAGAGCAGCGAGACAAAGTACCATCTGGGCGGCTTCTTCCATCTCTTCAAATGCCTCCTCAAATTCCGAGAGAGGGGTATCATAGGTTTCGTCGACCTCCGTCTCGATGGTTTCATCGTCCTCGTCCTCGACAGCCTTGCCTTTCCCCTTGTCGATGACTGGCCTTGTCACCTCAAAGTCGGGGACGCTCGTGGAGTCCTGACCGGAAGAGAATTCGGTTTGGATGTCGACAAAGGGCGTCTCATCGTCACTGACACCAGACAAGGGATCTTCGGATTTCCCGGCATTGGGAATAGCAATCTGAGAGGTGTAGACAAGCACAGGTTCAGGAGAAGACTGAGGTAGGGATAATGGTTGAAAATTGCCCAATATCAAACGAAGGAGGTACTCACGATAGGCATCGACTCCGATTTGGCAGGTTCAACGCGTCGCGCAAACAACCACTTGTCCGATCTCGAGTTGATCCAAATCCTGCGGATGAACTTGACGAATTCGTAGATGATATACGGGACGAGGAGCAAGGCTAGCACTAGGAAGCCCCAAACCATGAGATCGTCGTCAAGAAGAGAGGCACTGCTTGACAGAGGAACACTAGTCGCACGGGCGGTGGGACTGGCCATCAAGCGATAGTCCATGGTATAATAGCTCTTGTCGAAGGCGAGACGCATAGGAGGTTCGGTGACCAGGGGCTGAGGAACAACGACCATTTGAGGTTGAGGAACGACCAACCGAGGTTGAGGAGCGACCACTCGGCGTTGAAAAGCGACGACGAAAGACGTGGGTTGAGATATCGCCTCCCCAGGTTTCAGGGAACGGCCACAAGGATTGACGTAACAATCCACGTAGAAGAAGGCCATGAACGCGAGGATTAGGAGCGCGGTAGCACGCGAAACGACGACGGTTGGTTTCTGACGCCAAGATCGCTTGGTCGCCTGGGCACGAATAGAGGGATAAAAACGCTTCACAGATGAAGACTTGAGTGCAGCACCGCAAATGGTGACGAGGATAACACCGATAATGATGGCGAAAATGAGGTGGGTGTTGTTGCTGTTAGTCGAGGGCTCGGGCTCTTCCACAGCGGGAGTGGGAGGTGGCGGTGGCGGTGGAGGGGGAGAGTCATTGTTGCCTACAAGCTTTGAGGTAGATCCCTTCTTGTTGGGAAGCTTGCTGCCTAAAGGTACGCATTAGCTGATGAAATAGACTAGTCGATAAAAAAAAAAAGTGCGATCACCGTTGGCAACAGTACGAGTAGGTTGGCGGGGATCGCCACTAGAGGCGCTGTTACCCGCTACAGAGTACGTATGTCAATAATCATGAGTGGCAGAGAAGAGAGAAAGGGCTATAGACTAACCCGAACCATTTCCTGACTCTTCGCCAGGTCCACTGCCTCCCTGAGTCGAAGAGTATGGCAGACCGCTTCCAGCAGCAACCTCTGATCCCGCAAATCGGAAACTCCTACGTGATCCATCGCCTGAGGCACACACGATCTTCTCGTCCGTGAATGCGGCTAGTTGGGAGGGCCTCATGCAGACTGGTCCATAAATCTTGCAGCCAACGACGAAGGGAGCTTCTTCTGGCAAGCAAAAACCCTCGCCTTGAATCATGACGGCGATATTCTTGCCAGGGGCATCGCCAGAGGGGCAGGAAGTGAGCATGTTGTCGATGGCACGTTCATATTCGAAGAGGGCCAGCTGAGAGGGTTTCATGCACGCCGGCCCGAAGACTTTGCTGTCGACGACAAGAGGAGCATCACCGGGCGAGCAGACACCCCCGCCTTGAACCACGATGGCGAGATCCGTCTCTGGTCCGTCTGTAGAGGCGCATACATTCAGGGTGTTGTTGATGGCGCGCTCATTTTCGCAGGCAGCGAGCTGAGGACGCATGCAAGCAGCGCCATAGACCTTGGCGTCGTGGATGAGGACTTCCGGGTGGGGCAGGAGGATGTCGGCGTCGATGATCTCGCCTAGGCCATAACGGCGGGAAAAGATCTCTTGTACAGGCGTAGAGGAGTAGAAATCGCGGGCGAGATACGCGGCTGAACCTGCGACATATGTTGCAGCGATAACCGAGGCTATGGTGGCGTCGAGTTCGTCAGGAATGAAGTTCGATTTGGCGGCGGTGAAGACACTGGCGGTGACGCCAATGTTGAGGGCAGCGGCAGGACGAAGGTTGATAAAAGACATCCCGTTGTGGGGATAGGACATCTTCGGGTCGCCCATAGCGGTATATGAGGACTTTGGCATGCGGGTGGTGGGCGAAATGCTGATGTTACAAGAAAGAAATGTGGGGAGAGGAGCCTCCGATCTTTATACTTCTCAAGTTCGTTTATTGCTATGCCCTATTTGTGAACAGTCTGCACCGCGCGACGCCTCGAGCCTCCGTGCATTTCTCGATCGTGTTTCCTTCAGAATGACACCAACGATTGGCTCAAATCGACCAATTCGAGGAAATCAACTCACATCGGTTTTTTACCCATTTTCCATATACTTGCAACGACAAGGGGAAATCATGCTATCAATGTGGCAATTTTTGCAGAAGCCGAAGTCCAAAGTGTCGATACGTTGGCCCTCCCCTTTGGGTATTGCAACGGGCAACAAGAAAGGAGCTGCGGTCGAAGTAAACAAGGGAACTAGTCTTGTATATGAGTCGAGGAGATTTAAGAGAGCTTTTTGACGATTTCTTCCGGCCGAGTTGTTGGAGGAAGTTGGATTGGCAGGAGGCTGCTTGGCCGGAGTTGGGACTCCGATTCTTGTTCCGCTAAAACATTCACACGCCTCCATACCTCCATGCCGGGGCGGGCAGCCGGTGTTCTACATCGCCTCTCCAGAGGTTGTGTTGTCAATCTTGACGGTCGTCCCTCTCAAGCTCTCTCTGTCAGACAAGGAGATCTATAGAACATGAACGGAACTGTGACACCGAGGACTGTCGCAAACAACGAGACGGTTTCCCCCGAGCTCGACTCTCTTTGGCGGTCGAACTGGCCGCGCTGTCAATGGAACTTGGAGTGCGCTTCGCGACGCCCTCTTTTACCTGTGGAATGTGTCCTTACCAATCAAAGAGAGGGAATTATGAGCAGAAGCCCTGCCTGATTGGGTTATGGCATCGGAAACTCGACTGAGTCCCTTGTCCGAGCGCTCTTGACATGTCTGTGCTGATACGCCCTTTCACTATATTCATCCAGCCCAGGCGAAAGCGATTTGGTCATCGGCGAAATGACTTATGCCTGAACGTTAGTACTTCCAATTTCCACCCCTGTATTTCTAACACTGGCTGCGGCTTCTTGTCAATAGGTTGCGTTCTCAGAGCCATCAAGGTTCGTCGACTCCATGCATCAAGATGCTTCCTGTGCTCCACTTCTCCGCCTTCTCTTCACATCCATTGTCTTCTGTTCTCGTAGGTCGTGTCTAGTGCCAAGTTTCTTGCCAGTCTACGTCGTTCAGGCTCCTCAGAATGCCGCCCAACCATGCACTATTACCTCAGTCCGAACCCCAGAGCAGCAATATTCTGCCATCCGTTCTGTGCTGCTAATTCCCGTTTTCAACAAAAAATTCTTTGATACCTCCTTGGAATTTCGGACGCTTTCTGCAGCCTCGCACTTCAGACTTTTCCCAAGGAGAATCTACGACCTCTTCTACGCCTTGGACTAACTCGGAGTGCTCTCAGGCTTCGATCCCGAATGCTTGGCTACGTGGGTTCAAGGTGTCCGGGACCGCGCCTCCGATCTGGGAAACTTCATTCCAATTGCCGACTCTCAGATAATTGGTATGACTACACTGAACCAATTATCTTACTGGAGGATGGCGGCAGGACGGCAACACAAGCCGCTTCCCGAGCGCCTATAAGTATATTCTGAGCACGACCTCTCAATCCCAGATTTCAAGTCCAAACGATGTTCTCTCCCAGTGTCTCAGTCGCGGCTTTCTTCACCTCTGCATGGATTGTTTGGCGATTCTATCGACTCTTCTCCCAACGGTCAGCACTTGCCAATATCCCAGGGCCACCAGGAAAATCACTTTGGAATGGTCGGGCGAACTACACTTATGGCTCACTCATGTCTCGTTGCTGACCTGTCTCCTAGGTGTTCTACCCCAAGTTTTCAATGTCGACGCTTGGGATTTTCATAAGGAAATAGCCGAAAAATGTACGATCCCACCCTTTCGTTATCATTCAATCGCTCATCAGACCCGCTCGTCGTAGACGGTGGGGTCATCAAGTTAACGGCGGGCTTGTTCGGCGTTCGTCTGGTTTTGTCTCTGAGCCTGCGGCGCCAACTGACATCGGTGTGCAGAGAACTCAACTCTATGTCTTCGATCCCAAGGCCATGTATCACATAATTGTCAAGGTACGACAACAGAGCGCAACGTGTTGGCCTATTGCTGATAATTTTCCGAAGGATCAATCCTCCTATGAAGTCGAGACAAGCTTCCTCGAGTAAGGAACCCCATCTAAGGGTATACCCTACTGTTGCTAATTCCGTGAAACTACCCTTTAGATATAGCAAATTAATGTTCGGAAACGGTCTTCTTGGAGCAGTCGGTATGATTTTTGAGATGATGGCGGCGTTTAGCCGCATTCCGTACTAACTACCGTGGCAGGGGAGCAACACAAAAGACAAAGGAAGATGCTGAATCCCATATTCTCGATCGGTCATATGCGTCAGATGGGTACGAGCGCCAAAGTCGGCGATAGAAGGATTCTAACCTTGACTTCATCCAGTTCCTACATTCTACAGCGTTGCGCACCAGGTATGACACCTCATTTACGGTCTGACTTTTCATCCAGTCTAACTCTTCTGTAGCTACGGGAGGCGCTTCTGAAGAAGGTCGAGAGTGGTCCACAAGAGGTCGGTACATGTTTATCCCTTCCTTACTTCCAGTCCCAGGAACTTGCTGACGCCGCGTACCTAGATTGAGCTCGTATCTTTGATGACAGGAACGGCTCTTGAGCTGATCGGCCAAAGTGGATTGGGCTTCACATTCAATTCCTTCACTAGCAACCCTCATCCTTACAGTCTGGCTGCAAAGCAAATCGTGTACGTTCGATACATTCTCCTCCGAGAACGCAGCTAATTATTCTCTCCCAGTCCCGTCAGCTTCAACTTGTTATTATCCCGGATGTATTTCCTCCCTACACTTATCAAGTTTGGGTTGAGACGCTTTTTCGTTGACCTTGCCCCATGGAAGAATCTTCACCTCCTTCGAGACATTGCGGATGTCCTCCATAAAACATCGGTCGAAATCATTGAATCCAAGAAGAAGGCGCTAGCTGAGGGCAACGGAGCAATCGGACAGGAGAGGGATGTCATCAGCATCCTCTGTAAGTTTTATTACATGTGCATAGTCCGAAAATGCTCACACGCTGTGACAGTACGAGCGAACATGTCTGCTGAGGAGGGCGACAGTCTTTCCGAAGACGAGCTGTTAGGCCAGGTAACGTACGTCTTCGGATCTCTCACATTGCTTCAAATAAATCTGACATTCTCTACAGAACATTGACCTTTGCGGCAATGGATACGACTTCCTCTGCAATGTCGCGCACCCTGTGGCTTCTCGCCAAAAACCAGGACGTCCAGGATAGGCTCAGGGCTGAGATCCGAGAGGCACGACAGCAAGGCGATGTGTCTTATGATGACCTGGTTGATCTTCCCTACCTCGATGCCGTATGCCGCGAAACTCTGCGATTGTATGCCGTCTCTCTATCATTTATCTCAAAGCTCTGATCCTGATTGGGTATAGGTACCCACCCTTCCCCTACGTCGGCAGAACGTACGTCTCTTTCCATCTCGCTTGGCGCTGTGTCGTTCATTTGGGACCCCAATAGCACCATGCAAGACGCCGTTCTCCCTCTTTCGAACCCTGTCAAGGGGCTGGATGGACGCGAGATAAGCGAGATTCTTGTCCCCAGACACACGGAAATCGTCGTCAGCATTATAGCTTCGAACATGAACTCGGAGATCTGGGGCCCAGATTCCTATGAATGGAAGCCAGAGAGGTGGCTTACGCAGATGCCCGACGCTCTTAGTGAGGCACACATTCCAGGCGTATATTCACACCTGTACGTATCGATCTGTGAATCTTCATTATACGCGTCTAACTCCTCTCGCAAATTAGCATGACCTTCCTTGGAGGCGGAAGATCTTGCATGTATGGCTGCACCAATTGTCTGATCTTCTAGAGTTACTAATCGTCGGCGCTTATTTAGTGGCTTCAAGTTTTCTCAGCTTGAAATGAGTGAGTTTGTCTTCTACCCGAACGCTGCCCTCTCTTCTCTAATTTTTTTTTTCAGAGGTCGTGATATCACTCTTGGTATCGACGTTCAAGTTCTCCCTATCGAACAAGGAGGTAGTGTGGCACATGAACGAAATGATCACCCCCACTACCGTAGGAAGCGAGACACCGACTCCTGAGATGCCTCTGCTCGTCGAACTTGCGGCGTAATCGGCTCCTTTCAAAGGGATGCTCTAAGTAGACAGGGGTATCGTAAATGACCCGTAGTTGTATTACTCGAAATATGCAGATGTGTTCTCCAGTTCCCAATATGATGTGAAGCTTGCATTTATCGCCGGTGGACAACTGAAAGTAATGATCATTCTGAGTGTTCATACTTGCTCAGAGCTTGTTTAATGGGTTTCGGATCGTTCCTCGACAGTGGCGCGCACCGATAATCAGCCTGGTGGGCCTTTGCGAGTGCGAAGTCGAGGTGCGAGCGGGGGGACACCTAAACATACCTAGAATGTGAGTACTCACTCGCTCAGCAATACCCGACCTCACGGACCTTTTCTCGTTTCGCCAGCCGTATACGTATGGACAAAGAAATGACTTAGCATGACTGTTTTGTGGTCATCTTGCAGGGTGCATGCAGTATCGGTGCGCGGGTAGCATGCATGGAGACGTCGTGTCTCTCATCATCAAGTATTTTTGTCGAAACTCCGCAACAAATTATACCCCCAAGGGCACACAGATTAAGCAGTGCTAGTGAAGCTTTAAAGCGTAAGTGATACCCGCTACTGTCCAACACAAACCCGTGCATGACACTAGAGTGTCGATTCCACCCCCAGCAAGTCGTTCATGCGAATAGAGGCGGAGTGAGCTCAACGATTCTGCGAGGCTTATAAACGCCTTATCAGTCCGATACTGACAATATAATAGAAGATCTAATGGACCACCTCGTTATTTAAGCCTACAGTCTCCTTCTCTTGGTCCCAGGTCGACCACCCGCCGTCCAGCACCTTGACTCCCTCTTATTGTTACACCTAGCCGAAATGCGTGTCTTTATATCCACTATATGCACTTTCATCCTTGTGTTCCTCCTTCCGAGGCTCGTCTCTGCTCAAGACACGAACCTCACCGCGGTCAAACGGGCCTTTGAGGCAGCTGGGGTTGGTCCCAATTTCAACGTTTCTCTGGCCAGTGTTGATGAACTTACCGCCTTTTCTACTTTATTAGTTGGTCAAGGATGTCCCGCTTAATTTCAACCCCAGCGTCTTGCTTGGCGTAACCTATTTGTCCATCAAGACCGGGCTGAAGCCCTTGCATGCTGGTATCAAGATGTCGCCGACCGGTACGTACCGCCCGCACATAAATAAACTCTCTATTTAAAGGCTTTCGAACCATAAAAATATACAGAAACGTATCGAACCCCAATATTCAACGTTGTCGGGGACCCAGGTGCCGGCCCGTTCGTCATCGCCATGATTGACCCAGACGCATTCTCACGCGCAAGGCCTGTCATTTCGGAAGTGCGCCACTTCCTTAGCGGATCTTACTCCTTGGATCGAGTCTCCGGACTTCTCGAGCCGTCAGCATCATTTAGTGCTCTTACGTCATATCGCTATCCGAGGCCTTTTGTTAATTCTGGCCTTCATCGGTGAGCCTTTTATCCTTTCACTCGAAAAATGGAGAGCTAAGAATGGCTTTGTTTTGCGTGGCATAGCTATACGTTCTATTTATTCAGGCAGTCCATCGAGTTTGCCGAGCAGACCCTGATCAGCCCCACGTCATCCCCGCTCAACTTTAATTTGACCGACTTTGCGGCGAAGACGAACCTTGGAGCGCCAATTGGGGGCACGTTCATGTTCATGGGGCCCGACCCATATCCGAATGCCTGACTTCGTAGTAAGCCTTGAGCTGCACGAGACAGATCTGTATTTATGGGATAGTCATAAATTCTTGTTTTCATCTCGCTAGTGAAGACCATTGATTATTTATTATAAATTGTTATCAATTGGTTCGGTTCGGACACCTCCGCCCATGGGCCATAAAGTGAGACTGACTAAGATTTAAAAATGACTCTGCTTCGATTTCCTCGGCTCCTAATCTTGATTGCCTTGGCACTGATGGTCCGGCTTCTCTGACGCTCAAGGAATGCCCGATCTGGATATACTTGCCTCATAGGGCCTTGACTCGGATCAACCTTCTCGCTCGTTGAATGCATGCGACACCGCGGAAGGCATGCATCGCCAGACCTTTGAGGTGTTACACCCTTGCACTTATAGAAAGCTTGGACACAGCACCCCCGCACGTAGATAACACGGTGAAAGATACATCCGGTGGGAGTCCAGGTCCGTGATTTGGATCAGCGGACCTCATCATGGTGATGTTGCTGGTCGATTGGGAAGCGGGAAACGTCCGTGACGAGTCATCTAAGATTCAGGCCTCAGGTGGCGTCCTCTTCCCCGGGCCCACTGTACCCTCTTCCCTCTTCCCTGCTGATTGATCTTAGACTCATCTGCCGGTCTAGTGACACCGCACTAGCGCGAGCCACCTCCGAGTCCTAAGGGGCGTTTGTTTGACATCACTGGCGTATATCGAGGACTCTGGTCTGTCATTTATGTAGCCATTCAGAGTATCTGGTTAGAGGATATGTATATGCCCTTTAATTGTGCATCCTCGTCTCGTTCTACACCATGACAGGGGCTGTGAAGATCTTTTGTGGTTGGGTCATCGAAATGCATATTCTTGCCATTGCTATTCCGCTTTCTGCTCAAGACGCGAACCTTACTCAGGGCGAGCGGGCTTTCAAGGCCACTGGGGTGGGCCTGCAATTTCAATGTTTCTCTTGCTAATGTTTATGTGCAAGTAGAATGAGTGGTTCGAAGACAGCAAGGTTGCATTCGACGCCTCGACTTCATCGAAAATACGAGAATTAAAGAGATACCCTGTGCTCGCACTCATATGTCTTGTCTCATCGTGGATCTACACTGACTTGCGAGCATGGTATCGACGTGTACGGCGCTTTCTGGAGCGACGGGCATTCTCCTCGACTGGGATCGGAAAGGTTTCAGGAACCTCGAGCGCCTCTGAATCTGGACTGGCCTTGGTATAGGTATATGCAGATGCAGATGGCGGAGGGGTGTCCATAATCCGAGGAACGAATGCAGGAACATCGGGGTCGAACTTAAGAGGAAGATTTGAAGCAGGAATGACCTATAAATCCTTTCAGCGATCCCTGCAAAGCGCAGCCGATTGCACGTACCATTTCCTCGACCTCGACATCGGATGTAGTCGCTTCCAGAGCAGTTACGACGGGATTTCTTCGTCCTAGAAGACCGTGCAGAACCATTCCGCAGGGCGAACGAGACAACTCCGTAACCGACTTGCACGGCCAAGAATACGGCAAGGACGATGTCCATCCGAGACAGGTCAACCGATGATGGGGAAACAGGAACCATTCTCCTGGGATCGAGCGAGAGACGAAGTGTCGACGCCAAGGTATCTACAACGTTCAAGTTGGTTATGAACAGAAGCAAAGACCTAGAGGACGGTGAGAAGGAAGAGACATACAGCATCGACGAATCTCCTGCTTGAGCTGAGTAGCCAAATCTTCGGCGTAGTCCATGATGTCCAAGAGGGTGAAGTCCTCGAAGACCACAAACGTCAAGAAAAACCCGGCAATGAAGCTAAGGAATCTCAGTGCCATATTGCATCGCCAGCATCGCGTTTGACAATTTGGTGCCTTTATCGACAGCGGAGGGGATGGGGTGGGCTCTTCACACCACGAACTCGGAGGGACGCCATCGTCTCCTGCAGAAAGGATGTCAGCGAACACGAACGAGGGGTGACGTTGAGGTGTCCTCGCTTAGACTCACCAGGGCGGGTATCTGCGTGGTGGGTTTCGTGAAAGTCGTACATTGGGGTAAAGCCAGAAATTGGAGCAGTTTAGGGCACCAGCGAGATTGGGGTGGTATGAGGGAGAGAGCTCAGAGGGAGGGCGGGGTTGCTGGCCCTTATACGACTGCAGATTGGGAGTAGCTATATCAGCACTATCGCTGGCTGACAATTGCAACTGGCCGCTTAAACGCGGTGGGATCGTGAGCGAGGTCAGGCCGGATGTGATCGAGTCGTAGCTCTCCATGTGCGCTTCCAGCTGTAGTCGATCGGCCATCGATATCCTAAAAAAATAATGAATGCGACAGTTGACGTCGAGCGCTGCAGTTGACGGGATGGTTTGTCGAGAGGAGCATGTTGAGTGCTACATCATGCGAGACTGCATTTCAGATCCTCTTCATCATTGACCAAAAGACACTCACCTTTTGGATATGAACCTCAGTAGCATATTATCCCCTTCCCAATCCTCCTTCAGTCAGCCAGACATACCGTTACGACGATCGTTACAGCAGCAGAGGGCACCAATCAGATCATATAATGCTTGTGTTCTCCTCCACCTCGACCCTCCTAACTAGCCCATCCTCGCCGAAGAAACGAGAGCTATCTGCTACGTTGAAGAGCAATTTTTCGATTCGGTAATCGCCTGAACCCTGGCGCTGACGCCTTTTGGGTTTGGGAATGACCTTCAAAAAAACGACGCGGAATGTGAGCTCCAACCGATTGACTTGGGCAAATGCACTCACCATGACCAAGGTGATCACCAGGGCGTTGGTTGGTTGCAGTGGTCATGGTGCAGTTAAATGCGACTCGTCGTAGTGAAAACAGCCTGAGAAGTCGACAGGAGTCATCACTCGAAACATGAAGCATACAGAAGAGCACAGTGCAGAGCGTTGACCAACAACGACCAACCTTGGTGTAGATCTCGGTGGATCTTCTCTTCTTTAGCAATCGATATAGCTCGGTTTTAAGAAATGCATATACATATCAGGGGCGGCCGGAATGCAGGTTGGAGGTTGGAGAAAGGTTGAGACGTCGAAGGAAAAGAGAGGAAAAGAGGAAAATTTGGGACTCCGATGCTGAACTCATTCCCACAACTTGTAGGTCTCAGGAATCGAACCGATGACTTAGGGCATCGACTTTGTGGGATTTCACACGATAAAGCAGCTATCAGCGCGATTGAACCACTAGGCCAAAAGGTGTACACCTAGTTTTTCGCTCTTTGTCTTTTGTCACTCCCAATTCGACAACCGAGGATTCCATGACATATATTATAGCTAGCGTCATTTGGACCCCGATCCAACTGGTGTTGAGGGGGGTTATCGTCTCACAACGGGGAGGGGCTTGCTTCCTTCCCACGCCGTGACAGGGACAGCTGGTCGCGCTGATCGCCAGTCTGCCGACGTACTGCCGCTTTACGGACTTATCGTGACCTAGACTGTGCGTAGCCATCACCCACCTTTGGACTCAGTCGGCAGTCTCCGAAGATCGTACCGAAAGCAGTGCACAAAGTCCTGTAAGTTCGCGGCGAAGACGAATCATTGGCGGGACGTGCTCCAACAGTTGGAGCCAACGTTGATAGAAGTCTGTAGTTGAATGGAAGAAATCTGTACCTATTGGCTAGGAGACTAAGGGCAAGAGGTGATAATTATCGTAGAAATGTAGAGATAAAACGAAAGATTAATACAAGTCGAGTACAGTGAATGACTTGAAGGCGATGAGGCTACGTTCGACGGCCCAGCTTCATTCAAACAATTAAAATTACGATAGTTGAAGCACTAGGGAACAGCCCGGCTCGCATTTACCTCTCGTGTGGTTGCGTTAAGTCTATTTGCGATCTGTACATTGGTACCAGCGTGGACAGCGACTACAGCAGCGACGAACGCTCCTCTTGGCCGTGACCGGGGAGGTTTCAGGAGCGTCATCCACCTCCGAATCGAGGCTGTCATCAGCAGATGCAGACGCAGAAAGGGGGGGCATGTCCATGATCTGAGGAACGAACGGAGGAGCTTCGGGGTTGAGCTTCGGCGGGGAGGTCGGCACCTGAACAACCTACAGCATGGTCCTAATGAGCCAGCATACGACTGAACGGACGACAAGACGACATACCATCTCCGAAACCTCCTTTTCGGAATTGGACTCGACAAGACCCTCGATGACAAGCCTTTCATCGACGTCAACGACTTTTGCCTGGCCTTCCCCGCTTAGCTGCTCGGACGACGCCTCATCGCCACACGGGGTATTTTCACCGGAGATGTTGAGAGAGACGTCGACATCTGTCGGCTCCTGTATGGGAGCCTGAGCGTTGGGCGAAAGGTCGAAGGCATTGGCGATCGCGGGGTCAATAACATGTTTGAAGGAAGATTTAGATTCGAGGGCGGCTTCAAGAAGAATTTCGACGTCGGCAATGGACGAGGAGTGAGCAATCTCCGATTCATGGAATGAGCCAGTAACGTTGGAGACTCGGCTCTGAGAATCCTTACAAATAACTTCATCAATCCAGAAACGACAGTAAAGCTCGGAAAGGACCTACAATGACAAGTGCAGAGTTTTCAGATTTCCTGCATAGGGATGTCCAGGTCCTCGAGAAAACCAAGATGACGTTGTAGAAGCCCCACGCGTAGGAGACTACAACTAGCACAAGGATCGTCCAATGATGCAACACCTCCTTTTGCGACAGGCCAGCCGATGAAGGCAATAGCGGAATTGTTTTCGATGGTCCAAGTGAGATACGGAGAATCGAGGCCAGAGTATCCGACTCCTTCAAGGCGGGTCCCATACAGATGAGAGGAAGACGAGAACGAGGCAGCGCGAGGCACTGGGGAACTGCCCATCTGATCAGAGTCGTGACCTCCCCACTGTTGGTAAACATGTACAAGATGACCGCTCCGAGCACTGAGATGAAGTCGTCTGTCACTTTGGAGGGCCGCTTGAGTTTCTTCTGAGGCAGCTTCTTGGTAGGAGCAGAAGATTTAGATGCTTTCTTGGGTGATTCTACCGATAACGGAGGTGACATGGTGGGATCTTCAGACCATTGAGGCTCGTAGATGCAGTGATATCCTGAAGGAAGAATGTTAGCCACATAGATGGATGCGAGAAGTTCAACTCACCGACGCCGCTAGCTGTGTCCGCAACTTCATGAAGATTGTGCATTGAAGCGAGGGCAAAAAGTCGGAGAAGTGTTTGTTCAATGTAAGTGAGATTCAGGATCGCCCGAAGCAGACGACGGGGTACGAGGAAGCCTGTTTTCCAGTTCTTTATAAGATTGAAGATCGACGATCATTGTGGTAGCATTGGCTGACGGTCGCGTCGACGCAGTGGGGGTCATGTTTTTTGGGAAGGCAAGGGCAACTTCAAGTTGGTCAGCCTCCAGTCCCAACCAATCCCTGTATCCAAGAACTTGAGAGCAGACAAGTCATGGTATTCCTGTTAGTATTAGTAACGGACGTACTTCGAGAGAAGCAGCATCGTCCAGTATCGTCCTCGTTCGCTGTTGACGTTGAGTACGCAGCGTTGAGTAGAGCGGTGGTGTGACCAGAGGACCAGGCGACACTTGTCACAGTCACCGCGCCGCTTCCACTATGACTCCGGCCATGTAGTGCAGTCCTTCAAATCCTTCAACTTGCCTTCTGACATCGCGATTTCAGAAAATTTCCGTCTTCATTTACATTTACGACTTGTGTTATATCTGGGGGCGCAAACTAGATTCAGAGTATAGTCCGATCCTCTGCCTTGTCGGGGGTGCATCGGTAAATTCTAGCTTAAAGCAAAACTTTAGCGACCTACGGCTGCTTCCAGACTCAAGAACTCCAGACGTGCACGTAATCTGTTCATCGAGAACGTCCTATATAATGTTCCCGTCCCCCCCCCACACTCGTTCTCTTAGCCCCCCCGAGGCGCTGTTTCACTTCCTCTACTAGACTGGGATGCGTTCTCTCACCCTCTTTGTCGCTACCCTGGTCTCAGTCTTCACCAGCGTTGCGTATGCGCACTGGCAGGACACGAACATCACGGAGGTCAAACTGGCATTTGAAGAGGCCCACGTGGGTCGTCCGTTTAACCTACATGTCTATCCGTTGAATCTATCTATGTGAAATACTCTAGATACCTGAAGATGTCGGGTTATCATTCAACCCACTAGTCCTCCTCGGCGTGACATACTTCTCCTCCAAAACGGGGCTAATCCCTGTCAAAGCCGGCGCCGAGCTCTCCATGAACGGTGCGTGTCTCCCCTTCCCTCCCTACATGTTCCCCTCCCTCTTTTCACCGTCTTCTTAAATCTCATTTACAGACACCTACTCTCCCCCCACATTCAACATTGTCGGCAACCCAGGCGTCGGCCCGCTCGTCATCTTCCTGATCGACCCGGATGCACCATGGCCGCAAGACCCCTCTCGCGCCCAGGCCCGTCACTTTATGGGCGGCTCGTACTACTGGGACCCCGAGTCGGGCGTCCTGACAGAGATCTTCCCGCCGCTTAACCTGTATGACCACCCGCGGCCGGCGAAAGGATCTGCTCGTCATCGGTGAGTGAGAGGATGGAGAGCTGATGAGTCTTTCGCTGACGAAGTTAACGTTCGTGTTGCGTGGCCAGATACGTTTTCTATGCGTTCAAACAGTCTGTTGAGCTGTCTCTTCAAAAGACTATCACCGCGACAAGCTCTCGACTCAACTTCAACCTGAGCGACTTTGCACGCGAGACCAACCTCGGAGACCCGATCGGAGGGACCTTCATGTGGATAAGCCCCGACCCATAGGACAGATGAGCGGGTTGTCAGTTTTTCCCCTTCCGACGGTCCCTTGTCCGAGCGAAGAAGGCACTGTACGTTTGCTTTGGAGTACTAGACGCCGAGCCGCAGAATCCAGTGTTTGTAATCGATCCTTATAAACTGATTCACCACTCCAGAATCCATTCATTCTATCAAGTTCGTAACAGAAATGTTCGCCTTTCTCTTCCGACAGCTGATGAGGTACCCATGAATGGATTCGTCTGCGGGATTCATGTTGCTGCGTATTGACTGGAACCTACGCGACGCGCCACCGGCCCACGATCGCCCAGGTGCACTACTTTTTTGGGGGAGGGTACGGGATGTTCATGCAGTACGTACAAATACAGTACAGGCTATCTTCGATGGGACTATTCCAACCTGAAGCTCCCTCTTCCACGGGGTCCTGGAATGCCAGCAGGCAGACTACACACCTTCCCTCTATATTCCCTGTGCACTGTCCAGGTCCTTGTCATTCCGTTGCCTTCCATCTTCACTACGAACCTCTGGAACCCTGAGGCAGTACGGTTACAAGAAAACAATGGGAACAATCTTAACGTAGGACAATATTGAAGCAACGCTCGGAAGTGTGCGTCATAATTTTGCCCCGACACAACTTCATCATCTGATAGAAAAACAGAGGTCCTTCTATGGAATGCAGGCATGTGAACCCGCTGAGGACGTGCCACATTTCCCGATGCTACAACAGCAGCTTGAGACTTATCTGTGGACCGGGCAGAGTGACAGCACGTACCAATGTAGCCTTTGAGTCCACTGTCAGCACTTCTAGGTTGGGCGCTACCTCAGCGAGCCGCTGTATCAAGCCATGAAAAGTTGGTGTGTCTTCAATAAGCCTTGATGCAGTAGAGATCCCAAGCCTTTTGAGCAGTGGCCCACCACCACTTTGGTGCAGATGGTCAAGGAAATCATGGCTGATAGTAACAGACTGGATCTCTTCTAGTGGTCGAGGAGTATATACTTTCGCATGCAGAATAGCGCCAACAACATGCTCCCCACACTCGTAAGCACAAATTCGACGAAGATTCGGAAGAACAAGGGATTGGGAGGGAAATGACGGCGCTAAACAGCTATAGTGAGACTGCTGTGAGAGCGTCAACCTTTCCAGAGTAGGATGAAGAGCGAGAAAGAGACCGAGTTGTTCAGGAGCGTATACCCATTCCCACAGCTTGAGCTCTGTCAGATGGCTCCAGGATCTTGAAAGAACAGATTCTTTGAGGGCCGATATGTGTGGCCTGTAAGGGCTTCCCCTGCCTATAATTGAAAGACTCAGTGTCTACAACAAGGAAAGTATCAATACTAGTTGTATGGCACAAATGCCGTGGATGCTTGTTAGCTTACCTCTAAGTCTGGCCCACACCCGTGAACGAGCATTGTTGTCAGTCGTTCCAAGTCAGGTCCAGGGTTACGAGAAGTTTCATGGCTGTACGCTCCCGTGTGCAATGAAAATGTTTTGAGGCATCCCAGTGAGAAAAACTGGGTTTTACCGGTGTCAGGGAGTGGGTTGAATTGAATGGACATTTACTCACCTTCGGATTGAAAGTTGGCCTGTGACACGCTGAATCATCTATCTCTTGTTGCATCGTGGCAATAGTGTATGGCTCTTCGAAGTTGGTCCAGAAGTTAACATCGATTACATGTAGGTGCAAAATCCTGTCAAGCCTCGCAATGACTTCCCATACGCTGCTCTCTTTCGTGGGATCGATGAGGGTAGGAGTGTGCGACCAGTGGAACGAGGTTAAATTAACCATGGCTTCGAGAGCCTCAACAAAGATTCTCTCTGCGGAAAGATTGGCTGCAATCTTCGCGGCTCTACGGTCTTCGGGAGAACCACTTCTGTCCATTCCCTTCTCAACGATGGCCTCTGCATCTCGATAGGCGACAGGGACGATCGGGTCGTCGACGCGGTTGTGAAATTTCTTGAATCGTGTGGATTGAACCTCGACGACGCGCACGTTCTGTGCGAGGGCATGGTTCTCCGTGAGTTTCTTCCATACTGGAGACAACATAGGTGCCCTTATCTCGCGATATTGGGTGTGGTTGGGCGAGACGATCGAATGAAGCAGCTTGCACGTTGCGCCGAGGTTTCCGAGTTCGGCTGGAGAGTCGATCGCCGAAGCGATGTGGTCGAGATTCTCGGGCGGTAAATCAAGAAGAATCATGGCGGCTGTTAAGGACTATGGCTGAACGCTGCAATCAGTGCGATAACCAATCGATTAGGTATGGTCGCCGTGAGAAAGTCAGTACGACCTGCCCTCAATCAACCTGAATTTGAGCAATGAGCGCTTAATTACTGATCACTGGCGATTCCCAAGCCGTCATGTAACTCTTCTCTCCCCACACGTCTCCTGGAAGAGATATTGGCTCTGTCGCTCGCTATCTGCATCAGACCACGCTGATGGTGCTCATCGATCCCTTCGACATCTGTCTGTGACCGGCGCTTATCGCTATCTTATCTCGAAACTACGTCCTAACAATCATTTTTGTTCGAGCCCTCGTTGAACTCGAGCTTTCGTGGTCTTCAGTCGACCACCCCTCCCTGATCTAACCTTTTCACCCTGTTAGCAAAGGCGATGTCATCTTGTAGGTACTAGGTAGTATCTCCCATGGCACCATGGCGAATCGAGTCGCTAAGCATGGATGCTGGATATTTTTAGTCCCAATCGCAAGCAGTTCCTTTCGTGGCAGGACAAGCTGTCATGAAAGAAAGACTTGCTTGATTATTATTCGCAAGCATTCGTCGATGGTCGGTTTGAATCTAATCTTGGGTTGGTGACAACATTTATGGTGAGCATGCCCCTGCCACTCGTATATACTATCGCACGGTTGGGCGGAACGAGATGGAATGGTACTTTTTTCCAGTTTTTTTCTTCCGTCTAGCTTCTTGTATGTAGAGGCGTCGGTCACTGCCGGAGCTTTGCTACGACATCAGCGAAAAGCTTCTGCCCATAAATACATATCATTCAATGCCACACGACGACAGTCACCCTGCAACGGAAAGTGGTCTAGTTCACAAATCTCCTGAATGCCTCATAGTAAGACAGGATAACCCGCCTATTGTCCAGCGGCTTCATACCTTCACTCGAACGGCGCAGAGGTCTTGGGACGCAAGGAAGGTGTGCATAGACAGCAGTCTGTTTATCGGAATACGCGCCGCCGCCAACAGCGATCACGAGTTCCGCCGAAATATTGATTTTGTAGAAGACAGGCGAAGTGCCCGTCATAGTGATGCCGGCGATGTCCTTCGATGGCAGGGGAGGTAGGCCTAAGGTGTACACACGGGTCCGATTGGTTGTGGCGAACGCAGCGATGGCACCTGCGATGAGTTGTGCTTTGGGATCTTCTGGAGCCATGTATTGCCTGTCTTCCTGGACGAGGAGTAGGATTTCTTCTTCGTCAATGAGGCACACGTCGGCTTTAGAATGCCTATTTTCGCCACAAACGAGAAGGATTAAGTCTTTCCTGGTCCTCAAAGTCCTTCCTCTCGGTTCATAGCCAAGTGCACGCAACAGGAGCACTGCGAAATCGTCAACAGCAGATTCTTCCGCTGGCACTGGGGTCGTAGCGAGATCCAAATTCCTCAGGAGCCTGTAGGTGTCGTCATCAGGGGCATTGCGGTATTCCAAAGTGGTGAGTACATTTGGATTTACAGCTGGCTGGGGTAGATCCGGCGTCTCGAAGAAGGTGGCAGCGTCTTGAAAGACTACTGTGATGTTGTATGCAGCAAGTTCGTTGGACGTCCAGTCGCTGCGGATGAGTTAAGCCATGGGGTCGTGTTTCGAGAAACGGAGGAAGACCAGTGACTAGAGCACGACCAAACTGTAGGCAACTTTATTGAGATTGCAAATGGACACAAGATCAGGAGGAAATATCTCTCGTACACTGTGTTATGGTAGCAGCTCTGGGATGGTTGCCGTCGTCGATGGCACAAGACGAGGTGGGCGGTCGCGATGTGGTCATGTAGAGGCGTCGGTCGTTGCCGAAGCTTTTCTATGACGTCATCCAAATGCTTCTGCTCATAAATACATGTCATTCAATGCCGGCAGAGTCTCTTTACCCCACATTTCGTCCCCACACGGGCATTCAAGAGCTCGTGAACAGCGAATATGCCAACTACACGACGACAGTCTGCCATCGCTGAGGGGAAGATCCATCCTAAGGAAGAGGAGCCGCGAAGGAAACGCGCACCATCGTCCGGCAAGAAAGGAAAACCGCCTAGTAAGAAGGAAGTAAAGCATGAGGACGTAGAGATGAAGGACGCGGAAACGGAGCAGGCGGGCGCGGGCGAGAAACACGACGTAGAGGAAGCAGAGGCGAAGGAACCGCCCACAAAGAGGGCAAAAAAGGAGGGTGAAGCGAACGTATACAAAGTCGGTGAGTGATTGTAACCTCTCCAGCTCGCATACTTACATAGTCGCCTATAGGTACTATTGAGCGAGGCCACATCTACTTCTTCTACCGCCCCAAAGTCCAACTCGAGGAGGCACACTCCATCGACGACGTGCGGAACTTCCACATTCTCCTCGTTCCTCGCCCGCCCGAGTTCGCAACCTCGCAGGATGCCGCTCAAGAAGGCATAGCTAAGCCGGAACCCGAGGTAGATGAGAGCGAAATGAAGGTTCTTCAGGAAGGCGCCGACGCGGTCCCGGCCCCTCCAGAGCCTCATACGAAGAAGCAACATTACCGCCTGATCACGATTGGGAAGAAGAAGCTTCCAGATCCTGAGCATCATGGGAGTGAAGGAAGTAGGAGAAAGGATATATTCTGGGCGACGGTCACTGCCGTTGGGGATGATTTGCACCAGCTTGAACAGGGCCTCGAGGCGCGATCATATGAAACGAAGACGCGAGGTGAGCGCACTTATTCTCTGAACTATAATGGTTCATATACATAAATATGACCAGGAACAAGACACGAAGAGTCCGCTCGGCTCGTCGCTCGCGGCGGGTACGCCATCGTTAACGCAGAAGCCAGGGTTCCCTCCAAGCGCGAGACTCACCTCGGATACCACGTCTCCCACCCAACGCCCTCCGAGTTCGGCGACGTCCAAAAGTCACTCGGGATATATTCCGCGTCCTCGTTCATCCTGCAAGTAAAGAACCCGCTTGCCCCTGCCACGACTCCGCAGCAGGCACACACGAAAGGCGCTGAGTACCCGGAATGGATTATGCACGGGGTCTTCGGTACTGCGTACGGGGACGGGGAGGGCCAGACGAGAGGGAGGGAGGCGTATGGTCTAAGGTTTGCGAGTTGTGAGACGCCGGAGTTGTTGGATCATAAAGGAGCGGAGCTGTTGCTTATTGCTGCGCGGGAGGGAGAAGAGGGTCTGGAGACGAGTCTCGGTGAAGGACGAGGTAAAGGTGTGTATCATTTCGTTTCCCTACAGCATGTCTTATCATTTCTCTTTGATGACTTTTCAGCATTGAGCGAAAAGGAAGAAGAGGAGGCCAAAGAAGACGTCAAGAAAGTCTTCGAAGAGCTTGGGCTGGATCTTGAAAAGTTCCCTATTGAGTCACTTGAAGGAAGTTGGATCTGAGGACATTTACAAGATTTTTTCTTGGTCTTTTAAATAATTGCATGTAATGTATTTTTGGTTTGTCAACATGCAGTAAAGCAAGTCCTTGTCATTGAGCGCTCGTCGGCTTTCCGGACCGGAAGTTCCAAGCGCCAAGCATCCCAGGCTGTCAGAGGGGTCCGAATCGTTCCTCCAAGGTGAATATTTAACAGCACGTACTTTTCTGAGATAACATAACTAATCAAGATTTGACTCAGGTCATAATGGGAAGCAACCCGGCGACCCTGTCAAAGGCGCTCAACTCGTCGTAGACCTTATCAAGGGCGAGAGTGTGGCATCAGGCCGGAAGCTTCCTTTGTCCCTTGCTGTTGGTTCAGACAGCTACCAAAAGTGCACGATTTTGGTAAATGCAGCCAGAGACCGCTTAGAGGAGTGGAAGGAGTGTCATCCTTCACCGATTTCCAATAGGTGTTCACTGGGCATTGCACGAAAGCTCTACATTGCAAATATATTCTAAGGGTGGCGAGGTGCGAATCTAGATACTTCAAATAATTCTAAACTGCAGAGTCCGAGCTCCTAAGTGCCTCCATCACTCACAAAAACAGGCCTGCGTTCTTCCAATATTTGACCCACAATTCAGCATCTGCCCGGCCAAGCGGTGACACCTCTCTCATTGCGCGGCTGACTTCCTGGGCCTTCATAGTCGAGAGAGGGGTCAACCCGCAGCTCTCGACATTAGGGTCACCTTCTTGTCGAAGGCTCGCGTCGGCCTGCGCCACACTCCGGAAGAATTCGAGGAGTTTGATGGCGGGCTGTCGCAAAGAGGGATAGTCAGCAACCAAAAATAAACTGACGTAGCTATCTATACGTACGATGTCATAAATGATTTCTTTTGCATCGGCCTGATGTGCCTTTGCCTCCAAGAGGCAGAACCATGTTTTCATGTCGACGACGGGCAGCTTTTCGGGGATGACGCCCTCATCGACTAAAACGTCGTTAACAGCGCCGACGATATCATTCCATGTGACGGGTTTTGGATGCACGACGTTCAGTGCAGCGGACTGGGTATCGGAGGACGCTGCGTCGAGGATTGTTTGCGAAACCGCGTCCGTAGGTAACCAAGACGCGAACTGGAAACATGAATTCGGTATGAGCAACTCGTCACAAGTGACATGACTAACTTACGCCAATGGCTGAAGGGAGAGAACCGAGATGAATACTGGACTTGACCAAGATAGGTACCCAGTCACTGGTTGCCCAGGCTCCATTCCACCCTCCCCCAGAAATTTGACCAATTCTGAAAGACGTTGTCTGCAAACCACTGTTTGCGAGGACCTGGAAAGTAAAAAGTAAGGCAACACTACAATCTCCATAGGTGAATAGAACTTACCCGCTCGCAAACGTATTTAGCCTCTCCGTAACCATGACCGACAGCGTATCGTGCGTCCAGCATGATTTCTTCAGGGTACGGGCCTCGCGTGGTATCCCAAGAAGACGCGGAAGAGACGGATGATGTGAAAAGGAACTTCAGTGACGACGCATGGGGGCCTGACCGTGCAAGGTCAATGAGGTTGCGGGTTCCCTGGACATAGGGTTCGAACGACTGCAGTGAGAGGTTGAAGTCGAGCTTCCACGCGTTGTGTATGATGACGTTGACGGAATCGCGTAGCTAATTGCAAATATGTATCAAGACCGCGAGACTGACATCGGAAGACAAGAACGTACCTCTTCATACATCTCTTGTGGTACTCCTAACTGCGTCTCAGAGACCTCAGCTTCCAAGAAGACGAGCTTCTCGGAGTCGAGCAATCCAACGTCGAAACCTTTGTCCATGAATCGCTTGACATGCCTCTCCTTGGATGTTTGGCTCTTCGACGGCCTCGTAACGCTGTACACCCTCTTCACCTTCTCGTCTCGTAGCAAACTCTTCAGCAGTTGCGAGCCTAAGTTCCCCGCAGACCCTGTGAGGAGAACCACGGCCTCCTGAATCGGCTCGGCCGTAGTAGGCTGCCCCACGGGCGTGATCTGCGTAAACCCTTCCGAGTACTTCGCAATCATGCGCTCCATGGCCTCGGACCTGCTCGTTGAGGCGATGGCCTTCTGACTGTTCTGGCTGAGACTCTCGGACTCGGACTCGAGATCCGCTGCCAGGGCATCCAAAAGCGCAGCAAGCTTGGCAATGGAAGCGTTATCATAGACCGTCGTTTGCGAGACGCGCTGAGCCGCCGTTTGAAGAGCCCTGTTGGACTGCATTGCGCCGATGATGCGCCGTCGAAGGATGGTAGCACCTAGGCTATCCATACCTTGGTCGAAGAGATCACCAGAGGCGGAGAACTTGCGCCCAGGGAGAATTTCCTCGACTTGGGCGGTAAGCCATCCTTCGGTGTCAGATTTCGTCCACGAAGCTGGAGGAACGACGCTTTCCACCTTCGCAGTGGCTTCGACCTTAGCGTAACTAGTATGGTACCTTCTTAGGGACATCTGGTTCCAAAGAAGGAAGACTCCTTACATCTCCTCGATCTCGACCTCGTACACCTTCAGCGCTGCCTTGCGCAGGACTGTACCCTTCCCCGCACGCGGTAGTGGCTTGTCAGAAGACGTGAACAGGATCATCTCCTTGAATATCCGACTGAACGCCGGCGCAACCTTGTTCGCTTCCTCGACGATCGGCCAAAGCATATCCCGTGCTTGGATCACTTCCGCGTCATTCTCAACATCGATTGCATAGATTCCTTTCAGCTCGACGAGAAGACCAGGTTGATCGTGGTCGCGGCCGAACATGACGACGCCCATGAGACTAAAGATGCCGAATATCAGTATGTTTCACAGATCGAGTAGCTTCGACGAGAAGACATACTAGGGGCTACTCATAAGGATGTCTTCCATTGGGGCAGGTACGGTTTTCTCCCCAGAGGTGTGGACGATAACGTCATCTTGCCTTCCAACACTAAGAAGCACATTAACCAAGGGGATGGCTCAAGTGAAAGGGGCGTACATCTTCCAGAAGCCAGGTCTTGTAGGATGAGGCGTCCAGAGATCGGAGCTGGAATATCCCCTAACGTCTGGGAGATTTTCGACAGAGATCTCATGATTGTCACAAGTCTGAGAGAAGAATTATCAGTCACATAGTAAAGGCCAAAACCACTGCGCTCGTGCACCCACCAAGAACTGACTCTCAAACGTCCCGTCTCCTTGAGGAACCCAACGGATATTGATGTCCTCAGAAAATTTGATGTACTCCCACCCAGATTCATAGCCTTTCGGACAGAAGAGGTGGATAGGAGCGCCAAACTCAGTCGCACCATAAATAGGTGTGATGTGCACTCCCGATTCGGTCATGAAGTTGCCTAGTTTGGAGGGTAGTGCCCCACCACCGTATTCCTGACAACGATGAAACGTTGGTTGTTAACACGGTAGAATTGGGCTGATTCGGTGCGAGGAACACGTACAACGAATTCCAAGCTCGCTAGAAAGTCGACCGCTTTCTTCTCGTTGGCCCAAAAATGGAGGAAGGTAGGGACGGTGACGAGGGCATTGCATTTCGTTCGTGCGGCGTGTTCAAGAATGTTGTGGGGGGAAGGATGAACGGGTTGCGACTTCGGCGTTGTAGCCGTAGGGGGGAAGAGACCAATCGGCGTCATTCCGTACAAGGAGCAAAGCAAGTGCGTGATGATACACATGGCATGGAAAGGGGGCAGCGCCATTCCCGCCTGCCGAAGTTGGACCTTGTAGTCGCGGACATCAGATATCAGGGCTGGAGGTCCTTCGTCAGTTTAGTCGTCGGGGAAGAAATTGCTACGTACGGAAAGATGCCCAGTGAACTATAGCTCTGAACGTTTGTGCGATAGTCTTCGGGAGTCCGGTGCTTCCTGATGAGTGTAGGTACATCGCGATTTCCTTGAGAGAGGGGCGTTGTGCAGTTGGGTATGGTGTAAAGGGGTCCTCTTCTTTCTCCTGACCGAGTTTTGGGAATATGTCGAAAAGAGGAGGAACCTCCTCGATGGAAAGAGCGTATAAAGGATCAGCGGCCAGCTCCTTCTCAAGGTCTTCCATGAGAGGGCGCAAGGTCGCCCGAGTCGCAACCAGCCGATGGCATGAAGTCTCTTTCACCAACTTGATGGTTGCTACCGCTGTGTTACGCGGCGACATAGGGTACGGCTTATTGAGCAGATAGGTAAGTAACAGTTACTTGGACAGGGCAGTTCGACGCTGGACACTCACAATCATGCCCGCCCTCATGATTCCGATTGTAACAGCGTGATATAGCAGAGTATCGGAGAGGGCAACGAGACCAACGACTTGACCCTCTGGACCCTTTCGTCCTGGCCTCAGATAATGCGCGACACGGTCGGTAGCTCGGGCAAACTCGAGGTAAGAGACTTCGGTAATGTCGGGACGACCATCGGCCTGGAAAACGAACATAGGCCTAGTGGGGTGTTGTTTTCTGTGATAGTCGACGGCCTCAGGCAAGGTCACCGAACCATCTTGGGGTGGGGAAAGACGAGTGCTAGACATCGTTATGCTGCTTTCTGGTGAGCTAAGAGCTGAGAGGATAGCAGACCGTCATGGCATATATAATTTTGAGTTCCCGGATGATGTAGATGTCCATCCACGCGGTTTCAAGATTTCTTGAGGCTCCGCCTCGTTCTATCTGCGGGAAGCCCCGCTTTGACTAAGATAGCATCAACAACCACCTCCGAAAATGTTCTTCTCGGTCTTCTTCTCCAAAAAGACAGGCCCGTGTAGGCCCATACGAGCCCATGTGTCGGGCTGTACGATGATCTCGGAATAGGGGCACGTCGTCACCGTAAATCAAGTTGCTCTATGAAGCCTTCTTCTTTTGAGGAAGATCAAATATCTTCGAACAGCTGGTCTCCAGAGCCGAGTATGATCACAGAGCAGCGCGACTAATCATCCAGAAACGTGTCAAGCTACGCTCATTCAAAAGGCATAAGCTTCGAAAACAGAGCTTAGGCGAGAAATAGGAGAGACCGGAGAGAGTGGTGGTTGGGATCAGAGTTGTTTGCCGGGTGTCTATCTTGAGAAATTGGGTCAACCTTTATTGTATCATTTGCGCGACGAATTGAAACATACATTTGCTCGTCTTGGGCCCAGAAGTGGTACCAGCGCCTTCTTAAGCGGTGAGTGTAAAAGCAAGGAAAATACTTATATGTAACAATTGTTCTGGGGCCATTTCGATTCACCAGACCTCCAAGAGCATACTGTGACACCAAGGAGACATCGTCGAAAGACAGTAGTGTAAGCCACGGCTCAGATGCCATTAGTGATAGGAAAGCAAGCTACGAGCAAGGAAAGCGAGATGCGACACATAAAAATACAGGAACGAAGAGCAAGGAGCATACAGCCACATACAAGCAATTAGGACCAACACAAAAAGAAGTCATCACTTCTTCTTTGACTTTTTACTGCTGCTCGCTTCCTTCTCGTCTCCCTACAAGATTTCTTTGTCGGAAAGAGAAACGACGAGAGCTAGGCACTTACCTTCCTCTTCGTGCCCTTTCCTCCTTTCGCTCCTGCGGCCTTGCCCTTAGACGGAGCTGGGGCCTTTTCCTTGGGCTTCACAGTGAAGAAACCGTCTAGACGACCTTGCTGCTTCATATTGAGGAACTTCTGCAGTTTCTCAGCCCCTTTCCGAACACGTTCCTCACTAGCGATGAAGGAAGGCCAGGTGTGAATAAACAAGGAAGTATTCTCAGTCAGCGACTTACTTGAAGCCCTTCTCGGTTACGAGGAATTGAACGAGGCCATCAACGTCAGGGTTTTGCCATTCAAGCTACATATTCCGAAAGTAAGTATCTTCCTCATAACAGAACGCGAAACATCTCACCTCCACTTCGTCTGCAGGCAGCACGTCGGGCTTTTCGAAGATCTTCTTCGCATCCTCCCAAGGCCACTCTTCTGGAACCTGAATGCCGCCTTTCCCTTTTCGTTTCGCCTTAGCCTTCTGCGCAGCTTTCTCCTTTTCTTTCTTCTCAGCCTCCGCCTGCTTCTCTTCGGGACTGCGCTCGTCTGCGTCGCTATCCATCTCGACATCAGATGTGGGGGCGTGTTCTTCGTGTTCTGATACCTCTTCTTCCTCGGAGTCTGCGGCCTTCTTGCTTGCTGACCTGATATAGGAGGTGAATGCAGCGTAACAGACACCAGAAAAAGCCCTCACTTGGCACGAAGGTGCTTCAAAACCGCCTTGAGACTGCCGTGCTCTTTGATTAGCTTGAGGGCCGATTTTGGGCCAACACCCTTGATTGGTTCCAAATAGTCGCATCCCAGGAGAATACAGAGCTCCACGAACTGTGTTTCTTTAGTACAAACAAAGAAAGGATCTCAAATCTGAACTTGCTTGGCTCATATTCATATCTAAGCCGTCGAGGGCAACTTGGAGGTTGATTTCGCTAATGGGCTGCTTCTTCGCTTCTGAGAATGTCAAATGGCGGAATAGGATGGGTGCTTTGAAGGTAAGAGTGTCCATGTCTTCCGAGCCCGCCGCATACACCTGGAGTGGCTTCAGTGCAGGACATCATAAAACTGCCTCAACCGACCTTGCCGCCACGAGCGAGTTCGGCGCATTGGGCTTCCGCTTCTGAAGGAGCCTAGGATGCAGTTGGTGTTACTTCGTAGTCTTGAGTCCAAAAAGGCGCCACGTACGATGACAACAGGGATGCCCATGAGCTTGAGCAGACGTCGGCACTCCTCGTTATGTTCTCGCGTCACTTTCACTGTCCGTCGTGAAAACCGGTCCATATCCTCAGCCGTCCCTGTTTCCTTCGCCTCTTCACCCTCCGCTTTGGCCTCCTCGCGCTTTTCGAAACGTTTCGACAACTGGACGCGTCAAATAATCAGAACCATAGTAGATGCCAAAAGCAACGTATTCACTCACCACTCCCTTCTTCATCTCTGGCGGCTTTCCGTCAAATACGTAGGCTGGCTTGATACCATTCTCCACAATGCGGATTGTCCGATAGAAGAAGCCCATGAGGTGACTGGTCGTTTCCCCAGCGTCGTTCGTCAGCATTTCCCCGTCCCTTTGCCGGACAGCAATGAGGAACTGGTAGATGGACATTGAGGCGTCAATGGCCACTTTCCGACCAAACAATGTCTTTATATCGTGCTCTTTGATAGCATTCGGCGCATGTTGCGACAGGAGAGCGGTGAGACCTTTGATACCCATGGCTGTGATGAAAGTGCCGGTGTAGGTGTGGAGAACGAGTGTGACATGACTGAACGCGTTTACCGTGATGTCACGCGATTTCCGTCACGCAGAAAACCCTGGTGATCCAACTTCCTCCAGAGATCGTCGCTCGCATATTCGCGTTCTGCATACCCAAGGGCCGTCCAATGCCTGCTACCCACACTTTCTTCGTCAATCCGCCTCCATGAATTTCGCCTCCCTCTCTTTCATTTGGTGCCGTTTATCGCATGGACCACCTCTGAACTTCGGAGTAGAATCCGCTTCGTATTCCAATTTCCGAGGGAGTATCGCTACCTGGCAAATCGAATGACAGAATCTCGGCTTTCCCGCAGTGGGGATCTACCTCTGTCCGTGTGCATCCTCTCGCGACACAACCTCTCGGATCAGCTCCATCCGTTCTACCCCATAGATCTTCTCAACCAGCACACTCACCGGTAGAGGGATCTCGAATTACCACCACAACTACTGTCCCATTTAAGGATAGGGATCAAGGTCATTCCTTTTCTAACCAGTCTCAGCATCAATGACCTGTCCTGGTTCCACATCGAAAGTCGGGAAGGTTTCCTCGATATCGGGAACATAACCCCCTCCCTCGTCTCGGTAGAATTTAATGGATTTCACTCATATCAACTAAAATCGGCTGGAGCAGCGTCGCTTATGTCAGATTAGGCTCCATGTTTGTCGATGAATGTCTGCAATTAATCCAGCAAGCCCAATGTATGACTACATACGTGCGCCATCTCTTCGGTCGAAGAAGGTGCCGCATCCCTTCCGATTCCTCACGAAATCGTCGTTCATCGTCACCTCAAGACGTTAGACATAGGACTGGCAAACAGAAGTGTCTCCAACGGCTTCTTTTCGAAATATCACTTCCCTCGCTGCGATCTCCCATTTAGGACCAGGGTGATGTAGCGGGATCACTGCTCCCTTGACCCATCTTAACAGAGCGGAAGAGTCGTCTAGCGGGTACGAGTTCTCCTACTTCTCCACGCAGTACCAACCCTCAGTGAGCGCGTTTTTTCGACCTCATGCCTTGGTATGAACCCGATTTTTTACCTCAACCACAGCACCTGGTCCTGTAGGGTGACGTATTACGCAGCACCTAGCGTCGTATACTGGCCATTTTCGATGGAGTGCACAACCAGTCCCAGAGAAGACCTCTCGAGAAAATCGAGGTCTCTACTCTGTCCTGGAGGAATGTAGGAATGGTTGACGAGGTATCACTCCTCCACATGCTCGAGGTGATCAACGGAGGTGATCAACGGAGGAATATTGATCTACTTGGTTCAATCCGCTCCAGAGCACTATGGAATACCGGCAGGCAGCCGTGATCCTAATGAAGGGAGCGGAGAACAGAATCCCTGCGACGATTAGGAATGGTAGCATTACGTTGGAAAGCTTGCTTTTCTTCGTAACTGAGTCTGGATGAATGATTAATTAATGTAGCCATGCACTTGACCTATTCTTACTCGAGATCCCGTTGATAGCTCCATTACCTCCAGACTCCGCGCATTACATCTTTGGGGCAAAAAAATCATGGAGAACGTTCTCATTCATATTCCTCAGAATAAATTCCTTCGGCACTTTCAAAATCACTCACAGGACTCGAACGACCACGATCCATTCCTAGTCCTACCAACATTGACGACAGCGCATTCGTGCTAGATACGATGACGTGCATGTATATGTAATAAGTGGCAACTAAATGAACGGTAATGACCACCACCAGTCTCTGGGGATATCATCTCATCTTCAAACGAATGTAAGGTATGCACCTTACGACGCGTATGGTCAAGTACATGTGCGGCCTTAGTCGCACACACACCCGTAGCGCTCACTATGCTCTTTGAGAAAGTGACACGCGGGATGGCGTCTACCATCCTTCATCATCCGATAACGCAAATGCGACAACGAGACGAAGAAGTGCTGAGGGCACGTTAAGCACTCTCCTTCCATGACAGCTTTTGCGGCCACGAAATGAACTGCCTGCGATTAGGACTTAAAATATCTGAAACACACCGTCAGCGATCGGCCATGGCGCCATGGGAGATCCTACCCACAAGATGACATCCCCTTTTCCAATAGGGTGAACGGTTGGATTAGGGAGCGGTGGTTGACTGAACATCACGAAAGCTCGAGCTTAACATGGGGCTTGAACAAGAATATTTTTTTAGAACGTACTTGGTTAGGTAGTACCGAGGGGGACCTGGTTTCGAGATCGGATATCGATAAGCGCCCGTCACAGACAGATGCTGAAAGGATCGATGAGCACCATCAGCGTCGTCGGAGGCAGATAGCGAGCGAGAGAGCTAACCTTAGTGAATATGCGACCCCTCGTCTCTTCCAGGAGACGTGTGGGGAGAGAAGAGTTACATGATGGGTTGGGAATCGCTGCTCAAGTTTATGAATACGAGCTTGAGGGCAGGTCGTACTTACTTTCTCACGGCGACTACGACTCCCCCGCACTAATTGCAACGCTCAGCCACAGCCGCCATGATTCTTCTTGATTTACCGCCCGAGAATCTCGACCACATCGCTTCGGCGATCGACTCTCCAGCCGAACTCGGAAACCTCGGCGCAACATGCAAGCTGCTTCATTCGATCGTCTCACCCAACCACACCCAATATCGTGAAATAAGGGGACCTCTATTGTCTCCAGTATGGCAGAAACTCGCGGAGAACCACGCCCTCGCACAGAACGTGCGCGTCGTTGAGGTTCAATCCGCACTATTCAAGAAATTTCCCGACCGCGTCGACGACCCGATCGTCCCTGTCGCCTATCGAGATGCAGGGGCCATCGTCGAGAAGGGAATGGACAGAAGTGGTTCCCCCGAAGACCGTAGAGCCGCGAAGAATGCAGTCAACCTTTCCGCAGAGAGAATCTTTGTTGAGGCTCTCGAAGCCATGGTTAATTTAACCTCGTTCCACTGGTCGCACACTCCTACCCTCATCGATCCCACGAAAGAGAGCAGCGTATGGGAAGTCATTGCGAGGCTTGACAGGATTTTGCACCTACATATAATCGATGTGAACTTCTGGTCCGACTTCGAAGAGCCATACACTATTGCCACGATGCAACAAGAGATAGATGATCCAGCGTGTCACAGGCCAACTTTCAATTCAGAGGCGAGTAAGATGACCATTGAATTCAACCGACTCCCTGATGCTGATGAAGCACAGTTTTTCTTACTGGAATCCCTCAAAACATTTTTTTTGCATACGGAAGCGTACGACCATGCAGCTCCTCGTGAACCTAACATGGAACGACTGACAGCAATGCTCGTTCACGGGTGTGGGCCAGACTTAGAGGTAAGCTAACAAGCATCTGTGGCATTTGCATGGTATAACTGATACATTCCTTGTTGTAGAGACTACAACTTTCAATTAGGGGTAGGGACAGTCCTTATAGGCAACACATATCAGCCTTCAAAGAATCAATTCTGTCAGGATCCTGGATCCATCTGACAGAGCTTGAGCTGTGGGACTGGGTATACACTCCTGAACAACCCGGTCTTTTCCTTGCCTTTCATCCTACTCTGGAAAGGTTGACGCTCTCACAGCAGTCTCACCCTAGCTGTTTAGCGCCGTCATTTCCCTCCCAATCCCTTGTTCTTCCGAAACTTCGTCAAATTTGTGTTTACGAGCGTGGGGAGCATGTTGTTGGCGCTATTCTGCGTGCGAAAGTATATACGCCCCGACCACTAGAAGAGATCCAGTCCGTTACTATCAGCCATGATTTTCTTGACCATCTACACCAAAGTGGTGGTGGGCCACTGCTCAAAAGGCTTGTGGTCTGTACTAAACCCACAATGTTTGTTGAAGAACCAGAGAGGTTTCATGACTTGATACAGCGACTCGCCCAGGTGGCACCCAACCTGGAGGTGCTGAGAGAGGGCTCGGAGGCTGAATTGGTATGCCCTCTTGCTCTCCCCAGTCCACAGATGACTTACAGGTGCAGCATCGAGAAATGTGGCATGTCCTCAGCGGATTCTCATCCCTGCATTCCATCGAAGGACACCTATTTCTCTTACCCGAGGATGAATTCAAGTCAGAGCAAAATTACGATGCGCCCCTTCGAGAGTTGCTTCAATATTGTCCGACATTAAGACTGCTCCCATTCAAGTTTTCTGAACGGACACTCTCAGGACAACAGAGGTTCGTGGTGAAGATAGAGGGTGAGGGAATGACAAGGACTTGGGCGGTGCACAGAGAACATGGAGGGAAAGTGTGGGGTCCGCCTATCGAGACTCTGGGGCCCCGTGGAAGAGGGAGCTTCAGGTTAGAGTAGTAGCATAGAAGATAGCCTGTGATGTAATATTATGTACATGCTGCACGAACATCCTCCCTAGTTATTTTGTAAGAACCTCCGGGTAAATGTAGGAGGTCTCCTTCAAGTTCAGGCCATCCGATCAAACATAAGTACGGTCGAGCGCCCAGGAAAATGACGGTCTGTTGGATACCCAAGTGGCAGTGCATATACATAATTTGTATGCTAGTACGACCCGCTTAGCATGGCGGGCGTCTACTGCTGACCTAGGGACTGGCCGCCGGCCTCCATTAATATGTGGACATTTCTAATCGAGGTACAGCAAGAGAACCTCGCGCGTATTGCGCTACTAGTAGGTAACCGTCGTGTTGCAGTCAGAGAAGAGGACATGCCAATGCGCGCTCATCAGGGTTCCGATCCTGGATAGGACCACGATATCAACTAGATGGTCTTCCAGTTGTTCAAACTTCAGTGGGACCGTCACGACAGTGTTCTTGAAAATGGCCATGGTCAGTGGTAAGCGAAGCATTAAAATTGGATGCACGGAAGACAAAGTATCCCGATGGGCCCTTACTGACTTCGCGAAATCTGTGAAGGCCATTGAGCGGCTTTTGACCGAAGGGAGAACAAAGGTTTGGCGAGCGCTCACCTCTCCAAGGCCGCGCCCAGAATCCGCGCCCAGCTATGTGAGACGCAGCGCCGGTGTCCAGAACAATCGTATAATGATTAATGTCGTCTGCTCACAAGAATCATTGATACTCTTCCCGTCCATATTTGAAGTGAATGGAAGGCATTCCGACTCCGAGCAAAGCTGGTGCTATCATTAGACTCTCGCCCACATGGCGGCTAGCCTGAAAATAAAGTCGGACATATCTGTTATTACCCTCACACTCCATGAACGCAACGGCTAGCAAACGGAACCGCCCACCTCCAAATAGCCTCTCAGAAAGACCTGCGGTCCCTGCTACGCCAGGACGGTAGTATATCTTGGAACAGAACGCATACCCGTACAGCCCGACGCGGTTCCGTAGAGGTTGATTGCGGTCGCTTGAGCTCCTTGCCTGAATGCGTTCTTCGTGGTGATACTAATTGTACATCCTGAGGTTGTCCATATGGATGCGGGGGTAAGAGCGCCTGGTCAGGTACCTAATATTCGCCTGTTCCGAGTAGGTGTCAGAAAATGCAAAACAGACTGACCCCGCGAAATTAATTATTATTCGTTAGTGAATTCGCTTCCTTCAACAGAGTTCCGAATTCTTCGATGACAAGAACCTTTCGTGAGACGGTACACGGGTACAAGAAGGGAACAACGAAGCGAAAGACCTCGCGCATGACGAGCAAACCCAGCTCAAACCCACGCGTTCCCCGTATTTTTGTCTCTCCTCCACCCTAAAATTACACAAGGTACGCTGCATCCACCCAACTCGCATAATCGCTTCCCACAGCGCTCGAGATCGTGTACGCGTTCGCCTGGCTCGCGCTCAGCACCGTCGCGAAGCTGGGCCGGGACGCCCCAGCCGCGCCACTGCCGGTGGTGTTGTACTCGGCGAACAAGACGTGGTCGGTGCGCTCGTCGCCCGTGTTCCAGACGGACCACATGGCTTTGTTGAGCGGCGCGGTTACGTAGGTGTCCTTGAAGATTACTCTGAGAGAAGGTGAGAAGTTTGAAGGGCCTGGTGGAACATAGGGTAGAAGAGGGCTTACTTGGCGTAGTCTGATTGGAGAGAGGAAGGAAGAGTGTGAGTGAGGTCTTTTACGCGTCGGCAGAGTGGAAAGAACGTACTTCCCCATGGTCTACCCAGATAGGACGAAGCGCCTGAAGCGAGGACGATGCTGTTTTGGTTGAACACGTCTGTCCGAAGTATATGACGCCAAAAAAATCGTCAGGATAATAGTGTATACAAATTCGGAAGAACGCACAGCTCCCATTATCGTCTGACTCCCTGCCGCTTGCAGTGACCCAGCCATTGGCTTTTACCGCAATAGTGTTGCCTCCAAAATACGCCTGACCTCGTCTTCCGAAGATAAAATCAGTCGCTCCCTAACCCAGAACGTCAACCACCAATTCCAAAATCACCAGCATATGTTGTAAATCACCGACCTCGATATAACCCTTCAAATAAACCTGCGTCCCTTGGTTCGCATACAGAGTATCCTGGTACCCATAAAACCCACACGCGTACAAACCGACTTTGCTCCCATACTGGCTGATCGCGATCGCTTGCGAGCCCTGACCGTATGTGTTCTTTACGTTCACATTGTACAGCTTGAAATTATCTTTGTGGATCCGTAGGGTGCCGCTGGCGTCGTTCGAGCCGGCCTGGCTAGCGGGTACTCCTGCTTGGATTGTCACTTGGTTTGCGGTGTAGGTATCGGTGTTCGTGGTGTAGCCGTAGATCTGGAGGCAATATTAGGAGGGTATCAGGGCAGGCCTTTCATAAGGAAAGGAATACGCACAGTCAACGGACCCGAGCGAGTGATATACACCTGCTCGTTGTACGTGCCTGGATAGATGAAGATCGAGCGCGACGAACTGTCGTTCGGCAGTGCAGCAACCGCCGACGCGACGGTCCTGTACTCTCCCGACGTGCTCGTCCCCGCACGCACCACAATCGCGCCAGAAGGCGGTGAGGTGCGGCTCGCAGCGAGTGCGAGCTCGACAAGCACCACGAAGATGAAGAAGCAAGCAAGTTTCGCCATGTCTCAAGTATTGGTTTGACTCTTCATGCTGGTGGAGGGTTATTTATGAACGACCTCGGGTTTACCACGGAGACAGAAAGAATCGAAACTATAAGGCAGCATCCGACATGGTTCACGAGAGAGATCATTTGGCACACAAAGGTTCACGGGTGCTGACAGTCTGCCCACCGGGCCGTCCCAACCTTCAAGGCGCTGCAGAGCCCTACGGAAAAATAGCTCACACCGGTGGTGCCAGAAGTAACGAAATTAATTGATTAACCGCCTTGTAGGATGAAAAGTGCTGCGTCAAAGGCGTGGCACAAGACAGCGAACGGCCAACAGCGTCATGATCGGCGGGTGAGGTGACGATCGATCTGCGATGAGCCCGCAATTCGAAGCGGGCCGGCGGAAGCGCCATCATCATGGTGGTAACCTAAAGTGAAGTGCGCCACCATGGGCGTCTGTGGATTCCTCAGGTTGGAGAGGGTAAGGCGGCTCCCCTCTATGCGTTGCAGATGGCGTTGGTATGAGGAGAAGAATAGCCTTGGAAGGTATAGTCATCATGCTGACCACACTCCGCTTAACAGGACGGCAGAAGCAAGTCAGATAATTAGCAACAGCGGAAACGGAAACTGCCAAGCCACGGAAGACCTTTCAACAATTCTGAGGGGTTCAGAGACGCACACAGAATAGCCGCAGAAAGTGACAGATGTTGGTTACGCGGGCGTGGAAGCAGAGCGTCGCCGGGAAAGCAGACGGACCCACACGCAAAGAAGGCCGCGACGCGTTCGACGAAGCTCTAGAAATATGTCTGAAGACGTGGTTGAAACTTGGAACCCGAGGACGGCGCTTCCACAGTTTGATCAGAATCCTCCGTCATCAGGCTTGATAGCATCTGTGATGAACGCGTATTTTGGGGACTGCCTCAAGTCTTTGAACCTCTTTTGAAGTCGCCGCTAAGAAATCCATCAGCAAGGCTCGAGGAGGTGCCGATGTCCTGGTGATCGCGATGCCCGGCCCAGGAGGAACTTGGAACTTGGAAGTGCATCGGTGTACCCTCCTGTCGCTTTCGACAGAATTTGGGCAAACTTTCTCTGAGTTCCTCGAGGAAGAGGAGTGCTTAGTCTCGATCAGTGATATGCGCCGCTGAGGACGCTGCTCTTAGGCTCACCTTCGCCCCCATTGCGCGATAACGTCAAGAACTGAATCATCGCGACCCTCATGGCTGCCGAGCGTTATCCCACGTGCGCGATCGACGACAGCGGTTGCCCGATAAACGAAATAACGGTGGCGTCCTTGCTGTCTTGGCACGACAGTGGCGAAGGAGAGGAGAGAAGGAAGGGAAGGAAAAGCAATGAAAAATAAATAAGAAATTCACCACTGTGGAGGTTGCGGGTTTGGGACTGGTGCCGGGGAAGGCACCGGACTTGAAATTCACATTTATTGAATGTGGGAAAGTTTGGCCAAATCGGTGTTGTGGGTGTGCCTCGGGATTACGTAATCTGTTAACGCCGAACCATGTGCTGCGTCGTTCCTGCCGTTATTTTCGACACAGTCTGGAAGTCCTGGAAATCTAGTCTTCAAGGCATTCTCAGTACACGTTTTTGGGACCGCCCATACCCGTCACCTCTAAGTATAGGTATGGAGTATCGGATGTTCCGTATCCGCAGCCTTTTAGGCCGCGTCATTTCTAACACTTTCTCCTCCGCCTGTCCCGGCAGAAGGTATACGATGGCCGATCGACGGACGAACGGCAACCATAATGATAATTTCTTGGAAGGTTACAACATGTACCCTCGGTGGAAAATTTTCGCACTCGGCCCCTGTGACAAGCGTTGCGCTGTGTTGGCTCTATCAGCTCGGGTTGGTCCTAAAGAGTCGGCGGCAGGACAACTCGATGCGAGGCAACGTATGTAAGCCTTTGCCCCATCTTCTTTGGTTTTTTTCCTTTGTGCCTTTTCTCCCTCAACCACCTGTAACGCGGACCGCCTCTGCGCGCGTTCCCCACCCCACTGGCGCCCACGATCCCCCACCACGTCCCGAGGAGTGCTCTGGATGGCGTTAAGTCTTTTGCCAGATGACACACTAGGAGCAGCCGTCATCGGGTTCTTCGTGTCTTGCGCGGTTTTTGGGATATTCACCACGCAGGTGTTCACCTACTTTCGACGATACTTTGAGGATAGGCTTATCTACAAACTATTGGTGCGTCTCCTTAATTGACACCCTCGATCGTGCCTAATATTTTGCCAGGTCGGAGGACTGTGGTGCGGATTATTTCCAGTGAATGGAGGATTTCACGACGCTCAATGCGAATACAGGTCGATCGAGCTTCTCGACCAGATATTTATCGGATATTCACTGTATTTCTACACCGTCACGTGCGTCGCCGTTTCTTTCAATTTCGACCTTGAGCTTGAGCGCCGACGCGAACGCCTTCAACAGACATTTCGGAGACCCGACAGTTCTACTGGGAGATGTTATTTGGTGCGTTCAGGAAGTCTATCTTTGAGAAACAACACTCATGATGACTGATTAGGACACTGGTCGTAAGCTGTCCGCATCATCTCCCTTCCTGTTCCATCTCATCAACGCGCCCCATCTAGATGCAACTTGTTCTCGGAGTGGGTTCTCGCCCTCGACGTCGATGGTGCCTTCATTACTCACTCTTTCATTTCATCACCACAGTGCCTTGTCGGTACCATTGTCAAATGGTACGTATTAAATTAATTAACCCATTCCGTTCGTTGGCTTATGGTGTCGAAGCTGCTTCGCCATGCGAGTGTGGAGATGTAAGCCCCGTCTAGGCCTCCAAGGTCGTACACAAAGTAACGTTGGTTTATGCAGTTAGCAAGAGGAACATCTACATCACGGGCGGACTGGTAACCCGCTTCTTCCGTTTCGTATCCAGCCACTCTAATCCACTATCTTTAGGTTTTTCTGATCCTCGGCCAGTTCGGTATGTCTTCTCCCGCCGACCTATTGTCTTTTTCCGAGTCCATGGGCTAATGGGCCGTATCAATGTTCGAAGGAATCGCCCTTGGTTAGTCCATTTCCATTCCTTGAAGACCGCTCTCTCTTATGCCGACTCCTCGTTCAAGTATATTGCATCAAAGGGTGAGTTCCCACCTCCTGCAGCGACGCCACAGCCTTCAAAGCAGTGTCCTCATGTTCTCTCTACCCAGATTTGAGTTCAGAAAGTTAACCAGCATTCACAAGCTGCGGGTGCGTCTGACCTCAGGCCCAGGGTGCTAAGACCCATCGCGTCAAACGCTCAACTGACCATATCTCTCTTGTCCATCTTTAGCTCATCGCGAGTCTGTCGCTCGGCACGGGCGTGGTCACCGATTTCACCATTGCCGCCGCGCTGTGCTATTTCCTGCGCAAGCTTAAGACAGGATTTCGCAAGTAAGTCGAGGTCGCTAGTGGAGCCCGGGAGAAGTCAACTGAATATCTGATCGTGATTATCCGTGGTTTGTAGGTCGGACACCCTCGTGAACACGCTGTCGATTTATGCCATCAATACGGGCGTGCTGACTGCGTATGTCTATTTTTTGTCGGTGAAAATGGGCCCGCTCAGAGGTTTTTTTTTTTGACAGCACGATTTGTCTGGTGACGCTCATCTTGGTGAGTTCGAGCCCTCCGACAAACGAGACGCTTCTAATCGATCATCGCTCATCACGCGCAGTACAACACCCGCCCAGACACCTTCTACTTCATGGCGCCCTACTTCACGCTGGGAAAACGTGAGCTATTCCTATCTCTTTCTTTCGCTGCGAAGCGCGGTTGTTCATAGAGTTGGAGCGCAGTCTACGCTATCTCGTTTTTGGCGACGCTGAACACCCGAAAAGTTATCCGTGGCCGGGGAACGGATCGCGAAGGGTCTTCTACTGGCAACACCAGCGGCGCCCGGAACACCTTCTTCATGGTTACGAACAGCGGACGGACGCCGCGAGTTCCCGAATATTATTCCCAGCAGCAGAAGGTGAGTCGATGAGCACAGTTTGAGTTGAGGCTTGCTCAATCGTTGTGGGATCGTGGTAGAGCATGGAAGTGGGCGTGCACCAAGAAGTGTCTATCATCACAGATGCCGATGAAGTTGATTCACCAAGGGTATGTGGACCCATAGATCTGCCTCCGACGCGACCCCTAATCTTCCCTGCATCTATACAGTCGCTCTCGCAGCCAAAAGTCCTTTCTCCAGTCTGAAGCCCAACGTTCCCTGCTGCTCATCACAATCATTTCTCTCAGCTTGTACACCTACAATCCTTCCCCTAGCCCCTTCTTTCGCCTTAGACTCCGCGCCAGCATCATTTCAACCCATCCGCAAACTCGTAATCGCAAATTATCTGCACTGTAACATTTGCCTCCATTTCGACGCTATCGAGCCCCGGTTCCTCTACACACTACATATCTTTCTCTTGCAGACTTGGGTAAATTTTCTGGTACTGAGTGTAGATCTGCTATTATTTTCTGTATCCCCAAGTAATCTCACCAGTCGAGATCTGGCTCGGCGGCGAAAGTTGTCGTCGCTGTCTAATTTTGTACTTTTTTGGAACGTTACGGCCATCATCTGGAATCACGATCGCTTGGGGCAGGGCGGCGCGGGTGATGAGATGGTGATGAACTCAAATGCAGACAACCATGTGGTGTGAGCGTCCGGTCCCTTCCACCGCGTGATGCCATGCCCATATGCAATTTGATGCCCCTACCTACACATTCCGGAGGGCGACCCATAAGTAACCTATCGAGGCCGCCCTCAAAACTTTTAGGATCCGTTCTGTCGCTACGACCCTCCACACTCCTTAGTTGTGCTACTCCCTCGACAGCTTTCTCCACGCACGCAAGGCAGCATGTCCTCTCTTTCTTCGTTGATCGATGCTACCCTCGGCGCCTGCTTCATCGGCTTTGCCCTCGCGTGCGGCGTCTACGGCATCCTCCTTTCGCAGATTTTTAGTTATTTTCGAAATTATCCTGGTGATAGGTCGTTCTTCAAGTACATTGTGCGTGCCATCCTCTTGTCTTCTTATTTCGAGACCGCTGAAGGTCGATTATAGGTTATAGTTATATTGTGAGCAACGCGCGACCCCTCTCAACGACAATACAAGAAATTCACTCCACCCACTCGGACAGGCTTTTGGAGACAGCCGATCAGTGCTTTATTGGCCATCTTATGTATTTCTATAGTATTTCCAACTACCTCAATCCAATGGCGTTAGCGAGGGGGACGACAACATGGTATGTGCTCTCCTACTCCCTCCATCGCAGTCCCTAACCCACCTCCTAAATTTAGGTCATTCATTGTAAGTTTGAAGCTTTGCACCGCGGCTCGCTTGACTGATCTGACATTGACCTGCAGCTGCAACTGACGGTCGGCGTGAGTGACATATACTGTTTGTTTTGGGAGGATCGCTGTAACGGAAGTTATTTTTAGTCGGTCGTGGGCAGCATTGTCAAATCGTGAGTACGATACTTTGCATGACTTTGGCGGGCAAGCTAACGCATGGACCGTTCAGATACTTTGCTTTCCGAGTGTGGAGATGTGCGTGTTCAAGTAATTCCTGTGGCTATGAGAAGGCCTTCCTCATCACCGCCGTCGTCAAATTTTAGTCAGCGAACGCAACATGTGGATAACAATCGGTATCGTGAGTCAATCGTCTGGCTCTACGCCCACGATTTCGAGCTCACATGCGTTGCGCAGCTTCTTCTCGTCCTCGGCCACCTCGGTATGTCTTTCGACCTTTCCGGTCTTCAGACCTTCAACTGGGGAACACCTTTCTTACCCCGCAATTTTCATAGGCCTCGCGATAGGTACGCCATTGCGTATACGGTCACTTTCGCTTTACTCCCAACTGATCACCTCGCTCCCGATCCAGCGTACACGGTGGAAGCGTGAGTAAACTCGATTTACACATGTCCCCTCCTCACCATGCGGGGCGATCGACTGTGCCTTACTGACAATGTTCTATTTATTTATTTCTAGATTCAAGCTGCCGAGTCTTTACGCTGTTCACGAGCTCCAGGTCGGTCACTTCGCTCATTGGATGGGGTGCTGGCTAATGCGGTGAGGCAGACACTGGGCACGATCTCGCTAGGCGTCGGCGTATGCACGGACATCGTCATCGCTGGGGCTCTGTGCTTCTTCCTCAACCGCCTACGAACAGGACTAAAACAGTGGGTATCTTTCTCTTTTTTCCCTCTCTCCCTCTCACACCATACGCCACCAATTTTCTGATCTTCCCTGCTCGCTTGCTCTTCCAGATCGGACAGTCTTGTGAATAGCCTGAGCATCTATGCTATCAACACGGGCGTGGTGACCAGGTGAGTGATGTCTCTTTGGCGATTATCCGCGTGCGACTGACAATTTTTTCCGTTTTCGTAGCACGGTCAGCATGACAGTGTTGATCCTTGTACGTTCCCTTTTAGTTCACCCTTTCTTGGGACGGGCCGCCTGACTGAGCATCGTCCAATAGTATAACGCGATGCCCACCAATAACCTGTATTTCGTGTCGGTCTACTTCATCCTGAGCAAACGTACGGATTGACACCCATTCATTCCCGCCTATCACTATCTAACCTGTCTTCTTTCATTCAGTCTACGCTATCTCCTTCATGGCTACGTGCGTCCTTTTTATATCTTTCATTCAATCCCCTCTGATTAACATCTGCTCTTCGACAATTCATTCATTCAATAGGCTCAATACAAGAAGATCAATTCGCGGTCGCGGCACGGACAAGCAAGGCGTCACCACGAACAACACTAACATGTTCCATCTCGGGACCCGAATGCCGAGTATGGGTCCTAACGATCTGGAGGAGTGGGACAAGGTAAGTGTTTTATGTGGTTCCCTCACCGCAGCAGGCTGTTGCCAACCCGATGATACGTCCGTGCTAACGCCTGCCAGGTCGATCCCCCCTTCGCACTGCAACAGCAGCAAAGTCAAAACTCGCCGTGTCACTACATGAACGGCTTCCCGCAGCTACCCAATAATTATCCACCCCCCATTAGGTGCGTCGCGCTCCCACCAAAAATTCGCTCTCATGACTAGAAGCTGATCTTGATGTCTTGTCCATTTCCTCCTCCTTCCCGCAAGCAGAAAAGGAATGGGAATGGCGATCTAATAGGGCTTGAGGTTTTTCTTCGATTCAATGGACTTTTTGCGTGTGGATTTGTTCGATTATTATATTAAGAGAGAGAACTGTGTGTACTTGTATTTTTCATCCCACTACCCACTTGGAGCCGCCATACGTGCGGCTCACATTAGCGGGGAGCCAACCGGGGCTCCCTTTTTATAGATCTTTTATTCCCGGGATGCTTTGGTCTCGCCCCAGGCGCGCCCTCGTCGCCCAGTCGCCGTCTTTCGCCCACTGACTGGAGCCGCTGCAACGAAAGACGAGGAAGTGTGGCACAGTGCGTGGACCTCTGGTGGGCTATGCCGGACAGTGTGCTCACCGTCGATTACACCTCGGTGCACCCGTTGTAGGTCTTCACTGATTAGGAAGGTATAATCACATTCGGACGTTGCCAGGGTCAGTCCCAAGATACCCTTGGTTTCTCGGTGAGTTTGAAGTGGGTGACAACAATCGGTTTACCGGTTACCGAGCACCGATACGGAGTCCGGAGACAATCCATTCAAAGGCCCTCCGACGTCGACATCGTTCATTTCCCTGCACCCAGTCGTTATTTAATCGATTGGCATGGTGGCCGGTCGCCCGCGCGAATCCCGAAACTGGCCATGGAAAAGACAAGAACTATGAGGGAAATTGCGGAGATAATCTTGTCTTGTTCCTTGAATAGAAAATCATTGATCAATTCGTTCCTTATCAGCGAGGCGATTAGATGGAGAGATCAGAAGATCGGGCCATATTGGAAACATGGACATTGGAAAAATAGTTGACGCTGGCGAGGAGCCCAGCACGGGTCCCGTTCAAGGAACCGAAGTTCAAGCGTCGGCCACGAGAACTCTGAGAAGAATCCATCAGGCGTCGAAAAGGGCGCCCAATAAACAGTCGTCGCCACCTCGGAGAAATGGGAAACGCTGAGAGCAGTTTCGCGGTTAGGCGTTGGCGCCATTGACTTGGAAGGGCTCTGAACATTCTGAACTTTGAAGACGTGGAATGAGGAAAATTTGCGGTACAATCAATGAAAGCAAATCAGACAAGAAAGTGAATCAGACGAAGTACACAAGGCTAGTTTAAGATCTAGGGTTTACTAACCGTTTAATGAGGCCTACTGACAGCAAAATTTGTTGAAACAGGATTAACAGTGGGCGCGTAATTCGAAGCCAGCTGCCACGTACCCCGATACTTGGCCTCCTTCCATATCATGGCTTCTCTCTCTCGTTAGTATCCCTCTGAGGCCGTTTGACCATCGCGGAGGTGGAGTTTTCCGATGCCTTCGAGCCTGTTTGGGAGCGCGCGCATCATTTACCCCAGCGCCACCATGTCATGGGTATTCACTGAGGGACATAAGAAGGACCCTTTTTGGTGAATTGTGCATATGTGAACACTCAACTGACAACAAGATTTGGCGCCACACAGGTTGGACCCTGCCTTTCACCGAAGGTTTCGCCATTTAGCCCGTGCAGCACATGGAGTAAAACCGTTACGTCCGCAGGGGGCGCCACCATCAAGTGTAACGAAAGTCATCTCTACTTATAGTTGGAGGAAAAAAACCGTAAGACTTTCTTTAGTTCTTATGCGGTGACCATCGGCGACAGGAGACGGGAGGCGGCGCTGTCGTCGGGGCGCCTACGGCACGGCGTGGGAATGTCAGCTCAACTCCGCTTTTGGTAATAATTCCTGAGGGGTCCGCGTCACCGAGCGGTCCGTCAGCGTTGGGCTTCTGGCTCCATGACCTTTGCGACCTCTGTTTCTCATCTTCGACGCCATGCACCGTATAGGTCATGAGATACACGCATCGTCAGAAAAGAAGCTGCATCATAATCTCACCGAGGCTTGTACAAAAATGAAGCAAGACGAGCTCACAGCGTTGCCGTCTTCGACGACCTTCAACAAGCGGTACCCGCGCCAACCTCGCTATTACTCCACCAACGGCTCTATTATGGCGGGTTTTGAACCACCTGTGGGTCTAGGAAAGCCTGATCCGAAACGACGAAAGTCCGGCTGGGTCTTTCTTCTGACATGCGCAGCGTCTCTTGCTCTCGTTCTGGCGACATCCAGGCTCTACATACCCCATTCTCTTGGACTTAGCAGCAGCGTGAGCGACTTCATCTCGCGCTCGCTACTCTGCGACACAGCAATTCGCGACTCCAAGTTTGAGCATTCTCCAGATGCTGACGCAGATGAGCTGGACGATGATGGCTTTTCCCGGACGGATGACGTAAAGTTCGATAATTATAGCCTGTTCCTCAAGGGACAACGAATCTTTCTTCAGTCCGTAAAATACCTCGAACACATGGGCCGCGCTGATAGATGCCTATTTGCAGCTCGGGGGAGTTCCATACATTCAGACTGCCTGTGCCCTCGCTATGGCCGGATATCCTCGAAAAGTTCAAAGCGGCGGGGCTGAATTCAGTGAGCGTGTATACGCACATGGGCCTCATCAACCCAGCACCTGGTGTCGTCGACTTCGGTGGTTTCCGTGCGCTCCAGCCTCTTTTCGATGCAGCGAAAGCGGCTGGGATCTGGGTCGTACTCCGCCCTGGTATGTCAATTTAACTTCATCCTTGAAAATTTTGCAATGATGATTAACGGATGAGCGCAGGACCTGTTCGTTAATCACCTTACCTCGTGTTGTTCAATGCTGAGCTTATGGTTTCGTTAGTACATCAATGCTGAGACGACCGCTGGAGGGATAGCACATTGGATCACCAGCGAGGTCCCAGGTCAACTCCGCACCAACGCCACTGATTGGAGGATGGCATGGGATGATTATATCCGTGGAATCATCCAAGAGACAAGCCCAAACCAGATCAACAGAGGCGGTCCGGTCATCGGTCAGTGCTCTCGCTTTCGTAATTGATGACAATAGACTGAAATATCAATGCAATAGCTGTGCAAATTGGTGATTAGTATTATTGTTTGAAGAAAAGAAATTCGATGCTAACTGATGCCTTGCAGACAACGAATTTGGCACAAGCATCCCTGTGTTCCAAGAATACTTCGAGGACCTGTTGGATATCTACCGTAGATCCGGTATTGTCGTTCCTCTAACCTACAATGACCCTGGTCAAAGGAGGAACTTTATCAATGGAACTGTAGGTTTTTAGAAGTTGTGCATAGCGATTTTCTCTTATTTCAACATTCTAGGGAGCGGTTGATCTTTACGGGTATCCGTTAACTTCTTTCGTTATCCACAGGAGATCTAAATATTAATTTCCAGCCTTGATGCCTATCCGCAAGGCTTCGACTGCTCCAATCCCACCGGATGGCGTCCAGTAACAACAAACTATCACGCCTACCACCAGGAAGTCAACCCTTCGCAACCGTGGTACTTCCCAGGTTCGAGAAGCCCGTTTACGTCTTACATCGCCACTGACCTTCGGCACCTCAACCAGAGTTCCAGGGCGGCTCATTTGACGCCTGGGGCCCCACCGCGCCAGGTACGTCCGATCCAATTATGGTATCTGCGCCACCATCACGATCAAACCGTCTTGCCCAGGCTACGGCCCGTGCCGCGTCCTCACTGGACCTGACTTCCAGTCTGTGTTCAACCTCCAGCTCTGGGCGAGCAATGCGAAGCTAATCAATTATTACATGGTCTATGGGTGCGTTGTGCTTGTGATATCTCGGAGAGAGAGAATGTTGACATAAAGATCAGGGGTACCTCTTGGGGTGGCATTCCATTCCACGGTGTCTATACTTCGTATGACTACGGCTCTCCGGTATGTAACCTTCTTTTGGTTCGCCGTAGTCGTCGTCGTCGGCCCTGAACACGAACTTTAGATAACCGAGTCGCGAGAGCTCACCACGAAGTTCGACGAGCTCAAGCGTCAGGGGATGTTCGTCCGCAGCTCGCCCGAGTTCATCAAGACCGACTGGATAGCGGACGCCTCGAGCGGCTTGAGCGTCTCTACGAACCCCGCTGCGTTCATCACCCTCTTGCACAACCCGGATACCGGAGCCGCCTTCTATATCGCCCGCCAGACCGATTCCACCTCAACGTCGGTATCTATTCCTCCCCTTTTTATATTTCTTTCCTAACACAGTGCTTGTCTTTTTCAACCGGCTTTCCCATCTCCGTCATACTTGCAGGGCAACGACGGATTTTAAATTGAATGTGACAACCTCCGAGCTAGGTGCCGTGCAGATCCCTGTCGTCGCGCCGTCGATCACCCTGGGCGGACGTCAATCGAAAGTGGTCGTGACGGATTACGCTGTCGGCGCGTCTTCCAAAGTCACGTATTCAACTGCGCAGGTGTTCTATGCTGGCACGATCGACGGAAGAGATGTCCTGTTCTTGTATGGAGACGCGGACCAGGAGCACGAAGTTGCGCTCAAGCTCACCGGCACGCCGAACAGAGCACAAAGCTCATCCAACCCGCTCGTCCAACTCACTCCCGCCTCTAGCATGGGCGTCGTCACTGCGGACCCTATCACCCTCGTCAACTTTCTCTCGGGAATCGAGCAGCTTGTCACCATCTGGGACTCTGACACCCAGCTCGTCCTGTACGCCGACTCCGTCACCGCCGCGACGTTCTGGTCGCCGGTCATCTCGGGCGACGCCAATGACGCGTTCCGACACTTCTGGGGCATCGGGACGAACACGTCCATCCTCGTGGGCGGGCCGCACCTCGTAAGAGGGGCCACGATTGAGGGCACGACACTCGCGCTGCGAGGGGATTTGAAAGAGGATGTGCGCCTCACTGTGATCGCCCCGCGGAGCGTGCGCGCAATCACGTGGAATGGGCAGAGCGTGTCGGGCGATGTTGCTGCGTCGGAGGCGTTGAGTGCTGCTGGCGGATTCGTAGGGCAGTTGGCTGTCAACAACGCATTGGCTGGTGGTTTGGGTATTCCGAAATTGACAGGGTGGAAGTTCAAGGACAGCCTTCCCGAAATTGAAGAGACGTTTGACGATTCAGAGTGGACTGTTGCGGATCACACGAAGACGAACATTCCTCTCAAGCCCTACTATGGCGATGGGAGAATTCTCTACGGTTGCGACTATGGATTGTAAGTTTCCTTCACATTGGAGAACTTTCACCAATATTAACTGCACAGCTGCGAGAACGTCGTTCTCTGGAGAGGTCATTTCACAGCAACAGGGGAAGAGAAGAGCCTCAATTTATCGATTAACGGAGGACAAGGTATCACACACGTGGTTCTTCTCTCTCTGTCTTTCTGATGTATTGGTTCTAGCGTTCGCTGCCAGCGTATGGGTGAACAATGTGTTCCTCGGAACCTCATTTGGAAAGTAAGTATCCTAAAACAGGATGATGTGACGCTATATTCACCCTACCTGCTCTACAAGCTCGACCAACAACCTCAACAGACTGGAAGAGACTGACGACAAATTTACGTTCCCTCCTGGTGCTTTACTCGCGGGCAAGGACAATGTGATCACCGTCGTGCAGGATAACATGGGTCTGAACGAAACCTCTGGGAGTGAGTCTTTCATGACTCCATAGTTGACTTTCGTTAAATGGCACTGTCTAGCCAACACCGATAGCTCCAAGAGTCCTCGAGGCATCCGAGGTTTTGCGCTTGATGGAAATACATTCACGACATGGAAGGTGCAAGGCAAAGTTGGTGGTTACAACCAGTAAGCCTATCGCTCTCGTATCTCAATGACACTCTGTGAACATTTATTTCTTGTAGCTACCCAGACAGAACCCGAGGTACCCACCTGTCTAGGCACTCTTCCATCCTCCAACCCCACTGACGTACCTTCTTCCAGGCGTCCTGAACGAAGGTGGCCTCTTTGGCGAGCGCCAAGGCTGGCACCTCCCCTCCTTCAGCACCACCGATGGGTGGACCGAGCGCGATCTCTCCACGGGGCTCCCAAATAGCGCTGCAGGCGTCGGCTTCTTTGTGACGACCTTCAAGCTTGACATCCCGAACGAGCTCGACGTGATGCTCTCGTTCACTTTCGAGGAACCGTTCGGGCAGCCCTATCGTGCATTCTTGTTTGTGAATGGCTGGATGATGGGGAAGAGGGTTGCGAATCTCGGGTGCGTGATGTTTCTTGGGGCTTCGGTTTGAGAAGCTGATTGCGTGTTCCACTGCGTTGCATGTTTTAGTCCTCAAGACAAGTTCCCTGTGCATGAAGGCATCTTGAACTACCGTGGAGAAAAGTGAGTGATACATTGCTGTTTCCTCGCCGTATCGTCGCAATTAACCTATTCTCGTCTTTCAGCACCGTCGCGGTAGCCCTCTGGGCCATGACACCGAACGTGACCATCTCGCCAAACCTCCAACTCTTCCTCGATGCTGTGTACGATGGTGGCGTTGGGAATATCCAAACTGACAACCCTCCGTGGACGCCTGTCGGACGCCTCCAAGCCTGATCGATTGATCCGGCGATGGAATCACAGATCTTGCTCGATATCCCGAGATGAACACTAATAACCATGAAAAAGATACATCTGCACTGTATACTACGTACTCGAATGAAACCAAAAATCGGAATATCGAACTCGGCGTGTTGAACGTACTAAAGTCCCGACACCCAACCCCACTCAAACCCAGCTGGACTAAAACGAAGACTCAGAGTTCGCCGAGAAGAACCACCCAAGCAAACCCAGCACCATCGCACCAACACTCCCTACCAGGGCCCGGACACCTGTTCCTTCGAGCCAATCAAAAGGCACTGCCGCATACGCGTAGAACGTGTTCTCCGACCCCGCCCTGCTCAGCCGGACATGATGGTCCGCGTGCTGGATCTCGAAAGGTGGGCGCACGGTCTCTTTACGCGTGGGTATCGTGCTGCCCTTGAGCGTGGACGTGTACGAGGTCGCTGCAGGTATGCTCTCCTGGCCGGCGTCCAGCGAGCACGCGGCGAGCAGGCCTGAAGTGAAGCCGTCCTCGTGGAAGCCGTATTTGAGGTATGCGCCAGCATAGGATATGGAGCGCATGTTTTGGATCCTGTACATCTCGTTCTGCGCCTTGACAGCCTATTTTTGAGAGATCGAAAAGGTCGAGAAGGTGGTGATTATGAGCAACTCGTGAGATGAGATGCAAGGATTGTAGAAGCGTACCTTGGAATCAAGAACAGGGTGGTCGTACTTCCATCGGCCAGCAATCTTGTCCGCGTCGGGCTCGAAGGGTGGGTTGAGCGTCACAAGAACAGCGCCATACCGAGAATATGGGATGTGCTGCAAGTCGTTCATGCCATCTGGTGCGACTTATTAGAAACGCAACAATCATACTCTAGAAGGAGAGCAATCTCACATGTCCTAAGAAGCATTCCCGTTAGAAGAATCAAACATAGACAATCTCATGCTACGCACAATGAAACCTCGTTGATTTCCATCTTCACTGTTCTCTGGGGTCGTTGAATCTTCACGCCTTCGTATAGGTCATCATTTGTGTCTGAGGAATCCGTGTCCGAAATGTAGCCGCTCTTGTTGGAGGCGTACGGCACAGCTTTCGTAAACGATAAATAGTTCCAACACGACCATGCTAGTCGACTTCTCGGCATGAGCTGTTCAAAGAACGCGATTAAGGCTTCGGGACTCGAGGTGGGGTACCGAATCGAGCTTACATTCTCGTCCGAGTGCAAGACAGCCTCATTGTGGTTCCACTGGAACTGACTCAGAATACGCTCCTCGTCCGGTTGGATGTTGCCTGCTCTCAAGATCTCCAAAGCAGTGTCAGAATGGCAGGCCAAGATGACATGGTCGAAGACTTCTTCGCTGCCATCTGCACTTCTCAGCACGACCTGTGGCTTTCCACCCTCTTCTGACTTGAGGGTCCGCACGGATGTTATTGGTGTAGACAGATGCAATTGCGTTGAGGGTAGCTTGTGCAGGATCCTATCGACATATTTATGACTGCAAGTGCTGACGTGAGTCCTGGAGATGGTTTGTAAGGTGGGACTGAGCTGACCTGCCACCATGTATTGTTAACCATGCAGGCTTGCCAGTGATTTGTAGGAGGTGGTGGTTGTACAGGAATTGGATCTAAGTAAGTTGCACCTTGAGTTGGAGAACGCACACAGACTGTTATGAACCCACCAGAGTGCGAGCAGGAAAATCGAGGAAGCATTTATCCGGAGGAGTGCTCCAAATAGCCGCAGTCATTGGCTTGAGATGATGTTGAAGTAAGAAAAGGTACATGAAAGAACGAAACGCTCACGATCAGGTAGTTATTTCGGAAAGCCGACGAGTAGCCTTCGCCGTGGAGATACTCTCCAATTGAAATCTCCCTCTCTCCCTCTCTACTCGGAGTTAATAGAACGCGTCTTGCACATGCATTAAACCGCAGGACGTCATATATCATTCGCCACATTTGCGAGTCGAATAAACGGCGGGGTTGGCAGAAGATGGTGGCGAGGTTCTTCCCAGCCCATTCGAAGGCACCATTGTCGCGGGATATGCTGAATGTCATTTCGGTCTTGTCTATGCGTATTCCGTCGTCATCTTCGCTTTCACTCGAGGAACCGAGCGAAGAAAGTCGAGAGAGAAGAGATTTGGGTTGCGCAGGTGTGAGTTGGAGGAATCGGATGAAGTTGGGATAGGTAGCAGGGTTAAACACAATCTACAAGTAACGTTTCGTTCAGCAAAACAAGACCGTGCGAGGCGAGGTGCATTTCCTTACAAATCCACTGAAGAACGCACATTTCACGTCAGTCAAAGATCGAACATTGAATCACATCGTCAGACGTACGTGTCCACATCCACTCCTTTCGATTTACCCTTGGGTACGTAATGTACCGTATTAGCGTGTCCACCGGGTCTGTCGTCCGATTCAAAAAGGTGAACCTCATGGTCACTGTGTTCGTTCAGCAGCTGTGAAGTACGTCATTTGACTTGAATTCAACAGAACGCTCGACGACGACGAACTTACCCATGTTGCGCCGAGGCCAGATACACCAGAGCCCACCACTGCGACCTTCATCGTTCGTCGTCGTGTACGGGGCTGGGAAGGGAGAGGGACGTTGGGAAAAAGGGTGTCGTGGTCGCCATAGCGGGATTTGATGCCTTCCAAACCACTGGAGGTCAGCCTCGGCAACGCTCGGCGCTGTCATTGTTTGGCTGAACTCAAAACTCGGTTAGGGGGATTGAACCTTGAAGTTTGAACCACACCTACCACCATTTATGCCTGCAGAGCTCCCTGGATTTTACTGGGATGAAGCAAGAAATCGATATTTTCCATTATCTTCGCGTCCGAAACCGCCGCAACCTCCACCTGTCGCGGTGTCAAAACGAAGAAATCCCACCCCAGAAAGCCAGTCAAGCGAGAACGGTTTGAGCAGGAAGCGCAAGCGGGTCTATGATCCTTGGGACGTGAACGAGTCCAGGAGATCTGCTTGCAGCAATAGTATGAGGCTGAGGAACTCACAGTGAGTCGTTGCACGACCTCTTGAGGACGAGAAATGCACATGGGATCCACGATAGTGAAATACTTTGTTCACAATACGCCTCGACTTCTCGTATGACACCAACTCGAGTGCACCCCATAGGTTCCATAACTGCCTTCTGTGTACGTATGCGTCTTTTTCATTTGGTGAAAGGCTTCCTATCCTCATCTCTGAAACTAGATGACGAAAGTTGGGGGACACGACTGGCAATTCATCGGCGACGATAGAGGCTGGTTGTACTCCGAGAGAAAGCACCTTCCGAACGAGCCGCCGAGGTTCAATCTTCACAGTACCATCAACCTCCAGGCATCATCAACTGTAGGTGTCCTTTCCGTCAGCTACACTGTTCTCCACTCCACTGACGCAACCTTTGGCTGTTGCATAGATATCATCCATCTGCGTTTCCGGATCATACTGTGTGTAGGTTGACTGAAGCTTCTTCGGAATTTCGCCAAGCTTATATAAAGCAGAGCTAGTTGCTTTGGTGCTGCCAGGCTCTCTGTCCAGGACTTGAATATCGCAGAGTAGGTCTTTCGAGACCATTCGGCCAGGAACGTCCGTTCTAATTCGGGGAGAAAGGCGGACGTACCTGATGACTTTCAATACGGTGGTTGATATTCGCTCTTCCCATCTTCAGCAAAAAGGGCTTGTGCTGGGTACGTGTCGTTCGTCTTGCAGCATTCCTTAGTTCTCACGTTGGCTCGCAGGGACGAGCAAGAGGATTATCTACATCCCGGACATCGACGTGGCAACAAATTTCAGGTCACTGCGAACGAATAGTGATGTCTTTTCTGTGATTCAACGGGATGTACGAGCCTATCGTTTTCACCCCATGATTACCGACTGATTTCACCCTTGTTTAGCATCTGATCTACGCGGGTTTGCGGAACGGGACTCTGGAAAGATACGACACGAGAGTGCCAGATCCAAAATCCGTCAAGCTCTTCGAGGGCCGGTTCGAGAAGAGTGGGAGGAGCCCGCTACTCCACATCAACGTTCTGAGAGAGAACGAGCTGCTACTTAGCCATATGAATGCAGATGTGAGTCGTACTCATAATGATTCCTTGCACGATGATTGATCCTAAGTGCTCTTTCTGATAGCTATCAACATTTGACCTACGGTTTTCACCCACCAGTTCAACAGTGACACCAATACAAGTATTCGAGGGCCACGTCAACAGCTACCGGCCCGACCTCGTTCGTAGCCTTTCACCACTCGCCATTCCGTCGAGTTCCGCTAACGCTGACCTGGTGCCAGGGTATCGCCGTCGACCAAGAGCACGACCTACTCTTCGCCGCCGGAGCCGACAACCGGATCCGCGGGTGGTCTCTGCGCACTGGAGTTCCATTTTCCCCTCCACCACCCACTCCATGCTTGCCCGACCAACCAAGCAACCCGTTCACTCATACGTTTCCCTCCCAGGTGTGTGCGTTGCAGGTGACAGAAGAAGGTGGGAAGAGCGGGACGTGCCTATGGGCTTCTTGTGATAAGGACTTGTATCAATTCCATTTGGGCCAGCGCGGAGCGATGGAGAACGATTGACATTTGCTTTGGTCTTACTTCCACAGCTATGTCGGTGCTGTAGAAACAAAGAAAATATGGATGTGACATCGTCTCCTGCATGTAAGTAAGGTTAAGTGTTTCCGTCAACGGAATGTGGATTACCTTGCAGCTTCGTCTGTTACGGTGTTGATGTAGCCTGTCTTGTTGTCTTGAGGATTTGGTTTACTTACTCTACTTACACTTTACTGTCCAGCTATCGCAGACACAATTGACAATCATGAAATTAGCTCGTTGCCTGTGCGTCTGGGTACCTCTAGTTCTTTACTCTCTTTGTCCGAATATCGCTTTGAATGCGTAGAGACTCCGTATAGCTTCTTTTGTTGGTCATCGGAAGTCTTTACGTATACAACCTTCCATCTACGGAGGTCTTTATTTATTTGTTTTTTACTATTCGTGCTGGTTAACAGCGTTTTGTGGCCTCGACTCAACCTGTGATCCTTCTCTTCAACTTCGATTTTCTGGGGGAGCAGTAGCTCCTGTCTTCGTCCTCGACACACTCTCTGTACGCGTTGATCATGAACGAGCGCGACAGGTGTCACCCAGAGTGTCAACGCCACCCTTCGTGTGGTCTCTTCCCGAGGCGCCCAGATGGTCGAATAGTGCTACCAGTGCCGGGTCCGCATCTAGGTGGGTACTTACTTGTTCGTCACGTTCAGCAGCAACTGCGCTCATGTTGGTGTCGGCTACATCTCACGGTTGTAGGAGCAAGTAGAACGCCAACCTCATCAACAAGGAGCTCTAGCCACCTGCGCGCTGGTTACTCTCAGTCTTCGAGTGATGATCCAACACTGCCTAACGGTGCGTGACTTTCAATGTTGTCTGCTGTGCCACTGACGTTATGACGCCCAGTGGCAGGTGATTTCAATCACTCAGAGCTGAACCTCGGCGCTTGTCCTCCTTTGGAAGGTCATCACGCAAGTACTTCCAAAAACGAGCGCCCACAGGACGTGTTCGCGTATAGACGCGTCAGAAAGCAGGCGTATGTTTCGCATAAAAGCAGTAAAGAAGGGATGAGGTTCCGCATGTATGTCCGTCCTGTTCAGGGCTTCTAGATATGGGGCGGTTGTTAGAGTATAGCATGTCGTTTTGCTCATGCTTAAGACTGTAGATGTGATGGTACCTCGGCGGGGACTTTGAAATGACGGCGGTGCCAGGCCTCACTAACGCTTCCGAGTTTCAAGTTTCAACGAGTCGGCGCACTTTCGAATTATGGGTCGCAACGCACTCCTTTCAGAGGCAAGTAAGTCGATTCGGTTTGAATGTGAATCGCCAACTCGAGTGTAGTGGGGTCGGTTTTCGATTTGGTGGTCTTGTCCGGCTCTGCGATACCGCGGGGCAACAGTAAAGGGCCTACCCGATATAGAAAGAAAGCTGCCTAACGCGGACACTGTCGATCGGTCAGCCGTCGGACAAATAGAGAACACAGAAGATAAATAGCCACAACGCGTTGCGGCGTATATAAAGCTGATTTTCTTCGTTCATCGACCCATCGCCTCTTGCCTTTCTCCTTCCACCATCACTCGCCTTTTAGAGGCTTCTTCTGTCCTCAATCACACCTTCGAAACCCAACAATACTCTTCAGGTTCACCTCATATAATGCTCGGTAAGTAATTCACACTTCGCGTGTCATCGTATCAACGCTTACATCGCCATAGGCTCTACGCTGCCCTTACCAAGCTCGCTACCTCCCCCTTTGGCAACATGTCCGGTGGAGTGTTCGCCAACCTTTGAGGACCTCGCCTAGGCGTAGTCGGCCTTCAACAACGTGCAATCATTCGTCTACTCACGTACTCTCGGAGGCGCATTTCCAAAATCCCCTTCGTGGTCGCCTTCCCGCCTTTGCACGCCGGTGTCCTCAGCGTCGTTCCTCGCCCCGCCTTTGCCTATCTTCCATGGCGGGTCCTCGAAAGGTCAAAACAACTCCAACCGACCTCAAAGTACGTTTCTCTCCTCCTCTCGCTCACCTACACACACCACGCATACTACCCACCGCATCCTACCGGGCCTGGCACCCGGTAGTCACACCGCGGTACGACCAGCCGCCAACTACCTTCTGTTATCGCTGGTAGGGATGCGGCTTGTTTGGATCGGGTACGGTGGGCTAGAGACACTCGTCCAACAGGACCCCCACGGCCAGGTGGGATGGATGTGGTGCACTCAGCTCGTCCGCCCGTTTCGGAGGTGCACCCCCTGGAGGTAGTATGCTGGATTCCATGCCATCGTCGCTTTCCGTAAGTCAGAACCCACAGGGGGGTGAAGCGTGGTGTCGGGTAGGAAGCCGGAATGGCTCGAGCGTAGAACCTGGTCGAGTAACTTAGGCGAGTGGTTTTCAATAATAGTGGCGGGATGGAAAAGGACTGATGGTCATATCGCTTTCGCAGTACTTTGCCATTGCTCAGCGCTCAGTGAGCGAGATTCTGCCTCTTGTATTTTTCTACTTACCCTTCATTCTCTCCATATATTGACGACCCCTATACAGACTCGCTCGCTCATTGGCCAACTCCGCCTATCTCTGGAATCGCCTGCTCCTCGCGGCGGGATACTAGACGATCTGAGGCGGTGTTCCACTGGAATAATTTCTTCTACTGGAGTCGCTAGTCTCTCGCAAGCTGCCTCTTTCTAACACGCGTCGACCAACGGACACTTGGCTTGCTGTCACACACGTAGGCATTTGTCTTCACGACGAAATGTTCTCGAGGCTCGCATGGCCACTTTTTTCTTCTTGTGAGTCCCTTATATTGTGCAGAGAGCCGAGATGGCTGATCTATACCACTAGTTTGTTTTGAAGTTCCTTTGGACATGCTATTATGCATTAGATGTTTTCCTTTCTCTTTCGGACTTTGTACCTATCCTAAACTACGCGACACACCCAAATTATATATACAAAAACCCCTTATAAATATAGCACTACTCTACTTACTCTGTGGTTATGTCACTATCTTGATCGTGCAACGCATCCCAATTCTTCTTGCACGAGAAATACTTATAATCTGTTGGGCGCAGTCAATCGCCAGGAGATCTGACAAGCTAAAAAGTTGACGCCAACCGTTACTATGCTTTGGGTCACAGGAGCATCGTCCCTTGACCCAATTCTCCTCCTTGAGCGGACAACGTTCGAAAGGCTGGAAGTGGTACCCGATCTCGTCGAAGAAGTGGATTTGGTCTCGTGGAGCGAGCAGGGCGAGTGCGATGGTCAGGACAGGGCCGTTCGTCCAGCGCTGGAGCACAACAGAAAGTGAAGGCCAATTAACTCGGACGACATGATCAATAGGGAAGAGGGGCGGTACGTCGTAATGAAATCCTCCAGATCGGTCCATGTGCTGGAAGAACGCCGTGAAGGCTGCACTACGCCAGAAATCCATATTAGCGATGGCGAAGTTCTTCCAGACTTCATTTAATGAGTTTAGCTCCAAGATCGGCCTATAGAAGAAAAAGACCCACATTGACACTGGTTATAGTTCAACATCTCCCCGGCGTGGTCTAATATGAAACTTTGGGAGTTATCATTCGCGATATACTCAGGATGTTTGTCCATGAAAGCTGTGGAAGAGAGTTGGTGATTAGTTATACTCGAGAATCTCGGACTAATTAATCTGACGTGCCTTGGGCTGTCTCCCAGAGAGTGGGAATCGTGGCAGCGTCGTACTCGGGGAAGGTCAATGAAAATGCTAGTGAAAACCTTCAGTAAAAGTGACGATAGACAGTCGTGATAAAGAGGTTATCATACCAAACGTCTTGTTGTTCTCCTCCATGAAAGTGAATGGGTCGAAGTTGACGTCGCATGTGAAGCGTGCGCCTGGACTTTGGAAAAACGAGAGCAATTCGACCAACAAGTCAGGACGTCTATCACTCGAGACACCAGTACCATTTGTACTGCTGCATCAACGAGTGCTCGAAGAATAACTGAAGAAGGTGCTGCGGTGATTATGACGAGAGCCAAGAGGTAAAGAAACTAGAACTCACGCCTGTTTGATATCGATTCAAGTTCCTGAATGGCACACTACCACCAAACGGTATGTGTCTGCGCTCCATCTCAACACGCGCAGCCTTCGCTTTCGCTTCGTCGATGAAGGTAGGCTGGAACCAATGTTCCTTCGGTATGACACCGAACTCGACCTTCGAAGGCGTGAGGTTCGATATGCGTCTTCAGATAATATGAATACATGGAACACAATGCGATTGCAAGGATTGGGAAACGCACTTCTTGAAGTCAGCCGTGAACTCCACTTGGCCGAGGATAACATATGGATAGTGGTAGCGCCGGTTGAACCTGTCCTCGATCTCACGAATGGTCATCTGGGCTGTGGCGAGTTCCTTCTCGGTCGCGACAAGAAAGAAGGTGGCATTTCGCAAGCCTGCTGGGAGGGGAGGGTCTGCTAAAAGGTGTTGGGTGCCTCTGGTGTTGATAGCGACAGAGGTCCGTCCGACAGTCCATCAGACTGCTGAGCAGGAAGGTACACTTTCGAAGTAACAGGTGTCAGGCGTCGGACATTCAGTGCATTGCGAGACGATTGCGATACACTTGGACTCTTCGTGACATAGAGCACCATGGACTTGTTCGCCGACATTTCAGAGCACTCTTTAGTAACGCAATCATGATTGACATTCGGCACAAGAACGCCAATCAGGGGCGGGAAGACGATCGCGACGCGAAACATTATTGCAGCCTTGAGATTTCGGATGAATGTTCCACCAGACGAAGGTGGTTCCCTGGACCTTCGAGATAAGGAAATAAAGTTCTTGTTCACGTTGAGCGCTTTGGTCATATGTTCTGAGTGTTTACCCACCGTTCCACGAAAAAATCGGACAGTTCCTGCTCAGGCCAACCACAATCCTTATAAATGGACATCCCCACGAAGTGGTTGTATGAAGAGCGTGGGTTCTTATTTTACCGGCTATGAATACCGTACTTACTTCGTCAGGGTACGTCGAGAATAGGGAAGGAAAACTGAAGAGCGAAGGGTTAACCGGGCCGGACAACAGCCAGGACTGAGTTAAAGCTCCGCCCGGATCAATCCGCGCCATCCTCGATCGTGACTGCTCTTCGATCGAATTGTTTTGTTCGCTACCTCCACCTTCGACTTCTAGCCTCCTGGCAGTTGAATTTTGATTTCCCGAACAGCAAATTCCTCTGGAATATCCGGATTTTCCAAACCTCCAACCTCCTTCTAGGATGAATCCCGAGTGAATTCCGCCAGCTCCGGCCATATTACTCGCGATGTTTGTGCTCGTATCGATTCCTCCGAGACCTCGCAATTTGGACTTCGCTCGAAACGTCGCGGCCACATTCTCTCTAAGAGATCGTCAGACATTGGATTCCGCTTATCTCTATTGTTTCTGGGCGTCAATCAGAACCCGACTTCACTTGCACGCGGTTCTTGGTTCTTCTCAACTGCCTTCCTCTCAAAAAATACGGAGATTCGGAACCCATCCTCTTCGTCAAATCTTTGGAAGTATCTAGATCACTGAAGATATGGGACAGGGAACAAGTTACATTCATCCTATGTTCTCGTATAATCTTCCTCTGCGACTCTATAGTTGCGAAGAACCCGAAGTTCTCAGGAGGCGGCCGTGATCGCGCAAGATAAATCTTTCTTGTGGCCCCTCAAATAATTCCCGTTCTTTGCCTCCCAGCTGTTTCAATCGTACCAAACAGCGCCGAACTGCCTTCAGCCTCCGTATCGATGAAAATTAGCACTGACTACATCCCTCGTGATGTTCACGCGGTGCGGACGAGCGTATATCGTGCCGTTGAAAGAGTCTTTGGTCACTTCGATATCTGAAATTTCGCCTAGAATTGTGTGATAACAACGACTCCTGCTACGCGTCATGCATGCTGGACACGGGTTTTTTGTCTTACACCCGCTTTCTAGCCATCTCATCCATCTTGTTTATCGTGAGGACGCCGGCGTAAGTCGCGTACGCCTGAAGCACCCTCTATCAAAATATGTCGTGGACCGATATATTCATTGGCTTCTTCAACGTTCTGCTATATGCGACCACGACCGCGCAAGCCTGCCTCTACCATACGAACTGTAAACAATTGATACTCCGCTCTACCTCAGTCGAGGAGTTTTTTGGCATGGGGTCCGTGAACATGGCCGAAGATATACGTCGGTCTTTCTGTACGCACGACCGGTATGCAAGGTCTCATCTGGCGTCCAGCTTTTCGTGTTGGCGACCGAGTGCTGATGCTGCGAATATCATCCTCGATTTTATCTATCTCCCAAAGTCACTCATTTTCACTTTGATACCCCGTTTATCACGCCTTCTTTCGGTCCTCGAATTCTCAATTGTTACAAGGCGACAACGATTGCTTTCCCAATGAGTGCCCAGACCCTTCTTTCGCGTTGTATTTGCGTCGTATTAACATGTGGATTGAACGCTAGTCTTCGCCACTGGTACGTGTTGCAGCATTACTCTAACTCAAACAGGACGGATTTCTGACCTCGTATCCATCAGACCCTACTGTAACATGTGGCTCCCAATCTCCAGGCGCTACTTAATTTTAAATGTCTCAGGGGATCACAGCAAGTCCTTTGCAACTAATACTACTTTTCGCTTGGCACGTTTTCGCCTTGACGCATACTTAGGGTGTTGTTGGCGGGTATGGTTATATTGGGATCATTGGCAGGTCTCGGTACGTCGTTTCCTTGGACGACATTCAGGAGGACGTAGAATTGATTGAAAACCTTTATTCAATTATTGATGTTTCTCCAAGTGGCGCACTAGCGACCCTAGGGGAAGTCCAGCGTGCACCCCACTTTGTCAAATATTCACGAATCAACTTCCCTCTGTTTGACGAGCTTTCTTCGACCAGAATGTCGTAATAATCCGCTTTGGACCGCCTCGGCGGTCCTCACAAACATCTTCGTCGCCTTGATTTAGTAGTATGGTTCTTGTACGTCCGCGTCCCACCTGATTTTTCTTTAAGCGTTTTGGCACCTCTGTGATGGATTGTTTTTGTCAGGGTAACCTTTCTTCGCGAATTCGAATCTTCAACAGAAACATCCGGCATCCTACGCAGAGAAAGCACAGATGGGATTCCAGGCCTCAGATTTCATGGCTGATCGCATCATGCGGGGTACGGCCTCTGATTTCCCCATGCTCTCCTTAGGATTGAATTCAGGATTGCAGCAACGGTGTGAACGGGCCTTTTATTGCGACGCTCAGCTTGATCTTCCTGACAGACGTGAGGACCTATTTTCCATTCGTAGAGAAAATTTGCTTAACGGGATTCTTCTACTTCTTCCACAGTAGCCCCACACCAAAGGCCGAAGGCCCGAATGGCGAGTGAGTGCGAACCCATTCCATCTTTTCCTGATTTTTGAAGGGTCGTTGAGGCTCAAAGATGACGCTACAGCCGCCCCATCATTAGCCTCCCGACCCGCTTATGAGCAGCGCGCGGGATGGCGGTTGGATCGTGTCGACGGGTCGGTGGAGATGGGGACCAATAATAATATGGGTATTATTGCGACGTCGAGGCTGAATGCTCCGCGTGCGCCACTGTCATTAGCCCACGGCAATTCCCTTAAATAACCCCTGTGGCGCATCGGGACCGCGTCGCTCGTACGACACACTTTCAAGAGCACTGAAACCCTCAGAAAAACCCATCGTCGCGCCCACCGTGACCCACCAGTAATCCTGGAAGCTGGACACCTTCGGTCATCAAGGACCTAACGTTATTCACTGAAATATCCCCCTTCTCTTCCATTGTAATTTGGGTTGCCCGGTTCTTCGCTGCGGTTGCGTGCAGACTGCCGTAATGAAACCTAGAGTAAAGGCGCGCCAGGTGGTATTTTTTCACGTCCAGACTCTCCAGTCGCAGGACTATGTTGCCAGTGCTCCTGCCCGCCAGCTAGACGCGCCCGAGGTGTCGCGGGTGGATTCGAAAAACGGCGCACGATCCCCGAAGAGTTTTCTCGTCCGTGTCGGTGAGTAAGACAGGGACTACAAGCTCGGGTCTTGAAGTGACGAGCGCGACGAGAAGTTCGAGGACAGAGAAGAACCTCGCGTTGATATTATTATGTCACCCGAGATCGACACGATACATCTCCAGCCTTGAAGCTTGAAGCTTGAAGTCGCGAATTCTTTCTCCTTTACGAATCATGAGCGGCGTCTTTCAATTCATTTCATTTGAAGAGCAAGGGGTTGTATTCCACAGGGTTTCAATTGTAACTCGGAACATGCACATGGACCTACAAGGATGCAGACCAACCCTGATAATTCAATCCACAGCCTCCTCTCTCTTCCATCTCCTGAGGCCATGCTATGTACGAACACCGTGGCACTCCGGTACTCTGCAAGGAATTCCCTGGATTAGTAAGGTAAGTGGTCGCTGGGCGCTGCACCCCAATCGCGAGCAGTCATCGCGAGCCTCATCCACGGACGGTCGAAGAAGGAGAAGAGAAAAGAGAAAGACATTTCCATGAGAACAGTCGCCTACGTACGGGGAAGACGCAGGCGATCATATGGCATTTGGTCCGCTGAGTTTTTCTCCGGGATTGGATTTGGGAGGCGCAGTCACGATGACACCGATTCCGTCCTCCGAAGCGTTCATCAGACGATAAACGGATACAGTCAGATCTTTTGCTGAGGAAAGAAGAGCCTTGGATTGTGTCCGTAGGCGTTATCTGGTCTCGGACATCGGCCGTCAGCTGCCAATTGCGAGAGGTATCTGTGCTGGGAGGAGATAAATAAGAGTCGGAGGCACGTGTGGCGGATCCGGAAGCAGGATGATGCGCCTCACATTACAAGTCCGCTTGGGACATGACCCACGGGTCAGATGGCTGCCTCGCTCGGCAATCGGTCGCTACGCAGGTAGGCTTCAGATTAAGTTGATCGAGGCCTTTGCAGGGTTGACGCACCTTGGACGCAAACATTTAATCAGAGCAGATAACCACGAGGCGTACCGTCCTGCAAGTTGAAGCAACACTCTGGTTGGAACGAAATCCTGAAGGCGATCACCTGAACAAGGAAGTAAAAAGAGCTCGAAATGGGATGGAAAAGAAGGCAAAGTCGGCGCAGACGAGGTCAATTCGGGCCAGACACACGTAACGTCTAAATGTTTATCCAGTTGTTGACTTCAGGCTCGTCACGATGGTTCGGTCCCGCAAGTTCGAAGAACTGTCCTTTCTCCATTCCTTTTTCAGAGATTTATCTATTCGCAGAACTGGTCTATATCAGCAAGAAAACAGCAGCTGGGATGAGCCTCTTATCACGAATCTGCGACCATTCATGTCAGAAGTCCTTTTAGTCTTCTTCCGCCCATTTCGTAACAGGGAAAGCGGATAAAACTATTTGGAAACCCCCCTTTCTCGAAGAAACCCCGGGCTTCCAAATAACTTGTTTGGAAACCCGGTTGCATGTTCGTGCCTGTCCGGTGATCGCGACCCAATGTGGAACCGGCTGCCGTGTCTAAGCGCCATCGACTCGCGCAGGTCGTCGCCGTATGAGCCATTGCGGCCATCGGATAGCGTATTTCGAGCCACCTCTTCCTCCCTCATATTATGCACTACTAGAGGTTACTATAACCTGCATTTATTGTATAATGGGACACTTCGGGAGGACTCAGAGCGATACGCCCGCCGGTGCTAAGTTGCAAGTACTATTCTCATCCAACTTCAGCTTCAGCGCTTTAGGCCTAAATGTCTGTCGCACTTCAGCTACCTGGAGAGAATTCAAAACAATTCAATGTCCAGTAAGTACTGGAATACTTTACCTAACAATAAGAGAGGTTTGCGCCGAGACGCACCCCATCTCCTTGGGCATTCACAGAGATACTTACTTCTCGACACACCATGGGTATGCCAGTATTGGTGATGTGCTTGTTTTATACAGGCCTTGCACCTCCTCAGCTGGTGCTAACTCTTGTTGGTCGCCAACACAATCCGTGTCGAAGATCCTTGACAAGCGCCTCTGAGCGCCTCTCACCGACTCGGCGGCGCCTCCGGAGAGGCAAACATGCACACATTTTTGATGGAAGGACAAATGCGGGGGTTTCTACATCCATGATGAGAAACCCAGGGTTTCCGTAGAAAGGGGGGTTTCCAAATAGTTTTATCCGGGAAAGCGGGCACTTCCTTATGCACCACGCGGACGTCGTAAGGTGACCGATTTATTGTGAGAGCCTAGTGCATTTTTGTTGGGAGTCCGTCAGCGCGCGAACATTCAAGATTCCTGCGATGATTTGTCGGAGGAGTCGGAGGAGAGGTGGCGCGTGTTGACCAGGAACATGCCTCTGTCGCTTACGGGATGACCCCCGCCCTGCCCCAAAGTCCACCCAATTTGAGGCCCTCTGCCCGTATACGCGGCCTCATCGATATCTCGATGTCTCTGAAAATAAGATCGCCCTCTCAGAACATGCAGAACGACTTGCAGAGGCAGATCAATTGAGCAAAAAATACCTTCGCCTAGAGATGTCCTTTTTTTCTGTCTTTTTATTTTTTTCCTCTAGTGACACATGATACTTGTCGTGACCTGGTAAATTTTGGACAGGCCTTGTAACCAGCCGTTCTTCCCAGGTGTCTCTGGTAAAGAAGATCAGCCAACCGCTTATCTGTGTCAGCGAAGGTCGTAACGAATCCATCATCGTCGTTGCCTGTCCCGGCGGCAAAGGAAGAAGTATTATGCCTCACTCACTCGTAAGCAGTGCGGCCTGACGTTTCCCGTAGTAGACTGCTCGGCGAGCTGGACACCGATCAAAGCGCTCGCAGAATGTACATTGGAGGTAACGTCGAGGACGACGAGGACGGTGACGGAAGGACGGTTGCAGAGGTGCATATTTGGCCTGGCAGAATCTGCCAAACATCCGGCCAGCGCATCACGGATCCAGCTTTCTGCCCGACTTCCTTGTCTTTCTCCCACTTTCTTTTGTGTTCAAGAACCCTTCAGAAGGTCTTCGATTCAACCTCGGTTTCTGCTTTGAAGCTTTCGCGCATCAAAAACACTTGGAACGACTCTAGGTCCGGTAAATATTGGTTCTAGATACCAACATTAATTAGGTCGATGCTGAATATTGTGTCTTCATAGACAGCCTCAATGCAACTCCTAGTCTGCGACTCAATTGGATCGCATCCTGTAGCACCCGAGCGCAATATTTTCGTTCTCAATTCTCTTATTCGCTGGCGTTGAACTGGGTGTGTTAGGCGTTCGGAGTCTCCCAATCTCAGGGAACATCTGATCAACACGACATATCGCATTTTTGCGACCCTGCACAATCATGATCATGGATGCCATGGAACATTGGAACTGTTTTTTTTTCTCCATCCTCTTTAGGAATCTGGAATCCTATCAATGTGCTTGTGACGTTGTATCCGGATGGAAAACAGCAGAAAACAGCCTGCTTCTTGGACCGACAAATGGAGGTGTCTCAGGGTTTGGCGAGGGCGGAATCTAAGCAGATCTAACCGGAGACCCTCAAATAGTCTTTGCCGAGCCCTCTGCACATCTGTCGTCGTTCGCCTTCCACCCCCAACCCACTTTTTTGTCTTTTTATCTTCTTCTACAGGGTGGTGGCACAATGTCGGTCATTAGTCCGATCAGCTTGAAAGGACCTGCGGAGGTTGCGTGAGTGCTCTACAACTCCTACCGCGACGAGCACTAACCGTACCTCGACCGGAAGCCATGGATGGATGTTCATTGGGTTCACAGTCAACATCCTTCTACTGGGTGTCATGATCACCCAAGTATATTTATACTATGCACAATATAAAACGTACGTCGCTTTCCGGTCCATCTCTCGAACGTCCTTGACATCTCGCGCAGCGACAAACCATGGATCAGAACTTTTGTCAGTCACCGAAACCTGCCTTCCCCTTCCACTCGAAACTCAACCCTCTATACGCCTCAGGTTGCTGTATTATTCCTGGCCGACATCGTTAATTCAATATTTGTTTTCATCTACTTGTATCGCTCACTCATCACATTTTTCGGTGAGGAGACTGCCGTCCTTTCCTCGCTCTGACGACCTCTAACCATGTTTTCTTCCAGGGGACGAGGAGTTTCTATCAAAAGCTGATTGGTGTACGTCCTTTGCGTCTTCTCTCTCGTTCCGATGCTGATCAGTGATTATCCTCTTAGTATTTGCAACCGGTAAGCGAATGAAACGTTTGGGTTGGAGCTTTGCTGAAGGGTTTCTCGGACGTCAGATCCTGCCACAACAGTGAGTTCTCCCCTTCATGTCGCGGGAGAATGGAAGTTCTTACCCGTTTCCTAGGGCATCATTGCCAGTGCCGTTCAGTTGTTCTTCGCGTGGCGTGTTTTCGTTCTTACCAAGACATGGGTATACACGGCTGTCATCGTTTTACTCTCGCTTGCTGGTGGAAGTAAGCCGTCGTCCAGCTCCCTCGTTTGCATCGTGTTAAACCCGAGCAGTCTCTGCCATTATCACCGCCGTCGAGGTCGGTCGCACTCCCAAATTCGTCGACTTCCAGAACTTCAAGTCGGTCGTTATCATCTGGCTCGCTGCTGAAGCTCTCGGCGATGTTGTTATCACTAGTGTTCTTGTGTGGCATCTGTGAGTACCTTGTCCCTTGTACTCGTTCTGGACCGAAGATTGACCACTCATCCTAGTGTAAGCCTCCCTCATCAGCACGCCTCTCAGAGCCTGACTTCTCTTCCGTCAGCGTAAGCACAAGACAGGCTTCCAGCGTTCAGACATGATGGTCGACCGCATCATTCGAAGTATGTGTAAATTTTTTCGCAGTCTCGAGCATTTGATCTTACGCGAATTGCAGTTACTGTCCAAACCGGTCTCCTGACGATGATTGTCGCTTCACTGGACCTTCTCTTCTTCCTCATTGACGTGAGTCGGCTTGTCCCGATGATTCCATCAGCGCCTCTCTTCTAACTGGAGTATCCGTCTACCAGCCAACGGGAACCCACCTCCTGTTCAATTTTCCTCTCGCGAAGCTGTACTCGAACTCGCTCATGAGCAGCTTGAACTCACGCCGCGGATGGAAGTACTCAGGCAACACGTCTGGTATGGAGTCGCGATCGGAAGGCCAGGTGAATACAACCGGCGCCATCCAGCAACGCAATCTTCACGTCTCGAGCAAAAAGCCCGTACGTCCGCTCCTCCTCGCGCAGCTCGCTCCACTTTTCTCACCGTGCCAATTTTCTTTCTCTTTTGTTGTTGCCCTCTTTCGCTTTACCGCCGTTTCCAGAACGACATGATTGTTCTCGACCCCACCCGGACCCATCCCGAGGTCTTTGTGCACGTAGAGTCGCACGAGATGCGCGATGTACAGGGTGGCCAGCGCTTCGATGACAAGCCACGAACGCTGCACTCAGAGACATCTGTCGAGAAGTCGGTGGAGGAGAGATGGACTACGGATAAGAAGAGCCAGTGGTCTTGATTCCCTTCCTCATATGCCAGTCGATTCTATCGTTATTTCTTTCTATGTATGCTGTGCATAGTGTCTTGTTCTACCACTGCTACCATCTATCCTGTACTCATTCCCGTAATTACAATCAAACTTGAAGCCCATTCGATACCCCGGATTTTCATCGTGCGCTGTGCAGCGCTTGCATCTTGTGGGCATATATGTTGGCCTTGCGATTTGCCACGCCTCTTTATAAGGCGGGTGCAGACGATCTTGTGTTGTCCGGAGACGAATGACCCCCATTCGTCTTGTGGTCCCAGTTAGGCAGTGTACGTTCTAGTATTTCAATTTCTCTTCGCCCTTCGTGTGTTGATGACCATCGTGCCCAGTGGGCATTTGTCTTCCTCACTGTTGGCCTCGCTAATTGCTTGCAGCAGCATGCTTGTCGCGCGTGTCACCTCTGAGGCGATCAAGACTTTCGCTAACAAATTACCATCTCTGGATAGGATGGAACGGGTTCTCCTTCCCCGGTTTTTATTGGCTTGCATCCATCGATGATCGTCCCAGTCTCTTTGGATGCCGTTTCGAGGTGGCGAACGCGGTACGCCATCGATCTTTTTGGGTCGTCTGACTGACTTTTCATTGCTCTCTACGCGTAGGTCTCGGATTCTAGGACGAATTCCTTCATTTCAATAGGCAGGAATGCCTTCATGGTCCTATAAAATTCCTTGATTGATCATCGGCGGGCGTACATTCGTCTCGACGGGCTTCAGTTCGTCCACTTCCCGACGCGGCTGCCGGCCTCTCCGCATAGTTTCTACTGGTGTCAGCTAATCCGCATAATGTCTGATGGGCACCACCCTGTCCGTGTCATCATCGATTGTCAGGCCTTCAGGCGTCAGCCTGTGTTATCGTCCCAAGGAAGGGCCTCAGCCCCCGACGGGCAACCTCCACGTCCATCATGATCAGATTTCGACGAGTAACTGCTTGTCCATGTATTCGACTTTGGCTGATTCAAATATTTTCAAGGAACACCCGACCGATACCAGTATCGGCCGACCCGTGTCCCCTCCGAACATCGGTACACATAGTAACGACGCGCCTCTGTGTCTACACGATGAGGCTGAGGTGGGCCGCGGGCGACCGCCCTCCTACTTTCAAATTATTACCCCAGACCATTTCTTCCAGCGACGAGGCGGTCCGGATGTCCCGTTTTATGACGTAGAATAGTACCTCGCTTCGTTGTTGACTATCTTCGGGACCGACTGGCAGGCAAGAGTATGTTCTCAAAATCCGCTGCTGCCTAGAGTATTGATTCTGTGTACGTGCACCTGAGAAGTATTTAAAGTAGGAACCGAAGTCCTATGCGCAGCAGGTGCAGTGCACTATACCACTACAGATCCCTCTTCCCCAACGCCATTAAGAATAGACTGACCGTTGTCGCCGTTGTCGACGGCGCTTTTGGACATCCAGACTCCAAGACCCGGCCCGAAACCTCCTTTCGTGCTGTACATTTGACCTGATGATCTTTAAATAACCAGGTGGTATGTTCAGGTTGTACGTACTTCATACCACCCAGGTACGTAGGCTTTCTCTCGTTTGCGACTCGGCTTCTACATATTTTTGGGCCTTCCATTGGAAGCCTCGTGGTGTGGCCAGCTGGACGCGCGATAGCCATTCTGACATTTCGACCTGCCCTCATGCCCTGTGGACAACTTATAAACCCCCTTCGTTCGACCTGGTCCTCCATCACAATGTAGCAATTCCTCTTTTCCCCCTCCTCCTCTAAACTGAGGTTAGTCCTTTACTTCACCCTCCACTTCTAGATCTCCAGACTCGTTGTACTTATCAATGTCTTGTAGCACTCGTTCCTGCAAAGGACGGGCGCTTATCCTCCCCATCTCGCGACCAGTGGTTGCTTGATCCTACCCGGGTAAGTCATTTTAATCATTCTCTTTCCGTGAAGATGCTCATATAACATCATTTATTAAGCCCCATTCATCACACTCCTTCACTGTTGTACCCTAGTGGCAAAAGAACGTTCTCTTGTAAGTTTTAAGCCATCTCATCCACCCGTTACTGGTCGTCGCTAACACTACGTTCGTCAGGGCGAGTGGCGTTTCCCGGTCATGGCCTCACACCTTCCTGCGTTTTGAGTTCACATAGTACGTTGTTGATGTCAGTAGTGGTAGCCATGATTAAGAACACTGGTTGTCGAGCTATTTTTCCCAAGAGCGAGTGACTCGGCCATGCTTAAACAAGTGTATTGTTAATCTCAGACAGGAGGTTCCTTCATGGCTGGCCGGAATATGTGATATTCTCAGTATCTCTATCGATCCTACTGATCACATTAGAGGCGCAGGGGAGAGGCAATTTTCGTTTATATTAGGTCAAGGGACGTCCTCGACTTTGTCCTGTACACGAGGCGCTTGGACCCTTAGATATCAAGATGAGGCACTCCTGACGTGGCACCTCTTTAGGTTTGGATATCGATGTGGGCCTGCTCGCTATCGATATCAACACCCATTCCTTAATCATCGATGGCCCATGGGCGCCTATTGATAAGCGGCTGTGCGGCCCGACTTGCGTTATCGCCGCATACGTCCATTCGCCAGGCGTTCTCGCTCATTCAGTACACCAGGTAAAGAACGCCGAGATTTATCGTACAAATTTATTGGTAATTAGATGTTCTGTTTCGATTCATGGACTACGACATGACATTAGTCCAGCCTCAAGCGCCTCCTTCGAATCCGCGTGCTTCGATGGGCGGGTCACATGCTTTTCCGTCCACCGGAACAATATCAAGTTGACCATCGCTTTTAGGGCAACGACGAAAATTCGCCCCGCAGCAAGGTCAACTGCGTTATTCGCTGTTCTGGGGTCTTCAGCAGAAATGACTCTGTCCTTTCCCTTCTCCTTGGGTTCTTGCTTGACGATGGATTCCAGAAAGGCGACAGGGACAATCGGGCCGTCGACGCGGTCAGGAAATTGTCTGACTTGGGTGGATTGGACCTCAACGACACGCACATTCTGTGCCAGGGAGCAGTTCTCCGTGAGCGCTCTCCATACTGGCGACAACAGCGGCGCTCTAATCTCACGATACTGGGTGTGGCTGGGCGAGACGACGAAATGGAGTAGCTTGCATGTTGCACCCAGGTTTCTGAGATCAGCTGGAGACTCAATTGCCGAAGCGATGAGGTCGAGGGTTTCGAACGGTGATTTGACGAGGATCATGGCGACTGAGCGCGAGTGCTAAATGTTGAACGTTTGAACGTTGAAGCCTTGAACGTTAGGGCGTCGTGCTGAGTGGCGACATCAAGAATGCATGTGCGAAAAAGAAAAAGTGCTTGCTCTGAAGTCTTCGTTCGCATTTCGTTATGTCAAAATCCAGCAAGGCTCCTCCCAGATTTCCTGTTCTCTACGACCCGTCCACCAAAGGGGGCGCCCATATCCCTATACTAGTAATTACGTCTTGAATGTCAAGGTGAGCCCTGGATAGTGTTATCTCCCTCCTATCACCGCCTATCACGCCCATCGCCCCTCAGAACCCGCCGGGCGCTTATTGATAATCGAGCTCGAGACCAGCTGACTCTTGGCTTCACCCGTGCGGTACGTACATTTACACATCCTCGTACGATAGGGTAATTTAATTAGACAATGTTTCCCGGGTATGAAGGTCTGCGCTATTCAAATCCATTCCTTCGGTGAACTGTGTCTACATTCAAAACACGTTGTAATAGGAAAGGAAGCACAATACGCAACAACTCCTCTGGCCGTACATGGATGATAGAAATGGCCACTAGTTGGCGTTAATGCGTGCACACCTTTCGTACACGGAGTAAACGGCTCCACTGATTCTACTCTCGTGTAATAGGATCCTTTAATAACCTGGTCGTGTGTTCATTGCGTACGTACACACAACCCCAGATAGGCTTTCTCTCGTCTGAGACTGCAGTTCTCGCGTATTCCAAGACCTCCCATGGGATGCCTCATGTCTAAGCATACTAGACGTGCGAAAGCCGCTATAACCTGCCCTGAAACTCTGGAAACAACTTATAAACCCCTCCTAGTTCAACGAGGTTCCCCATTCACAATGTAACAATTCTTCTACCCTTCCTCCTCTAACATGAGGTGAGCTCATTCGTTGACCATCCACCGCTAGCTCTCCTCATAATACTCATCGATGCCTTCCAACCCCCGGTCCTGCAAAGGATGGACGCTTATCCGCCCCCCTCTCGCAACCAGCGGTTGCTTGATCCTACCCGGCCTCGTAAGCTCCCCCGCTCGCTCTCGTTTCATGCGGATACTCATATAGCCTTCGTTTATGCAGGGTTCCACCGCCATCCACACTCCTTCACTGTTGCACTCTGGCAGCGAAGGAACGTCCTCTTGTGAGTCGAGCACCCCCCGCCTTCACCAGCCGCTACTGACAGCGCCTTCGACAGGACGAGTGGCGGTTCCTGTTCCTCTGGGGCTTACACCTTCCAGCGTACTTACTAGGTTCGCGTATTACGTTGTTGTCAATGTTAGTAGTGGTAGCCTTGATCAAGGACACTGGTTGTCGAGCTGAGTGTTTTCCTGCGAGAGAGCGACTTGGTCGGCGCCTGAAGCAACCCTAGGAAACTAAGCTACCAAGAAGCCCGTTCCACGTAGTGGGGTACGTGTTCTAATTTTAGCATTGTTATTGTTATTTTGGCGCACATCCTGGTGTGGGGCAAAGACCCCAAGTGGAGATTAATGCAAGAAGTCAGAGGAACGCACCCTCAATGTTGTTCTGTAGATGAAGCGTTTCTATCCTTACCTTTGACTTTGGCTTCAAGATAAGGCAGCTTTCTGATAGCCTTTTGCACGGCCGTATTTAATATCGGACATCGATAAGGACATCCAGTGGCGATTGGGAGCTAAGGTGCACACCGAGTGCCTGCCCTGATTCGGAATTGCGTGATATGAACCCTCGGCCGCCCTCACCCAGTCTCTTTGAAGTCTACCATCCGCTGCCTCCTGGAAGAGGCTGCCCATCCTCTCAGCCTCAGCATCTCACCCTTGAATATCAAGGTAAGTTCTCGATGGGTCGATACGGCGATCTCCCTGCAACCATCGCTTATCGTGTTCATCACCCTTTAGCACCTGCCGGGCGTTTATCGATAATCAGGCTCGAGACCAGGCGTCTCTCGCTCCCACCTGCACTCGTACGTCCGTTTACCCGACTCCCTTCGATAGGTAGGGGTAAGCTGACGACGGCGTCTCGTGTATGCAGCTCATAGGAACCCACCGCATTCGAATCTATCCTCGACCTGTGCTCCAGTAACTACCCGCTGAAGTAGCACAAGGCTGTTGGAGTGGGGAACATCATCTCGTACGTCGTCGAAACTCCGTCGCCGTTTGATTTCATACGAATGATACGTCCTGAACGCAGGCACCAATCTCTCGTGCACGCTCAACTAAGTCCTAATCGCCGGCAGAGCACCCGCCCGAAAGGCTCATTCTGTCTTGTCATATGATGATGAAACGGAATTTTGTGGTAGTTCCGCGCCTTCCCTCCGTTTGGGAATAGGCGTCACGGACTGGCGTGCTTGCACACGCTCGTTCGAGGGATGCTGCTCAGACGAGTCGCATTCTCACTTTTGCGAGATATTAGATGTTCCTGGAGACGGCTGGCGGTCCTTTCCTTTACTCGAGTAGTCGGGCTAGGTGGTCAAATTGAATGCTGGTGGCTAGAACGATCGGGATAAGTCTGAGAGAAGATTGCAACCTGTGCCATTTTTTTCAGAAGAGTACTGAGGATGTGAGTACAAATGGAGGTCATAGAGCTTCAGCGGCTTTCTTGCCAGTATCCCGGAAGATCTCCAACGCCCGCCACGCCTTCCCCGAAGTGACACTTTCCCGAGCAAGGTTGGCACCTTCAACGTAGTCCTTCGCAATCCCTGCGACCACAAGTAGGGCCGACGCGTTCATCAGCACAAAATCCAACACCGGCACAAGCTTCTCGGGGATATTCTCCCCCGACGTAAGCAGCGTCTTGAACGTCTCCGCGTTCTCCATCGGCGACCCACCCGCGACCGTCGACAGCGTGTGCGCGGGCAGCCCAAAGTCCTCCGGCCTGATCACCTTCTTCGTCACCTTCCCGTCCTTCAGCTCCCAAGCGTGCGAGGGACCCGCACAGCTGATCTCGTCGAGGCCCTCGAAGCCGCACACGACCAAGGCGCGCTCGACGCCGCCCTCCCCGATTGACTGTGCGAAGGTGGGCCCGATCTCGGGTTCGGCGACACCCAGGACCATCCCGCGCGGCCTAGCGGGGTTGATGAGAGGCCCGAGGACGTTGAACATGGTGCGGAAGGGGAGCGATTTGCGGTACGGCGCTATCGTGGCGAGTGAGGGGTGGTAGTGCGGCGCGAGGATGAAGGTGAAGGGCACGCGTGGGATGGGCATCGGAGTCCCTGGTGTGGGCGCGGTGAAGAGGCATTCGAGCGACTCGAGCAGGTCGGCAGAGCCTGAGGACGAGGTCGACGCACGACTTCCGTGCTAAAGGCGCATAGATAAGAGAATTTTCAAGTTTAGAAACCGAATCCACACGCACTTTGATAACCCTCGCACCCGCACCGGCTGCCACGACCGCCGCTGTCGTGCTCACGTTGAACAGATTGTACCCATCGCCTCCCGTCCCAACGATATCCACCACAAAGTCGTTATCCGTGTCCTGTACCGCTGCTTTGAGCGCACGATCACGCAGCACGCTCGCTGCTGCTGCCAGCGAATCCGGTCGTCTCTCCACACGGTGTATGTGCAGCGCTGTCAAGAACGCTCCGATTTGAGCTGGATGAAGTGCATTGGGCGTAAAGAGGTGGTTGAGTGACTCTTTGAGGTCGTCGGGAGTGAAATACTCTGGCGTCTGCACCAGCCTGTTCAGCAGCGGGCGGAAAGTCTGCGACGTGTATTCGGACATTGGGGTTTCGACGCTTGGGAGGTGGGAGAGTGATGTGAGGTGTCGCTGGTGGTTTTTATAAATGAAAGTTTGACTCGGTGCGGGGTCAAACGCTGAAAATTATAGCCGAACCATCGGGGAAACGCCCCGATGTCTCATGCCCAAGATAAAGCCATATCTTTACACTCGGACGCGAGCAAGGAAAAGAGTGGCCTGAGGGGATTTAGGAAGGGACAGAAATCGGTGCTAAGGAGCGGTCGGCGTTGAGGTTAACGGAATGATGTGCTGGACATGCGCAGAGAAGTGAGAAACTTCGGCTTCGGCTAAATAGGGGTCAGCCTTGGCTTGCACCTTTCCTTCTTACCATCACCATCGACAGGTAAAACGCTACCTCAGACGGCTGGAATGGTCTTCATGTCCAGGCAATTCGGCTCAGCACATGGAAGATTACTCGGGATATGTGAACCTTTTTAGAACTCTGGTAGGTCGGCGCTTTCGCGTCTCAGACGCTCAGCCTGCTGCATTTATTACCTGTTCGACTCCCTAGTGTCTTTACTCGGACTTTTATCGACGCTGGCAAATACCAGCAGAACCTATAGGATGAACGAGGACATACGGAATGACAAGGACATGGAAGTCGACTGCCTCGTCTCGCGTCTGCCACCTTTCCGCGTAATGGAAGGAAGGAAATGAAAAAAACCAATCTCCACCACCTTGTCAATTCTAGTGGGCTTTCCGTTTCAACCCTCGGCGACATATCTTCAGCGATGAACTCTTCATTTATTATTATAGGACCCGGGGTATTGCAACGCCCATTGCACCTTTTCCTTGTTCGTCCGACCAGAGCCTAGTTCCTGGAGATCAGGGCCCTACCTCTGCTCCGAGTACAGCAGAATGTCACAAAGAGCCATGGTCTTGCACAGAACATGAAGCGTCGCTGACGTTCAGTCGATTGGGCTTTCCTGATCATATAAACGACTCGATCACCCTCGTCTTTCGGTGTCTAGAGCTCTTCGTCGAACAGAGGCGCTCCAGGAAACCGGCGTTTGTTCTTTTGCATGCCCTGCTGTGGACGCCATCTTGTCTCAATGGTGCGCCTGAGCGTTCCGCGAGATCGACCCTTGTTTTTTGCATTATCCTTGACACCTTGCATTAGAAAACACTAGAGGTTTGCCCGTGCTTCGCGCGGCGGGTGCGGGGAGGTCGAATTGAGATCCAAGATAACCGTACGTGCCGAAGTTGCTCACAATCTCACTTGAGGCCGCTCGCCTTCCCCACTCGTCGCGCACGGCGGAGCGCCGTCCTGAAGGTCGAGCGCTGAATAAATACTGAGTGATCACTATAAGCGAATGCAAGCAACTCCTTCTCAGTCTGGTACTGAAGGGCAGCCAAATGGAACCTCTTGCTTCATGTCCGAGCCATTGGATGTATCTGTACTTGGAGGTCAGTTCTACAATCCTCTGAGCGCTCGTGGACTGGTGGTGGAGGTCGGGCGTAGGATCGCCTGCATCGTCTCGAAAGAGTCTAGAATGAAGCCCGAAGTATATGTTGCCATTGATAAGCTCGCCACCCTCTGGTTGGAGAAACAAATGACCCAGTTAATCGGTGGAATTCATTCCACGTCCACCGTCACGCCTCAAGCTCAAGATCTCACGCAAAAAATTTTGGCAACAGGAATTCACTTTGACCACCTGTATGAACATGAAAGACGACCGCCACTCTCCTCCGGAATATCTACAGCCTTATGTACGTTGATGAAAGCAGCTCATCCGGGCTGGATCCATCGTTGCACTTGCTCTCAAGAGCTGTGTCTTACTAGTACCCACTACCATGCCTTGTGGACTTTAGTCCGCAAGGGCAGGGTGCCCGCGATTGGGACTTAAGGAGCATCTATACGTGCCAATATTAGCTACACTGATTCCCCATCTCATTAATGTATGACCTTTGTACTCACAAGGCATCGATATGCCCTTCTCCAACGGCGCGCAACGGTAGGTAGTCATGGTTGCGTCCTCGGATAGATTCGAATGCGGTAGATTCTGTGGACTTCCGGATCGCAAGCAATAGTCAGACTAGGTGTCGGGTTTACATTAGGATGGAGAACGGGACGTACGTGCGCAAGTGGGACCAAGAGATGCCTGTTCTCAAGATCGATTATCAATAAGCGCCCGTCAGGAGCTGGGCCGATAAGGAAGATCAGCATTGGAGGGATAAGGACGGTGGTAGTGTCTCGCCTTGATACCCAAAAGTGAAATGTGCAGGAGGGGATGATGGTATTATAGCGAGAGCTTCAGGGCAGGACCACCTATAATTAGTACGAAGATCGGATTCATCACGAGTTTCTGGCTTAATTAATCGTCTCTCGTCTAGGGTTCCCCTTCGAAAGTGTCCTACGACCACAAAAATCACGAGAATCATCGATAATTTTGTTGCGAAGATTAGGAGGACCGGGGCGAGAATGTCCTGTTCAGTGCGAATGGCGCGGAATGGTAGGGGTGGATGGGCCGTGTACGACTGGAGTGAATTGGGAGAAGAAAGCTTCGTGATAAGTAGATTGCCTTTGTACCGGGCCATTCAATTGCGTTTCCCTCTTCGATGTGTACGCAATCGTCAGGTTCACGTCCGCGACACGCGACACACTTATCCGGGTTTCGACGTCATCAGTGATCGAAATTAAGCGCCCGTCAACAGCGCCGATCGTCATTCGTCAGAGAACAATGTGCGTGCTGTAGAATAAGCCTCTGACCTTAACCAAGGACAAGATTTCGGTGGGATTACCGTGGTCAGGTTGCTGAATCCAGGGAAGCTGGGTATTCGGAAAGGCCCTTCGAATCGGAGGTCGCGCCTGTAACTCTGAGATGGGTAACCAGAAAGCAGATTCATTTTTCGATCACGTTGAAGTTTTGTTATGTATAATACCGTATGCCGTATGTTTGGTAGGTGCAGTTGGTTGCTGAGAAGTGATGGAACACTTCAGCGTTCGACCCTGCAGCGAATCACGCGCAGCATTGCCAAGAAAGCGGGGAAATCACATATCACTGTCAGGGGCTATTGCATATCTCCTTCCACATTTTCAGCAGTGGGTTAACTACAGTGCAAGTCTACAGATAGCGTATGATAGAGAAAATAACAATAACGACGAAGGGTCCGAAGCTCACGACGCCACCCACTGGCTCTTCTGATCCGGCGCCCACTTATCTTCGACGGACTTGTCAACCGACGTCTCGGAGTTGAACGCCTTCTTATCCTCGAATCGATCGTTGGACTGGACGTCGCGCAATTCGTGCGACTCGACGTGCACGAAGACCTCTGGGTGGGTCCGAGTACCGTCAACAACAATCATGTCGTTCTAGAAACAGAGGAAGCGGGGAAGGGGAAGGGGAAAGGAGAGGACACCAGTGAGAAACGAGGACCAGGGTTACAATGAACGGATAGGGGACGTACAGGCTTCTTGCTCGATATTTGGAGGTCGCGCCTTTGAATGACGCCGCCGGTGGTATTCACCTGACCCTCGGACCGAGACTCGGAGGTATTGCCAGTGTACTTCCAGCCGCGACGCGAATTCAAGCTACTCATAAGGGAGTTTGAATAAAGCTTCGCGAGGGGGAAGTTGAAAAGCAAGTGGGTCCCTGACGGCTGTAGGGTCATAGTTGAGACACCATTGAGCCGAAAAGAGGAGTGGAGCGGATGAACATACATCGATCAAGAAGAAAAGCAGGTCAAGGGAAGCGACGATCATCGTGATGAGACCAGTTTGTACAGTGACTTTTTCAACGCAACATAAGAAGCGGTTCGCGTCACGCAGAAAACAATGGACATACTTCGGATGATGCGGTCCACGACCATATCAGAACGCTGGAATCCCGTCTTGTGTTTGCGCTGGACGAGTACTTAGGTCAGATTTTGCGGTCATCAGAGGGATGCGTCAGCGAGTTTACCCTATCAAGGGGCGAATGTTAGCTATGGAAAAACAAGCAGGGACATGAGCGTCTTACAGATGCCAAACGAGAACGGTGGTAATCATGACGTCGCAGATGGCTTCAGAAGCGAGCCAGACGATGACCGTTGCCTTGAAGTTTTGGAAGTCGACAAAGCTGGGCGTCCGGCCCACTTCAACAGCAGTTACAATAGAGGCAACTGGGTGACAACATGGTTAATACCTCGAAGATGTGAAGGGGTTAAATGACTCACTTCCACCAGTGATAGCTAGAGCAGTGATACACCCGGCGTAAATCCAGGTCTTGCTTAACACGTACACGCGCCAGGCGAAGAATAGTTGAACGGCGCAGGCGATTAAGCCCTGTAAAAGGCAGGTTCAGTGCTATATCTCTGAAGGAGAAAATGTACACTTGCCGTCGTTGAAGGTTCTATCAATCACCCATAGCCAATAAGTTAACGATGACGACCGACATTGACGAAGCCTACCGGTTGCAAATACTGTTGAAAGTAATGGATAATTCGAATTCGGCGCCGGAGGAGAATATGAGACGTACACCAATCCGCCGTCGACAGAGCTTCATTATCACCTGCAAGAGCATCGAGTTAGCCCGTCGCCTAGACTAGAAAAAGACGGGTAGGCTCACCGAAGAAGGTAATAAAACAACGATATAAATACACGAACATGAATATCGTGTTAACGGTGTCGGCCAGAAACAACCCAGCGACCTGAGGGGCATCATTGAGTCAACAGACTAGCAGAGCAAAGTTGGAATACAGACGAATATTTTGATCCATGCCTTGTCGCTGGTCCAAGAAGCGTCAGGCTCGAATCGGCGCGAAAACGGTGGGGCGCACGCACCCTTTATATTGGGCGTAATACAGGTACACTTGGGTCATCATGACACCCAGCAGAAGCATGTTGAGCGTGAACCCGATGAACATCCATCCATGGCTTAAAGGTGGAAAAGTTAGTCAGTAATCAGCGCAAGGAAAGCTGGGTAGGACACTCACGCAACCTCTGCCGGCCCTTTCAAGCTAATAGGACTGATGAGCGACATCTGCAACTACGGCGTTGAAGAAATAGAAATAAGTGGTCGGGGGTGAGAAAGGGCACGAAGACGAGTTGTCTCGTCCTCGGCAAGGCTATTTGAGGTTCCCCGGCTACTTCGATTTGGTTACATTTCAAGTTCGCGCTTCCCTGGATCGTGCCCATTCGCTGTTGCAAACCCAACCCTGACCTCTGTATTCTCGCCACAAGCGTATTGACAGGATGGAGAAAGAAAAAAGAGTTCCATAGCATCCATATGATCATGGTTGCGCAGGGTCGCGGGATCGAATAATATCGTTGATCAGATGCTTCCGTCGATTCCAGGTCAACCCCGCACGAAGCCTGTGGGCCGGTCGATTACGCCATAGGAAGTGGACATCCGTATAAGTACATTCGCCAGGAGAAAGGGGCTCGTTGAGCGTTCACCAGAGTTCACTCTCCTTAAACATCATTGGGTTGACAGTTATCAAGATGTTTTTTGCCCAGTAACAGAGCATACAGCGGACCCTGAAGCGCCAGACAAGCGAGCTCTGCACAGCGACCTCCTGAGGAGGTCATGAGCTGGAATTTGGCTCGAATTGAAGAAGACGAATCCGAAGCACGATCAAGGGTTCGGATGTTCGGTGCAAAGGGAAAGAGGTGTCGTCAAGAGCCAAGCACGAGACTTGAGAAACAAACATGCAATGAATTGAGAGAGAGGCGCAATTGGGGCAAGGCCTTCTATCCGAGCTGATGCGACGCATAGCTATTTGGCAGTTTCTGCCACGACAAACACTTCCACATGACCCGAGACCGCCTTTCGCCGCTTGCGCAGAATAACTCCAACACCACGCTGTTTTAACGTTTTGAGGAACCACTCCACCCGCTATTATGGTTAGTGCGTTGTTCGAGGAACGGATTTGCGTCAAGCTCACCTCGTCCTTCCTTACCTCGGATATATCTCTTTTTTCCAGGGCTACGGTCGCGGTGCCTGACGGCGCGCGCAGACAAAAACGAGGCAGGGCGGGATTGTGATCGTACCCAATAACCGACGTGAAATTTGTTCCTGACAGAAGCTGTATTCCGTGCCGCTTGTCGGGAATGAACAACAAAGTTGAACAAACCGCCGCTCTGAACGTCCGTATTCTATGAAGCCAAGGTGGAATGGCTGGGGCCAGCCAGAGTGACGAGCTTTATCCTTCCCATGCATACCAGAAAGAAGACTGGCTGAACGACTTTCAACGAAGAAGGCGGGCTCATAAGTTGCTGGGAACGGGGAGTCGGGGAATGTGCCTGCGCATCATCAGCGAGATCTTGGCGCGTCATCTTTGCGAATTTTGAGAAGTGGGCTTCTCTACGCGACGTTCCTTCCTCGTGGTCATCGCGACAAGGCAGCCTCCAGTTTCAAGCCTTCGCGAGTCGGGTGGCTCTCGGGTTGTCCGATTGCCGTTCGTCCAAGTTGAGTACCAATCATTTCGGATCGGTGAAAGGTTCATTCTATGGAATACCAACACAGAAAAAAAATCCTTACAGCGAGAGTATTATGCAGGATTGCGATATCTGGACAAGAGTGTTCAAAGGCGCTCAGGAAGCGCTCATTCCAAGCTCATTCACTAGTCTGAGAATTTGGGCGCTTCTGCGGAATTTTAGAGTCCGCCGGCAGGACCCGAGGCCACCAGACTGCCAAGCGGATCTTCTCTCAAAGCTCCAACGGATAACTCGCAAGTTCTCGTTTTCAGAAATTCCAGGAAGAATAAAAGGACAACTTCTCTTGTACGAATCGCGTGCCACTGGATCTAAGTACCTGCGGGCTGGCTTGTTGATGACTGGAGGCCGCTGAAGAGAAGAGGCCTGCTGAAGACTCGACTTGCTTTCTCTCCTATGTTTACTTTACGCGTTCCTCTTACGCAAAGCATTTCTCTCGGCCCCTCGGCGCATATCCTGTAACGTTCTGCTGGTCAGAGTCAATCGCCGTGTTCGTTCAACGCAGGCTTATGCAAGAGAGTGAAGATGGGAAAGTGGCCGGGAGTTGCCGCAGCCATGATACTATGCCGCAGTGGGTCGCAGTTTCCCCAGCAGTTGTTCTCCACGTCCGGCGCTATTGATTTCTATATGTTTACCCCCAAACCTGAGCGTTCGAACGTTCACCAGCGGCCACGATGATCCTTCTTGACCTCCCACTGGAAACGCTAGACCACATCGTATCAACGATTGCATCGCCAGCCGACCTCGCAAACCTGGGTGAAGCCTGCCGACTTCTTCATTCCATCGTGTCTCCGAATCATACGCAGTTCCGGGAAATCAGGGCGCCGCTGTTGTTACCCGTATGGTCCAAGCTCGCAGAGAACCACTCGCTGGCGCAGAACGTGAGGATTATCGAGGTCCAGTCCGTAGAACTATACCAATACTCCGATCGCGTTGACGATCCACTCATTCCTGGTGTCTTTCGAGATCTGCAAATCCCGCAAGCTCCTGTAATCAACGACTATGAAGACGACGACGGAGATCCTCCTGTTGCGGCCAGAGCGTACGATGCGGCGAAGAACGTCATGCACCTCGGAGCGGAGCGTGTATTCGTTGCTGCATTGAAGGGGATGGTCAACCTGACCTCTTTCAAGTGGTCGCGGACCCCGACATTGATCGATCCGGCAGAAGAAGAGGATGTATGGACGGTCCTTAGAGGCCTACCCTGTCTGACCGATGTAGATGTCGTCGATCGGGAGAAGCCATATGAAGGAGATCTGGGAGAAGTGGACGACCCCGCGTACCATAGACCAACCTTCAGCACGAATGTAAGTGCAACAGCTCACGAGCTCGCTAGTCGCCCTTCTCACACCGCTCCCGCACAGTTCTTCTCGCTGAAAAGTCTCAAGTCATTCTCTTTCATTACAGAAGCGTACAACACTCCGTCCGCTGGAAAGCCGAACTTGGACTGCCTGGCTACGATGCTCGTCAATGATTGTCCTGACTTGGAGGTAAAGCAATTCAGGACATGCAACCAAAAACAAACTCCTTATATTGCTTCTGTTAGGTCCTCAAGCTGTCAGCTACCATGTTTAACAATACTTTTCGCACTGTCCCCGGCAGAATATTACTGCGTGGTGCATGGGCCTCTCTTAAGGAGGTTCAACTCCGCGGTGTTGAATGCCTCGGCGAACTATTATTCCCATTTCTCGCTGCCCATCCCACCATCGAGGTTCTGTCCCTCCTGGGATCGACGCCCATGATGGATCCTTCTTATATTAGCAGCGCTGGCAGCCTTCCCATTCGCGGTCTCCTTCCAAGGTTGCGAATCATTCGCGGTACGCCTTTGGGACGCCTCCTGCTAGCCATTATGACTTCCTCCCTGCAATCACCCCGCCCCTTGGAAGAAATGGTCGGCGCCATACCCAGTGAATCTTTTCTTCATGCTTTGAAGCAGAGCGGAAGTGGGTCGAATGTCAAGAGAATAGTGTTTTGGTCTTTAAATGACGTATCACTTCTAACATTCATTCCCCAACTCGCCGTGATTGTCCCTAATCTGGAGTCCCTTGTTATGAAGTTCCACCCTCAGAACGAATATGTAAGCATTTGTCCCACCACTTCGCGAGATGTTCAATCTTTTATAACGCGGAATATCAAATTAGGAAGACGTCCTCCTTTTGTTCAGGGGGTTCTCAGCTCTGCACTCGATAGAAGGATTGAATATTTTAGAAGCAGAGTGTGACCCACCAAGTAAAAACACGGATCGCTTACGCGCTCTGGTTCAGGGTTGTCCAAGCTTGCGGCGGACGAGTTGGTTTGGTAGATACATCAATCACCAAGATTTCATCGTGAAGATCGAAGGTAGCGGACGCCAGAGATCTTGGGCGGTGTACAGAATGCATCAAGGGCGAGATTTTGGGCCTCCTGTGGATGCTTGGGGAGAAAGGGGAGGAGGAAGCTTCATTGTTTAAGGCTGCGACACATTATTCTACAGAGTAGAATCGAGCGGCGAGTGTATCTCAGTACTAATTTATTTAAGTGCCGTAGAAGTGAGCGCTTGTGTAGCGGTCCGCCAAACCCGCTATTTGTGTTTAGGGAGTCAGCCAAACATCGGGCACTTTTCGCGTCGAGCTCGTCATTCACGTTGTCCACCGAAACCCAAGTATGTGTCCGCAGGTCGTGGCAACAGCGACAAGACACTCTTTGACGCGATTTCAAACGGCGCCGAGGATCACCCGCCGCCTACCCCGCAGTCCCAAGACAGGCCTCCCGCAACCCCACGTCAAAATCATCACCCGCGAGTTCGCGCCATGTCGTCTGGAAGACCACTACCACACCACGCTCAAGGACGACCTCATGTACATGACATACACGCACCAAGTTGGGGAAGCCAAACAACCACGTCAAATTCGACTCAAGTTCGACCCGAACGATCCGTACTCCAAATACCGACGCAACACGCCTGTTGGAGGGTCGCAAATTGGGAAGAAGCCCGCGCCACCGTCGTCGCCTGATAATATCGTACGACTAGAGAAGATCCAGCTGCATACGATGGTAAAGGAGGCCGTGTCGAACAAAGGGAACCTGCTCGGTGCAATGATGCAGATGAAGGCGCTGACCGGCGAGTCGTTCCAAGCTGGTGGCCAACATGCCGTTCAAGGTATCGAGCTCGTGCGGGGGAAGAAGTCTGTTGGTGGATGGCTACGGCCTGGTGTCCCCGTGGGCGTCAAGGTCGACTTGAGGGGGCAGGCCATGTATGATTTCCTGGGTACTCTCGTCGAATTCGTCCTGCCTCGACTACGTGACTTTTCGGGTATCGTCCTTCCTCCATCATCATCGTCTGTAAACACACCGAGTGCCGTCTCGGGAGTTGTATCTTTTGGTCTTCCAGCACAGGCCATCGTCTTCTTTCCGCAAATCGAAGTCAATGTTGATTCTTACTCAAAACTATACGGAATGCACATCCACTTCGTGACAAATGCAAGAGGAGTTGGTGCCCAGGACCGTGCCCGGGCCTTGGTATCAGGGTACCAAATTCCTTTCATTCGCAAGTAGCCTATTATTGTGAGTGTTCGCTTTCCTTCAATCCACCCTGTCTCACTGAAGTACTGCAAACAGACTGTCGCTGTTATTCTTTTTCTATGCTGAATATTATAATTATAATCATCGAGCTGCGAGATAGAAAAAGGGAACCTATGCCAATAATGAATGTGATGGGTACGTATAATACGATGCAGATTGACAAACGATGGATAGCTAGAGGAGTGCGGCCAGCAACATACGTGGAGGGGATAATAAAGAGACCGAAATGAAAAGAGGGAGAGAGTACACGTACGTGCCAACAACGTCAAAATATAATACAACGCAGAGTGTTCCGTCACTCGCGTTCAGAGACCCAAAGCCACTCACCACCTGCTATTACTTCCAGAGCCAGAATTCGTGTTTTGCCAGGGTATATCTCCGAGCCTCTGTCTGGCTGAAGCAGATAAAGGTCTCGACGACCCAGGAGGTCGTGTCTTCGTAGCACCTATTCCCATGTTCAGCTTCGGCAGCACCCCCTCCGTTGACGACGACAGCCCACTCTGGTTGGCGCTGAGATTTCCGAACACCTGCGAACTCGTCTCCGAAGCAGTCCTTCTTAGCCTCTTTGGCGCAATACTGCTTTTCGACTGCGAGGATGACAAGCCTGCGGATGAGACTCCGGGCCCGATGGATGACAGCTGGGACGACGAGAGCTCCAGAGAACCCAAGCCTGGTGTGCCAGAGCTCTTGCTTCGCCCGGCAATGGGTTTGAGAGCAGGCTTGAGCGCAGGCACGATCTCTCTGGCCAACTCGCGCACAAGGACCGCACCGTCCCCTCCTGAGCGACTGAGCTTCTCGACGACGCCTAGAAGCCCATACCGCTCGACCAACGTGGCTCGATTGGGGTGCACGTCGCATACGCCACGCAGGATACGCAAAAGGTTGAGTCGGACGACTGCCTTGCCATTCTGCCCAAGCCTGTCGATGATCCGCTTGAAGAACGCGGAGGATTTGGAGATAGCGATCGTCACAGGGTTGGAGAGCCTGATAATTTTCAGGAATGGATCGAGGAGGTTCTCGAATGAGTTGGCTTTGGAGGAGACGAAGCACTTAAGGAGAGACTCAATGGCGTCTGGCTTGATCAGCTCGTCTTCTACTCTTGAGGTTTCGTCTTGCAACCACGATAAGATAGATTCTAGCGCGCTGACTTGGAAGTACGGGTCTTCCAGCAATTTCGTGTACACTGAAAGGCCGTCGTGCTGCCATAATAACGTCCGACAGCTCTTGCCAGCGCTGGCCAGATCGCAAAGGATAGGTAGGGCGAATTGCTTGAGTGGCGAACTTGTTTCGATGACTCGTTTGAGGCAAGGAATGATGCCAGCCTGGGCAGCTTCTTCTTGACGGGACTTGTTGACGCGGCAGAGATTGTAGCAAGTTTGGAAGACATGGTTCGAAATTTCCTGTCCAAAAGGTTATTGGTGATGCCGCATATACGTACAAAGCCTTCGACATACCGTGCTGTGGGGTCCACTTGATTGCTCATCCAGAATGCGAATAAGAATTTCGATGGCATTCGCATTCTGAAGGACTTCAAGCATAGTCGCATTCATCGAGAGGTGCTTTACTGCCTTGAGCATGTGCACGAGGCATTCTGGCTCTAGCAGTTCACAAGCACGCAGTAAACCTACCAGAGGTATGAGTGAGGAAGGGCCGACTAACGTAAAGACTCAGGCTACTCACGACGAATGACCTTCCTTGTCCCAAGTGCATTCCTCACATGCACATCCGACTGCGACACCTGCGAGAATACCAGCAGAATCTGTATGACCTTCATCTTTGTATCCATCGTCGGTGTGTCACGGATCGCCATGACGTTAAGGAGAGCTGAAGATAGCGGGTCCAGAAGTCCCTCGCGGATGAACATACGGCAGAAATCATTCTTGGTTGTTGGGCTTTGCAGTTCGAAGACATTGCCGATGCCATTGAGAGCATGTTCGACCAACTCGGTTTGCTCACTGTAGTCCTCATCGAGGAGGTCGACGAGAACTTTGAGACCCCGGCACCTAAATTGCTATGAGCCCCGAACTCGACGATCCCGAGTAAAGAAGGAAGGCTCACGAAATGAACATCTGAAGTGTTAGGACAGAGGTATGGCATAGGAGGCGAATGAAATTCGATGCTTCCAGACGGCATTCTATGGGGTACTTTTTGGACGTAAATTCCATCATCACTGGAATTCCACTGTAGAGATAGACGATTAGCTGTAGCTATAATATGGCACTAGAAATGCGGCTCACCCAAGCAAGCAGAAGCTCTCCAAGAAGCCAAGGTCCTCTGTGACCAGCAAGTTGACAATTTGGAGCAGCTTCATGATGACGTCTCTTGAGCACCTCCCTTCGAGAACCTCGAGAATGGCAAGCATCCCGTGTGAAGACACCAACTGGACCTGCATCTCTGGAGTTTCGCCCATGATGTTGAGCTGAAGAAAATCTGTCAACAATCGATCTTGAATCTTTCTCGAAACCTACCAGTTGATCGCAAGCATCGCGGAGTTGGAAGTCAGGAGCCGCTGGGGTGAGTTCGTCGATGAGCGAGTTGACAGTATTACAGAGTCTGGCATATTTGTCTCGCTGGAGGTTGGCATCGAGGTCCTCCTCTGAAAAACCTTCGTCGATCTAGATATCGTCGAGATAAGAAAGATGACAGGAGGTAAGAGACTCGGTAGGCGAACCTCAGCAAACGGATCCTCCTCATCGGAATCGTCGCCAAGCTGGAAGATAAAATATTCAGAGCCTTATGGTGCTAAAAATAACACGAAAACGCACCCAAGACTTGTTCGACAGACGCGTGTTCAATTGTAATGTCTGCATTGGCTGCTCGGTAGCTAGGACAAGATCCATCAGCCCAATCCTCCAGAACACGTAGCACATCGTGGACCGAAGGCAAGGCTCATTGCTATGAAAAGTGAACTCACAGGTAGCATTCGGCTTCCCAAAAACATCCTCGTAATCCTCGTCGTCATCCTCCGTGTACTTCCCAAACTCCGCCTGGCTGTACAGCTTCTGCGCTTCGGCCTTCCCGAATGAGCCCGCACTCGTCGCACCATTGATTGGTGTGCTGGCTAATGAACCTGAGCGTGTATGCGACGAGACCGCCGTCGCAGATGCAGGGCCCAAAGTCCCTCGGGGGCTGATTGAAGAGCGCGACGGCTTCCTCGACAGACTCGGCAGAGGGGCTGACAGTGGGCCTGGAGAGGCCGTCAACCCGATGGTTTTGATGTCGTCCGGGTGGAAAAGGCCGCGGCGAACAGAGTTTTTGATCTGGGTTTAGGTTCAGGTCAGTCTAGTAGCGCCGTGCGTTGGAGAAGGGCAAACCTTGAAGTCGGCGACCTTCTCCTGCAGCCAATCATCGTCTTCTTCAGTTGCCAAATCGGAGTAGTCCTCCACTATAGGCTGGATCGCTGCTGAAGGCGCTTGGGCAAGTGCTATAGGTTTATGCCCTGGACTCCTGTTCGGTCGAATGGTCTGCGCGTTGTCCTCGACATCTTGCTTATCATCATCCAGATTGGTCTTCTCCAACGCTGCATAGAGTGTCGATGGATTACCCTGAGATTTAGGGTAATAACTGACGTACCTTGAAGCTTCGTAAAGGATATCCCTTCCTCGAAGTCGTCGTCCCAGTTGTCGGTCTGCTCTTCTGGAGGTTGCAGCACAAATGAAAGTGGTTGGATCTTCTCGACAAGATTAATGCCCACTTTGCCAGGAGCAACTGCGGCCTTCCAAGCTGCTTGTGCTAAGGGAGCATGCAAGCCGATGGGTAACTGCGACGGCGGTTGCAGAAGGTCGGCCCCTGCCCGTTGCTGTGTTGGCGAACTCGGCCGCGGATTTCTTGCATGAGGTTTCGACAGCTTAGAAGGCGCTAGAGAACCACGCGGTTGGAGGTGGTCTGACAGTAGAGATGTAGCAGAAATACTTACATTTCAAGGCTTCATTCCACTCCTGGACTTTCAGAACGGCTTCGTCGTAATTGTAATTCGAATTCCTCTTCGGAACACCGTTATAGGTCGCCGTCGAATCGTCACCAGTATTGTCACCAGATTTGTCCTTCCCATCCGCCATCTGTCTGCGTGCGGAGACCATCCAGGGGTGCTTCAGTAACTTCTTTCCAGATATACGAAGATTGCAGTCCTTTTGGAAGCAATGGTATAAGAAGTCCTTGACGATTGGTGAGGCACCCTCGGGTATTGGTGGACAGTCGTCTTGGACGATTCGGAAAAGTGCAGGCATAGGATCGAGGGTATGGTATGGTGGGTGGCCTTCGAGAAGTTCGATAACAACGCAACCCACACTCCTGCAAACGCAATCGAATTAAACGTGAATCGAAACTCGAAAGTGGGATTAACACACCAGATGTCTGACGCGGTGGTCGCTCCAGATTGTTCAATCACTTCAGGTGCCACTGCAGAGGAGCCTCAATGACAATGCTTCTACGATATATCATGTTTAGGCACGTACTCCAGTAAGGACTCCCAACCACTGCGCCATCGGTCACACCACCCGTCTTCGCAGCCACTCCAAAATCCGCAAGCTTCACTGTCCCGTCTTTGTTGGTGAGGATGTTAGCGCCTTTGATATCACGGTGGATGACACCCTGGTCGTGAAGATAAACCAAGCCCTCCAACACTTGCGAGATGTAGACGGCGACGAGATTTTCGGGAAACTTTCCAAAACGCTTCGAGATGTTGTGTAGAGAACCATTCTCACAGAACCTGGTCAAGATTGAGGATGTGAACACGGGCGCATGGGCAGACACTCACTCGAGGATGATGTACAGAAATTCCCTCGTCTTTACGAAACCCTTGTACTTAACGATGTTGGGGTGCTGTGAAGAGGTGTAAGGGTGATCGGCACGCGTAACATCGCGAAGCTCACATTCAGATTCTTGAGGAGATCAATCTCGGACTGTGGAAAAGAAGTTCATGAGTGATTGGATAAGAAAACGAATGCATGGCGACAGTTGAATGCGTATGCCACTAACCATGATCTCACCGAGTTCACTCTTCGGTATGTTGCTCAACTGGATCTCTTTCACGGCTACTGTTTCTCCTGTAGCCCAGTTCAAGGCTCCTGTAGACCGGGCCTAGCCTTCAGCACGAGGAGTATGTTCGATCTTCAAGCAACACGCACGATAAACCTGCCCAAATGCTCCTTTCCCAAGCGAGTCTCCGAGTTGCTATTCGATCCTCCAGCCTTAGTCAAGCATTTCATGGGCATCCAATGATCAAGGACGAACGTAGTCATTGAGGGACTTGGAACTTCCAGGCTTTGGCCCTGAAGTTGAAGATGGTCGTGAGGTTGACATGGTCAACGTTTGGTCGTCTGCAGTGGATTCTTGCCCCTAGCTGGTCGTAAATGCAATATTGCGCAGCGGGCGGTCGTCCAGATTGATTACGGAGGCAAGGAAGGAATGGTGGCCGGAGCGAAAGCAGGAAAACGCGCTTTTAGTCGCGTCCGGCGCTGACAAGATGGGAGTCCCCGTGAAACGACTGGACTTTCCCTCTACAGAGCGCGTTGCCAAGCTTGCCACAAACGGTCACTGTCCGCTTCCGCACTTCCTCTGCCACTCCCACTGCGCACGGAATGGCTGTGTGAGCACACAGGCTCTCCAAACTTCCTCGTAATTCCTTGTGTCACTCAGCTCTGGCTCTAGTCATCTGACGGTGGCGGAATGCCCTCATCGCATCTTTGACTCGGGCTTCGAACTTGGGCGGCAACTTGGCCGGACGCGTTCTTTCGGCGACAGTAGGACCCTATATTGGACGCAAGTGGAGAAGGAATGGATTGACCATGTGCATGTCCGAGTCATGGCCGGCATGTCGTTCTCTACTTTTTCTCTACTACCAGCGGTCGAGGGGAGGTCCTGCTTTCGAAATCGAAATACGGTGGACAAGTGTGCTACATTTGTATCATTATATTCGAGTTCGTTACACTGGCCCACATCCGTGCACCTAATCCTTACTAAACATACAGAGCATAGATAAAAGCTACAACAAATCCAAAAGTCAACCATAAATATATGCACCGTAGCAACTCTATGCCGGCGGAAGTTTGACCTTGCCATTTGTCGACGGCACAAGAGGTTCAGGCGTTCTCGCCTCCTCTCTATTTGCCATCACCTCACCAATCTCGATCTCCCAAGCCGACTCATGCATCCGGCCTTTCCTCTTGCTCCAGCGTGACATCGGGAACTCATTGTCTATATCAAGAGTCTGTGTCGTGGCCGTCTGTTGGTTGAAACCAGGTGCGACAATCTTGATGTCAGGATTCACCGACAGCTGGCTCCTCTGGGTGAAGAGGCTGGGCATTTGGGCTTTCACGCCGGTGTCATTCAGTTTGCGGACGGATTTCTTGAGGTTGAGGGTGATTCGGGACATCATGGCGACAGTCAGGCTAACGGAAAGGCCATGAGTACGGTATTTCTAAAGTACCCAAAATCAAACTCACAGCAATTCAAGTCTGCAAAGCAACGGCTGTGGGTCAACACAGGAATGGGATGTATGGCTGAGCAACGTACTGTGCAGTGATGTTTTTCAAACCAGGAGGGGCAGCGATGATCATGATAGTTAAGACGGCAGTGACCGCAAAGATAGCGCTGCAGGGGTACGAAGGAGAAACAACGGTCAGTCAAACTAAATCAGAATACTGTGCTTTGTAATAACTACCTATAGTAAATCAGACCGTCCTGAGAAAGCCTCTTCATGACGTAGGACGTATTTCGATTCTTCAAAGAAGGTAGCGTCCGATAAAGCGTAAGACCAACAACGACGGTGTCGTAAAGGAGCGGCAACCATGCAGACGACGACGCCAGCGCGCTTCTGTTGAAGGTTCCAGCAATTGGGTCTCCGACCAACCGCAGTGGTATGCAGTAACGTACATGGATGGATCGAAGATCATGGTGCACGCTATATGTGCCTTCACAGTCAGTCTACTAGCAAACCTCGACACAACCGGTATGACATACCGCGAATGTGAGATTGAGGATTGTGCACGACCGCTATACAAGAAATTGTAAATCAATGGACCCAAAGAAAAGAGGGGCTTACTCACCTTCTCCTCTGGTGAGGAGCCAGCCATTCATGCACACCTGGAAAAGGAAGAGAAAGGCAACGACCCCAAGGACGTAGTATTGCCGGTGGTAGAGCGCGCGTATCCGGATGAACATCATTAGAGCTAGAAAGTTCACAAGGTTCAGCGCTCTCCGAGAGGTCATCGGAGGAGTAACCCACCGACGATGTTGATGCCGATGACAGTCATAGACCCCTCAAAGCGAATAAAGCTGCTGCATCTTCAAAGAAGCTGGATCTAAGTAAATTACGGCGCAGTCGGACGAAGGCTACATACCTCTAAGAAGAATTGGACAAGCTTGCAGTCTGTCAATAGCGCCATGACTTACCTCTGGTGTCCACACAGGTGACAGATAAGCTATAAATCATCATGACCGTAAGTATCCGTGCGGTAAGAAGAACAAATCACATACCGAAAAGATTGACAATAAATCCTAGTGGTGTCAAATAGCGGTTCTTACGGTAGGTCCGTCAAAGAGGAGCAACTAAAACACATGTGATAGGCCTACGATGAGAAAAAGATAGACGACTGCAGGTACGTCAGCAGCTTTCCGGGGTGGGCGTCCGCCAACGACAAGGAAAGGCGAACACTTACGCAACCCTTTCTTTCCCTTCCAGATGTACTCCACCTCCGCCACAAATGTGTCGATATGATCCCAGATGAGCACTGTGAAGCTCGCGAAACCCATGTACTGCGAAATGGGGCTTTTAGGACGGGGGCACAAGGACAAGCGATGGATGAAATGCGACGAACATTGGTTCGATACCTGTAGGCAGAAATGACTGCGATTAACTTCGTAGCCAGGTAGAATCTGTCCCAAAGAAACTCACATTTGTGACCAGTCGTCAACAACTGTCGGAATGGATTGATTTGACATCTGGTTCAGACAATGGAGAGGAGGCGAAGATGAAGTAGTGTCCAACGAGGGACAGCAGAGGGGGTATGTCAAAGTGCAATGGCGTTGGGCACTGGCGATGTGAAGAAGGGTCTCTACGCTTGCTGTGCCCTTTCCAAGGGTACCCGTACGTATATATGTCGAGGAAATCTTCGCCTAGATCAGGATGCAGCAACGTAAGTTGCCGTAAATGGAAGACTCCGAGACCAACCGACCAACAGCGCGGCGAATCAAAGACAACAGAAACACACGAAGGAGACGCAGGAATAGTCAGAACCTATCCACTTGGGCGGCCCCAGGCTTCATCGCCATCACCCGTCTGCCCATGTGCCGCCCCACACCTCGCAAGTCAGGAATCATGGACCCGTTCTGCATCCATATTCAAAGATACTGCCCCATAACGCACCATATTGGATACGTATAAGTGGGCCTGTGTCCCACGATTGAACGGAGCCCTCCCGTGCGCCACCAACAAAAAAACCAGAACCACAATCAGACACCAATAAAGAACGATAGTGCACTCACCAGATTCTAGATGCCCCAGGTATTGTTCAGTGCCAAAAAAGCGCCATCAGCGCGCGTTCAGCAGAATTGCATCGTGTTTGGTTGTGGTGGAATCGCCCAGCCACACCTGTGCGGTTTGGGAGGTGTGCTGGTGGAGTAAAAATAAAAGAGCTGAGGATGTCGAGAAAAGGCATCAACGTGATGAAGGAAAGAAGTCTAATGTTGCCACGGGCCGGGCTGGATGGAGAAAGATCAAAAATCATTGAGCGTCAGTTGACAGTGCGTTGCCACCATCATCGCCCGATAACCGGAGGAGAGGAAGGGCGCACCTCCTTCACTACTCTTCTGCCAACTGAACGTTCAACGTTCCGGATCTGCAAGTGAGAGAAGTAGAATGTAACACTGATGGGTTTTCTTTGTGGCGTCCTCCTGTGCGACGATTTCCTACCCATCGGAGGCCCGAGCCAAGTTTCCAGATATACATAGAACTGAATTCGAACTGATTGTGTCTTGAAGCCTCCATTTGAAGACGAGAAGCGTCCCTATTCCATCGTGAGTATTCCTGTTCGTCCTTAGTAGACGGCGTTTCTTTCTTTAGACCACGGGCTTCAAGGCGCCTAGCTCCATTCGAGAGTCAGTGGGTTCGCAATGGGCAGTTGACAGGTCCGTTGACTGAATTGCAGAATCGATGATGCTCCAACACAATCTGCCTTCGACGAAACACGACAGTGTGTACCGAAACAGTGTTCACTGGTGTATTTCTGAGGAATCAAGAGCTTGTAGGGCTGATGATGCGCTACGGCTGGTCGAGGGGCTGTAGTTGACAATCGTCACCAGCGCGCATGAAGTTGGGCTATGGCATAGCTATACAGTCAGATCGATTGCGGTCCATGGAAGAGACAGGTATAAGATAAGGAATACATAGGGTCAGAGTATTGGGAGGTGAAGGATTATTTCCGCGGTCCTTGTGTCTAATAATCGTTGAAAGTATAACCAGAAAGAAACCTGCCTGGAAAAGGATACTTAGCATACAACATTACGCCGCAGAAGGCCACTCACCGCAGAACCCGACGAAGCAACATTGAAACACAACAACAAAGAACCAAGAAATGAATGTAAATGTCAACACGGAATCATCAAAGATTAGCGGTACGGAGTGACATTGGAGTAATGTGCTGGAAAAACCTGCAGAGACAACGGCGATGGATGGTGGACGAGGTATCTCTGAAGTCTTGGGATGTCGGCGTTGCTCGATAAATGTCCTTCGATTGTAATGACAGCATAGATAGAGACATAAGAAAGCCTCAGAAAGCATAAACTTTAGATGAAACAGTACTGGTGATGCTGGGGGAAACGTCTTCACGAAAGAATCTATTATAGGGGGGATGTTAGTCAGTTGGAGCTTGGATAGCAGAAGGAAAAGCCCGATCACTTACAGCGAGCAACACTACTGCCCCTACGATGGCGAGAATCAACACCAAGCATGCAGCGCGCCTTCCTGCCTTTCGCTGGTAGTCCGCCGCTGTCGTGAGCTCTTGAGAAGCATCGGCGGTGTCCGTGGCGACAGACGATATGTTTAGTTCAATGTTATCTATTAAGAAGAATTCGTTGAGCACGGCGGTGAGAGAAAAGAGATAGAAATATGGAAAGGCCCTGGATTCGAAGGTTTTCAAAACAAAGTGTGTGGGAAGACACCAACGACATGACGAAACGGGTCTCTCGAATCTGCAGAAGAGTCGATACGTACCAAGCATACCGCCTTGCTGATTCACAAGTGTTCCAAGGTCGTGGAAGATTTCCGCCAATTCGTGAATACCAGTCTCGATTTCCCGAATCTCGGCCTCTCTCTCCTGGATGAGCGATTCTTGATAAGCCAGCTCATGTGGAGAAAGTTGCGCTTGCAGGATTTGCGCCTGTCGTTGCTCCTGGGGTGTAGGTTCTGGTTCATCGGGGTTCCTGACAAAAATAAATGCTATGAGGGGAGTTATAGAAAAAAGGACATATGACGTACGGAGGATGATGATGTTCATCATCAACTGCCAACTTAACTCCTTGGACCACCGTCCGCTGCCTCTCCGCACTCACCTGCTGGGCACGTTGAAATGCGACCAGCGACATTTGCAAGTCATGCGAAGTCTTCTGAAGTGCAGTCTTTTGATGAGGCTTTCATTGGAACTCGGTAAGCATATACCCACTTCTCTGGGTTTGAACTTAACACACCAGAGTTGCTTGTAGGGTAGAAAGCTTCTTTAAATCCTCTGAGCCCCTCTTCGCCATAGCCCGCGTTGTCTCCGTCAGATCATGCCTAAGTTACGACAGTTATCAGGCTGCGGGTGTCCAATGGTAAAGTCCTCAACGTACAAGCTTTTCCTCAGAGGGGCGGAGTCCTTCGGTGTGCCAAGTTGATCGACTAGCTTCAGAATTCCCTGCACGTTGGCGTTCATCTTGAAGACCTGCAGTGACAGGGACGATTGCAGACTCTGGAACGCATTGTCTTCGCGCGACTGCGGGGTTGATGACGGGGCCCGCGACGGGTGCCCATGGCCAGCTTCGATATCTTGAAAACTCATTTTGTTCGCGGAGTCCTCAGCAGAGTTGGTCGCGGACTGGTCGTTATGAACGATGTCGTCAAGTGAGAGGTCGATGAGGTCAAGAACAAAACCGCACAAGCAGTGCATTCTCAAAGCATCACGTGCCATAACGTCATATTGATTTTGAAGTGGAATCCCACTCGGAGTCCACTGTCCAGCTCTTCCACCCGCTGGAAATGCATCGCGCGTTGCAACTTGAAGAGGTCGTTCGTGAAATCCTCGACTGTGACGTGCTTCTGTCTGGGGATCCCGAAAATGCTACAGCGGATCGTGCGACGTTGCTCAATCTTGCTCTCGTTTGCCGCGCTTTCAATAACCCAGCTTGGATAAGCTCTGGCGAGAAATGGACGATATACGGCCGCTCTTTCTCCTGCTGGCGAATGTTGCGCCCTATCCGAACGCACCGGAGGTAAATCTCGAAATTGTTTCAACCACGAACTTCTTGTTGCTCATACATAAACGCACCGTAGCTATGCAACATCCACGGTCCAATTTTGGAGTCTGAACGCGTCATTTTCGACTCGTATGCAAGCAGAATACGGATCTACCGGAAGATGGGTCACGATCGTTTCATTACTCTTCCTACATATATGCAAGTCTTGCATGCTACCAAACGCCTATGCCTGCTGCCCAAGTTGAAGGAATTGCACGTCATTTATGGGAACTGGGAACCGGAGGTCTTGCTGTTCCTATCCCCTTCGCTGCGGAAAGTGTCGATTCCGAACTACCTTAGTCAGAAAACGCTCATACCCAATATCTGCACCACGCTTCATTTAGTCCAGTCTGCGGCACCAAACATCACCAGCCTCGATGTCTCGACGCTTTTCGACTCTGCCTGTCTGAGCGCTATATCTGGCATGCGCAATCTGAAAACCCTCAGTATCCAGCACTCCAACTGTTGCTCCCTTTTGTTCTCGGTATCGAATTCATCCTGGGGCTCTCCTGCATACAGTCGCTCGAAAGCGTCTTCATTTGGGACTTCCACATGGACTCAAGGGCAGCAACAACCTCTCGTCGAGTGACAAATTTCCCTGCCCTAATGTCTTGCAAACTCTGGGCGCGATCTATTTGTGTGAGGCACATCGTGGACCTCCTTCGGTTCACTTCTTTTCCGAATCTCAAGGAATTCGAAGCATGGGTCTCTTCAGAGGGGAAATACAAGAACGAACAAGCGCACTGGGTTAATTTCTGTCATATTCTCCCAACAGCGGCACCCAACATCGAACAGCTACGGCTCTCTAGCTCTCAGAGATATGACGCCAGCTGGCGCAACCTCAATCAGATTTCGCGTGGGATTTTCAAAGCTTGGTGCAATGCGACCTTTCCTCATGCTCGATCACCATTCCCCTATTAGGGGGAGTCAGAGTGCCCGATTTTGGGACGGTTCTGGAAAACGATTTCGACCAGAATCGTTTGCCCCAGAACCGTGTGAAAACCGTGAATCGTCCCAAATCGCAAAGCGCCTCTGGAGCCGCTTTTGCAGTCGAGAATCGGCGATTCTGGTTCTGTGCACTCGCCTCCCCCTTCTTAAATATGCAGATTAATTCATTAAAATATATTTGCCCCTTCTTCCCGTTGGTCTGGACATTTGGTAAATCATTTTTTGTGATGGTGAATACGATCTGAACGCTCTTTCATCATCTCGCCCCTTTTTTCGGTGCAATTGATACAAAACTTGACAATGCGGCGAGGGAAAAATGCCAAAAAAATATAGGAGCCCCAGGCAGTTGAATTATCCATGAATCACAGCTTCCATACTCAGGATTCTACAAAGGGCTGCTTATACCAAGGGAAGACAGCACCGAAACAGACAAGACGATGGAAATTGCACGAAAACATGAGTTTCCAGAATCGGGGTGGTCAGAGTCTTCCGCCGGTTTTGGCCCGATTCTTGGCAAAAACCGAATTTTAAATCGTGTCAAAACCGTCATCAGAATCGCCCCAGAATCGTCGAAAATCGCCCACTCTGACTTCCCCTATTCTCTGTCCTATCCCACAATGACTTCGCCGATTGCTTGCCGGGCTGGACGAACCTCCAATGTTTGACCCTGGCGACACCGACCATCGGATTCGAGGTTCTCGTAACAATTGCCGACGCCCTTCTGACACTCCAATATCTTAATATCGAACTCGATGGTCGAAAGCTCCCTATTGTCGAGTCAATTTCCATTCTCGAGCATCCTCTTACTAGCTTGTCGCTCTCGGGTGAACTAGTTCAGCCCATGCTTCTCGTGCGTTTGATCGACAGGATCTTCCCTAACCTCGTCTACGCGGATTTCACACCCAATGCCAATGATTCAGATCCAGAGGAAGGGACGATCTGGAAGGGACTATGGCTGTGTCTGCAGGTGATACGAGAGACGAGATATGATGAAATGGTGCGACAATCTCGGAGGGCTATGTCGCTCTCGACGTCGACCTAATATTTATTTGTCTCTTTGGCTTACAGAAACTGTGGCACTTGTTACTCTCTAGGATATTATCGTTGACGAAAGGAGGTGAAAACAATCGTTTACCGATCTCTAATATCGAAGGTTTGTAACTGATAAATTGGAATAAATATTTATTGTGCCTAATTTTGTGTCACGGCGTAGTTCTTGTCTATCCAGAGTTGAGCTGCCTACTGCCCTGCACGCTGATTGTCGTCCGCTGCGCCACTCTGGTTCACGAAGGTCATGCCACTGCTGTGCGGGCCTAAGATTGGTTCTGCGGATCCGAGGAATCTGACCTATGGTAAGTCCGCACATATGTAATAAATTGCGAAGGACTCTTATAGAATCTTCCCACTATGTAGAGCCACATGCTCCTTTGCCTCTCGATCGAAGGCTGGATCACCATTGCTGCGGCTCTCTCCCTCCGACACGTAGCCTGCCAGGTCCAAAAGTCATCTAGCACCTCAGAGTCACCGCTCCTCGGATGCCTTCCCGGGAAGATATTCGTCTCTAAAAATACGGGCGATTCTCATGCGCCTTTTCATAGCATCCAAGAAGCTGTTCTGTCCCTGTGCGCCGCAATTTCCTTTGTCGCTCACCCAAGACATTCAAGATCGACCCAATACGGCATCTCTTAGCCCAAAGACAGGGGCCACGACGATCTTGATCGCGGCAGGGGAGTACTGAGAAACTGTGAACGTTACTCGAAAAGGCCCTGTGCCTTTGCTAGTGCGTGAAATCGTCTACTCACTCTCATACGCGGAATCTTGTTGACATCTGCTGCAGGGCCAGCTTCCAGCATCTGCGCTGTCCAAGCTCAAAGAACCATTTGCAAACCGCTTCGACGTGCCCCTCAGGCAGAACCTTGTCAAAATATGGAATAATCAACATGTGAAGGCAGGAATGGACGACACGCAGTCGGCCGTTCTTCTCGTTGCGCCGTCATTCAACGCATCTCTAATCGGAGCAGGGCATACAAATGCTTCCCTCCAACCGCTGTTCGGAAACGTCCACTTCAAGGCATATGACATCGACTTTGAGAATCAAGCGGTACGTGTTTGGTATCCTATATTTGATAGCCATATTATCTATTCAGTCACTAGGCCAACTATGACATATCTCAATCTTTGGTGACAGATGTTTCATACGCGAGTGCGTCCTTCTACGGGTGCTCCTTTGCGAGCTATCAAGACACGTGGTACACAGGACGGAACGCAAGCATACGCCGTTGACAGCATCATATTTGGCCAAACGGACTGTATGGTACGCATATCTCTTTCGAAATATTCAACGGACTCATCTGATTCGATTTTCTAGATCTCTTCGGGTTTGGTACTGCGTCAGTTCTTCCAACACGTAACGTATTTTCTCTCAAACTGATCTTCATGCTCACCTGGCTTCAGCTGGTTCCAAAATCTCATCCTCGCAAACCGCGCCTGCGGCGGGTGCATCGTCGCTTGGAAGGGGACGAACCTGACCAACGCCCCTGGCAAACGTTACGGGACATATGTCGCGGACTCCAGTGTAATTCGAGTAATTAATTCCTCTTTTGTGCCTCGTCGTACTTAGGAGGTTTGATTCGTGGTTAGTGATCCTTCAGTCCCCTGACGCGAATGCGACGACTGTGACCCACCAAAAGTGTTTCTTGGGGTGACTAAACCACTTTGTTTCGTATTCTCCATCAGGAGGAAGCGGTTTTTAATCCAGCCTTGGTGAGGAGTATAGGCCGGCCATGGAATGACTTGGCCTCAACTGTGTATTTACGGACGTTCATGGACGACATTATTCACCCAGTGGTTTGGACACCATTCAACTCAGCAAGGTAGGCTATTAATCGCAGAAGTCGCGATGTACGTACAAGGCTCAAATGCACTTCCAGACTTGTCATCTAAAACACCACGTTCTTCGCTGAATTCAACTCTAGCAGACCTCTCGAACGATCCCAATGGATTGACTTTGAGTAATTGTTCTAAAGGCAACGGCCAACGAAAGTGTAACGAGACCATCCGCTTCCATTGTACATAGCACCTCCAACCAAGAGTGGAAGTAGGGAAGGTCAATGAGGGGAAGTCGTGAAAGAAAACGCTACATCGGAGTTTGTGAAAAGGGGATTTAGGAGTGAGCGTATAATAAACACCGTCGTTCGTTGGCGAGAAGGAAACATGTGCGCTTTCTCTGATAGCATAACATGTTTGGCTGAAAGCGGTTGTAAGCAAGCGGAGGGGTGCAAGCAGTGTAGAGGACTGGAGCGGAAGAAAGTGAACTGGAGAGATTGAGAAACACTGTGGCGTCACTCTCGCTGACCAGAATTGCCCCGCTGCCCGTCCTCTTGGTGCTGTTTTAGTACCTGACGATTATACCAACTTGAACCACCGCATTTCCCGTTTCACTGCTAATCTAGGGCCCAGGAGAATTGGTAACAGAGAAATAAGAAACTTGCTGGGATAGCCCATGCCAGGCGTTCCCGAGCCGATCAATTGTCCCACGGATCTGGAAGTTCGCGATCGCGATTCCTCCTTTCAACTATGACCCCTCCTCCTCTCAGCGTTCTCCGAGTTTCGTCCGCCTCTGTAGCCTGCGCATGCCATCAGGGCCTTCAAGAGAACGTACTAGAACGTGAAGACTCTTCATAGAGTCCAATTTTAGACGCGATGTGATTGGGAACGGTGACATGAACATGAGACATAACAAGAGCACCGCCATAATAACGTTCGCCCCTCTTCCCCCTGGCCCCATCCCACTGGCCCCATCCCACGCACAGTCAACACGACGAAACGACGCGCACAACGGTATCCTCCTAGCGCAAGACATGGAGCAGTCATACGTCACAGTGACCAGTACGTCCTTGAATCATTTCAGTTGTAGATATTCCCGCTGAAATTTCTTTCCTCCACTAGTCAATAGAGCACGAGGTCTCCCTCTGCTTCGAGACAAGATTCGCAGAAACAGGCGCTTCTTTGTTACTATAACCGATGGGCGAACAACGAAGAAGACCAAGGCTACTCGGAGCATGCAACAGGCGGTACAATGGAATGAGACGCTTGACGCATTGTGGGTCACAACTCCTTACATTCTATGTATAGCTGAGAGCCCCATCAGTGTTGTATGCCCTTCTTCCCATCTCACACTGTGCCTCTATGCAGCGCGCAGATTCCACCCGGAGGATATCTCTGTTGGAAGGTGTGAGATACCCTTCAGATCTCTTCTCTCCTCTTCTCAAAGCAGTATGTTTTCTATTGGAAAGAGTTCCTGTTCTGCTAATTGAGCATCTCGCAGATAGTCCCTTCATTCTCAGTGGTGCTAACGCTGAGCACCAAGCCACCATCTACCTTACGATCGCCGTATCACCCAACTCCGCAGCCACAAACACCTCCAACCCTGAAGCGGATAACTATACGAACAACGACTTGAATGTAACTCATTCCACCTCTGGATCTGCTTCACGCCACGCAGGGGGTGATTTTTCCGGCGCAAGCGGTACAGCTATGCCACCGGTAGATGGAGCCCTTCGTAAGGCTGACCAAGCCATGGAGAGCATGCAGTCTGCGACATGTTGTGCCACAACAACAGCGGGGGGTGTCATGAGTGCCTCAGAGGCGGCGAATAGCGCCGCCGACCTGTATACAACCTGGGAGAAAGCGGTCAGAGCTATCAAGCAAATCGTCGACGTCGCAGACACAATTGCAGAGGTGATCGTTCGATCCTTCTTGCTTACCTATGATAAAGCTGATTTTCACTCTTCAGATCCACCCATATGCGAAGATGGCATGGAGTGTGCTTTCTATAATCCCCAAGGTGAGCCCGCTGTCTGGAATGTAGGAGAGAGAGGTAGGCTACGATGCGATTACGGTCCCACTCTGTGATTAGATTAGATAAGGACACGGTACTTACGCGTAGCCACTTGTCTCTTTGTTCTCCAGCTCACTCTTGTACGACGACAGAGGCAACGACGCACATTAGCATTACGGTCCCTAACGAGAGGCTACAAGACATTTCCCTCACACGATCCGACCCCATACTCATCAGCATCCTTTCATATTGGAGCCCACCACTTGCAGAACCTTGTTTTGCTCGAACCCGCCTGCCCGAGCCCCAAAACCCTACACCCTTTTTCCGCAACCCGCCTTTATCCATTTTCATCAGACGGCTACGCATCGACATCACGGACACCCCAGTATGCTTTATTTCTGCATGCCACGCATCGTTTTCCGTGAACGACGTCCTTATCGATCATCGCGCATCCGATCAGAACAGCCACGCCAACGCGAGTCTTTTGGACCGACCGTCGAGATCTTCACGCATGGTTTCGGCAGCACTTTCAGAGTCTGGTGTACCCGCAAGACCCTGCGCGCCATATTCTCTCGTGCCAAGTCTGGCGCGTCTCTCACTGTCGACCGCTCCGACGACCGCTATGCATTCGAGCTCGAGATTGAACGACGCTACATCCACTGCTACGAGACCATCTTCTTCGAGCTTCTCCAGGGACGAGGTACACTCAAGGCTGTCAACCCAATGGACCTTCACAACGCGATATGGCAGCAAGCTTTTCACGACGCACAGTACCGGTATCTTGTACTATCATGCGATGTTCTCGAGAGCTTACCGCATATACTCCGACGCCAACTAGTCAACTATGAAACGCCTCGTTCCGACCTTTCTAATCCACCAAAACCCCAAGACGCATCACAGCCGATGACTCGACGCAAGAAGACAAAGAAAACGAAGAAGACTTCAGTTCCACGAGGAATTCCGATAATCCTAGACGACGTACGAACCAAATTAGCAAAGCCGACGCCAGTAGATTCGATGATCGCCATTACAACAGTCCCTATACCGATTTCTCTTTCGCCGCAGATCCTTACAACCACGACTTCGTACACATCTGTACAGCCGCACACCGATACTACAACTACGACCACAATGCTGGAGATGAGGCGGGTGGAGATGTTAGACCTGGAGAGTAGCGAGGAGGAGAGTGATGAGAGTGATAGCGAGTCGAGCAATGAGGAATGGGCGAGAAGGAAAGCGAGGAAGAAGAAGGATCAGAGACGAGCTAGGAGGAGGAAGGACAGTGATGAGAGCGATGAGGATAGCGAGGATAAGAAGAGGAAGAAGGAGAAAGCAAGACGACGACGGAGGAAGCAGGAAAGCGATAGTGATGACGAGTGCCGACAGAGGAAAAAGAAGAAGACGAACAAGAAAACTAAAAAGAGGATGGATACCGACGACAGTGACGAGAGCAGTTCAGAAGACGAGAGATCAAGGAAGAAGGCATCGAGGAAAAAGTGCAAGTAGCTTCCAATCTCTTCGTGTTTCCCTTTTTTTGCTTTTCTTCGCAATGTTCGCAACCAGGGATGGTTGATTTTCAAAGTCAGGGGGAGATGTAGGAGAGAGAGGTAGGCTACGATGCGATTACGGTCCCACTCTGTGATTAGATTAGATAAGGGCACGGTACTTACGCGTAGCCACTTGTCTCTTTGTTCTCCAGCTCACTCTTGTACGACGACAGAGGCAACGACGCACATTAGCATTACGGTCCCTAACGAGAGGCTACAAGACATTTCCCTCACACGATCCGACCCCATACTCATCAGCATCCTTTCAGGAAGGAAGGAAGAAAGGACTCATATCTCGTTCCTGCACCTGTCAGACTATTCTGGACCAGGTCGCACGCGACGAGAACGTCCTCCTGCTACTTCAAGCCATACATGACGTTTTCGATCTCACAAAGGTGGCCGACCGCTTGAGAAACATCGAGCCCAAATCCAAGCAGTCACAGATCCTTATGGCCATGCTCCAGCACGTCTGTAATTGCGGCGATTTTATCCAATCGTATGCAAGGGATGCAAATTTCTGTAGGTCGTCCACATCGCTGACTTGAACTGCGTTAAACGTGTGGTTTCAGGGCGGCGGGTTCTCAAGAATATCAGCGGTGAAGGCGATACCGAAATTGAGGACTACCGCTCAACCCTCTTCCGTCTGCGGGACCTCTTCTTGGACCACGCTACCATCACGACTGAGTTTATACCCTCCAAATTCTGGACGACATGGGAGGACTCTCTACCCGGCTTGGCAGCATTTCCACCGAACTGAAGGCAGTTTCGAATCAAGTCCTTGATGCCAGTGCGTATTAATGTTATTGTATACAATATTGGTCTGACTACCGGTGCCCAGGTTTGGATGCAAAAATCCGTGAAATTCCATATGGGAAGGGTTCGCGATATAGCCCTGAAAAACGCTGCCTTCCTGGAACGCGTACAAAATTCTTGGACTACATCGTTAACTGGGCAAATGACCCTGAATCTGAGCGTGCCCTCATTCTCTTCGGACAGGCAGGAACCGGGAAATCGGCAATTGCACATGAGGTTGCGCATCGTTTTGATGATATGCATCGCCTCAGTTCGTCATTCATCTTTAGACGAGCAGAGGGATCCAAACCTTACCTCCTTTTCACAACACTTACTCTTGACCTGTCCGACCGTTCAAAGCAGCACTGGGGAAAGTCCTCAAGGATGATACATCTCGTCGTGTGGGTGCCCAAGACTACAGTACTCTTTCTGAATCCCACCTGCTAATGACATGTAACTGACTGACTCATGATAGGCACTGCAGAGCTTGGTCGATGATGCCTCCGCGTTTGTGCGATATTTCGGAATGCCGATCGCAAGAAGTGCGCCGCATATCTACATCTCTGCTCTTCCCTTTGCCCCAACCTCTTCCCGCATTGCCAACTGTTATTCCAGTCGATTTCCCAACACATTGACAGTCCAACACGGGCGATCATCTCATTGGCCAGGATTATAGATAGCAATTCCAACAGTTGATGTTATATTGTCTGTGGCATTCTCGCCGGATGGCAGGCACAATGCCTCAGGCTCTTGGGATGATACAATTTGTGTATGGGATGCGACGACGGGAGAGACAGTCGCAGGCCCGTTTTCTGGACACACGGATTCCGTCTGGTCTGGGGCATTCTCGCCGGATGGCAAGCACATTGAATGTGTCGGGCTCAGATGATCATACAATTCGTGTGTGGGATGCGACAACAGGAGAGACAGTCGCAGGCCCGTTTGCTGGACACACGGGTTCTGTCTCGTCTGTGGCATTCTCGCCGGATGGCAAGCACATCGTCTCGGGCTCAGATGATTGGACAATTTGCATCTGGGATGCCATGAAGGAGGGAATGGAAAGGGGACAGTCCAGTCCGTGATCAGCAGTGATGGGCGGATATATGGGCCACAAGGTGAATTGTTGATATGGATCCCACAGCTTCACCGGAGCAGTCTTCATCGCCCAAGCACTGTTTGGAGTGGAGGTGGCAGTGACTGTGTTGGTACCCGGCTTGATCTTTCTAACTTTGTTCATGGAAAGGAGTGAACTGCCTGCTACTCAGCGTCTCCCGAAGCCAAGTAAAAACTTAGGATGATCTGGCTAGTATAGCTCTATGTCTATTACAATACTTTTTGTCTCGGCGTTTCTCAGTCCTAGAGGAGAAACCACATAAGTGCGGATGTCACGAGTTGGATACTACCTCTTGACGCTTTTAATGTTATGGCTCCTTTCCTTCGCAGAATTTATACATTTTACGAGGCTTGCACTGCGATTTCGCGACTTTCTGCAAATTGACTGGTACTGCCGAGCACACTCTCATGGCCTCTCGATCGAACGGCGTGTTTCCCTCGACCTCTGTAAATTGTTCTACAAGTAACGGTGAACTATATTCGAGACCATCTGCTTCCATGTACATCGAAGATATATTACCGTCAACCAAGAGTGAGAATGGGAATGTCAATAAGGGGAACCGCCGGAGGGAGAACGAAGACACGAATTAGAGAATATGAGGTTTGTGAGAATGTGCGTGCAATAAATAATCGTTCGTTGGGCTTGCAGAGTTATGCGCTTTCTCTGACGACGTCCTTTGGCCGATACTTGACAATCCAGGGGTGTTTCAAGACTTCGGTCAGCGGCAGACGTTTCTGGGGATCATAACGGAGCAGCTGAGGGATCAGTTAGTTTGTGTATATTTCTTGACGCTAGTTGAGTATTAGAGTATACCTTTGTGACCAAGTCCTTGAATTCTTCTGACAGGCGAATGTCCTTCTCCTCAAACTTGAGGTCGACCCGGGCGATACGGCGATAGGTATCTAGCAAGGAGGGCGTGAGTGAAGAGGTTACAAGGTGAAAATAAAAAGGATTTACTGTTGACACTACTCCTATCCTCAAACGGCGGGAAGCCGTTGACGAACTCGTACGTCAAAACCCCAAGTGCCCAATAATCGACTTTCTCGTTATGCTCTCTGCCCTCGACCATCTCAGGTGGGAGGTAGTCCAGTGTTCCACAGAGCGTCATCCTCCTATTCCCAGGGGCATGTACACTCCATCCAAAGTCGCCGATCTTCAGCTCTCCATTGATACCCAGTAGTAAGTTCTCGGGTTTGATGTCGCGATGAATAACATGCTTGCCATGCAAGTAGATCAACGCATCCGCCATCTGCTCGATGTACCTCGAGCTGCGGCGCTCAGAGAATCGGCCGTACTTCGACAGCTGCTTGTATAGCTCTCCTTTCCCCGCAAACTCGAGCATCAGAAAGATCCGCTTCTCGTCGTGGAAGTATCCGTACAGGCGGAGGACGTTCGGGTGCCGCAGGTTCTGCTGTATCTCGATTTCGCGACGGATTTGCTTCTCGACTTTGGACTGGACGATCTCGGATTTGTAGAGTGTCTTCAGGGCGAGGATGTATCTCGGCTCGGACTTCGTGCGGACCATGTACACTCGTCCGAATTTGCCCTTGCCCAGTGGACGGCCCATGTCGAAGTCGTGCAGACTCCATTCACGCGTGGGATGTTTCCTGGAGAGCAGCTGTTAGGCAAGCACAGCTGACGAGCTGGTAGTGGCCTACCTCGATACACTGGAGTCGAGGGCCAGCTCCTCCGCCGCCTCTCCATAAACTTTCTCTCCTCGCTTCTCGTTGTCGAGCTCAAGACCGCCGTCATACCGTCCGATATCGATGGAAGATTGAGTGGCATGGGTGGGTTTCGTAGATGTTGATGAGTGCGTGCTGTGGGGTATGGGGTGTCGCAGGGAAGAGGGATTGTTGGGCTTGTTGGAGGCATTAGTGAAGGGGTTGGGTGCGGCGTATTTGGTGAGGAGCTTCGTAACGTTCTGCCCACTGGGTTGCTTGGTGAGTGCAGGTCTTATGGAGGATCCGGAGGCGGGCGTTGGCTTTTTGGATGAGATTTCCATTGCGGCAATCTGACGTGTAACGGATCCGACGGAAGCCATAGTGTCTATTATTTGAGTAGGCCTCGCCGAAATCTGTGAATCATGGCATTATGATGAACGAGGAAAAGTCCAAGCACCGAAAAGCTCACATTCTGTAATATTTCTTACACGACCGACGTTGGTATCGCAGAGAGAATGCCAAATGGGCACTCAGACGGTAAGGAAGGAAGAGAACCTGAGCCTCGAGGCCTGAGAACTTCCCTGACGCGGTTCGAATTCAACACCACGTGACCCCTCATTTAAGTCACCACCCTGCTCCGCCTTTCGCTTCTACTAGCTTCAAGTTTCAACTCAGCTCAACCAGGGTCCAAGTCGCTCCCAAAACGAAAGCACGCCGTCGATATATTAAAGTCCATTCAGGCTCTCAGAGTTGAATATCGCCGAATTTGAAAGCGCGAACAGTACTAAAGAAAGTGATAATACATGTTAGCAACCTTGTAAGTAAAACCTGTCTTCGTCTATCAAAACTTCAGGAAGTATCCGATTCAACTCCCTACCGGGATTCTTCACACATATTATGCACAAATGCACTCCCCAATATATCCCGCACAGAACTTGGAGAAGAATCGGCGACAAGGTTTCGCGAACCCTTTCCAAACCTTCTGTATCCAAACGAGGTGAGTTGTTGAAAATTTGGATTGCTTGCTGACATTGATCGACTGTAAGCCTCTCCAGCGCATCCGGGTCGACCAGTCTACTCCCAACAATGATGCCACCCAATCCACTATCCGTCATTTCCTCAAGAACATAATCGAGTAGTCTCATGACGGCACAAATATCTTTTGCCTCTCCCGGCTCTTGAAAGAGCGGCTGGATGTTGTTTTGGATAATGGCCTTCACTCGCCGAATTGCTCGCCAAAAGACGGCACCGCGGTTGTTGATTGGATCGTCTAAAATATCCATGTATACCGGAACGGGTTCGCACTTCGTCAAGCCCACTGCGACAACCCAGCCCCCTCGTTTGACGTCTTCAAAGCTTCGGATTGGCGATGGGATAGGCCTGTGGTGGTAGTATAGAGTCTTTCGGTAATATGGAGGATAATGTTCCAGGATGCACTTGATCTCGTGTGCCGTTAGACTGTGGTTCCATGGGACTTGAACTGACGGCACTGGGTTATGGGCGATGTGCAGCACTACAGGACCCGACCCATCCTCTCCTCTGGATTTGACATCAATCTTCAAGAATCCTTCTTCGAATGTCTCCGTCGCCCTCGCCAACTCGATCTTCTTGGGTGCGAAGGAAGCTGGAATCATACAGAGGATGAAGGCATGGAGGACTTCTCTGTCCAGGCACAGATAACGTTGCTGGAGGGGGAGCTTCTCGGTAGGTTTCTCTATAATCTTCCTCCTGAATGATCTTGGGTCGAAGAAGTCACTGATGGTGGTTTGCCAGCAAGTCTGGCCAGCAATATGCCGCCTATGGGTGTGTGGACAAGCCCTCCGGCAATGATGCACAGGTGTATCGGGCTCCCGCGTCATCTCTGCGTAGGAGAGGTATTCACACTGGCCATCGCGTGGCTTCCATTTCAAGTAGAGGGTCCGGAAGGCGTCGCGCAGGAGGACCGCCCAATGGGGCGGCATTACGAACACCAGCACAGCAAGGCCAATAACAACTTGAATCATGCCCCAGTCTGGTGCCATTGAGGATTGAATGCACTGTTGCGGATTGGAGGGTCGTGGCAAGTGGCAAGTTGTTAGCTGTTTTTATCTTCAACGACTCATGTTCTCAAGGTTTGACATCGGGCACAGCAGAACTATATCGGTCGGTAGGGTGCAATTCTCTCTGGCACGGGACTGATGTTACGTTACATCTGCTCCTCACTTCATCTGTCACCCTGGTGTTGTGCACTACTCGTTGCTGACGACAATCCCCGCCGTAGGAAAGCATCTTCTGGCTTCGTACAGCTACTTGGCTTGCTTCGTCCGACAACAACTGTAATTCACTGTCCTCATTTACTGCTGTTATTTCTCATGGGCCCCAGCAGTTCCAGCAGGAAGGGCAATCTTTCAGCTGTTCGTAATCCCGCTTCATTGTTCGATGTATTCTGACGTCCTACTCATCCACAGCCCTCGGAAGCCATATCCGTTCATGTTCTGATTCGGCAGGGTCTAACTGCCCGTGCCCTCAAAGCCTTGGAGAATGGTGCCAACCCAAATGCAACCGACGAAGAAAATCAAACACTCATCTGCACGGCAATTTCGTGCGGCAATGGAGATGTCTTGAAGCAGCTGCTCCAGCTTGGGGCAGACATGTCCGTCACTCCGCGCCAAGATGGCAATCGTGTTCGGGGACGAAGCCTGATCTCTATTTCAATCACACTACTCCTTGTCGCCTTACAGTTTCGACTGCCTGCTGACCTCCTCGAGGCGTTCAAATTCACCATCTTCAGTATCCCTGTAGAGATATTAATCTGGTCAATCCTGACATCCACAGACATTCATCTAGACAAGCGCGTCATTTGGTGCATCATGATCATCTACCTCCCACTTTCCTTTATCTCGTATTTCTTCTCTGCTCCTCTTCAAGCTTTCGCCTTTGCGCTGCTACATTCACAGTCGCTATTCGCCTATGTCTTTCGGCGCCTTCTCCTTTATGCAGCACAACTTGTGACAGGTCGTCCTACGCGTATGCAACTCCCTCGTGCCCCAGGAGTGGAGGCCGTAATGGCGACCATCGGATATAAAGGCGAAGCACAGGGCATGATGAAGCTCCTCCTCGAAAATGGTCTTGACGTTGGAAGTCCTCAACAAAAAGGGAGCTTATTCCAGATCATATGGATGTGGGCCATACGTCGCGGACACGCGGAGATCGTAGCCATTCTTTCATCTCGACCAGATATTCCATCCCCTTTATTCATCAGTTTCGATGAACCCGAACCACTCAACGTCCTTTCCTACGTTGCGCACAAAGGTTATTCGAACCTTCTTCGCGTCTTACTCAATGCGCACGGCTACGACACCACGGCCAAAAGCGCTGCTTTGTTGGCCTGTCTGAGCCACATCATGATGAATACAAGTCGATGCGTCGCAACTATAACCACCCTTCTTCAATATGGGATTGGCACAGGCATATCCGTTGGGCGCCACGAAGGTCGTTCAGCATTGTCTTGGGCATGCCATTTTGAAGATTGCCACATCCAGTTGGTCCCACTTCTTCTGCAGCACGGTGCTGGGGCAACAGTAAACAGCAGTGATAGTGATGGAAAAGCTGCTCTGCACCGCGCAGTGTGGTGGAACGGAGAGAACTCGACGGCGACTATCGACCTACTCCTGGACGCAGGAGCAGATATCAACATTCTCGATGCCTCTGGCCATACTCCTTTATGGGAGGCTGCCTCGAAGTCAGTCCCACCTGTGATCGCTCATCTCCTCAAACGCGGCGCGAAAGTGGATTTTAGGTCGCCAGAAAGCACCACTCCGCTCATGGAGGCTTGTCTCCATAACAGCACCGTAGCTGTCGCTATTCTTCTTGCTGACGGTGCAGATCCCAATGCCAGCGCACCTGATGACACCCCACTTGCCTCTGCCGTCAGACAACAGTATTACCAGGCCATCAACGACGATCTCGTTTATATGCTCCTGCAAGCTGGTGCATGCCCCATTGTCCCTCTTTCAGATCAATTTCAGCTGATGCAACAACCATTGGTTCAGTGCATACACAGTACGTGCCAGGATGGAGAGTGGCTGCTTGAGTTGCTCGAAGCGGCTCGCGCAAGTGGCCCGATACCCCTAGAAATCCTGAATTGTGCCATCCAGCAAATGCTCCAGTATGTCCCTTATATGCACCTTGACGGACTGTTGGCTCTTCTTCAAGCAGGCGGCGACCCCAGCACCCAAAGCTTACAACCCTTGGCCGCTGAAGGCGGCACTGTGATGCATTTCGCTGTCCGAAATTACCCTCATCACCGGGGAGATGTCAGGAAAATTCTTCGACTTCTTGTCAATTCGCCCTTTCTTCTGCGAAGCCCGACGAATTTGTTGTTTGACCGCGATAATCTGGGTGATACTTTGCTGCATGCAGCTGCCTATTCAGGCAACACAACTGCAATGAAAGAACTCATGTCCATCGCCGACTCCTTCAACCTGCTTCAAAAGTATGTCAATGCCGCCGACTCATCCGGATACACGCCTTTGGCAGTAGCATGCCAAGTCCCGCCGACATCCCCGACAGGGTACACAAAGCTGGACACTCACTCTGATTTGGATGGACCTGAATTCTTCGGTGGCCGTTTGCGTGATGGTATTCGGGCAGGTATCATCGGCCACCGGTTTGAACAGGCCCAATACAGTATGGATACAGAAGACAATGTCTACCTCCTGCTGGAGGCGGGATCAAATCCATTCGCCATATCTAATGATGGCTTGATCCCTTTGCATCTGGCTTGTCAAGCAGGAAATCCAATTATTGCTGGGGTGCTGCTCCAGAACAGGAAGAGATTTCAGTCCGGCGCCCAACTCGGGTTCTCGTACACAATGCGTTCACTTCTTACTGTCAACGACAAGCAAGGAAGGACACCACTACACTTTGCTGCTCAATCGGGGAGTGCAGAACTTGTACGAATGGTCCTTGCGGCTAACGTTCTGCGAGTATTCAACGGTAGGGAGGTAACGCCTGACGAGGGCACTATATGGCCATCTCATGCTGCGTCGGAGACCGAGATTCTACTCGCCAAAGATGAATCAGGATACACACCACTTCATTATGCCATCAAAACAGGGCACGTCGATGTCGTCAAAGTATTTTTCAACGAAGTCGAAGGCTTTGAGTGGAATCTCGATCCCGGCCCCGATGATGGTGTGTCAGCCATACGACTGGCCAAGGAGGGTGGGCATGACGAAATTGTCGCCTTGCTAGAAGCTTCGAACCCGACAAAGCCGCGGACTTTGCAAGGATTCAAATCCCATCCGCTGAAGTGCAACTTGGACGAACGTAGGTGGTGTAGGGTTGATTGTCGCTGGTGCAGATATCAAAGAATTTGGATGTCGCAGTAGAGTGCCGTACCAACGTTTTATCCTTTCCTTGGAGTTGCATCGCGATTCCGACTACAGCACGAGAGAACAAAGTAGACATTGAACCACGAACGTAGTACAGCCATCTGGCAACAAAGGGACTATGATATCAAAGTCTACGGTAGCGTTAACAAAGTTCATGAAGACCCATCATCTTGCGCAAGTCTGGTGCTAGATTGTTTATTTCGACTACTTTCTTTTTTCTAACTCTCGTCTGTTTGAAGAGAAGAGCTTTCTTAGCTGCTCTGCATGAGGGTGGCATCTACCACGGCTACAGTCGAACTGTCTGTCTACTGGCCAACCCAGGAACAAAAGAAGGTTTCCTTGTCAATTTTGATTGCATGGAGAAGACTGGAGGGTATCACCATCAGTAGCAGTCATTTTCTTTCTGGTAAGAACCTTTGACAAAACACCACAATAAAGATCGTTCTACTCGTTGAAGACGGGTTCTCAAAATGAAAACAGCAGCATCCTGGACAGAACTGGGTATAGTTGAGAGTAGTCGGTAATCTAGATATGTAGGGTATACATCATCACAAGGTCATTAGTCGAATAGTAAAAGTTCGTAAAAGTTCATAGTCAATCATGTCTTATAGCGAGCCTTTAAGCTGCTTCAGCCGCCGGCTGGATCATCGCCAAGAAGGCCTCCTCCCAGCTTTTCACAGTACTCACGATCTCCTGGACCCTCGCTTCCAGCTGGGCAGCACCCCACGGCTGACCGAGCACACTAGCGGCGTCATTGATCCCTCTCCCAACCACGCTGCCCTCAAGTGCATCAAGGAAGTTCGCCACGTGCGTCGTAAGCGCATACCTCGCATGTCCTGTCATCTCTTCGAGCCTCGGAGGCGAGCTTGGTGGACGAGATGCAATCGTTGGGGTGTCGGGAACAGTGGAAGAGGCATTGGGCGGCGGAGCGATGAGGAGAGACGCAGGTGGGTCCCAAAACGTCTTTCCGCATCCGAGGACAATAAGGGCGAGCGCTTCAACGTGCTCGACGGAGACGAGGTCCTTGAGAAGGGCGCGTAGGCATAGGTCGACGTGTTCCCGCCATAGGATGCCTCGTTGGAAGACTGCGCCGATTGCTTTGCAGAGGGAGAGCGAGGCATGGACGTAGCCGGACGGTAGGTTGGATTGAAAGGTGATGGCAGAGGGGTTGGTCTAATTTGATGTTGTCTTCAGCTGACGTCCGACAGCAATGAAAAAGACCTTACCGTGTCCCAAGCTCGAAGGAACTTTCCCAAAAGGGTTTCTCGCAGGTGCCATACGAACGTCTTCCCATAGTCTTCGCCTAACTTCTCGTTCAACTGCTTGTGCAGCTCCTGCGCAACCTCTGCGAATGCTTCTTCACTTGTCATGGCAGGACTCTCCTCCGAGGACGAAATAGATGATCCGGGGGTGACGTAACAAGCTGGTTCGCGTGCGGGGGTGTTCTGGTCGGCCAACCACTCAGCTTCTGTCCCAAACGTGCCGATGAACAGATGTTCAACAAGCCCTAAGAGGCTGTCGAAGTTCCAATCGACGTAGCACGTATTTGGATCGAATATGACACCGAGAAGGACCTCACGCTCGCGAGGGGTCGTGGTGACCTTCAACGCGTCCATGAGGAGCGGAAGGTACACCGGAGGGGGCAGTGCAGCCGGGACTACTGCCTCTGCTTGTAGGGCGACTTCGAGGGCCTTGTGTGGAGGATGAGGAAGACCTGGAGGGTAGAGGGGCGCGAAGGTGGTGCTTTGGATATGGGGAGAGCTGAAGACCGGAAGAGGGGTGCTGTAGTTCACGAGTTGCATGTCTTCTTGGGGTACGAGACACCACTGTGGCGAAGGTGATGCATACAACTCGAGGTCGAGGGGCGGAATGAGCATGTCGTCGCTGTTGTCAAGGTCGATAGGTGAGATGTATGGAGCATTGAGAGGGTTATGCACCGTAGGTGGAGGAGTGAAGGAGGGAACGAAAGGCGCTGCCCGCGGGTTCAGCTCGTCTTTCTTGAGGGTCGTGATATCCAGGCTTTCGCGTTGCAAAAAGTCGAGAGAGAGATTACCGTCGAGGAGAAGGGGAGAAGCTTCCACCAGGGCGTCGTACATAGGGTCCGGGTTGGAGAAAATACGCCTGATTTCTTCATCTTCCAGGGACAGTGAAGAAAGCGTCGAGGTGGAACTCGCTGGCGAAGCCGTGAGATCTGGGATATCGAACTCGGAAAGAACTTCCTCAACGGAGGAGAAGCTGCTTTGGGTAGGGGTTGGTCGGTCGTCGGCGAGCTTCGCCTTTGCCTCCTTTGCTTTTTGAGCGGCGATTAAGGCGGTAAGAGATGGTCCGGTGTTGAAGGCATTGGGTTCGAAGCAGCGATTGAGCTCGATGATTAAAGGGCGTGGCATGGACATGATGACTGAAAGTAAAGATCGTAGTGGTCCTGTGGATATTAGAGATTAGAGAAGAGACGCCCAGCGCTCGAGAGAAAAGGAGGGACAAAACGAGATGTTGGTAGTTGGAGGGATGGGAGAATCCATAGCGCTTGCGCTGGTATTTATGGCCACAGAGAAGACACTCATGGTCCTGGCAATGTCATGCTGTCAATTATAAGAATGTCAGCGACGAGAGGACGAAAAGTACAAAAGCGACAACGACGCGAATGATGAAAGTACAATAACGGTGATATGCGAAGCTCGTTAGCCGCGACCCACTGTTACTAGTCTGCGTATATGTGGGCGCCTTGGAATGATGGACAGTTGGTCTAACAATAAGATATCCATGCTCTTGTTGCGACGTATAGCTACTACTCGAAGGATAACTTAATGACTTTGTCTATTCTCTAGTCTCTGGGTGAGATAAACCACGTGCGTGCAATACAATAACACTCACAAGTTCACCGCCGATATCAGGCATGTCAACGCCCAAGTACCCCTCGTCGTCGTCGTTATCGATGAACAAAAAGCGAAAGTCAGTAAAAGTACCTGCCTGGGAAAGCTGACAAATAGAGGTTGCTTTCCGGCCTTTCCTGAGACCGCAAAAAATATTTTAGGTAGTGTCCTACACGGACTTCGTCCTAATAGAACTCTTCAATAAAGGGACAAATCCGAGGTAAGAAATCGAGGCAGCAACAGAAGCCTTGTGCCAGCCCCTACTGTACGTAACCGGTCACTCGGTCACACCAGCTACTCGGTCATTGCCTTTGTAGGTGGCACAGTTGCTCGTTTCACTCCATTCTTTTTGTGCACTCATGTATAATAGTATCAGAGCAATGTAACTGCATTTTTTGGCGGACAGAGCACCATTCCTCGCGGAGAAATGAGCCTCCCTTTGTGTCTGGTGACGTGTGACGCCCAATTTCCTTATTTGATACCGTGTTCCGGAGGGCTTTTCTCGATGACATGACACACTGCCAGGAAGATACTTCGGACTTAAGAATTTCATAGTGACTACTGTATAATTAAGCAAGTTTCTCTTATATTGAAGGATTGCTGCACTTCCAACCTTGAAAATTGGAGAGTGTGTCATTTTGGAGGTGGATTGGACTGTTCCTGCTGATTTCTCTTAGTATAAAGCATCCATTGTGTAAACAAAGAGGTGAAATGAATTTTGAGGCGAATATGTGTGCATGAAAGAAGACCCCTCAATTTTTACAATTTTCTTCCGAACATAAGACACCAAGCAATTGAAAATTCTTGTTTTGAGTGATGAGAAATGTCAAATTAAATAACTGAAAGGAAAACATCAGAAATCACAAAATAAGAAGACCAGAATATGATAGAGGTGTCTAAATTTCACTGGAAGCATTTTTTCGTTAAGGTCAGACCAACTTTGAAGAGTAATTCAAGGTGGCCGAGTACTGTCCTCATATTCTGAGGTTATCTTATCATCAGCTTACTAAGCATAACTGACCTTGGTTACAACCGGTGTACGGGACCAATACAAATTGGTCTAGTCTTGGGGCCTGGCCGACTTCCTGGTTTTGACCGATTTTGACCTATCGAAATAAAATATTTGTGGAGGTCTCAAACCCTCCCTTAAATTTCTGATAATTGGTACACAAGTACTTCAGATGCTTGCCTATTGAGTAGTACTGTTAGTTTTTTTGACACCCCCAAACCAAGCACGCAAATTTTAGGAGACTGTAGAGTGACCGAGATGCCGGTCATCTACAGTAAGTACTTTGAAACTTCCCGGCGGAATGAGCCGAGTTACGCGGGCCGGAATTTCAGGGACACGTGCGATCTATTCCATTGGGGAGGCCGCTGGAGGCAGTCTGGATCTCCTTCTCCTCTTCCATAACATGTTCCGTCAACGCGGTCGGCGATGAACAGCGTGTATTTCCCTGCTCATGTCGTTGTCCTCATCAGGCGCCTCGTGAACGTTGTCTCAACACTTTCTATTTCCAACCATTACATCTCCCGCAAGACGAACACGGACACACCACCTTACGACTATTTATTATCGAAGCAACCGCTCAGTGCATCCAATATCGTTGAATGGCCATGGCTGACACTGCGGAGCAACTGGGATCGCGTTCTTACCGCTGCGGATAGAATGAACGGCGTAGCAGTGGTCCAGGAAGAGCATAACAGACCCGGCTTGGTACTTCGGTGTATGTTCCAGGTTTGTTAAAATATGTATGTCCAAGCTAACGGTCCTCCAGCTACGCTCAACCTCCCCAAATGGATTCCTGGGCACTTGTCATGGCCGAATTTATTCTCGATATTCCGGCCTGAATTCAATCTCCCTACTCCAGACGAAGATCCACCACCCCGAACACCTCCTAAACCTCAAAGTAGCGAGGAGCCGCAGGAGCAGCCGCAAAAGAAGCAGCGGAAGCCCTTGAAGGAGCCGTTTATCCCGCCCCAATTACAGCGTACCCACCCAGCGGATCTAATACACCAACTTCTTGTCAATCCCGCACTATACGATCCACTACGAACACCGCGGTATCCTATAGTTCTATGCCATGGTATGTTCAGTTTATCGGAGCTATCAGCAACTTTCTCACTTGATGCCCCAGGCCTCTATGGGTTCGATTCGCGTGGGCCGTCATCTTTCCCGAGTATGCGAATGCATTACTGGTCAAATGTCCTTCGGGTTCTCCGCGGCAAAGTTGGGGCTGAGGTGATCGTGACATCTGTGCCTGGGTCAGCTTTGCCTTTTCCTATCCACCGATCTTTGTTGATTTAGCACGGGAAACAGGACCGGCTCTATCCCTTCACGCGCCGCTAGACTAGATGAACAACTGCGGATCCAAGCTCGCGGTCGTGGCATCAATTTCCTTGCTCATTCCATGGGAGGACTGGACTGCCGACACCTCATTTCGCATATTCGACCAAGCGAGTACATCCCACTTTCATTAACGACCATTTGTACGCCTCACCGTGGAAGCCCATTTATGGATTGGTGTGCGGTATGTGGAGCGCCTTCATCATCAGCTTGAAGCTCATGATTATCAGACAAATATTGGCATTGGCAAATTAAGGCAACAGGAGAAGGAACTGGCGGAAGAGCTCAGGAAAAGTCGTCAACGGCATTCCAAGTCGCCAGATGAGGACTTCGACATTCATCCAGACCCCAGCCCCTCTCTAGAATCCAAGGATGTCTCCACAGCGAAATCAAAGAGAAACGAAGACTCTGGTTTCTCCTTTTCATCCATTTCATCTCTTCCGTCTTCCTTCACCACCCTGCTCCTCTCCATCGTCGACTCGCCTGCATATGCTAATCTAACTTCACACTACCTCAACGAAGTGTTCAACCCTGCCACGCCAGACGACCCAGATGTCAAGTATTGGAGTGTCGCAGCACGCATGTCATCAAAGAGCGTCAACGTGTGGCATCCTTTCTGGCTGCCCAAGATGGTGCTCGACGGCAGCGAGGAAGCCGAGAGGGAGAAGTTGAAGAAGAATTGGGAGGAGGAGAGCTCGCGTAGAGAGCAAAATTGGGGCGAGAACGTTCCTCTGTGGGCGGACGAAAGGGAATGGGGAAATGATGGTCTAGTTACAGTGCAGAGCGCGAAATGGGGCGAATTTTTGGGTATTATGGAGGGCTGCGACCGTGAATTCTTGTCCCTTTCCTCATAGAAAATCTCAACCGCTAACTGACTACCGTTTATTTTAGATTGGGAGATGCGTGGGGCGAGAGGAATCGAGTTTGGTGTTGATCTCCCTGCTATTCCAGCGATTGGCCTCGGTGCATTCCCATACTCTACGTCGACATCAAACTCGCGGCCAGCTGTACAAGCCCAAGGCGACGGATGGGGCTTTGGCGACTGGACGCGCTTCGTTGGCGCTTGGAGGAAGAGCAAGGAGGACGCCGCAGCTGCCCAGAAGGCCGAGAAGGCTGGCACTGTGCATGCGCTCCATAAGCATGGTGTAGAGCAGGCAAAAGTTCATGCTAAAGCCATGGGCAACGCTCCTTCTGCGACATCGGCCTCAACAGCCTCTTCCTCACCCGTCCCTCCGTCTTCCTCCGGCTCGGAACTACCGAAGGAGGAGACACTGCGCGAGAAACGCGAACGAGACCGCCAAGCTGCGGATGTCCTTCTCAAGGCGTCTACGGAGAAGCTCTCCGTCGTGTTTGACTGGCTCATCGACCAGGTACCTGCCGTCCCGCTTATTGCCGCTCCTTCGTCTAGTGACGCTCAGCTTGAGTCGAGTGCGAAGGTAATGAACACGGAGAAGGCTAAGGCAGGCCTTGGTGAGGCCCGTGCGATGACCGACAAAGAACTCGGCGCTGCAGCTGTGGTTCACACCGTCGGTCCCTCTTCTGGTGCTAGCTTTGACCCCACGAAGAGTCCAAGTCGCAAGGACTCTCCTCCCTCTGAGATGAGGCGGCGGATGGACCAGGAGGACAAAGGGCGGAAGAAGAACGAGCTGGCGACGAGGGAAGACCTGGAGAGGTTCTACGTCGCTCTTTCGAGGAAGATGTATGATTCTGGGCTGTAGGAAATCCGGTACTCATCATACATTCTGTGTTTATGGGAGGTGGAGGACATCTTGTAACTTTTTCTCCGTTTGCTTGTAGGCTTCTGAACGTTAACTTGATTTGTCGTATCTTTGAAAACCTCGATGATTTACATAAAAGTTCTATCGACGTGACATTTCCTGGAATGAAAGGGGTATCGAAGCGAGGAAAGTGAGTGAGACTCGTTCGAACTGCCAGTGGTAAATATTCGGATCGTGGAAATAACGAAACGATTTTCTTTTGTCTTTCACTTCGACCATTCGGCAAGTCACTGACTCCAAAACCTTCAAACTTGACCCGTTTGGCCCTTCAACATTGCTTCAACGTCAAGGCATGGTCGAGTCAGATCTAGGTTCAGGTCCGCAAACTCGCCTGCATGCGGCAGATTCCTTACGAAATCAAATTTCGCAAGCCAAACGCTGAGGTCGTTCTCGTCGGTTCTTCTTCCTTCTCCAATATTCCCGATGATGCTGAACATGCCTAAGGTGTTCGTGCTTTGAATGCTTGCCGCATACTGCGGAGTATGTCCTTGAATCGCCTGGGCCACCCACAGATCCTGACTCGGTGACAAGATTTTTCCAAGCGCCGTCAACGCCTGAGCCACTCGAAATTGCTGACTAGTGGTTGCCTTTGAAATCGCTTTGACCAAGACCGAAGCAGAACTTTTTTCCTATTCGGACGACACGTTGCGGGGGAGGTGTTGTGTCAATTGTCTTTCGAGTGGCCTTGCGGAGGATCAACACGAGATAGAACAAAGGAAGCCTTGCGGGCCAGACGAACACTTATTTAACCCCGTCATCAGCGAAAACGCATTCAAACTATTTATCACACCTCAGGCCTCAATCCCGGCTTCTGTCGCGACACGTTCACCCTCTCTTCTCAATGGAACAAGCATGTTCAGGTACTGACAGAATTATATCGCGAACTTCTTCACCACTACGACCGCTTGCGCATTCAGGATTTCCATCTGAGGCAAGGCCACAATACCAGATAGCGGCCAATTGGCCTCAAGACACCGTCACGTTATCCTTTGAGCTGGAGGACGCTTTGACATCTCTGACATCGGTTTATAAGCCCGTGCGTACCGTTGTGTCGAAACGAGAACGTCGCTTACCCTCCTCCAGCCTCACTATATCAAATCTCTTTCAAAGCATGTCGTTGGCACGCGCCGATACTACTGCACCTCGCACGAACACATCCATCCCGACCCTCCAAACTCCTAAACCAACCCAGCCTTACCCCAATGCGAAGTACCAGCAACTGCTCAACAGCACCCAAGAGTCGCCCACTAGACCCCATACGTCTCTCAGCAGTAGCAGCACCGCAACCAGAAGCAGTACCAACCCTTCTCCGTCGTCGACTCTTTGCAGCCACGGGCTAAGCGGGCAAGACATCAGCAAGTTCTTCATGGATCCGAGCCTCGTGTGGAACGTCGCACCACCACCGACCAAACTCCAGCTCTACGATCACCCTTTCGCCCCGCTTGAGTTCGAGGCACGATCTGAGGAAGAACGTTCGCGTGCTCAATCGCGATCGGAGTCACCGACTGTTCCTGCTACGACAGAGCAACCCTCATACCCACCCCATGGCTATGAAGGAAGAATGCTCGCAGGCCCTCCTCCGCGTCCCATGAAGACCAATCCGTACGTGAAACTCAAGAAATCTTGGAATCCTCTCTTCGAGGCGGGGTGCAAGACCCTTGGACCGATTGAACGCGCCCAACACGCGAAGCAACTCGTTGGACGTGGCCCGTGGAGCGATGACGCGATCCTTGACCTTGTTCGCGCGTTTATCTGGCGCGCCTCCGACTTCGAAGTCCCGCAACCGGTCAACTTTGTCGCACTCTTCGCCGCAGAGGTTTCTGGCGTGTTTATTGAGCAGCAGAAGCCAGACGAGCGTTTCAAACACGTTCTCAGGGAAGCCCTACTCAACACCATGATGGGCTGTTGGCACGTACCTCGCGATGTCAATGGCGACCCTCTCCCGACTGAGGGCCATAGACCCGTCATGCTGGACCGGAACCCCACCGTCGATTATAAGCGGCATGTACGCCAGGCTGTCGCCCTCTGTGGCTTCGTCGGATGCTTGTACAAGCAAGACCAACTTCCACGCACCGATGTTGCTCAGTGCGTCAGGGTTATCTTCTTGAATGCGAAGGTGGTCGAGCACCTACACGCAATCGGGGCGATTCTGACTGGCGCAGGCTCGAAGCTCTGGGCTGAGGCCGTGGATCTCAAGACCGAGAGCGAGAGCATCTCGAAGGAGATAAAGAAGTTGAGACACAAGATTGTGGACGCGTGGGTGCTATATCTTCCCCGCGGTGGGACGAAGGAGAAGATCGAACAGCTTGTCGCGTTTGTGGAGAGCTGCGCGGCTAAGGTGTTGGACGAGAGGGCCGCGGCGCAGATACAAGCCCAAAGCCAACGCGTTCTTCCCCCCTCCTGATGTTTACATTCTCGAGGATCCTCTGTTGCACTTTGTATCGTATATACTTACCACTTTCCTTTCATTTTCTCTCGCATCTGCTCCAGTTTTTCATGCATACAACCATTCATTCTGCCTCTCGATCATCCTTATCTACATTATTATGCAGTCTACCCTGCTCGCCCAATACAAATGTTTTCAAGCAATTCTTTTGGCGTGACTAGTGTGCTTTGTCGGCCCGGTTAGCCGTTGAAGTTGTCCAGTGACCCTACCACCATGTCTTCTTCTTTACTTACTACCACCCTACTCCTAGGGTTCGAAGCATAGTCACCGCTCTTTGGACCCGATAGTTTACTATCTAGACGACTGCGCTAGCGAGGCGAGATGTTTCTTCTCGAGTGCCTCGCAATCTCAACTTTCCTGCTTGGTCAGAGACATACTGTTTCCTAAGCCTATGCCTTTGTTAAAACTAACTTTTCGCGTTCAGGCTCTTTGGCCCATATTCAAGGAGATGCGGTCCACGTACTTAACCATTTTCTTGCATTGGGACACGCTGGTACATGCGCAACCAGCTTCCTGTCCGACTCAGACTCCATCAACCACGAATGGAGATCTCGTTTGAAGTCTCAGAAGCATAGCGCTCAACGACTCCTGAAGGGCGGCGCACCATTCGCTGATGAACACCTGGGGATTAGCGTTCCTCCGCCCCCTCTCGAGATAGTACCACTCATCGTCTCAGGCCCTTCTTCGAACCGCGTGGATCTGGTGTTCTTCTCGGACGGGTGTGAGTACTTCACGCGTTATCGCCCTCTCGTGCTCTTTTGCTTACCCACAGACGTGCTTCTCGAACAGATACCCCGGAAGAACGCGACAAGTTCGTTGCTGACGCTCTGAGACTCGCCGAGGATGTTTCGACGAATCAGACGTTCAATACTGTGCAGCCGCTGTTGAATTTCTGGGCGGCGTTCTCACCTAGCAATGAGGCTTGTATCCCTCTCGCTCGATTTGTCGAGGATAGGAAGCTCATGAGCCTCTTAGAGCGGTTTAGGGAACAATGGCCCCAATGAGTGAGTTTTCGTTTCATCACATAAATTCCATCGTTCGCGTCGATCCTGAATGCGCCGTCGGTGTGCTAGCACGCCATTTGGTCTGTACAGAATCAATACAGAGCTTCGTGGCGTATACTACGCGTATGCGGAGGTTGGAAGGGCTGCCTGTGATTCTTTGGGAAATCAATGCGATTACCCTATTCTTCTGGGTATGTCACCAGAAATATCTCAGCTTAATGTCTGCTGATGCATCTCTTTACTTGCTCAGGCAACGACCCTCTCTACGGTGGTATGTCATGGCTATTCAACACGAAATCATTGTTGGCTTATTTAAGTTCCTCTAGGCCTAGGAGGGGAATTCACGTACGCAAACCTTCCGTTCCTGCGACGCCGCTCTTGTTCAGTGCAGCCGCAATAGCGTCGTCACCGCCTCGATCATCAACGGCCCTCTTGTTCTCCGACACGAGCTCGGGCACTCGATTTTGGATGTCGGTGAAGAATACGACGGCGGGCAAGCCTACTTTGGTCGAAATTCTGCTCGAGACCCTGCCAACATACCCTGGACGCAGTGGCTCTCCGACCCGTCTCGTGCAAATCCTGATGGCACTCCGCGAATCGAGCGCTCGGTCATGCCGATGCAAGCGTACCCTTGGACGCTTCTTAACACGACCAAGGCCTGGGCAGTGCAGTTCGACTCCTCTGGTTTGTATGAACGTTATTTGTTGCAGTTCTCTCTGTCGGGAATACCAGATAAAGAGGATCTGAGGGTTGAGTTCGATGGAACTGACCTTGAATGGGAGCCCAGGGAAGATCTCGGAGCGGATAGATGGTTTTACGATTTCTTGGGTGATAAAAAGCTGGAAGCTGGCAAGCACAAGTTGAAGTTCACACTACTGAATGGGGCTCTGGAAGGGAAGGCTCAACTCTGCAGCACGGAGGTTTTGGAGTATGGGAATGAGGAAGAGTAAGTTAGTTATACCGAAGGATGTCGTGGCACCCTCTAGAAGAAGCTGAACATTCGCTTTAGATTCGTCCTCGAGCCGGGCTTCTACAGCCTATATCCGACGTATGTGTTTGTGGCTTCTAGCACAAGTATCATCTAACAATCTAATTTCAACAGGTACTCCAACCTCAACAGGACAACTTACCGGCCTACCAATGACGACTGCTTGATGCGCTCTGTCATCACCCCGAACTTCTGCAAAGTGTGTATAGAAACGCTCTGGATCAAGCTGCTGCAGCACGTCTCCTTCGTCGACTCTATCCAAGAGACCTGCGAGCTCCAAGCGGATTCTGCCGCACTGAAAGTCTTGGATCTCGTCCTCCTTCCTCTAGCAGACTTGAGGCAGAGGGCGATCGCTGCGAAAGAGAGCTATACCATCATTTGGCAGAAGGACGGCGTGGTTCTAGAGGACTTCACAAACAAGACGAGAATCGCAGTTGACGAGGCGGGTGCGTTGGGGACGTACAACATCCATGTGAAGTTCTCGACAGAGGAAGTCAGGATTTCAGACAGTCCGACGTTGGAGAACAACATTAGCTATGAAGTCAAAACTGGATGTAATTAGCCTCAAATATCTATGATTTTTGTAGTATTGCTCTTGAACGAGCTGCCATTGATCAGATTCTGGGAGTTTTTTGGGCTTCCCCGGACCATCGTTCAAGGAAGTTTTAGAGCACAGTTGAGCTTCGGGTCACGGTGATCGATTGATCAGGTATAACAGAGGTGTCGGCCCGGAACGTTGAAAGCTTATTGCCTCTCTTCCTCGCATTTTTACCCCATCCCCATGGCAGCCCGAGTCCCCAAGGAATGTCCATCCCCGCTTGCAGCATAGCGGTCAAGAATTCCGGGAAATAGCAGAAACTACCTGGAGCCTAATCTTTGGCAAACCCGAAGGGATTGTTCAACAGGTGTGCGGCCATGCGTGTTCTATGCCGTTTCAAGAACTTGACATCCCAGCTTTCATAAGAGACGTGTAGTGAATAGGGACACTATATTTCCCTCTGCTTCTCGGTGCATTTATGGACCCTTCCAACCTTCCAGTCGTTGCGTGTGGATACTTTTCAACGTCGGCTAGATGTGTTGCAAAACTGGAGATATTCTCTGACGCGTTTGAACGACGAAGGAATACTGATATCCGGCTGTCGTGTCTTCGTACCCTTTGACATATGTCCGCGTTCAAATTGCGCTAGGCCGCTGGGGATGGGTATAAAGGTGAGCTCATACTTCAGTTCCTACAACAGCTCCAACAGCAACGTTACCCGCAATTTTCAGCTTTCAGCTTCATCGCAACAATGCTCAACATCACTCTTCCCTCCAGCAGAAACACTGCTCTCACCCCTGTCAAAGCTCCAAGAGATCTCTTTACAGGGCTTCCCTACATGAAGAAGAGAGACTCGCCGACCGACTACGAGAGTGCTCTCAAGTATGGCGTTGATGGATTCAACGAGATGAAATCTATGTAAGCTGCATGTCGTCCCCAACTTTTGGGAACTGGGATAATACATACCTCATGCTGATCATCGACTTTGTCAACAAAGACTCGATTTCTTCTTCGATGTTGCCGAATTCCAACCATCTCATGGAAAAGGCGAAATTGAAGACCAGCAGTCAGACGAAGAAAATTTGGAATACAAGCGAGCCCTCTACCACTGGGAAAGCGACGGCGAATTCCCTCCTCATTTGAGCACTGTTCCCAAGGGGGATCAGCAATCGCATATCTTCAAATTCAAGCGACTCTACAACACTCTCCGTTTGGTATACCCCTTTCTCCCACCTATCGATTTCTTCAAACGCATGGCGCCTCCTCCAGTGGCCAACATGGCCTATCTGTATGCCCGCAACAAGTTGCTCCATAACGTTTCACCCGGCACAAATATGTATGCGGCCGAGAACATTGGCCTCCGTTCAGATTGGTATTCGGATGCCGTTTTTGCCCACCAGCAATTCATTGGAGTCAATCCCTGCACGATTACAGCGGCACCGGAGGTATGGATCAAGGCGTTCACCCATGCTGCCATCCATCAAGGAAACGCAGAGGCCGCTCGCCTCATCTTGAACCCAAAGAATTCGTTCTTTGTCCAGGACTACAGTTACTTCAGGTCCGTGGCGGGGATGGGGCCCACCGATGTGATTTCCTCAGATTTCGGACACGAAAAAGGCCACGAAACCCGCTTCGGCTGCGGCCCGGTCGTCCTGTTCCAGCTCTTGACCATTGGAAGGCTTCATCCGATAGCCATTATCCTCGATTACAAGGGCAGCATTGACACCAGCGTCACTATCTTCAATCGCCACCTCGTCCCGATGGCGTCTCCAGACCAGAAGTTCGACTGGCCCTGGCGCTACGCAAAGATGTGCGCTCAGGTTGCGGATTGGACGCGCCACGAGGTTGGGGTCCACTTGGTGCAAGCCCATTTCCTTCAGGAGGCCATCAGCGTTGCGGCTCAGCGCAGTCTTCCTGATTCACATATCGTGCACGCGTTGCTCAGTCCTCATTGGACCACAACCCTTTCGCTCAACGCCCTAGCTCGTTCGAGCATGGTTCCGTTCATGGTCGCTCCCATTGCGCCATTCAAGGTATGTATATCACCGCAGTCTTGCGTGTCCGTTCGGCCTAACATTCTTGAAGGTCCCAGAGTTGATGGCTATCGCCAGGGATGCGTACTACTCTTACGACTTCGCAGGCTCGTACATCCCCGAGGACCTCAAGAGGCGCGGCTTCGACATCTCCCACTTCGACGATCCTACCGGCCCATACCATAACTATGCCTATGGACGCAGCATCTTGAAGATCTGGAACGTCCTCCACAAGTTCGTTGGCTCAATCTTGACCGCGCACTACCAGAACGGTGATGCGGATGTCCTCGCGGATTCCTACGTTGCTGGCTTCTGTGCAGAGATGCAGTCTGCGGAAGGTGGCCATCTCACCCAATTCCCTTCCGTGAAGACTTTGGCAGAGCTCATCAACGTGGTCACGATGTCCATCCACATTGCCGCACCTCAGCACACCGCTATCAATTATCTCCAGCAGTTCTACATGACCTTCGTCCCGAACAAGCCCTCCGGACTCTTCGCCCCTCTTCCCAACTCTCTTCACGAGCTGTTGAAGTTCAAGGAGGCGGACATTCTCAAGGCCCTGCCCCTCCATTCTCCGACTAGCTGGCTCATGATGGCACAGGTTCCGTACTTGCTTTCCGCGACGGTTGAGCCCAAGAACAACATCGTCACTTATGCGCATGATGCGGCGGCCAGCGCGAACCCGCTCATTGCTTCGGCGGGCAAAATTCTCTCGGACGACATCGAGGGTCTCAAGAAGGTCTTCAAGGAGATCAGCAATCAGATGGATGACCAAGTCACGAAATACAACGTCTTGGACCCAGACTACATGGCTAATGCGATCGTCATCTAGAGAACATGCCGCAGAAATTACTATGAATCTACTACAAAAGCCTTAGTGTTGAACGTTGAGCACGATATATGTTTGAAATACACTGCTTCTACAATCATTTTGCATGTGTGAACTAGCCCCTAAAGTTGAGCCTTAAATCTGATTGGCTGATGCGGAGTGGCGCGGTCACGTGCTAGTTTGGTTCTTACTGGTCGGCTATCTCAAGTTGAACCCGACAGTTCTCGACGTCGACCCCACCATTCCCCTCTTCAACGCGTACAGAGTCCCCGTTGACTACGGGTATCTCTACAAAAATGCCTGTAAGCAAATATTGACGCTGTCATAGCCTACATGTGCTCAACTACTTGCAGAACTTGACGCCCACAGACGTCAAGCATGAGCTCGAAAAATTACATCACGACCTATTTTTGGAGGAGACCGAGGACAACTGGGAAAAGACTGCGAGGTCCATGAACGCCTTCAGCAAGATTTGTACGGACGGTGGATATGAAGTTGCAGGCCTAGAGGTGGTCAATGCATTCCGAGGTGCCCATCGGCCCATCATCGGTGCCATGAACTCAGAGCGCACACGACTCTCTGGTTGTGCCCTCGACCTGGTCAACTCGGTAGCCACTGCTGTTGGCAAGGATTTTGAACAGCTCTTGTCCATATTCATGCCACCCCTCCTTGCGCTCTGCGGCCGCACCAACAAAGTTGTCACCAATCGTGCACGAAGCGTCATTTTCAACGTTATCGAAGTCGCGCAACTTGCCTCGGTCCTCTCATATTTCCTGCGGGACATCAAGGACAAGTCAACCTCGCTGAGGCAGGTCATTGCAGAAGGCACGTTAGCGGTTCTCAATTCCTGCAATCCCCCGGACCTAGAGAAAGAAGCGAGGGCGAAGGAGATAGAGGCTATCATTCGTGGCACCGCTCGTGATGCCAATGCAGACGTCAGGAAGGTTAGCAGGAAGATATTCGAGTCGTATAAGATTTTGTTGCCTTCTCGGGTTGAAAGGTACGTTTCCGACTCGATGCTGCACATATTGGTTATTGATGCAGCCACGTCTTAGCTTCACCGCACCACTAAGCCCTACGATGAAGAAATATCTTGACATAAAGTCAAACACTCTCACCACCCACAAGTCGACGTCCAACCTGCGGTCTAACCTGAACTTGAACCCCGAGACCAAATCATCCAGCTCCACGACTGCCCCCACTACAGCCACTACACGGCCTAATGGTCATGCTCGCACAGCTTCTGCCTCAACTTTCAACACTGGCACAACCTCGACTCAGGCCAAAAATCTGGCAACATCGCTGACAAGAGTCAGCAGGAAAGAACCAGCGGCCGCACCTTCAGCCCCAGTCCGACAAGTTCAGCCTTCCAGAGTCGTCTCCCAATCCCACCACGAAACGCAGAGAGCAGTGCCTTCCAATGTTGGACCCTCTCGGGCCACAGCTTCTCAAGAAACTAAACGTCCTATCCCACCCCTAAGATCTCAGCGCAGCATTATATCACAAACTACTGGCTCGTCAACGGCTGCAGCCGTAGCTCCTCGTCGTTTGCAGTTGCACCCAAATCCACCGGCTGCTAATGCTGCTCCTCTTGCCTCATCGGGACCGCGTCGAGTACCTATGCCACCACCTCCACCTCCTGCACCGAAGAAGGATGAAGCGCCAAAACGACCTGCCTCCAGAGTCGATAATGCTGCTTCAACGGCCACTACGGCGAGCCGAACTGCAGTTCCTCCTCCTGCACCTGTGAAGAAACCTGCTTCTTCCACGACATCCAGCCTGAAAGATCGAGTGCCGACCACCAAACCCCCTGTACCAAAATTCAAACCTACCTCTTCTACGACCTCAGCTAACGGTGCACCGTCTGCCTCCACGGCCGAAAACAAACCCACAATAGCGAAGACCATCACGAAACCCCCTGTGCCGAAGTACAGGTCTACTCCTGCAGCACCATCTGGGTCCGCCGCGGCGAATGGCACTACCAAGCTTTTGGCAGTGGCTAAGGCGAAACCTATATGGGGTTCTGGACCATCTGCGAAGCCGGCTACATCGCAGAAAGGAGCTCCGTCAGCAAAGACTGTTGTAAAGAAGGCTTCGACAAGGACGATCGCCCAACCTCCTGTTGCCGGAGCAGCGAAGAATATCCGACGACCAGTGACGCCTGCGATGGTCGCGCTACCTCCTTCTCCTGCACCAGAAGAAGAAGAGAAGGCCGCTCCTAACAGTGATCAAGAACTCAAGACAGAGGAGGAGAAAGTCGCTATAGAACATGTTGAGAAGCAAATTTCTCCTGCCGTGTCACCTACTCCCGAATCTGTGCTTGTCAGCGACGTAGGGGTGTCGGAGCATATTTCCGAGAAGATGGAAGGTATCGACAAAGGCACCGTCGAAGCCGAGTCGGCTTCGACCACACTAACAGACGACCACTCAACTGCTACAGCGAGCACCGTCACTGCACGTATCCAAACCGCCTTCGGTTCTTACCGAACCGGCGCTGCACCCGCCAGTATCACCACCAACACCAACCAACCTCCAATGCGTCTCCCGACATCCAACGCCGACCTCCTACTTCCCCGCACGCCCAACAACAACTTCCTCCTTCCGAACGCGTCCAACCCCGCCTTTGCGACGAAGACGCCCATCTCCGCTCTCCTCACTTCCATCGAGCAGGGCTTCCTCTACTCTCCCACCACGCCCTTGTCGCCCGCTGACGCCTACATGCCTGGCCCGAATGGCACTCCAGCATCCTATTGCCACCAGCGCGATGCACCGCGCGTGGAGGGCCCAATGCAACCGTTCAATCACGCGTTGCACCAGCACGGTGGTGTCGGGTTTGGGGGAATGTTTGGAGGTAAGAAGGAGCCTGAGCTGGTTAGGGGGGATATTGGTGTTGTCAACGTGAACATGAACGATCAGAAGATGTTCGTGCCCGTCGCTCTGCCAGGGCTGGATGAGAGGCTCGGTTTCGTCAACTTTAGTCAATAGGGCTAAGGAGAAGGCATCGAGATGCCCGAAGAGGCATTTCGGTACCTTGCTTAGGACATTTCATGTCTCCTTAACCATGTCTCCTTAACCTCACTTTCTTCAATTTTTTTCCCCTTTACATCATTGTTCCTGTCTAACAAGGCAATTCACCCATTTCTCGCATTACACGAGGGCGGTATCGTACTAATACAATTGCTATATGCATCCAAACACGAAATAGGCATTTCAAAGTACCTGCCGAAGACAAATGGCGCAACTTCGAGGTTGTGGAGGTGGAATTTGCTGATGATGAATTGGACACTCAGGATGGATAGTAAATAAGGAATTCACCACCCACTGCTTTGAATCATTACGTGGGCCCGTCTCTTATTCACACACAAACACATAGAAATTTGATGCCAGTAATGCGTATATAAAGTACCAGAAGTGATGAAAGAACAGTCAATATGCGCTGGGCAGTGAGCGCTTGCCCTCTTGTTGCCTGCGCTCATGCCTCTGTTACTAGCAAACGGCGGGCGGTGGATGAGTGTTAGATGTACCCACGATTCAAGAGCACAGTTGGGTTGTGCTCGTCCTCTCTTTTTGCCTGCGGTGGTGGGTGGAGATGTTGTACGCACCCTTGACGCACCCGACCCGGGAAGCTCTTGGCATTTAGTGTCCGCAAAGGAGACTTTTCGCCGATCTCTGTCCAAATTTGCGGATTTGAGGCTCAAATCAGGGATGATCGATGTCATCAACAATATTTGACGCAACACTTATACCATCCGGGCAGCGTTATAGCTAAATCTGGTTAGGACCGAGTCGGACGACATCACCTATTAAGTCGGACTCCTCGAAGGACCCGATCGTTTTCCTGCATGCCTACACCTCTACCACCGAATCTCTATGTATCTGGAACGCCAATGCACACCGCGTACTCAAGCTGTCTGGCTTTCCAAGCTCAGACTCCGCAGCTTCAGGTCCCCTTGACGGCCAACCCAACGCCACTCGTTTCTGCAAGGTTGCTGGGTTATATGATTCTCCACTCGCCTACGCCACAAGGACGTGCCAACATCTGCAATGAAATCAACTCGTGTAATGGCAATCGCGATATGTTCCATGATCTAGCGAACTTTTACGTTGATCGCTACCTCCGCTCCTGTAAGTACCTATCTGCGTGCTCTTTGACTTCCAATCCTTGTGAATTAATGAGCAATCAGTCAGGTCAACCAAAGGACGAACGCCTGTGCACTCCGACCATCCCTCCCGACAATCCTTCGATGAGATGCAGGAGACTATCAAGTATTTGTTCGACGGACCTCCTAAAAACCATCTGGAAGCCAAGGCTGCGGTACATAAATCCTTCTCTACCCTTCTTTCATGCCTCTTATGAGCATGTTACAGGCTCTTGAGCGTGATGGCTATCGCTGCATGGTTACTGGTAGATACGATACGAGTAGTTGCGAGAAAAACCCCGACATTGCCGCGCTTGCTGTGCAAAGTGGCACGGTCGCACGAGAAACCCATGCTTCTCATATTTTCGCTCCCTCCACAAGTCAAGATATATCTGGGCCAAACGCTGATGGGCCGAAGGTGAGGTGACCGTTTTGTTCAAACCAATAACTCACGTTATCGATTAGCATAATTTCGCTGCCTCCGCATGGGCTGTCATGGAGCGTATGGGCAGTGTTCTGGTCCCAGATGAGCTGAACGGCCCAGACATTCATCGACTTGAGAATGTTATGACACTGGAGACAGGCGTGCACAGTTTGTTCGATAACCTCAAATTATGGTTTGAACCGGTGAGTGGTGATGACCGCCTCTAGAAGAACGGAGCTGATTCCATTGCCAGACTGGCACACTACCACATCAATATCGCCTGTGTTCCCCAAACAGCGCCTTATATATTTCTAACCTACCGCAAACCGTTACTTTCACGTCAACATCCCAGCACTTGCCCCTCCCAGACCTACGTTACCTTGCTTTGCATGCCGCCTGCGCCAAAGTTGCTCACCTTTCAGGAGCTGGAGAGTATATTGATACCATTGACAGAGAGCTGGAATCGACTGGTGTGTTAGCTACTTGTGGATCGTCTGCAGGTTTGTTGGAAGCTGCGTTGAACCGACACTTCCAATCTGTCTTTGTACGTTGAATTTTATGGTCCTTTGACATTTGGTTGTATCCACACTCAGCCTGAAAGACCATGCTTGTGCTTCTCTGCTACTTTAAATGACTACTGTCTTTCATCTCGTATGAACATTATATTATAGCTCTTCTTATAAATGATTATGCACGTGTCAGAGCTAGTAGATAAGCGATGATACGTGTCTTGGCCGAGGCTTGCTCTAACGGAGACGAATTCTGCCCTCTCTCTACGGACGTGAGATAAAACCTTGAAGTCCATGTCTAGGAAAGCTGTGCATAGAAAAATCTCTCGACTACATGAATACATACACATTGGAAGTGCTGCGCGGCCGTCTTGCTTCTAAGTATGCCGCGATCTATATGTGGGATAAGCGCTTGGTTGCGCCAGCTTCACCAAAATCGGATGCTGATAGGCGCCTTGCCGTCCGCCAGCCTTCTATGCACTACGTTGCTCGTGAAAGACGACCACTGTTTATACAAGATATCAGCAACAAAACAGTGAATCTGACTGTGGAAAAGACGCGCCCCATTGCCAATGAAAACAGCCGCCCTGCGGCCAATGTCCATGTCCACGGCGACGCCAACGTCCTTCTGCTGAGGGCTCATCTTAAGGTCTCTGTTCACCACAATAAGCGCCCAATTTCCGTCTTCCTTCAAATCGTCTAGCAGCGCATGTAGCCACTCCGTACGGTCGTTCGACATCACGTATAACACGTCCAGCTCGGGTTCATGTTTTTTCTTCTTCTTCTGACCTGACCGCGAGTGCTGAAGTGACCGCGAATAGTCCTCTTTCGCCTCCCTGACCTTCCGAACAATTGCATCAATCGAGGGCAGGCAGCGTTCCAGGATGGCACGCGCGTTCTCGAGAGTGTGTGCTCCTGGTGCAGGCTGTATACCGTCTGGCGGTAGGGGTGGGGTATACCTGTCAGGCAGGGCAGGCAGAAGATTCCAGTTGTAGAAGCTGGAATTCAGCTGAGCGTGTTCCACGCAGGCCTCCTTGAAGTCCCCTCGGCGTACGTGGATCGCGAATACATGGGCAAACGGGTCGATAGCGCGTCGCGACCCAGTAGAAGAGGTCGCATGCTCATTTGAGGGCGATAGGGAAGAAGATAATAGAGGCGCCGGGGTCGAGGGAATGAACAGCCCCAAATTATCATCGATCGCAGACTGCACTATCGGCGACGTCCCCAACAAGCGCGAAACGGGCGACGCGATAAAGGCGTCCCACAACGAAATACTCCTCTCACTTCCCCAGAACCACATATCCCAAACCTCTGGCCAAGCGTCCTCTTCCTGGGAAGGCGCCACGATCTCGATGCAGCGCTCGGACGCCTCACTCAGCAAGGTGCTCCACGTCTCGAAAATAACCCTTCCATCAGCGTTTTCGAGCGCTGGCTTGACGTCGCGCGTATTTATCTTCCGGCGCTCAGCCTCTGGGCACACCTCATCGAAGTACGAGAGGGCGACCGCGCGAGGCGCGTTGTCGGTCGGCTCCCACGGTGCGCCAGAGGACGGCCCGGCAAAGAGCGCGTTTAGGGGCGTGCGCGGGTGCCATTCGCGGTAAGACGAGACGGGCCAGGGATAGTGCGTCTCTGCCCAGGCAAAGTCGTGGAAGACATACGCGCGGTTCGACGCGTGCGCTAGCCAAGTGTTGAGAAGCCTATCGGATTCGGAGGTGTTGGTGGGACGGAAACGGAGAGGAGAAGACGGAGATAAGGCAAACGGAGGTATTAGCGCAAGGTTTTTGTGATGGCGTACCGAGAGAAGGAGAAGATAGTGAAAAGGGGCGAAAGATGCGAATAAGGACGGTAGGATTAAAGGAGGAAGAGAAGATTGGATTGACGGAAGGACGTACATGTCGTTGAGTTTGTTGTTCCACCCCAAGAGGTTGACCCGAGAGTTGGAGAAAAGGACGTAACGGCCGTCCTTGCCTTCAGGAAAAGGAAGATCTGGATTGTGTTGCGGCAGGTTCTTCTCCCATTCTCTGAGCTCTGTGTAGATCGGCGGTCGAAACTCATCAGGAGGTTGCGGAAAAAGAGAGGCGGCGTAGTACACGGCGAACTTGCGCACGCCGTCTTCGTTGTGCATGAAGGAGAAGAGCGAGAGGAGTAGGAGAGCAGATATGGCATATTTTATCCTCGGATATCTGCCCAGGGCGCTAGCGCGAGTTGTCTTGAGCCTGAATTGTTTCTGGGTGGAGGATAGGAGTGGGGTAGAGTAACGAGAGGCCATAGCACCACCTCGGGGACGGGTGGAACGATTGGAGAAACATCTCGGGGAAGGAGGCGATTTATAAAAGCATCCAGAGAGAAATCAAGTTGGACTCGGACTGCTTCCCGGATGACTCGCCGGCGTGCCTTCCCATGTTGCAACCAATGGCTGGAATTATGCATGATGTCGCTGTAATTATCTGATCGCGTATCTCCGTAAATCGAGTGCTGAGCTCACTGCCAGTGGCATCGTCCGTTATTGGTCCTGATGTGGAACGCAAGCATGACATATGCAATCTCGGGAGGTGTTCCATCCGTACGGGTTTAGCGCCCATCTCCGCGATAAAAGGGATAGATCGGTCGAGGAAAATAATTGTGCAGAGATAATCAGGTATTTTGTCTGCATTCGGGCGACCAATAAAAAGCCCGATAAACCTGCGATCGTCGATTGGGCTTGGAACTTCGTGTGGATGACGAAGAAAAGGGCAATTTGATGGGGACGCCGGTTGGAAATTTACCCATCCTCTTCTTGTTCATATCGCCTCCACTATACTCGCTCCTACGCGCAACTAGCCACGGAAGACGATGAGAACCGCCCAGGAGCTGCGAATCACCCCATAAGGACCTGATTATCAGCAACAGACAGCGAAAACGGCCGGATTTCACGAACATTAGCCAACCCATCGTCCTCGAGGCGTGTATTTCTGAATGACGACGAGTACCAGACCCAGTGGACCAACAGTCTAATGATGGGTTGCTTGTCTTTTGCGGGTCCCCTACCACCGAGCACCGACGAGGAAGGAGATCAGGACGTAAAAGCTTGTGTGCTAGATGTCCAGAGACTTTAAATAGGCAGCCGGTCGCACTCGCGTATTGCCGGCTGATTAAGGCTATCTAATCGTGCTGAGACTCAAGTACTCACTACCTGCCTACAACTCTCGTAACGTCTCCAGGGACGCGTACACTAGCGGCAGCGGCATTGTTCAATCCTTTAAATACGAGCCAAGAGCTGGGGTATTGATAGCATATAGCAAACCCTCTCAATCGCATCCACTATCATGCCTAGAATCATCCTTGTAACTGGTAAGTCTAGCTTGAGGTCGTTCCTTAAACTTCTAATGAAGTGATGGTGAAATAGGTTCTAATACCGGCATTGGGTTCGAACTTGTTCGACTCCTCGCCGAGAAAGGGCACATCGTGTATATCGCCGCCAGAAACGAAGCCGCAGGGAAGGAAGCCCAGTTTGTCTTCATATCCACTCTATCATGCCCACCCTCTCACCACGCAGTCTAGACAAAAGCTCATCGCGGACGGCCTCTCCACCGTCAAGTTCGTCCATCTGGACGTAAGCGACGCGGCCTCCGTCAAAGCGGCTGCCCAGACCGTGTCTTCGGCCGAAGGTCGCCTTGATGTTCTCGTCAACAACGCTGGGATCAGCAAGATGGGTGTCGACCAGCACCCTGCGTCCATTGATCTCGCCACTATCCGCGAGGCGATGGAGACCAACTTCTACGGGCTGGTCCAAACCACTATCGCCTTCATCCCCCTCCTGCGCAAGTCGGACAACCCCGTCATCCTGAACGTATCCACCGACATGGCGTCAAACTCTTATCAGGCGCGCGAGGGGGCGCAACTCCATCTTGTCGCGTACAACTCGACCAAGGCTGCGGCGAACTCGTACACCATTTCCCTGGCCCAGGAGTTGAAGAAGGACGGCTTTAAAGTCAACGCGGTCACTCCTGGATACACTTCAACCAAGCTCAACTTCTTCGGTCAAGGAGGAAAGTCCGTCAGGGCGGGTGCCGAAGTCTTGCTTCCATGGGCGTTGGTGGAGAAAGATGGTTCTACGTGCAAATTCATCGATGGAAATGGAAAGGAATTTGCGTGGTAAATAGCGTGCAAAGAATAAGTTCTGGATTTGCAACGTTTCTATACGCATACATCTGCTTCAAACGTGGTGGGAGATTAGAATGTGAAGAAATAATGATGGTAAACGTATTGCAGAAAGTGTGGCGCATATCAACATGATCGATCAGGTCTCCCGGATGGATCCATTCCCCATTCTCCCGTCGTTGATTGTCAGACAGTTGTTCTTTGGTGCTCCCATCAATTCTAGATATATATTTTTCCCCTAGCGAACTCGAGAACTTGTTTTTTTGAATCAGCCTGATTCAAGGACTTCTAGTAAGAGCGGCTTCGGGATGGACATTCTCAATCAACGTGGGGAGAGGCCCCCGACTCCGAGCCGAGTATTTAGTACTTAACTCTCTGATCTTGCAAGGTATTCAGTCATCCAGTGTCGTCAGGCCTTCTTCTAGAGTCACATCAACCATATATATTACTTCTAAATGCTCGGTGCTCTCTTGTCCTTGTTGTCCTGATTTCTTGTGTGGCGCAAGGCCAAGCCAGCAGGAGATGTAACGGGCCGGCGCAGCCGTTCTAAGTAAAATCCTGAGACCGTGACCGGATAATGAATTCGTTAGCGTGACAAACTTCCACCCAACTTCCATCGCAATAGCTCACTGAACATGAGTGCATAAACTCCTGATTATCGATTTATATGGGATATCCAACCGCGACCTGTCATTCTACTGACCCAAATCTCTTACCAACTCCGCATAGCGAGTGTCAGCACTCCACTATTGCTCCACTTCATAGGACCGAGCGAAGAGTACGAGCTCGTCTAGCAGGCCATAGAGGTAAATTAAGACGTATCAATGAGGGCTCCACTGCCTTTAACTCGTTCTTCCTCCAGGACTTAGAGCTAATCGACAATCCTGTATGGACAATACTTTGACGCTACGTCTCCTCCTTAAACAACAGCCACTCGCTATCGGCTTCTACTACCCGAGGCAAGCGTTTATCTCCCAATGCACCCAACTTTGGCACCATGAACATTAGCAAGCAGTGGAAAGGTGTCGACTTAGGGAGTACAGACAAAGAACCAGGCATGAGACTCCTCACGGTAAAGCATTATGTCCGGTCAAGTTTAAATAGGCCACACACGCGTAATGCGGCCATCTATATGCCGACGAAGACATCTAATCATGGTGAGACTCAGAATCCACTACTGTCGTAAGGACGCGTACACGACCGGCATCGGCATTGTTTAGCCCTTCAAATATGAGCTGAGAACTGCACTATTGACAGCACTAGCCAACGGTCCCAATATCATTCACATCATGTCCAGAATCATCCTTGTAACTGGTTCGTTTAGTTCGAGATATTTTCTTATGCTTCTAATGAAGTGGTGATATGAAATAGGTTCTAATACTGGCATCGGATTCGAGCTCGTTCGACTCCTGGCAGAGAAAAAACATGTCGTCTACCTCGCTGCCAGAAACGAAGCGGCAGGAAAGGAAGCCCAGTTCGTTTTTTATCCACTCCATCATGTTAATAACCCTCTCACCATTCAGTGTAGACAAAAGCTCGTCTCGGACAGCCTTTCCACCGTCAAGTTCGTCCATCTAGACGTAAACGATGCAGCTTCCGTTAAAGCGGCTGCCCAGACCGTCTCTTCAGCCGAGGGACACCTTGATGTCCTCGTCAACAATGCAGCAATCAGTAAGATTGAGGCCGGCCAGCACCCAGCGTCTGTGGGTCTCGCCACCATCCGTGAAGCAATGGAGACCAACTTCTATGGGCTGATCCAAACTACCATCGCCTTCATCCCCCTCCTACGAAAATCAAACAATCCCGTCATTTTGAACGTTTCGACAGAGCTAGCATCCAACTCTTATCAGGCGCGCGAGGGTGCTCATGCCCATTTTGTTGCTTACAATTCGAGTAAGGCAGCGGCCAACTCGTATACCATTTCCCTTGCCCAGGAGCTGAAGAAGGACGGCTTCAAAGTCAACGCGGTCACTCCTGGGTACACCTCTACCAAGCTCAACAACTTCGGGCAGGGAGCGAAGACGGCCAGAGCGGGTGCCGATTCTCTGCTGCCGTGGGCGCTGTTGGAGAAGGATGGCCCGACCTGCAAATTCATCGATGATAAAGGAAAGGAGTTCCCTTGGTGAACAGTAACTAAAGCCTGGACGGCGGGACGAGCCTTGTAATTGTAGCATTTTATGCGCACATAACTGCTTCAAATATAATGGATGAGTCGAAGTGTTATAGACAGATAGTGTGGTGCACGTCAAAAGTTGATGGAATATTGTTGCTGGTTATCCCTGCTGCGCCGTTCTCAGACATTCCGCCGCCCTCTAGGTCATCGAGATCTCACGGTAACTTTTCGTATCCGTCTGCTCGGCCTGAAGCCTGTTTCGAGTTTGCCTTCAAATGACCCAGGCGGTCAATGCAACGGGCCGGATGAACCGTCTCAAGGAAGATCCCGAATCGGAGAATGAACTTCGCCATTGCTGCCGTAACAGGAATTTGAACACGACAACCTACCGACAACCCTCAAACCCTCAATCCGAACTTATCAGATTCAATGTGTTCACCTCATTCGGCTTAAATTCTCGTGCGTTTCTCTTCTAAAGTTCGAGCCGTCATCAATGCGATGCATTCGGATGCGTCATAACACACTCACGACAAATCCGACCGTCGACCACCCGAATCACCGCTTATGGCGCATGAGAACGCGTCATAGGGCCTGCAGGTCAATCGCCGACTTGCACAAGGGGTCGCCGAAAGGATTCGTATAGTTGTTGTACGGGAATCTCACATCCAAAAAGGCTGCTGAGGCATCGCGACCTATCCCGGCACCGCGCCAAGGGACATGCAAACGTATTATGAACGCAACCGCTGACGAAGTTTCTGTATCGACCTCGCCAATCTTCGCTGCGTTCTCCGTCCCTTCTGGACAACAACGTGAAATAAAAGTCATTCTAGACGTCCCGAACACTCCACCGTGGTGAATTCCCTATCCAACGTGACCACTGACCGCTGGATCTCTCCAAACAAGACAAACATCCGATCGAAATAGGGCCCTTGAGAAGAGCTTTTATCAGCAGTTCTGACTACCAACGCTATCGGTGCCAATCCTCGATAAGCAGTTCACCTGGCCTTCAGCCGCGACGCGTCATGATGCCGGCTCAAGTCTCTTGACCCTAGACCGGTCCTCTCGGTGTATGGACGCCTCACTATAAGAACGATCTGCTGCACCGACGAATAAAAGCAAGACGTCTCTGGACTGCTCAGTCGCATCATCTCCAAATCGTTCAAACCACTTCGAAGACTCTTCGTCAACTATCAGCCCAGCATGGATCAAATTTTTCCTGCGGCACCACCCCCTCAATCTGCCCTTGCTCGTTATCGTCTTCTCTCTCCCAGGGCTGGCGTTCATGTCTCTCCAATTCAGCTTGGGGCTATGAGCATCGGCGACCAGTGGACTGATACCGGGATCGGCAGCATGGACAAAGAAACGAGCTTCAAGCTCCTCGATGCGTACTTCGACAACGGTGGAAATTTCATCGATACGGCGAATAGCTAGTTGGTCTGGTCTTCCTCTTTATTTGATGACTTCCCTGATGTGTTTTCGTGAATCAGTCAAGATGGCTCCTCCGAGGCGTTCATTGGCGAATGGGCAGAAAAGCGAGGCATTCGTGACCAGCTTTTCATCGCAACCAAGGTAAGATGTCTGCCCTTAAGTCAGTGCACCTGTCGTTAACTTACCGACGTTGCCTACTCCAGTACTGTAACAACTGGCGCGTCCGTGGGTCGACTGCTCTCCCGACCAATCGTCCACTATTCATTGGAAGCAACGCCAAGTCTCTTAAAATGTCTGTCGAAGCATCCCTCAAGAAATTAAGGACCGACTACATCGACGTTCTCTACGTCCATTGGTGGGATTGGGACACGAGCATCGAGGAGGTGATGGTTTCGCTCCATAACCTTGTTGTCCAAGGGAAAGTCTTGTACTTGGTGGGTTCAGCTCTTTGCCACTCTGCACTGGCATTCTGACGCGTTTCTCGTAGGGTATCTCCGATTCTCCTGCATGGGTAGTCGCAAAAGCCAACACCTATGCTCGATGCAACGGCTTGACGCCGTTCATCATGTACCAAGGAGCGTGGAACGTCATGGACCGCGCGTTTGAGCGAGAGATTATCCCGATGGCGCTGGAAGAAGGTATTGTCTTATGATGTTTTTTCTTCCGGATAAATTAATCCTTCTATCTGCAACAATAAGGGATGGCGCTCGCACCTTGGAACGTCCTCGCTGGTGGCAAGATTCGCACAGACGAAGAAGAAGAGAAGCGGCTTGCCTCTGGGGAACATGGGCGCAAATTCTATGGCCCTGACAGTTGGCTGCGAACAGAGGAAGAGAAGAAGGTCTGCAAGGCGCTCGAGAAGGTCGCTGGAGAGGTCGGCGCGAAGAATATCGGAGCAGGTACGTTCTTGTGCAGTATGCTGCGTTCAATTCGATACTAACTCCTTCCCAGTCGCTATTGCGTACGTCCTGCTCAAAACCCCGCACGTCTTCCCGATTATTGGAGGGAGAAAGGTCGAACATCTCATTGCAAATCTCGAGGCGCTCGAGATATCCCTTTCCGACGAGCAGATCAAGTACATCGAGAGCGTTGTTCCGTTCGACCTTGGGTTCCCCCACAGCCTGCTTGTGCGTCTTCGTTCCATCTTCTACTTCGAATGCGGCCTAATAATGAATTGCATATACTCAGGGGTCCAAGTATGACCCGCAATTGCCCGCAAGAATTTTCCTGGCCGCTAGTGGGACCCGTGATAATCTCCCCAAGCCCGAACCCATTCGCCCTGCTGGGAAGTCGCAGTGATCTCAGGGATGTTGCTATGCTCTTCACGCACATAGTGGAAACTTTGTACTCAATAGATTCTTGTGTCATACTACCATGCCTGTTCCCAGATATTTTTCATTGAAGTCTTCAATTTGTAGTCCTGGGCGCCTTCAATATTCAATCATCGTAGCATCGCGGCAAGTCGGAGCTTCAAACTGTCCAGATCCGTGTCCCCCCAAGTTGTTCACCTAAATCCAAAGAAATTCCAGAGCTGCAGTATGGCACACAACTTCGCATTTGCTCTTGGTTCCATCATGACCGCTGGTTCTATGGATAATGGCATAACTAAACACCCTCTTCCCGAGCTAGCTGAGGAATTGTGCCGCACCTGCACATTTGCATGACAGGTCGTCCGTTATGGGTTGCAACATGTCGCAAGTATTTCACAGATCTACGTCCTGGTGGTTCCAGTGACTTCGGAAAAATGTAATTATCCCCCAACGTACAGCCAGGAAGCTTCATCCGCTCAGAACCCACTCGAACATCATTTATCCTTCGATCCAAGAGAGCACTTCATCAGCACTTACCGAAACCGTGCTCTTAGACTCCACTCGTAAGTGGCACAGCGGCCAAGTTGCCCTTCAATGGGTTATAACAGCCAAGGTGTGGAAGCTGAATCTTAGCTGATTGAACATCTTCAAATAGTGGAATCACAATCCGCAAGAATCATTAATATGACACAGCCCTCCGCGGCGGTCGTCAACGTCCCGAAGGCATGATGCATTCCACGCGTCGCGAGCTCAAATTCGTCAACAAAGTGGTTGTGCATGTGGTTTGCAAATGAGCTCGACCGTCGGGCGCCTTGGCGACGACGTGAAGTTGTTCTAATCCTGCCAGCCTCGAGGCTTCAAATCCCAGTGGGCAGCTCGTTCGTGTCTGGCTGGGTGAGTACAGTTTTCACTGCGCCACCAATACACTGACAGCCAAGGCTACATGAGCGCTGTTTTGGGGCTACATCCTGATGATAATGCGGAAACCGAGGCGTTTCGAGGTGAGGGTAGGACGGAGTGATGTAGTTGATGGCTGATATCCCCGGCAGTGCCTCGATCGGGTATATAAACCAGCTGCGCTCGGGGCGGAACCATCATCCTCGCTCCCACTACTCACAGGGCTCTTTCGACTATCGACTAGTTCGACCCCTTCACTGCGCTAGACGTAGTTTGAATCAAGTCCCTTGACATCGTTTCGTTGACGCTGTGCGACAACTCCCCTCCATTCTTTTCGTAAAGCAAACAATCGTTTATCTTTCAACGTCCACATTCATCATGAAGTTCTTCGCTGCCACCCTTTTCCTCTCTGCCGCTGTCGCTTCCGTGTCCGCCGCCCCTGCCAAACCCCTTGTTAGGCGAGATGTTGACCCCGCTCTCGTGCCAGAGTTTGGCCACCCAGCCGGCCTGAACCCCACTGGCACTGGTGACTGCGATGGCATCACGAATGCAGCTGGTGTTGTTGTCAAGATTCCTTGCGCCTGTCCTCCTCCGCGCGCTGATTTCATCCAGGTAAGCTCTCATTTTTTTTTTTCAAGGTCGATGCCACCAGCTGAACCATTACATAGTCCTTGAACGCGAATGTTGCCGCCGGACGTGCCGTCAACAACCCAGGTGTCGCAGTTTCCTTCCCTACGGATGGCTCGAAGGCCTCCAAGCTGGCGCGTATGCAAGTTGCGCTCGTCACCCTGCAGAATCTGCGTGGACCGGGTGTTGGATGCCCTGCTGCGTCAACGACCTTCCTTGCGCAACAGAAGGCCATTCAGGATGGTGCCGATACTCCGGCTCCGGCTCCGGCTCCGGCTCCAGCTCCGGCTCCAGCACCTGCACCTGCTCCAGCACCGGCCCCAGCGCCTCCTGCAGGAGGTGTTGACCCCGCTCTTGTCCCCGAGTTCGGTCTTCAATCCGGTATCAACCCCACCGGCACCGGCGACTGCGACGGTATCACCAACGCTGCTGGCGTCGTCGTGAAGATCCCCTGCTCGTGCCCTCCTGACCGCGCCTCGTTCCTCCAGGTCTGTTCTATTGTTCTCCTGCGCCACATTTGACGTCAAAGCTGACCTCATCTTGTTGTAACAGTCTCTCAGCGCGAACGTTGCAGCTGGCAGAGCCGTCAACAACCCTGGAGTCTCCGTCTCCTTCCCGACTGACAATTCCAAGGAGTCGAGGATTGCGCGCATCCAGGCGTCGCTCGTCACGCTCCAGAATCTGCGTGGTCCTGGCGTCGGGTGCCCCGCAGCTTCGACGACACTGCTTGCCCAGCAGGCGGCCATCCAGAACTCATAATTCCGATTCGATAATCGACCATGTCGTATCGTTGATACTTGGATACCCACCCGCAGAGGCCCTGATACCCATGCGCACCGCGCGAAGAATCGCAGCTACCTACATACTAATTGGTGTAGTCGAAAGTACTGACCTAGCTTTACGTTTGAATATTTGTAGTCGTCAAGTCTTTTGTAGCCCGCGGGTCTGCGACTCGATAATAGTAATCTCTTTTGGCGAAGAGTAACAACATTTGGAGTGATGAGTGCGAAGGACAACCCATCCTTCCAAGAGGAAGCGACGTGAAACAAGAGAAGTTGCTTCACATTCTTGTCTCGATAAAATATCTACGGTGTTTGTGTAGAGCACTGGGGGCCCGCCGTCCGACTTTACCCCTTCAAAGAGTAGTTATTAGTGTTACAAAACAACTTTTGCCGGCACTGAAATATTACTTTGTGCTTCACTTGCGCTTCAAATCTGATCAGACGTAGACACTGACTCGAATTTTTCAGGCAACGTTCAACGAGATTTCTCCCCAAGGGTCATCTGTACCTTCAGGACATGGACACAGGAAGGATAACACTGTTTCTGGTATATCTTACAAACTTCAGACGCGGTGCATGGTAGGGCGAAAATGAGAAACGCATAAAATAAATAAGCCACCAACGTTCAACTTTGGACACTGCTACATACATCGTCTTTCTGGCAAATCAATCTACTTCCAGATCGCATCACACCTCCTCATACAGTTGATCTTGTTCTGGCCGGTGTACTGCTTGGCGCACGCAGCATAGCACGCGGACCTTGACCGGCGCTCGAGCTGTTCGATGGAGCGCCTTACGTAGAATGCCTACAGAAAATAGTCAAACGTATTAGCATCACGGTAGCTAATACCCTATGAAATACAACAAGGCGTACATGCTCCAAGCTCCTCTGGCGGATTTCGTCCAGCTCGCGCAGGGCAAGCGCGATGTTGTTGTGCACGTCGCGTGCCTCGAGCTGGTCGCCGCCCTCGGAAAGGACGTCGCGTCCAAAGAGGTCGTCCAACTCGACACTGCCGTCACTGGATAAGAAGAGAGATCAGGAATTTAAATGGTTCAAGCAATGACAAGAAATCTACTGCTCACACTTGGCCGAGAACGGAGGTAGTGGCAGCGAAGAGAAATAGGACGACAGGGATGACGGAGAACCTCATTGTTTGTTAGGTGGTAGAGATGTATAGCCGAGCCGCTGTTCGCGATTTGGAGGATAGAGGCTGAAATATGAGGGGTGAAAGTGGTGTTTGCTGAAGAGACAGAGGGTTAGTTGCGAGCAATTTATACCTTTCTCAAAGTCCTTTGCTCGAGATTTAGATTACGCCGTAGACAAGTCAAGAGCATATAAGTTACTCGCTAAGTGCTGCTGGCCAGCAAGTCGGCCTTCAAACACACCACACCGTTTTAATGGAAACCCTCCTCGAGTGTCATCCCTAGGCTAGATAAATTATTTACTAGCTCACTGAGAAATATGGCCTTGGTGATTACTGAGAATTTCTATTGGAAAATCTAGGTACGTTCCTCCTCCGCGCTTCAACTTTGGCGACCATTTCTTTAGCTTTCCCTCCTCCCGATAGCTCCTCTTCAGAACACCGTCTCGAGCGACGAATCGGTCTTGTTACGAGCCCTATTACCAAACGTCAGTCCTCTGACGCCCGCGTTCTTGGCTGATGGATAATGGCGCTGTCAAAACCGTTCATCAAAGTTCTCTATCGTCCCGTGCAGTGCTAGTATGGAGTCGACTTGAACGATAAATTCACTGTGAAACGTGATAAAATAAGAGATGCACTCCCGGTGCTGAACTTGGTCTTTTCTACGATATGTAATATCGATGCAATAATCGGACCTCCCTCGTCCTCGCGGCTGGCAGTAGAGTTGTCATGACTGCAATTATGACGTCATCGATCAGTTAAATGTGTGGCGCACCATCAAAATTAATCGATCAAAACGGAATATTTCAATTTTCATGACCTCAGGCTGATGGAAAGTGTACATATGCGCTCCATAAAATAGATACAATAGCACAAGATACTACTTATAAAAATTCACTATGTACCACTAGTCGTTTGTAAGTGGACGAACCTTTCCCATTTCGAGATCGTGCAGGGCATCGTCCTCTCCAATACCTGCATACGTCCTGACATCCGTGGTGATAGTGATCCCGCCCTTTGAATTGATTATGTCGTTGGTACCTTCATTTCCAGGCATAGAACGGAGGTTTTCCATATGATACACCGCGCCTAACTCTCCTCGGGTACCATTTGGGACGTTGAAGTTCATGTTCGCGCCACTGCCATCTGGCCTGGTCTGGCTCGGGCCGGTTGAGCTCGGAAGGAGACCCGGACGTCCAAGCTTCATGTTGCGGTACACACGGCAGGCCATGATATTTACGATGATGGTGTTAGGAAAGACCAGCATAATGCGGAAGGGCGAGTCAGGCGGGTTGTTGATGACGAAGTAGGTGATGATGGTCGCGAAGTTCATGGCTACCGCAATCCTGTAGGCAAAAAATTGTGCGTTATTTGGCTCGAATCAGAGAAATATTGAAGCGGAATACTCACAGGTAAAAGACCTGGCTGTCTTGTAAGAACACATCCGTGAGGCGCTGCAAGCTTGTTGGGCGATTGATCAGCTTCATCGCACGCCAGTCAAACCTCCTTCCGGCCGCAGAGCCATTTCCTGTCTTGGAGCCCTTGCCTGCGCTAACTCCAATCCTCGGGCGCGCGTGTGTATCATCCAACCGCTGACCAACATCCGAGCTGAGCTTCCACATAATCGCCACAAATACCAACGTGTCATTGACGAAATCCATCAGCCAGGGAGTGGGGATGTATTTCTTCGTCACCCGTGAGGTGCAGAACTGTGTTGGTCCAATGTGCTCTCCGACGAGTCCACCGAACGTCACCGATGCGCACCCAATGACGCCTAGCCAAGTGATCCCGAAAAAGATGCGGACGAAGAGGTTGTTGTTGTACACGGCGCAGACGCGGAAGTAGAGCAGAAGACCAGTAGTGGCATGCGTGAGAGTGTAGAATGCACACATTATGGTCTCGAGGATATGGCAGTTGGGGAGCTCAGCAGCTATTCTATCGATAAGCCGCAGCTCACAGTATGGATCCCGAGAAGTACTTACTCAGTTGGATACACTTCCCAATGAGGTAGCCCAGCGTTGAATATCTGGGCGGTTGTAGGTCGAAGTCAGCATCACGGCCAAGAGTATATACATGACTGAAGCGTACAACGTACCTCGACAGAAAGTAGGCTAAGGTTGTCCTAGTAAACCTTTGTTTAAATGCGAGCTGATAATCTGCCGCAATGGTGTGTAGGATATCCCAAATGATGACCTGCCAGTAGCAATTAAAGGCACAGTATACAATAGGCTGCATATAAAATTCACCGCCAGGCAGCAGATCGCGACATAAAGCGTGAAACTCGCTTGAAATGCCACATGAGGCGGCAGGAACGCCAACGGGTTAAAGGGGTTGGGTAGCGTGCTTGGATCAATGCTACTAAGGTTCTGTGCTGCCATGGCGGCCTGTCGAAGATAAATCCAAGGGAATTGTCGAAGCGACGAGCTGGTGGAGCTCCAACGGAGATGTGGCTGAAGCGACGGCCACACGGGGCCCGTCTGCGCTGCTCTAATAAGCTGGGGCTACAGGATTCGACGTCAACCTAGCGGCCTCCACGGATCTTGTTATGGGCGGGTGATAAAAAAAGAGGGAAGGCCAGTAAGAGAGGTACAGGTGAACAGAGAAATCATCATTCAGACTACAGCTTATCTTGAATAGTTTCCCAATTCCAAGGTTCTTATCCTCGTCTGTTGATGAGCGACCGCCCATGCACGACAGATAAAAGGACGAAATGCCCACGGAATGCCTGCTATTTCAAGGTTTCTTCCTTTGCATGCTAAAAATGGGCGGGAAGAAGCTAGGGAATGTAGATGGTGTGAGGCTCGTGTTGGCTATCTGTGGAACATTATTTTGGTCTCCCGTAAAGAAAATAATTTCGATTTTAGGTACGAGTCCTCTGCCCCTCTGATACCCTCACCGTCGGAAGTCGAGGTTAGAGCTTGTCTTGATTTGCTCTAGTGTCATGGTCCCATGCAGAGAGATAAGTGCATATTGGAGCTCGTTGGCATTTATTTTTGGGGTCTCGGGAGCAGCCTCACGACTGTTCGGAGAGATACAAGAATAACTGAAAGAAGGTGGAAACTGACATCGCCCAGATGCCGATGTGATGAACTTCTACGGGTGCTCCAACGCCCATTGTCGCGACTATCCAAATACACAGCGAGTCCGAGAAGGACAGAATCCTCACGAGCGTAAGAAATTAGAAACGGAAATCGCTTACTGGGTCAAATTTACCACCTACTTCGAAGCCAAATTACACAGAAAAGCAGGATCTTCGTTGGATACAGAACGTAAAATGTGAACCTGAAGGCGTTGAACGATTTGTAAAGCCCATGATAGGAGTAGGAAAGCGTCTGATATAACTCGGTTACCCGAGTCCTCGAACCAGGATTAGATGCTGATAATCACCTACCGGCACCGCGGCAGCAGGAATAGTTACTTCAGTCGTATGCTATTGCTGGAACTTCAGAAGGGATAATCGTTTGCCAAAGCTCCCAATCGGTGGGTGTGTTATTAGTAAGTAAGTCCGGACGTAGGTGGTCGTTAGTGGTGCCTCGCACAATTGCAATATTAAGCGCCCACTCGGGACCGTAATTGTGGCGCAGGTCCAAGGCGTTTCCCCAGAGAGCAATTGAAATGCCCAAGTCAATTCTCAGGCTGCTCTACGCTGGACATCCTTCCATGCTCCAAAGCCGGGAGAAGTGTCGAATGGAGACTTATGGAACACGCAGAAGACAGTGGTCTGCGGGATTTCATCGTGGAAACAAGAATATGCGTCCGCCAATATTAGCGAATAGATATTGATGAACACCACAGACACATGATAATGCACAGGAACAGTCTTCTATACATCTGATCCTTCCAATCACAAGGAGCAACTCGAAACTGCTGAAAGTTTGTCTCGATGTTAACGACCCTAAAGATCAATCAGAACCTGGTCCTGCAACGTCGAGACGCTTGCCAGTGAGACCCCGCCTGGTGCTCGTGCTTCCACAGAGCCAATGTAGCGCGAGGGGTGCACCGTTAACCTTTGGGGTGCAGAAACACAGCATTCTGATTCAGGTGAACAAACTCAGTAGACGAAGGATCGGGTCAAAACGACATAGATCTGCTCGACGTGAACATCGTGAGGGGTATTTGCCATTTGGAATAAAGTAAATGACAGAAGACAGAGAGTATCGAAAGGTTCGACTGACACTTCGCCACCCGGCAATCGCGTGCAAGAATAAAGCTCGTGAGTACATATGTCGCCATATCGATAGTCCAATCCAGCTGTTGGAAGCATCATGAGGATTTGAAGACGAAACTAGTGGGAAAGAGGTCAGCAAAGACTTCAGAATGAGCCGAGTAAACTGTAAATCAGAAAGCCATAGAAATAGGTATCTGCATGATTGAGCAGCGGTGTCTAGTCGCTTCTTGGAAACACGGACCATGACATGTGTCATCCGAATAAAAAATAAGTGAAATTTACACTCACCAGAAGTGGAAAAGACACTGAGTCTCAAACATTTGTCGAATCCGTTCCTTCCAGCCGTAGCTGAGGCAAAGACAGGTAGCAGAAAACCAGTGGAAGAACGTCGTCGCCGTCGGAGACGAAGCCTTTCAGAGGTTCGCCTGAAAATTTTATACCTCGATCGTGGGAATTAAGATATCACGTGCTCGTATTTTGCCGCAGGGGAAATCTCGGGCCGCCTGATCAACGACTAAGGTCAATGGGACCCGGATAGTTTCTTCGTTAGTCGGAAATGATAGAGCTGGAATTCTGTTGAAATAATCACAACAAATGAGGAATAATACGACGAAGAGCTCATTGAGAATTTGAACCAGCACCGGTCGCAAAAGCCAGGCAGAACGGATGTTCACGATGTTGCTGAAATTAGGGACAGTCAGAGTAACCGATTCACAGACGATTCAAAACACGATTCACGATGCGATTCATGGATCAGAATCGTCGATGAATCCAACCTAAATGATCCCGAACTTTGACCGTCCCGATTCAGAGATAGACATGAATTCGACCACCTTCCTTCGTTTTTGGCTGAAACCATCTTGAATCGGGTCATTTCTCTGTAAATTCTCGGTCACAAGTGTATGGTTGCAATGGTTTTTCCGTATTTTGGTTGCTAACCAGCACAAGAAATTCCTAGCCAATTTTTTTGCATTAAAATCGCTATTTCCCCCCGATTTCGAGTCCTGGCACTCAAGATTCAAAGACATAATTGAGCAGGCGTGTTCTGCAATCCTGATCCGATATTTCTACTAAATAATATATGTGAAATCCATCGAGCTTATGTATAAAAAGAGGAAATGCAAGGGACAACCCACCAAAAAGATATGAAACCAGTGAAGCGGAATCGCGATTCACGTTTCCCACGATTCATGATGGCGATTCAGTCCTCCTGAATCGCACCTTGAATCGACCGCTGAATCGACCGTGAATCGTCTACTCTGACTGTCCCTATTGATTGGCGCTCGTCCTAGGCAGAGAAAAGGCTACTTTAACCATAAGAGGTATAATAGAAGGTCTCAAAACAGTAACATCTCCAATCACCTATGATAAAAGAAAATCTGGTCCACCACATACGATCTGAATGCATGAGATAAAAATGGCGCGAACTGGCTCAAACACGAACCGTTCCCGCTGAATAGAGCGAGCAGACGGCCGCTAAGAATCTGACCTTCAACACCGCCCGAACAAGATCTAGAAGCCGAACAAAAAATGCCTTCCCCAAACGCCGGAGATGAACAGAAGATGAAAAATGACGAAGCCCCGGTCCTTGGCCACATCCCTGGGTAACCAATGCCTGTGACATGCCATGGGCATCTCCGGCCTTGACACGAATTTCTAGTGGAGCTGATGCAACGACCGGAACCAAAACGCAGGAAACCGCACGCGGGGGATCGGTATTCGTAACTACGCCAAAGCCAAGGTCTCCAGAATGTTAGAAAGATCTAATTCCAGATGAAACGGGAGATTGCGCACGGCGACATGATAGACAAGAAGTTAGATCTGCCTTGGGTAGAATTAGACTGTCACGGAAAGCCCCAGTGAGGCCTTGGGGGAAATGCGAGTTTGCGGCATGACTTCTTCGCTATATCATGTCATTGACGCTTCTGAGATGGCCCAGAGAGGCGGTAATGCTCGCAGAGCTAGTAAGTAAAGACCCGGTCTCTCTGGCGTCGACGAGAGAGTGGTTAGGGACCTTCCCCAACAGATCCTCATTAGTCTCGGGAAGATATTGTCGTTTACGACGCCAAACCCTCCGACAATATTGGCAGTGAGGGGACCGAGGTTCACATGCAGTCGCGGGTGGTATAACCATATCAATTCTTGAATAAGCATCGTGTGCAGACTAAAATAGCCGCCGATTAAAAGGACAAGGAAAGTCCAGGAGGACCTGCGGCGTGCCAGTGTTTCAACCGGAACACGCTCAAAGTTGAATATTTCGAGGTCAAATCAGAAAGGAAGATACGTTCCATCGAATATCGTGTAAGCGTATTCACGGCTTTATGAAAATTGAACGAATGATTCCAAGGAATCCACCCGCGCTGATACCAGGGCGAATCTCCACCAGCAACTTATCACTTCCGGACTCGGAGATAAGTGTAAGCAGAAGCCACGGAGGCATATGTCGTCCGACCAGCAAGGTGGATTGTCTGAGAGCAGATTACCCAAGTTCCATTTCATGAGGGCCCTGCTTGGGCAAACCTTACCGCAGGTGCATCAGACGTGACGAAACAAGGTTCAAGATCAGGTCGGAACGAGCGACAGTCAATCTGGGTTTGGCGCCTTTGGATTCAGAGGAGCAAGATTCCAGTCAGCGACAGAGCAGCCTCAGCAGACCAGAGAAGAATAAATGTGTAGAATGCGTCCATATATGATGATGCAGATGCTATAGAGATGTCAGGAATGAATCAGTGGTCGAGGAGATGGAGGGTTAGCGGTGCAGCCCTGGCGCCGGAAGTCGTTGCCAAACACACACAAGCACCGATTTTCCGTTGAGGGCGTCGCGCAGGTCGGCGACCAAAATACGACCTGACACGACCTGCACGATGTCGGAAGGGGACCAGCTCATTGACTCTCACGTCTCTCTCAAGCAGTGTCAGAAGGCTGTTGAAGCTCTTCATTCACATGAGCTCAAACAGAAGGAGAAGTTCGAGGAAAACCAGCTCCTTCCTGCAAAAGAGCAACATATTTGGCTCAATGTTACAGTGAAGAAGATCGTTGCCAGGCATAGGCTGAAGCCATACAAAATGTACGTCTTTCGGTTATCACGTTTAATTTTCATTGTCTGACTTCAAGACTAGCCCAATTTCCCATCCTATCGTCGATCCCCGAACAACACCAGTATGTTTGATCACAAAAGATCCCCAACGGGAGTACAAGGACCTTCTCGAGAAGCACAACATCAAGTTTATCTCGAGAGTTGTTGGAATTGAGAAGCTGAAGGGCAAGTTCAAGCCATTCGAGGCTCGAAGGATGCTGCTGAAGGAAAACGGGATGTTCTTGGCCGACGAACGAGTGATCCCTCTACTGCCAAAGCTTTTGGGAACGAAATGGTTTGAGGCGAAGAAGTGAGTCTAATTGCGAGTGTCTTTTGACCCTTTTGTCTCATCGTATTGTGCCTAGGCAACCTATACCCGTCTGCCTTACCCGTAAAGATCTGAAAGGCGAGCTTGAACGCGCCATTTCTTCGACCTACATGAACCAAAATCAAGGCACTTGCACGTGTGTACATCTGACTCTGGGTGGTGTGCTCTTTGCTCATATATTTTCCCTAGATCAATAAAAGTGGGCAAGATGTCCCAAAAACCCTCCCAGATCGTCCAAAACGTCCAAACTGCTCTTCCGGCCATCGCTAAAGCCGTCCAAGGTGGATGGGACAACATCCAGAGCTTCCACATCAAAACGAATGCGAGTATGAGCCTACCAATATGGTCGTGTTCTCTGGACGACGCTGAAGGAGGAAGATGGGATGGGCTAAAGGCTGGAGATGAGGACGATGAGGAGGACGATAGTGACGAGGAAGACGAATCCAAGGCGGTGGAGTCATCCAAGTCCAAGAAGGCGACACCCTCGAAAGGACGAAAACGACCTTCGAGTTCTGATGAGGAAGAGGAGGAAGAAGAAAAGCCAAAGAAGAAGGCCAAAGGCCCTGACGGTGCCTCGAAGACGAAAGAATCCGCAAAATCTGGCAGTAAAGTCGCTTCTGCCCGCGTAGACTCCACTGCTACCCCATCCAAAAAGCGCAAGGCAGACGAACAGCCCTCGACTTCGTCAAAACCCGAAGTATCCGCTTCTTCAGGCAAGAAAGGCAAACCGACCGCTGGCAAGAAAAAGGACGCCGCCCAGGCAACTACACAGCCGACAGACGCAGGCGTCGAGGCCTTATCGAAAAAGAAAAAGTCAGGCAGCAAGGGCTCTGACGATACTGCCTCTCCCAAAAAATCAGCACCTTCATCTGGCCCTGCATCGACAACAACTCCATCTGGCGAGGAATCGGGTAAGAGCAAGGAGAAAGAGAAGAGGCAAAAGGAGAAGTCTTCGAAGGCTGGTGATGCTGTCGTGTCGTCAGTCTCCGAGAAGACAGCAGCAACACCCAGCGTATCGCTGTCAAAGGAGGAGGTGAAGCAGAAGCGAAGCGCCGGTGCGGGGGAGAAGAAGAAAGAGATCATTGCGAAGTCAAAAGGGGGTAAAAGCGTCAAAAATGCTGTGCTCGGGAAGAAGGCTGCCCAAGTATGAGTCCAAGTATGTACGGTCCACTTTGTGTATCTTCTCTGTGCTAGCTTGATCTATTGTGAGCGCTCATTTGGTCTTAATTTTCTATTTTTTGGGGTCGCCCGACCTCAGACCCCGACCTGTGTACTTCGTGTGTAAGGGTGAGAAAACCAAGCAAAACCGGTTTCGTCATTACCGGAAACCGGCGACTCTGCTTTCTGGAATGAACGACCATGCTGCTCTCTTGTCAACCCTCTCGTCGACCAGGCTATACACTTGAGACTGCTATCACCACACTCTAGAAGACCGCACACCTTCTGTAGACGCATAGAACCATTATGGACCCAGGCGCCCGCGCAGCTACGACCACGAGCACTAAGCTCTTCATTCCGCACCCTGTAGATCCCAGTATCACGATTGTCGGAGTGTTGGAACAGCTTGCCCCGGGTGAGCACACGCGAGGGAGGAAGATTGCATTGGTATGTGCACCTACGTGTCGCTTCTCGGTCATATCAGTCTGATACTCCCTGGCTGAGCGGCGATCTCTGAGTACACTACTGACTAGGCCTTCGTTCGACGTTACACTATGTTTAGATCCTGCACGGCACGATGGGGTGAGCATCCCTCCGTACCGTATCTCCAAGTCGCATGGGCGAGCGCCCGTGCACAGGCTTCGGAGAGGAGGCGCGAGCTTATACTGAACGAGGGTTTTGACTTGAAATCTTTCCAGGCACAAGGACTATCTGTTTCAACGACGCCTTGCGCTGAAGCTGCCGCTTGATTCGTTTAGATTCGACTTTCGGTACGTTCGGTCTTATCTTTATCTATCTTTTCCGTCTGAGGTGCCTCTTGCCCGCTTTATCCCCCTCTCCACCTTTTTTTTGATTAGTAGTAAGAGTCCATTGGGGGTTGGCCCTATGTTGGATGCCCCTGGGCATCCAGTGCCGTGTTCGTCGCTGCTGCCCCGCGGCCGTTCCTGGCATCCCCTGAGGCTCATCCTGAGTGCTCGCTCCTCTGTAGTATCCCCTACAGTCGGTTGTGTGGCGATGTAGTGCAACTTATGCTTTTTTCGTTTCTTCTATCAAATTTACACACCCGGCCCCATGCACGGTAGTTCATTTGTTCGACTCTTTACGTTGTGTCTTCTGGAGGGTTTTGACTGATTCTATGGTTGACCTGCACTGTGGGCCGTGGTGGGAGAGTGGGTTTAGGAGAGATTCCTTCTGCTTCACTTAGATACCAATTCACTTGAGCCCATTTACTAATTCTCTCCTTTCTCTCCGTTTCAGCGGCAATCACGAAACGGGTGGCGTCTGGAAGCAAGGCGCGCTAGAAGAGGACCTCGAGGACTTGCAGGCTGTGGTCGATTACCTGAAGGCGACGTACGGGTACGTCATTGAGCTCGTCGTAGGGCACTCCCGCGGCGCCCTGGTCGCGTTCCGCTGGCTGGCGACGACGGAGGACGGACGCAAGGTGGCGGCGTTCGTGAACGCCTCCGGGCGGTATAGAATGGCTGTACGTTATGCTTTCCTTCAACTCCTTCTGGTGTCGATAGAAAGAAGAAAGTGCAAGATACTGAACTTTTTGTGCGTCTAGAAAATTTACGGTGAACTGCGCCACTCTAGCCAGTTGGAAACCCGTCTGATCTTGCATTGGCCTCCTTCGCGTCCCCAGAATCGCCTGCTGTGAAGATATGGAAGGAGCACTTTGTTAAAGAGGGGCACTACATCTGGAATGTGACGGTTGCGCGAAAGCAGATTTCAGCCAAGATCACCCCCGAGGACGTGCAAGATTTCGCGAGGTGGGATACGACGTTCGTGTGGGACCGGTTCCCTCCTGGGATGGACGTCCTGACGCTGCACGGCCTGGCTGATAAGACCGTACCTCCGTGCGTCCATTCCTCAACTCCTTGCCAACTGCTACAAATTTTACCATCCGAGGCCGTATGATTAAACTGATTATTAATTTCTCTCTCCTCTCTACCCCTCTTGTCTTTGTGTTACAATTCTTTACTCTAGGTACGACGCACTGATCTACGCCGAAGCGCTCGGCGCTCGTTCACCCGGCACGCACACATTGCACTTAATGGAGGACGCCGATCATAATTTCACCGGGCGCCAGGACGATGTCGTCGATGCCGTCCTGCACTGGTGGGACGTGCGCCGACGGGGCGAGCTGAAGACCGGGATATGGGTGCCTGCTAGCATCAAGGGCAAGCTATAACTTATATCTAAGGGGCTTTGATACCCCCCTTGCTTGCGTACTTTGCGTATGGCACAGAGTCGGTCGCAGAGTGGGCTGCGCGACGATCCAGGAAGATTGCAAGGACCGGTACACGCGCGGATTCGGACGAGGAAGGAAACGATACCTTACAAGCGGATACGATAACTAAGGAAGGAGCTTGCTACTTGGACCCATTGCGTATCCATACCGCCAGTGGCGCCGTGTATCACTCTCCTAGTTTGTGCGCCTCTATTTGTAATCCAACATCGTGACATTAGGAAAAAGAAGCCATCCCTCCTTGTTCCTGGGATTATTGAGCGCCCCAGCTGTGCTCCCTCGATCGCACACCTTGGAGATACAGGCGCTGATCTCCGTTTTGGTTATCATCATCATCATACCATCAAGGTATCGTCCTGTACTTGGGTGCGGGCTAATTATATGACTCAGACTCACTACCCGGCTTATTCAGAATATCCTCGTATTACGCGTCTGCATTTTGCAGCTCTCGCGACGCGCTGCGCCTGAGCACGAGCGCAGTCGCAATTCGAGACGAGAAAGGGTTTCATTATGACTCGACGTTCTTGTTCCTATTCCCCGTACTCGGGACTCCCCAAAGTCGCCGGGAGTCTGGAGGGATGTCCGGGAAACGACAACCGGTGTCAGTAGTTATAGCGAAAGGCCAATCTACCCCGCCTAGATCTTAGAGAATAGGGTATGACGTGCGAGAGTAGCTGTCCAGTTCGGTTTCGAGTTTTGACTTGAATTCATTTCGTGAACTGACACGGTCAAGCAAGAGAATGATGATATGGGTTGTTCCAACGAATTCAATTTGCATTGCAGTCTGCTGGAGATAAGTAATGTGCACAAGACAGACAAGACAGTGTGTATGTGATGAAACGAAGCGATGAGGGATACATAGGATTAAAATTAACTACAACGGTGTGATTAAGGTGTATCAAGGCAATTGTAGAGTCAGCGTATGACTGAAGGAATAAATAAGTAAAAAACAGTGGGTTGGGTTGAGAAAGCGAACTGGAAACACAAGCACAGAGATCAAGAGGGGAGAGAGGGGCCATAGTAGTGCTACAGTAGTTGAGAGTGATGCTTGTCCGAGGTTCCGAATGATGATTTGCGTCTAGAGAATGTCCGTGGGTGGATGACGTCCTGGCCTCCTTCGAATTCTTCGTATCGCCAGGATAAGTATTAAACTTCGACGCGCGAAGCAACGCATTAATAGTATCGAGCGCAATTGCGCTGATTAATAGGGTATGGCTTGTCGGGCCCGCGGAATAATAGCGCGCGGGGTTATGGTGGTGGTGAGCGCGTCGTGGCGCGTTGGGGAGTATGGTGGTGGTGGTGGTGGATGGGGAATTTGGTGTGTTGTGGGCCTGACGTTTAGAAGAACACGGCACCCGTTGATGAAGCACCACCCTTGACGCCGCCGTTGGAGGTGCCGTTGCCGCTGCCCTTGGTGCTACCGTTGGATTGGCCGCTCATAGTGGTGCTGGTGGTGTTGGTGGTGTTGTTTGGGTAGCTGCGGGTAGTACTGGGGACGGAAAGTAATGAAGAGTCATCTGGAGTAGCGGGCGTCTTTTATATGGAGGACGGAGCGGTTTAGGCGTGCGGCGGGTCTGCAGATGACGGTTCTTCGGTATGGGCCCATGGATCTTGATACTGATTGCGGCAACGACTCGACGCCCAAACAAGGGGACGATCAGGCCATTTGCAGGGTTTCACAGCGAGAAATATGGAGTTTCGCTGCCGATTCTGTGCCCTTTTGGCATCTCTCACAGATGTCCTCACGCTCGCGGCCTGTTCCTAACAATCGGCGGGTTATCTCAGCCATGTTCGCTTCAGGAACGCAGGAAAGCTGGCACAGCCTTCAAACCAGGTGACTCTCTGCCGCCAGACACGGACTGACTCGGAAAACACACACATCCACACCCAGCGGTGCAAATTATCCACCGTTCTAATTCTCGTCTTCCTTCCTCGCATTTCGGGCCCTTCGCATACTGGGAACTGGACAAATTTCTTTTTGGAATCGAGTCACAACAAACCAGTGCGCGCATACCTCCATATTCTGCAGAGAATGCTCCCAACTGCGCCCCCGGCCCAAGTATTGATCTTTTTCTGATAATGGCGAGGCGTCGCGCCCATGCAAAACCCATCTCAGTCGACTGTCGGTCACGGCTTCCCCCGCCCCAAGTACCATCACTTCGGGAAACTGTATTGATGCAACATACAAATACTTTTTTCTTCTCTGCATTCCCCTCTTGGATCTACAAGCAATGCTCAGCCCAAAGTATGGCGTTTGCCCCAAGAACATGGCCTGAGAACATGAAAGGCCAAAATCAATGAAATCAGTCTGCACATCTTGTCTGGTAAGTTCACTTCTGTCCAACTGTCTAACGTCACTCAGGCCCATCCATGTCTTTTCTTAAACATGAACAGCACCCCGATGGGCTAGAATTCCGGCAACTGTCGCCCTTGGGCTTGAGCTTGAACATCGAATGACGCCGGACTACACCTCCTCCTCGTGTTGCCCAAATTGGTCAATGTTTCTTCCGATCGACTAAACCGCTGTTGCAAGCTGCCGCACAGCTCGGTGTGATATGCGTCGAAGCGGAAAAGGTTGCATCTTTTCTTGTTCTTGTTCTCGTTCCTGTTCCTTTTTGCATCGCTCACCAGGCTGCGGTATACGGCGAAGTGGCCCATCTGCCGTCTCATCTCATAATGATTTTCTTCTCAAGTGTCCAGGGCTGATGCCACCTGCAATTCGGCCGCCAACCCCAGCCAAAAGGCAAAATTTAGACGCCCTCGCGTTCCAGAGCATCATTATCCTGGGATCTGAGGTCTGAGCTCCTGGCGTAAATCCCCCGTTTCCCATCAATGACACTTCCTGACCAACTCCGGACCGGTGCTAGGAGCCTCGTGGGTGACTATCGGACGACCACTTCGCTCAGACGTTCACGGAGAAAAAAGAAGGTCCAAGGGTGCTCTCATTCTTCTTCGGCCACTCAACTGCTCGCCCCCACTTTGGGGAGCCTCGTGTCGCTATAGACCCTGGATGATCATTGGCTCCTTGGAGAGGACGAGCTTCTTTGGCGTGTGTCCCGTTTTTAGAACGGATGCTAGGTGCCAGTGACAGCCCCTCCACAAATCCACGCATACCTTTCTCCGGATTATTCGAACTCAATTCTGGCCCTCCGACGTCGAGTCGGCAGTGGAGACGGTCTGACGCGTCGTGTGGTCAGGTGCATCTATTACGAAGAAAATGAGTCAGTAAAAGACTTAGACTTACGGATACACCAAATTCGTACTACTTTCCTCCTCGGGCGTGCAGAAGGAATAATACGCTTCCTCTCCTCGGGGAGAATAGTGCGTTTGTCATGATCTCCCGGTAGTATTCTCAGGTCCGGGCGTCTTCACCTCCCAACACTATCCCACTTCGAATTCTCAAGGTCAGTTTGGGTATAGCGCCTTCGCCACCACTCGCCGCGAAGTCATCATACTTTTAGTTTGATCGGCCTGGCGTCCTCAGTGATGGACGTACACTTGGAGTAAGTAAGCCTGCCATGTGAGTTTCAGGCTAAACCACTCCAGGATTAATTCCCGTATAAGTCATTTAGCGAGTCCTATATATTCGTAAATACGTGCTTATAGGCCCGTTATCTACGCGTTGTGCTTGGGGCTCGTGTGCTTGAATGGCATAAATCCTTTGTCACGAATCCCCAACGGACGACCCCGGCCAGAAGAGAGAAAGGTGGGATTAATGAAAGAGGATCGTCCGTCCTTACAACGGCTAATTAGACGCTCTGAAGGCAGGTCGAACCCATAGCGTCGGCATTGATTGTTAATAATAATCTCATAGCGCTTCCTTCGTTCCGGCCGGTGTAAGGTTCTGTTCAGCCTCCTAAAATAACCCTCGATTCTCTGTCATCGGCGACGTTGTATTTAATAGTTAATATTAAACAGGAAAGGGACAGGGACTAGACCAGGCTTACTAACATCACAAGTAGGTACCCAATTGCGTACGTTGGCTCTCACAAAAAAACCTGGAGAATTGGAGATGATTTTCAAGCATCCCGAAGAAAGTGGAGGAGGCATCCTGCCCGAGGGCCCTGCAGCGCAGCTGCTTCGACTCGGGGTGATGTGCATCCAGAAGACTCGTGGCCGGCTTTCTATCTTCGTCCCATCGAGGTTTAGTTTGAGTATCCTCGCCCTTTTTGATTCTTGAAAACAAGCCGGGCACGCCAAGGGCACGCACCGTGATGTAAGATGACATCGGATTGAGCTAATGCCTTGGTGGGTTCTTTTCTTCTTCTCAGAGGTCGAAGAAAGGCAGGCAGGTCCCCCGATGTTATGTCACAACGAAGGAACCAAGAACCATCGGCCCAGGATCATGAGCATCTCGAAAATAGTGCACGGCCTATACCGCCCTGCAGCCCGGAGCAAGAAGCCCAAATCGCACCACAAAATTACCTACTTACATCCTTGACTTTTTCTTGGGATGACATCCATGACTGCCTCCCTGCGGCCAATCCTCGGCGAATTATGGTCCAATCACATGGGCGCTAAACATAGGTCCTGATCGTAGTTGCCGGATCGTGGGAACTTTTGGTGTTAGACACAGTTCTCAGACAAATCCAGCGTGGACCTGGCGTGGACTCAACCACACCTACGAGTCTGCCTGCTGGTTATCACAGACACCCCGACCACCTACACAGCCATATTTTTTTCAACCATACGCGAGAAGGTGAGTTCAGAGTTGTCAGTGGAGGAAGCTGACGAACAAAAGTCAGTCCAGCGCGCTATCGACTACCTAGGCGAAGGTATTTCGTCTTCCTTCTCAGATTTCAATTAGAATAACCGCGACATCTTGTCTTTCCCAACTTCGCTGTGGTCAGGGTCCACCGCGACCCCGCCAGAACAGCCCCTATGTATCACTGGTACCCCCGACTCCCATCATGAAGTGTGCTGTCCGTTTATTGTATCCACAACATGAAGCAATCGTCCCTATGTGCTCACGTGCAAATTAGGCCAAAGTTTGCTGATGTAGCGCCCAAATGAAAGACTGTCCTACCCGGATATCGAAGTCTGGACTAGATGAAGCGATAAAGCTCTATTAGAATCTCCTCGAATAACTTGGGTAAATGACTCGGATGTGCAACATGCAACTTCAAGCTGTAGCTGGTGTTTTGTACTATCCATTATTGACCTCAGAGCTCCTCAGAGCTGCAAAAGAGTGCCAGAGTGTCAACTTTAGCATGATTAGTAAAGGGGCATATCGGGTTGGGCGGGTGATTGGGCACAGAAAGGACATCTCATGGGTGCGTTGAATGCAGGTGCGCTAGGCCTGCGCGTCGTCGACCTAGCCTATTTTCGGGTTGGCTTGCCTTTTGGAGATGCATGTCCGGCGTGCATCATCGCCTACATACTTACTAGACCCCTCGAGCGAACAGCTCTGAACCAGCACCATCACTCTATCACCATTTTATAGCGCCCTGAAGTGCAGAGGAATAGTCTATGGGTATTCTGCGGCGCTTGGACGGAGGTGGGGAAGTTCAGCTGAGGGATGGCGGACACATACCGGTGTACGTACAAGTGAAACACCGTTTGTTCTGACTTCTCTGACCTGACCTTAATGATAAGGAACAAGAGTTAGAGTCCGACAACATGTTATGCCCAACGCAAACGGGAAGATGGCGCAAGGGGGATTTCTTGATTTTTGACTTGCTTGATTGCATCATGGTGGGAGAGATCAAGATCTACTCGAGTCTCGCGGTAGGTGGCTATAGGACACTGACAGACAAGTGGGGTTAGGTCTTCCCGCGTTGAGGGTGAATAATGTAATAGAGTGAAACGAAAAAAAATGAAGACAAAAACCCAAGTGCTTACGCAACATAATCTAGGTAATGAAACGCCTAGGTGGGGAAGTGATTACAATGATTGACTTCATTATAGACCGGTCGTGAGGAGGAGCTTACCGCCGGCCGACTTCGCTCATTCCTTGGGACCATGCGGAAATCTCGCAGTTCTCGGGGAAAGATTAATAAACCATATCACACGTCTCACCGTCCCGCGAAGCCTGCATCTGATGCCTCGGATAATCAGGTGGGCTGGGTCTGTCACCCGCTGCAAAAACAAGACAGATATCTAACACCCGGATTTATGCTGCCAGTGAGAATGTCCTTATACCCTTCGAGCGCACAAATGCAGCGAAGTCCAACTGTCGCGTTCAAGCTGTGTGCCTCAAACGTCATGGGACGGATTGCCACTCCGTCTATTAGTATGACCGATCAGGATCAGACGGGTGGACCTAGAGCGAGCTAACAGCGGAAGGCAGGTGGGTGAAGGACGGTTGCACGAAGCATGATTGCCTCTGATCCAAGGTCAGTGGGAGACGGGAGGCGTTTCAAGTAGGTTCGCTGAGCGTGAAGTTCGGAATGGACCAAAAATACGCGCGCGGTCTGTCGAGAGCGGGCGAGGTGGACCGACGATAGGAGCAAGACGTCGTGAACGAGAGCATTCCGTACGATGTACGAGAGACAAGGCGCAATTGTTGACTCGGTAGATGGTCAAGTAGAGTAGTGATCGTGCAGTTTGAAATGACCCACTTGCTTGACCGAGGTAATTTGGCGCAGGGGGGTTCATGAGAATCGGCAGTATCCAGGACGGCCTACGTACTACAGTCTTCGATTTCCTCTCGCCATCAGTGCTCCATCTTGCTTTCTTCTTGGTGTCAGGAGCAATGAATGGAACCCTGACTTGCTCGCTACACAACTTCTGCGATAATCTTGCCGCTGTTGCCCGCAGTGAGTTACAGGGTAAGAATGATGAGAGACGGCGTTGCACATCGTCGCACCTATTCTTGTTTGCTTCCATTTCAATGTGTGCAGCTGAAATTTCTGTCCACGGGTACACCTAATTCGTGTCATAAGATGACAGTCAAAATTGCCATTCCCAAGAGCGCCGATACCGAACAGCACACCTTGTAAATATAGGTCCGGATGGGCCCGTTCCCATCTTCGCCTGTGATCTTTGAAAACACCTCCCGGCGGAACCTACGCACAATGAGTCACCGATTCTCCCGAGCAAGCATCCTGGTCACGGTGTAAATTGACACCTACCTGTCGATGAGCTCCGTCTGATACGCCAAACTGCGCGAACGCAGAGTCGATCCCTCGATATGCAGGCGCTTATACAAAATAGGGGCCAGATTGACCGATTCGACCACCGTTCCTGAAATACGGGATCAAAAACGCAATGACTCGTGGCCAACTCCGGCGCCCTGGCGCCACAAGCACCAAATAAAGAAACCGAAAACGTAAAAAGACGCTTAGAGCGTGGAGGACGTACCACTTAGCAGCGCGAGCATCGTCATCCGGCCGTCGACAGCCAGCGCGTCGATGTTCTTGGTGAAGTGTGATTGCCCCACAAAGTCGATGACTACATCCACGCCTTTGTTTTGGGTGACGTCTTTGACGACCGCGGCGAAGTCCTGCGTCTTGTAGTTGGCGCCGTGGGTGGCGCCGTTTGGCAACCCGAGGAGCCAGTCGATTTTTTCCTGGGTTGACGTTGTGGCGATGACATTGTGGCTTGGCGCGCAGAAGTGATAGGAAATGGAAGAGCGAAAGCGTGCGTGAAGTTAATGTTAGCGCCTGTGCCCGCAAGGCTTAATGAAAGCGGTCCTTACGCGCCGTATACACGAGCTAGCTGGATGGCGGCTACGCCAACGCCTGAAGCACCTGCGTGCACGAGAACATTGTCGTTCTCTTTAATTTGCCCAATTACGACAAGGGCCTGGAAAGCTACCATACCCGCGGGTGTCATTCCATCATCGTCGCCGGGAGCAGGAAGGGAGTTGATCACCTGTTAGGAAGACTTCAGGAATGCTCGCCGCTTCCGCCCATGACAAGTGGCTCGGTTTCCGGATGATGTGCGTCTGTTTAACCGCGATATACTCCGCGTAAGCTCCCTACACAAAGCAAGGGTTAGTTGGATGGCAGTGGGATAAATATAACCAGCGAGTATAGCCTTTCCAGGCGCCTCCCATCCCCGCTGGCGCCTGCTTGACAGCCAGGGGGGGAAGGGGGCCTAGATTGGAGCGGCAATCAAGGATAAGGGATGTGGGATATGTCAAAAGCTGCCACTCACACCCCCCGCGAGCCCCAGCACCTCATCGCCGACACGCCAACTAGACCGGTACCCATCCGTGTTGGGCCCGAGTTCGGTGATAGTTCCTGAGAACTCGACGCCCAGGATGGTGGATGCCCCGGCTGGTGGTGGGTACTTGCCCTCGCGCTGCGAGATGTCCATCCTATTCAGGCCAAACGCCTTGATCTGACCCAGCGGCCAGTGGTGGCGATATGTCGGAATTGCAGTAGTATTCCGGAAGCGACGACATAAACGACAATAATGTTAGGGCGAGGGCAAGGGAAAGTGGTTCAGATACAGAAAAGGCGTGCGGTGGACCGGCCGAGATTGTCGTGAGTGAAATGTACGGTGCAGTGTCCAAGTCAGATGGTGATGGATGTCGATGAATCATGTATGTCATAGAACATAGAAGAGCAGAAGAGGACGAAGTTAGTATGAGCCTTTGGGATTCCCATATCTATCGCGATGATAGGATCTTCGGTGGGTATTATGCACCCACCTTGACAAGAACTTCTCCCGTCCGCGCTGTTGGGCGAGGCGCCGTGCCGATATAGAGGTGCTCTGCGGACCCTTGGTCGCCTTTGATCAGGACTGCCCGCATTGTGAACTCTTGTTGCGACATCGTCGGTGGCCTGGCGTCGGATCACCGCCTCCTGGAAGCTGGTTGGGAATCAAGAAGTGTTGCTGAGAAATCCGTTGAGCATTGCGCACTCGCGCAAAGTCGTTATCGGCTCGGTCAATTGCCGGCAGCCGAACTATGTTATTTTGGGATTTCCTGGAGGTCACATGAGAGTTTTCTTGGACGCCAGCGCCAGTGCCCCTTGGGCATTCAAGTTAAGATAATCGGGAATAAAGCTCTAAGTTTTGGACTAATCCAGAAATTGAACAGCTGTTTCGAAACATTCTCAGAGTTGATAGATGAAGTCCAGTTTTGAGACGGATACCTCTCTACAACGTGAAACCCGACAAGAAGGCCAACCTCCTGCTTGAATATATTACAGAAGGGAAGGCATCACCCTTCCCTTCGAGCGATGGTATCAAGGTAAAGGTCGGCCTGGCTCCACTCAAACTCAAGATTTAGTTCCATGAGCAAAGCATTCATTGGCAAGATGAGACTCTACCTAGTTGTACACTTCACTGAAAGGTTTCGTACCATGGAGGAAGCAACAAATTCAGAGGCCCGCAAAAATCTCGACGTCCCTGTTTTATTGGCAATTGTTGCGTCGCAGAGGTCCACAGTGTAGGCGCCAAACTCTGATGTGAAGCCGGCGGCGAGCGTGCTTATAGATCCCGAGCGGAAGAGAATCACAGCGTTTTAACAAGACGAGTTCGCCTGTACTGGTGTGCGAGAAAAGGCAGTGGTTTCTTCAAGAGCACAGGGGTCTGAACCAGAGGGTTAACCGGCTACCCCTAGAGGAAGTATGAAATAATTATTAGCACCCAATGAACGTCTGTCATCGTCGTATAACCTCGTACCTCTTGCCCAGTGAAGACCCTTCCTTCCCACCGAGGGATCCCGCTTGCCTTTCGCGTTGCATGATGGCAGTGTCCTGGATAAGGCCTCGTAAGACCTCAGCAATGAGGGCAACGAAATGTGGCTCTGCGTCCCAGTGGCAAATAAGTAACCACGGTTCGTCCATAATCAGTGGCCCGACGCGTAAAGCTCATCCCGATAAGCAGTCAGGCCACAACCACAATCGAAACCAGGTTTTGGAGGGTCGAAAAAGTCAAGCAGCAGCGAAACCCGTCGAGACCTAGGGGTCTCTCCAACACCTCCTCTTCGCGGCGTCGCCGAATCAGAATGAACTGCAGTCAGCCTGCAAGCGGCCGAAGGCGTTCCAGAAGTGGGTTTACATCGGCATGCGAGGAACAGGCAAGGGCCCTATTGATCACCATGTGGTGATGGTTCGACTTCGAAAAGGCGGGAAAGGCCATTTGCGACTGTGAAAGACGATGAAATTGGTGATCTTTGGGCGTATAGGCTTCCGTTTGGGTGCACTGAGGCTGTAGAGGAAAAAACGAGGCTCTCTACGCGTCCGGTGAGATGGTGGTTGGAGGTTAAACGTAAAAAGGCCCGAATGTTCGCACGGGGACTATTCGTCGCTTGGCCGCTGTCGTCCCCAAGGTTGTCCCGGTCCTCCTCCAGTCCCCTCTCAAATTCGCCAATATCTTCCATTCATCCCCCAGTTATCGGTGGCTGGTCCTTCTCTCGATTCGTTCTGCTCGTAGCCCCTGTTTTTTCGCTTTTTATTAATATCTCAACATCTTAATGGCTCTTACACAATCAGCAAGACTGCCGGGGCCGTCTTGGGATGAGGAGGTGGTGCCAGCATTGCGACAACGTACGTTGGCTTTCAAGAAACACGTATGTTTGACGCTCAGAGTTCGCCGCAGGTCTTCAGACGGAAAGCAGGACACTGGCCAAGCGGTTGTCGGCCATCTCTTTATCCTCAGTGGACGAGCCAACATCCCTCACCTATACTGCGTACACCGGCGAAACGAGCGTGCGCCACAAGCAGGCCTCGTCGTCGATGTCGTCGCAGACACCAGCTCAAAGATACCAGGCTTCTTATCATCAGCAACATTCATCGGATCGAGCTACCCCCACAGCCACCTCTCGCGTCAATGGAACAAGCAAGCCAGCCGCGACTTCTGACTACCAACGAACGAGAACGTACTCGACACCCGGCCGACGCCCTAATGGCAGTGCTCAACCCAAATTAGCTGTGACGAAATCCTCCAATCCATTTCGTTCAGTGTCACCACGACTCGCTGACGTGAAGCCTACTCGAATACCAAAACGACCCACTCCTTCGCTGAATATCTCCTCATCTAGTGCAGCCAATTCACCCTATCTAAACGGCTACAGTCACGGTCCAACAGGTGTCACGCCAAACCACGGTCAATCGCCCGAACAATCCTTTCTGCGACCAGGTGCTGACCAGGCACGGTTGGTTTCTTCATCGTCCACACAGTCGACCGTCGATCTTCCGACGCGAGGCTACCGTCAGCCAGTCGGCTTGCTGAACGAGACGCCGCCCTTCCCTACGTCATCAAGCATGTCGAGCTTTTCGCAGGTGGAAGACCCACCCCGGGCATCGATGGAGTCGGAGGAGCACCCGTTCGAGCACTGGTACCGTGGAGAGGTGTCGAGGAACGGCGGTGTGGGCGAGCTGCGAGTCGGGCGGCGGCAGGAGATGCTGGACATTGCGAACTACGGCCACCTCATTGGGAACAAGAAGTCGATGGCACACACGCCGGCGCGGGTGGAGGACCTGCCGCGATACCGGAAACGGGCGGGCAGTATTGCGGGAATCACGAATAAGGAGCGGGAAAGAGGGAGTCTTTACCTCGATGATGACCGAGCGAATGAGGTTGGGAGGGTGCTGGACGAGCACCCACTGACGGACTTGGAGGGCGACCAGAGCGACGTGCACTCGCTGGCGGAGAAGTATGGCAACATTCGGGGAGGAGCGTATGCGTACCTACCGGAGGAAGGCGACATCACGGCGGCGACGTCGTCAGACTGGACGCCGAACGTTGGTGCAGAGGAAATGCGGAGCACGACTCCAACAGCCCGGTCATCTTCACGGCAGCAGCAACGCGTGCCTCCGAGTCGAATACCTGGCCCTCCTTCACGGCACTCGTCCGAATCTCGCTCCACAGTAACCTCTCCGCCAATGGCACGAACAGCCAGCGACAGCCCGTCAATATCCAGGACTCCACCACCACCTGTTCCGTCCTCGTCCTCAAATATTCGTGCGGTGTCAACCTCGCCTTCTCCTTCATCAAATGCATCGGCGAAACAAAGAGGGGTCTCGCCTGGATCAGCAAAAAAGACACCACGAGGTGCTGGTGCAGCGAAGACGAGGGCGAAGATTCAGGAGAGGAAGAAAGGAGATGAGGGGAAGAATCGGATGAGTTTGGCGGAGTACCCTGCTCCACCTGGGGATGAGGAGAATATGGCCGATGCAATACCGTCGTGGACGCAGTCTGTGCCGAGAGAGGGTAATTGGGACGATGTGCGTTTCTTCTTGTTTCTTTTTTATTCCTTCTTGTATCGGTCTCTGATGCGTATTAATTGCAATCTTCTTGACTGGCGGATCCTCTAGGTTGTTCTGCCTGTGGTTGCTCGGAAGAAGGGTCTGGATGGGTATTACGAGAATGCGGATGGGAGTCCACAACCGAAGAAGGTGGAAAAAACTGTCGAACCAGTACGTGCGACTCATCTCCTCCTCTTTCTGTTGATTTCCGCTTGTCATCTTCGTGAATGACGAGCGGGTTGCCATTGTCATTTTCCTCGTGTCGTGTCGATGCTGAATGAACTGACCTGTTCAACCACCAGGCGCCAGGTACATTCGGTTTCGACCACACCAAATACCGCGAACCACGCAACAACGACGAGTTCATCCTCATGGACGAGTTCGGGCGACCAACAGACCAGCAAAACACGGCACCAGAGGACGACGCAGAAGAAGCCCACAACCGACCGTCAGGCCCTGGTCCTCTACGAAGATCAATCCAGGACGATGGTGTGCCCATACGGATACCACCCTCTCCGTCACCGCTCCCCTTCTCACAGTACGCGCCGACGTCGATGCAGACGCGGGTGAATGGGGTGCCAACGGACGATCAGGAGCAGGAGTGGCAGCGTCAGCAACAGCAGATGAGGGAGGAAAAAGAGGCTGGGTGTTGCAAGTGTATCGTTATGTGACACTGGCGCTGGCACCTTTGCTTTATCTCTCCTTACCCTTCCTTGCTCCTCGGGTGGGTCGATGACTTCAGTGACCCACCCTCGCCTCCGCGTTGCCATGACCCTCATGAAGTCCTCTGCCTGCGCTGTCGCTGTCGCCTTCATCGACTTCGCTCGTTTAACGTCCTTCGGTTATCCTTTTCGCGTTCGTGGAAAATTTTCCATGGTGTTCTTTGGGTTGTTGTTTGTTTTTTCTTCTTTCTCCATTCTCATATGCTCTCCACACGTTTTCTTCTCTTCGTCCTCGCCTCTCTTATGTCTCCTTTTCTTGCATTTGCTCAGGACAATGTTGGCATCCGCTCATTTCGACTCCTCTCCTCCGCCCGACCTAACCCATCCAATGGGATTATCCACCCATTCAACAGGAGGGCAGCAACACCGCTACAGCTACCTACCCGATATTGGAATCACGAAGCTACTCTGATTTCCAGGTCGAGTCCGACCAACGGCATCGCAGTCGTACTCAGTCAGCATCTCCGGCGACACCTGCCTACCGACTGCGTTCGCACCAATTGCAAGGCCTCCGGTTTTGATATGCAAAGCAGCATCTCGTGCTTCTGCCCTTGCACTTCACCCTGCTGCCCTCGATTCCTTCCTGCAAGTGCTCTCCACCGCCTACCATCTATCCTCCACACATCGAACAAGATTACTCCTCCCACTTTATCTACGTACCTACGCCACACTCGTTTTTCACGGGTTGTACTCTTAGCTTTCATTTTCGCTTTTCCTTTTACGAGCTTTCCTTACTTAGTCGGTACTTAGTCCTAGTTCTGGTGGTGATCTCTTTCTTTCCTCTCTCACTGTTCTCCTCCATCATCAGCTCGTCTACATTTTTTTGCGTCTCCGTCTCTGTCTCTTATGGTACTTTCACACATACGTACACGCGTCGGTACGGTGACGGTATTATCAATTTGCGTTCAAAAAGACGCTTTACGATAACCCCTTGGATCTCTCATCATACCCTACAATATACTATTCATTGCACGCACTCTCGTTTCTTGGACGTGACCATGAACATTTCGTGCACAAGCCTTCGATATCATTATACGAAGAGTTTGGGAAAGGCTACAACGACTCACGAGGTGATACAGTATAGTCTACTGCGACAACCACACTATTATAATTATATTTGCGTCAGCGACAATCGGATCCACTCTCAGACACTGCCCAAGTTGGCTTACCATAATTAGGCTTGAATCCTCACCGCGAAGACGTCGGCAGCTTCGTCGAGTTCGAAGTTTCAAAAAGGGCGCCTTAGCCAGCCCTGCCGCTTACGATCGTTATACGATTCTTGCTGTTTTCCACTCGGACCCACTGCAGAGAGAGTGCTCATTTTCAATTTGGCTATTCGACAAACCAGTGAAGCATGGACTATGCAAAGAGTGACTCTGAAGCTATTTAATGATAATACTGTGGTCGACGAGAATATTTTCCTGTTAGAATGTCCGTTAAACAAGCTTCCTCGCTTTTTCGTGAGTTTAGATCAGCGGATTTGGTAGCACAATCGAAGTCGAGGATGGCGATATGCTTAGTTTCCTTGTTGACCAGCAAATTATCGGCTCGAAGGTCGCCATGCAGTATGCCAGCAGCATGAATGCTTTTAAGCGCATCAAAAAATGCTTCACTACGTCACGATGGAAGAAATGAGGTCTTGAGCCTGAAATGAAGATATAAACACCATCACCGTTCTTCAGGCGTTGTCACTTGTTCCGCCTGGATGGCGTTCAGCCGTTCTTTCTCTCGCTGTCGTAACGTTTGACCGCCGTTCTCCATGACAAGCACCAACGCCCCAATTTCCGTGTCTTCAAATAGGCCGTGAACGGTCAATATCCCTTTAGTAGCTTTCTTGTTAACCAAACCGGAGTAGATGTCGAATTCCTGGCGCAAACGTTCGGCTTGTGCTTCGGGAGAAAGCAAGCTTCACGACGACGTCGCGTTGAAGCACCTCCCCAGATTCAAGTCCGACTTCAAGGGAAGCCGAGTGGACAACGCCAACTGCGCCTTGGCCCAAGGGCGCACCAAGGACAAGAGAGACGCATTCAGACAAGTCGTAAGTGGTCTTGAACTTCTCCTCCACATAAGAGGGGTAGAAAGCAGGGTGGCAGCTTGATCCTATGCGGAAGAAAGATGAAGGGGTCGGGGAGCAGTATACCTTGTATTTCAAACGGATGAGTGCTAGTTGACACGTACTGGACTCCCGTGCGATCTGTTCGCGTTAAGATGTCAGATCAACTGAAGGCAGTGTGCACTTACTTCGCTGGTAGTCGATGGAAATCGAGTCCTCCGTTGGCGTTTCGGTTGTGGCTCTTCGTCGTTCGAGGGGCTTGGTTCTATTGACCGCTTTCGGCCTTCTTTGAGGGTGAGCTCATTGGAGATTTGTTGACGAGCAAACGCATCTTGAACGATGGCAATATGAAGTCCTAAATGCATTTTGCGATAGTGAGGACCTTGAATGCGAGCAGGGTTGATTAAACCGGGAAGATATAGTGTTTGTGTTGCCCGATGACGAATGCCAATGCGTTCCCAACGACCGCAATTAAAGATTATGAAAGAGCAATCGTCAAAAGTGGCCTGCGACCATCCCTAAACGTGGTTCGGATCATGAGGCAGCAGTCAAATACACAGGGCTTACGTGTTGAAGAAAAAGCGGCGAAACTAGTCGATAGCTGTGCGTTGCAGGGCGTCCCAGTCTAACCCGCGTGCGAGGGAAGCGTGAGGACTTTTTGGGTCGGAGTTGTGTCGTCTGCTTTTCAGGTTTGCTATCGGCGCGTTTGGGCAACATGGATTTCAAAACTGCTTCATCAACTTCCGCTGGCTGGTGAGTGTGGTCTTCTTGCTGAGAAGTTTTCGTCTGGGATGATTCCCATACGAAGGGGAGTTCCTTGCCCGAGGTGGGGTTTCTAAACATACCCTGAAATAACCTGTCAGTTGTAAGCGACATTGCGAACATGTGCCAATCGGCTAGCCTTGGGTACTTCATGGCAAGATCCCTGAGCCGGTCTTTCACTGGCTGGTTCAGCTGTTTCTGGAGTTCCTGAGAAAAAAGGCAAACATCCCGCGCGGGGTCGTACAGAACTTTGAGCCAGGAATCAGTCAGATATTCCCCCGGCCGATGATCTTTGTTGAGTTGGAACGTGAAAACTGAGTGCCAGTCCTGCAAACTAGGAGTTACAAGGAGCTTGGAGGCAAATTTTTGGCAAATTTGGCCGAACTCCGTCTGATAGTAGTCGGCAACCTGAAACGCGTCATGAAGAATTCCATTGGTGACCTGGAACAACGCGGATTCATACGAAGAGAATGTATGGCAGTTCCAGTGGGTGAAGGTTTGTAACGTATGTTCGCAAATTCCAGAGAGAGACTTGGGAATAGAGGGAAGCAGGACAATGCGTTTCAGCGTCAGCTTTGAGCTGATGTGTCTGTCATAGAACGTCAATGGGGAAGAGGAAGCGTCTACGGGTTTTGCGCGTTGAGGTTGTTTGATAGCGAACGGATGGTAATTGGCCTCAAGCACGAGCTTGAGAGAGTTGCTGAAGGGATCATCTGGTGGCAGCATATTGGAAGCTGGAGGAGTGAATGTCCTGGAAGACGTAGCTCTGAGTGTCTTCCCTTTGTCGTTGGGTCTTGTCAAACTTCAACGTTTCAAAATTTCAACTTTGATGTATGTTTGACCGTTTGTGTGCGCGCCTTTTACACGATGGCTTGATAAAGTGGGGTGTATCCTGAATCGACCTTCGCTCGCAGAATCTCAATCGAGTCGAAGAGCCACAGCAAACCTACGCCGGTATTACTGTCTCTGGTTTGCCCTTGGCTCTGGACAAGTGCTCACGGGCACCAAATGATTGTCTTGCATGGAATCAAAGGTTCCCCATTCTCAGCCATCGATACCTAGATTGTCACTACCTACGAAAATTAAGATACTTAAATTAATTAGCTCCGTTCCAAGGTCCAGTTGTTGCCTAAGTTGTGAGAGCTGCAACTTCATCGCCACCATCTGCGGGAGTAGGGGAGAGCGAGAAGGAGTAATGAGCACGCGGTGGAGGAGGGTTACGAGGAGGGGGGTCTCCAGTGAACTCTTCGTCTGAATCAAAACAGTCCGACGGTGGAGGGTCCGGGCTGGCGCTGTAGTATCGTTGTCCTTCGTAAGACCGATCCAGTATGTCATTCATGCACTGGATCTCGTTCGCAAGCGTCTTCTGTGTTAGTTTGTCGTCCGCACAGTCGAAGTCTATGAGGGATACTTGGTGCGTCACTGGGTGAATGACCATGTTGTCCGCTCGGATGTCGCGATGTCGAATCCCTGCTTCATGTAGGCTATTCATTATTGCAATAAATGCTTTCCTGCGGCGGAGACTGTGAGCAACAGAAAAGGCTGTGTTGAGAGGAGTTTATTTACCGTTCTTCATCCGTTGTTGACACCTGTTCTGGATTCTCCGTATTGGTACGCTCTGCCTCGCGCTGTCGCAAACTTTGGCCACCATCTTCCATAACCAATGCTAAAGTTCCTGTCTCGGAATCTTCAAACAATCCGTGCACGGTGATGATGCCCCTAACGATGCGCTTACGAGCCAAAGTCTCGTATGTTCTGAACTCACGGCGTAGCCTATCTCTTGACTTCAGAGAAAAGGCCAACTTGACGAGTAGTCTATGCTTGAGGGTGCTTTCAGAACAAGGGACCTCGAGTGACGCCGGATGGACCACTCCAACGGCCCCTTCTCCCATAGGTTCTCCGAGGATAAGAGAGAAAGACTCCTCGGCCTTATACCGCTCGGTGGCCTTATCTGAAGGAAGCCGGCTATATAGACTTGGGACGCAGGAGGAACCCACTCGAATAAACGACGAAGGCACAGGCGAGCGATACACACCGTAGTCCAGGTGAATCAAGGCTAGTGGCCGAGTGCTTAGTTCTTTAGCTAACGCCTATCGAGAAAGGTTATCTTAGCTTTTGAGATACCCGAACTTAGAATACCTCAAGGTCCTCTGGAGGCAGGGGAGCAGACGTTTTGCGTCGTTTCGCGACAACTTCTTCTTTATCGTCCAAGCACTCCTGTGTACGCTTGAGGGTTGACGTTGCTGTTTCTTCCTCCTTTGCCATTTTTTGCCGCTCTAGGACATCCTGGACAATGGCAAGATACAGCCCAATGTGGCACTTCCTGTAACCCACACGGACGGTATCAATTGGTTCTGAAAGGAATAATGTCTGAGTTTCCCTATGCCGGATACCAACTCGCTCGTGACTGCCACAATTGAAAATTATGAAAGTAGCGTCCTTCAGAGTGGCCCTCGCCCACGTCTAGTCGTATGTCAGCTGGAAGCCTGAGACCTGTAGTCAAAGAAGTAGGCGTACGTGTTGGATATAATGACAAAAATCTGCTCTGTATGCGTTCTTTCGACTACCAGGCGTCGGAGGACGAATGGATGAATCCAAAACGGGATGAAGATCTGTGTTTGGGACAGGAGGGCGAGCCTTTCCCCGTTGGTATTTTTTTGGAAGGATTTTGGCAAGTACCCCAAGGTTCGCGTCCCGGGGCCGTGAGGTCTTCGCATTCGTCCTTGCCCCACCAGTACGTGGCACCTCCCAAGAGAATTTTCTGTCTCGTTCGACGGATTTGAGCAATCTTAGCGCGACTGGGTTCCTCCCAAATATTTGCCAGAGGGCAAGCTCGGGATATCGCCGTGCCAGGTCCTCTAACTTGTCTTTGAGAGCAGAATCGAGTAATGCGTCGAGCTTGTCGGTAAAACACATTTTCTTTTGAGTCGCGTTGTAGCTGATCTGGAGCCACCCATGTAATGCGAATGGGTTATCCCTGATAGAATCGTCATTGAAGATAAATACCGAATCCCAATCCGGAAATGTTGGATGAAAAATCAACTTGGACACCAACTTATGGCAGACGGGATGTATGTGCCACTGATAATATAACGATGCACCAGCCGCATTATGCACTGGTCGATGTGGGACGCCTGGGACCAAATTGTTTCCTGGTTGGAACTTGTGACCGCTCTGCAGAAAAGCCCCTACGGCCGCCTCACAGAGTTTGGACAACGACTGGTGCGTCGAAGGTAGAGCAATGATTTGTTCAAGAGCGAGATCCTTTGCCAGATGCCTGTCGTGGAAAGTCAGAGGGGATTCTTGAGGTGAGTTGACGGATTCCTTGGTTGGAGAAAGGACAGTAGGATCGCAACGGCCCTCCAGGATTACCTTGAGCGAGCGGTAAAATGGGTCAGATGGCTGCAGCATCACCTAGTGAAAGGAATGGTATGAAAGGATTGCTGAAGGACGTGGTCCATCAAGTTGGCTTTCGTTGTAAGTGTTCAACGTTCAACGTTCAACATTCTGCCCCTTTCGGGGGTCTTTGTGATCGGCTAAGTCACGAGCACTTTTCACACGAAAGTCCAGACTCTTTCCGCTACCTAATACTTTGTACTATTAGATATAGATATGTACAGCACGGACTGGTCAATCAAATCTCCAGGCCAGCCTGAGAGCTAGTCTCCCTGGACAGACCTAACAGATAAATGATAGTCGATTGTATCTTATCCTGAGAGCTATTGGGCCTGCTTACAAGCCAAGACATTTTTGACGGTTTTCAGGTCCTGCCGCTTCATGTCTCTGAAGCCCGGGTCGTCCTGGCCGTCCTGCCGACAGTCTTGCCTGCTTCTAACGGATTTCAAACTAATGACGAACACTTTGCTGGCCGCTTGGTTGAATAGCAAATGCTCGGCACTCATGTTGTTATGAGAGAAATGGTGAAAGTGAAATTCTTTCACGGCTGAAATGTATCTGGCTCTGTCGTCATTTCCAGTTGAAATTAATATTCCAGTATCAATATTGAATGAGTGAAGGGGCTTACCCATTTTCTGCCAGGTGCTCTTCAAGTCTACTGGATGAGTAGTGGTCATATAGGGACTTGCCCCCGTCTGCCATTAATAAGGCACAGGATGTCTGTCCTTGTCTGACCTGCGAATAGAAGAGACCGTATATTGGTACAAGTGCGTCGACACGTTGTGACGAGCACTTCATGTAGGCACCATATTCCTCTTCCAAAGCTGTGACTTCCACGTCCGTCTTGGCCAGCTTCATAACCAAGCGATTAGAGTAATACTCAGCCTGTGTTGAGGAGTGGAGAGGAAGTCGAGCAAGATAAGCTGCGAATACTTTCCCATCAAGCTTCTGCTCTAAGTCGATGAAGAATTGAGGGTTTCCATCGTTGGGCAGCTGGGAAACGCTCTCGGAGCACGACGACTGCCTGCGGAAGATCCATACATTGGCGTTGGTCGCCGCAGCACTGAGGACCGCGGAGTGCAGTCGAAGCGAGAATGACTCAGATTGCAGAAAAGCGCTGATGATCTCCTGAGGAAGAATTAGGTTGAAATATCCAACGTTTGCCATCCTTCGGCGTACCTTATCTACGCGCTCTTTCTCCACTGCAAGTGCTTTCCTGCGGGCGATTGGGATTTCAGCCTGCTTTTCTGTAAGCGGCCCTCTGTCTAAAGAGAGGCGATACCTGAAGGGGATCGACGGTGGTGTAGCATTCAACATGGATTCCAGTAGTCTTGCGCGCTCCAGTGCGTCGAGATATGCGCAGATGTAGAGTCCGACATGAAGTTTGCTGTGAGAAGGGTCGAAGGCGGTGGTAGGCCGAACGTAGGAGGATAGATATAGTCTTTGGTTCTCTCTATCACGCATCGCAATATTTTCTTCGTTCCCGCAAGAGATCACAAAAAAGGTCAGGTCGTCAACAACCGCCTCTGTCCAAGACTGCGATTACAAACAAAATGAGCTTCCCCGAACAAAAAGAATGAAAAATGACTGCGTTGCTTACCTGTTGAAGTACATCATGTGCATTGGCTCGATCTGCATCTGGATTCTTAAGCGGTTCGTCTTGAACGAGACTGGATCGAACATGGGCCAGTCTTTGCGGATGCGCCTTGATGCTATCGACTTGTTCGAGGATGCGCGCCACATATTCAGAATCTGGACCAGCTCTTCTCCCAGTCACAACGGGTCTGCCACGGATTCTGTGGTGGGAAGTTTTGGCGTCACACCGAAAGGAGGGTGTCTCCGTGTCCTCTACCGTCCTCTCGTGACAAGTCGTCCATTGAAACACCCCTTCGAGTTCGTGGAACATTGCCATAGTCGCTGGGCCTGCTGTCAGACTCTTGAATTCCCATGCTACCAGGTGGTGGAAATTATGTTTCTCGAGTAGCGCCATGTCATCCTGGTGCTCGCGTGGCAGATGCTCGCGGTCAGAGGCCAAAGATAGAAAACCATCAGCGAGTGCCTCGGTACGTGGGGCGGCATTTGGTTTTGGGTAGGTGGTCCATTCGAAGACAGGGTGCCAATCAGCGCTGTTGAAAAGGAGGCCACTAGCCATACCCGAGTATACTGACGAAATCTGCTTTTCATAAAAGTCGACTAGATCTCGCTCATTCGCAGCAACGGCGGCGGCCTTCTGAGTTGAAATGCCTGGAAAATTCTCGCTGGTCAACTGACATGCCTCCGCTAATTTGTCGCAATCTAGAACGAGAACCTCAGTGAGACGATGAAGGATGACGACCTCCTTCAGGCGAAGATCTTTGTGAAGATGCATGTCAAAACATTTCGGGCCCCTTGTCCTTCTAGATGTCGTATGTTTGTATTTGCCAATGGGAGGAATCTTGAAGTTGTCAAAAAAATTCACGATTTCGGGCAGGGCTGACTGTGGCTCTGAAGAGGAAGAGGATGGAATGGCAGAGGTGCTTGGGATGGAATCTGGGTGCCTAGCGGTGGTCTGTTGGCCGATAGATGGACCAGCTAGGTATGCCTTCTTCGAGGTGCCATGACGGGCTCGGTCAGACGTCTGTGCAGAGAGTCCTGCTTCTTGGCCATGATTTCTTCGCTGCCGATTGAGCTCAGCGGGGCCGGGGTTGCGCTTCTTCGAGATCTTTTCGATGCGATCGGCAGGCATCTAGCCTCTCGGGGCGATTTGAGGTAGCGTGGGTGTAAGGAAAGGCTACAGTGCAGAAGGGGGAGAAGGGCACAGGACGAGGGAGATGGGACCATCCAGGCTTTATCCATTTTTAAACGATGAGGGCATGACGTCGGCGTACGCTGTCGCCAGACTACAATAGAAAGACAGCGTTGGCAAGCAGTTTTGTGAATGATGGAGGCGCTGTTCTCCTGCTCTGAGAGAACAGAAAAAAACAAGAACTACAGGCAAAAACAAGCTTTCAGTAAGTACCACTGCAACGCGTTGACAGATGCTTGACGTTTCACCTTCATCCCAGGAGCCCGTCGACTATTGTCCAGTCCTGTGGACAACAGCGTCAACCTTCCGTCGTTTGGGCCTCTTGGACCTAAGCGTTTCCTTTCCGAGAGCTTGCTATTGTTCAAAGTTCAACGTTCGCCATCTGAGCTCTGACCTGGAGAATAGAGTATCCAAGCCTTCCTTCTTGTGCTTCGCTGGAGCAGTTGGGTTGGGTAGTGATCGGTTAATTGTTAAGTTGAACGAGGTCATTATCGTTGGTTGATAGACGGTCGCGCTTTGGTCGCGTGAGGCTGGGAATCGTGGGAATATATATACATATGCGGTCAACCGCAAATGAGACCCGAGGCCTGAGGCCTGAGAGGCTCTGAGAGGTCGTTAAAGCGGTGAACATTGGGCGAATGGAAATACAATTTCAAGATGTAAATCAGCCATAGAAAAGCGGCTCTAAAAGCCTGCCAACAACACTGACCGCGAACGGTGGAATTTGCGACGCTGATTTCTCTAGTATCTCTACGCACCATCGATTCCCATGAAATATTCAAATCCGATCCTTTCATTATTTAAAGTGTTCCAACATGTCGGCAGCTTCGTTGATAAGAATTTCGTTATGCTCATCCGCGTCTTTAGTCCTCAGGAACGAGATTCTGCTCACTGAAGCACTGACGTTCGCCGAGAAACACTGTGAGTGCATCTACATGGTCTATTTCGATAGCCTGATAAAGTGGGGCGTACCCTGAATCGTCCTTCGCGCGCAGAAACTCGATCTCAGTAAGAGAAGCTCATAGCATATCCTCGTCAGTGTTACGAAAACGATTGATGTAAATAAATACGTTGAAAGCAAAAGTAATACCCATGCAAAAAAACCCATGTAGAAAGAGGTGGGGTACGAAGTCAAAGATTGAGTAGTCAGTAATATCGTCCGCCAAGCCCGTACGTCTTGGTGAGGATATCGCGCATGCACATGATCTCCGATGCAATTGGGTCGGCTTGGGACGTCTTCTTGAGAATGCCACCCTCCACTATCTTCTCGGCACAATCGAAATCGATAATGAAAACCTGCTTTGTCTCCGGGTTGACGAGTAGATTGTCGATTCGAATATCGCCGTGCCAGACGCCAGCCTCGTGGAGTCCTACGATCGCGGCTGAGAATGCTCTTCTGTTCATTCAGATAGGATTCAGCAAAATTGACATTGAAACAACTCCCTGACACACCGTTCCTCGCTGGATGTTGCGACTTGCGCAATGTGATGGCTCTTCATACGTTCCTGTTCTCGCTGTCGGAGGGTTTGGCCACCGTAGTCCATGAGCATCGCTATCGCTCCAGAGTCAGGATCTTTGAACAAGCCATGTACAGGGAGAATCGCTTTGACGTGAGACTTCGCTGCCAAAAAGGCGTATATACGGAATTCATGCCGCAACCTGCGCGTTTGTTCCTTCGTGAAGGCAATCTTGACAACGAGCTTTCGACGCAACGGTTCACCAGACGCGGTAAGAACCTCAGCGGTTGCCGTATGTACCACTCCGACAGCACCTCGACCAAGTGAAGGACCAAGGACGAGGGAGAAGCATTTGTGTGTTTCATACTTCTTGCGAAATTCGCTTTCTACAGGGGATGGATGTACGCCAGGAGCACAGGACGTGTCAACGCGAATAAAAGAAGATGGGACAGGGGAATGATATGGACCGTAATGGAGGTGAACAGCAGCTAGGTGCCGTGAGCTCAACTCCCTGGCAAACTATGAAATCATTAGTTGGCAAAAAATGTGCTTCTGCAGTGCTTACTTCGGTAGCTTCCGATGTCAATCTGAGACGCTTCGCTTCAGGCATGTTCGTTTCGTCAAGTGACCTTGAGCGTTTCTGACCGACAATGGGGTTGCTTTCAGGAGTGTATTTCGACATCTGCAGGCGATCGAAGGCCTCCTGGATGATGGCAAGGTGAAGTCCTAAATGGAGTTTCCTGTAGTGTGGATCCTTGATATTAACTGTGTCGATTATCTTCGAGAGATAAAGCGTCTGGCTCTCTCTATGACGGATGCCAATATATTCAGATCCGCCGTTATTGAACGTAAGGAGTGTTGAATCGTTCTCCACAGCATTAGCCCATGCCTAAGCTAGGTTGAAGCGATAGCATTCGGAAAGATGAATGTACGTACGTGCTGCAGATAATGTCTGGCCAGGGCACGATAGGATTCTGGTTTGGGTCGCGTGTTTGGCTTCACGAATTTATCCATCCTTATCGACGACTTGCCAATATTGCTAGAGCCTTTGCCTCGAGTGCCCGACTTCCGAGAGGATGGAGGTAACAACGTTTGAAGAATGTCACTCTCGGAGTCAAGGGGCTGCTCTGCGTTGCCACTCGACGTGGAGCCCTTTGTACGATTTGTTTCCCAATGAAATGTCTTGATATGTCTATCCATTCCGCGAAAAATTTGATCAGAAGTTGGTCCTTGGGCAAATATTTGCCATGTTGCAAGCCTGGGATACTTCGTCATCAGAGCCTTGAGCCTCTCCTGTGTTGCAGCAGCAAGACTAGTAAGCGCGCCCTGAAGAAAGAGGGAGCCAGGTTCCGAACCGGCGCAAACCTCAAGCCAGATCTCTTGCAGAAAGTCACTAGAATCCTGCTCCTGGCGCCGAGAACGAAAAACCCCATTCCACTCCTTCAAGTCTGGATGGACAAGTATTCGAGATAAGAATAGGCGACAAAGGTAACCGATCTCCCTCTCGTAGTGAGCCACGAGGTAATGGGCTCCAGTGCGCGTACATGCGAACGGTCGTGAGTTAATGTCGATACCTTGGCGTTTGAATCTATGCCCCGCTTGAATGTACTCTCGCAGCATTTGGTCGCATAATGCAGAAAGCGATTGTGGAATAGACGGCAGGGGTACGACATGCTTGAGGATGAGGTTGGGGCTGATATGAGTGTCGAAGAATGTCAAGGGGGAGGAATCGGGCGAAGGAGGTGAATTACCCGCGTCCTTCACGGTGGAATGGAGATTTAACCCTAGGAAGTTTGACAGGGAGTTGCAAAACGGATCGTCTGGTGGCAGCATAATAGGTCATGGTAGAAAAGAAGGTGGGGCCAAGTCGTTTCGTTTAACATTGTGTTCGCACGGTTGAACCCTTTCAACTGTCAGAACCGCTGACATAAGCACGATCGGACATGACACGACAGTTGCGCAGCTGTATAAGCCTGTACATAAGACTAGCTGAAACGAAAACGCGTAAACTCTGAGATCTGAGTATTGTCCAGTATCAGTGAATAGATATTAGTAAATACAGTGGCACCTTTCCAATGTAGCACCTTCATGTTTCTCAGTCGTCTTCCTCCTCCTCGTCTTCCTCTTTGTCTGCGCTCTCATTGAGCCGTTTACCCGTCACCTCTGCATTCGGTTTGAGGCATTCCAACACTGCCTCTTCATCATCGTTCTTTTCTTCTTGGAATGTGGGATCTTGAGCGTCCGTGTAGCTGCTGCAGTTTGCTAAGCTGATAAAAGAAACCTTCTTCGACTTAACGTTCATTACAGCCGTTTGCAAAAATAATGGCAGTCGGGCGATCGAATAAACATATTACATCACTGATGGACTTAGAAATTCTGGCCGCGCTGGTGACTTAGTCGATTCCAGCCTCAAGTGGGCATCTCCTACAACTCTCCTTTCAATCCTCATGGATCTGTTCGGCCAACTCACAACTGAGCTTGTTCTCCAGACGCTCCTTCGGCCCTGTAACTCTTGAGCGCAAGAAGGCACGTCGACAGAGTTCATACTCAAACCAGACGTTGACATTGAAGACGATCGTCGATAACAACCTCCACCCAACCCAACGATGTCCTCTCCAACACCCAACTGCCGTCTCTCTGCTACCCTCTCTCGCCCTCCTCGCCACGGCATGCCGGAACGCAAAGGCCATGACAACGACATGGACATGTGCACCGACACCATGGCCAGGCCAGCCACCACATGATGCCCTACCCTCACTTCACCCTCCATGGGCACGATGGCTGGTAAAAGTGTGGGTATAGTCTTCTTGGTGATCGCAGGTATCAGGGCAGGGGTGGAGGTGTTCTGGAGACGGAGGTAAGCAGTTGCCTTGGGATTTGGGGGACATCTGACGGGTTTCTTGTTTGTAAGGAACAGATCCTCCATTCTTGAGTTGCGATCTAATCCGAAGCAAAGTAGAATACGAAGCCCTACGCTCAAGGTCGTCTGCGTCCTCGTCTTCGGATGCCTACGCCCCAGCACACAAGCCTTCTTGCTGCAGTTGCCTCCGTTCAATGTATGTCCTAGTGATCATCATGGGACTCGGCATTGGTGAGACGCTGCTCAGGAGCTCGAGGCATATTAGTGTGGCTCGGTAAGCCCATCGGATCTGTGTTTTGGTGACGCAGAATGGATAGGCTCGTTAGCGGTTGTGTATGATCCAATTTTATATTTTATCCAAAGAATTATGGACACTCTTGTGCATATCATGTCCTCGCATTGAGGTTGCAGGCCATCGTCCCTCTGTGGAATGTCAACTTCACCATCCTTCCATGGTGTAGAAATCATGATTTCTCTCTGAAAGGTCCCAAGGCCAGGGTGAGGCGGAACTCTGGGGTAAATTATGCGGCAGCGCCTGGGCTCGAACCTCAGCCAAATTCTCTAAGTCTTCGTTCCGCCGATTTTTTTCTAAGTCCATCAGTGATGTAATATATTTGTTCGATCGCCTGACTGCCATTATTTTTGCAAAGGGCTGTAAAATATGGCGGTAGTCAAGGCGGTTATGTGTATAGTGCTTGCTGTGTAATGACCGGAGTGCTTTTAGATATCTGTCTCTGAAAATGATACATGGTTAGATGATTGCAGGCAACGAGGCCCCACCGTCTACATACTCATGGGCACCAATATGGGAATTGAACTTCGCCTTCCCATTCTTGCGCATAGCAAGTGATTTTCCTCCGTTGTCCATCAGAAGAAGCCAGACAACTTTACCTGGCCTGATTTGCGACGAAAACAAGCCGTGGGGTTTCTGGATGCATGTTATGTCGTGTTGGGAGAGTTTCGCGTAGTTTTGATATTCCACTTGAAGGGCTGCAATATCCGCCTTGAAACATGCGACCTTGAGAATGAACTGCTTTGAATAATATTCTTGCAGGGGGCTATCAACTGGGGTGGATCGTCCGAGAAAAGTAACGAAAACTTTGTCGCTGATTTTGTGATCGAGGTCAATGAAAAGTTCGGGATGAGTGCCAGTCCTGGCCTGATCTGAATCTTCAGTGTGACGAGAAAGTGTCCAAGTGTTGGGATTCAAACAGTTGGGAAAGATGTTGTGGCTATGAAGCCTGAGGGGGATGGAGGAGATTTCATTCAACAAACGAAGAAGTTCCTAATGGGTGCTTAGTCGTGTCACTGCTCGTCGACGATGGAGCATGGCGCAAACCTTATCAAGTTCTTGATCAACAGAGGTTTTCTTAATGACCAATGGGCCCTTGTCGAGAACTAGACTTGACGCTGTAGGAGACAATTGAGCCTCCTCAAGGATTTGCATCTGGCGAGCACGATCAAGCGCGTCTTGGAAGGCCGCGATGTAAAGGCCAACATGGAGCTTGCCGTGGGCTGGACGAGTGGCCCGGGATGGAATGATGAGGGCGGACAGATACAAAGTCTGAGACTCTCGTTGTCGGTATCCGATGTATTCTTCATTTCCGGAGGAAAACACGATATACGTCACATCGTCTACCACAGCCTCGGTCCATCCCTATAAAACACAGATATGCTTTAGTGGCGCACAGTAGACATGCTTCAATGACCAGGAATACCTGTTGCAGAACGTCATGAGCTTTTCCATAATTGTCTTGTTCTTCCTTGGTTGTGAATTCGGAGGGTACACGAGCTGCCGTCTGGCGGGCCTCCAGAACAGCCTCGAGCAGCCCTATTTCATCCTCCAATTCTGCTGCCCGCTTTGGTGAAGCATCCTCGTCGGACAAACGCGCGCGCTTTGCTTCCGAACCTTCCATGCTGTCGTGGTGTCGTTTCCGCTCTGTAAGATGGATAGCTCTATCTAGGATCGATTGATTTTGGGCGTCAGGTCCGGGAGGTCTTCCCGTCACTGTCCGTCTTCCATTGGTTCTGTGATTGATCAAGGCCGCACTGCAACAAGTCGAGGTTTCGTCGTCGTCCGTTCTTTCTTGGCAGGCTGTCCAGGTGAAGTCGCTAGCGAGGTTGGGGACCTGGGCCATAATACCAGGTCCGCAAGCAAGATTTTTGAACTCCCAGATCGCTAGATGTGAGAGTCCGTGATGAGACAACAAGTCGATGGAACGCTTGTGTTTGTCAGCTATCTCCCTCCTCTCCCCAATGTCGAGACATAGGAAGCCGTCAGCCAGCGCTTCATTGTGCTTTGTGTTCTCGTTATTCTGGGTATCGTACCAATTGAAGATAGTTCCTCCTTCCCCACCGATGCCGAACACAAGCTGAGATGCCACCTCAGCATACAAAGGGCTTCTTTGCGTCTGATAGTACCTGACTAGAGACTCCTCGTTGACAAATTCGAAACCAGGAGGAGGGAGAATACTCCGGCTGATCTCATACGACGAAGATGTAGCCATGGTGTCACAGAGTTCGTCTAAGGCTTGCGGCAGCCTCTCCAGAAAAACGATTTTCTTCAGGCGCAGTGACTTGTGCAGATGCATATCGAAAAACCTTGGTTCCCGAGTTCTCTTCGAAGTGGTGTGAGTAGTCTGTTTGCTGGGGCTCGGTGGGCGATCAATTTGGAAGTGGGGCATGCTTGCATATTGGAAGAAATCCTCGAGAGTGCTTCCTAGATCTTCCTGGGGAGGGGCATTCGCGGAAGCGGCGGTCGGATTCGATTGGGATCGTGCAGGAAGAGGTTGATTAGAGGGCCCCGATGTCGACGCTGTTGGCGTAGGATTGGCCGATGAATATGTAGACTTGAGCGGACGTCGGCGAACATTCTTCCCTGGTCGAGTGGACATGAAGCAGGTTTCAGTCCAAAGTAGTTGCACTAGAAACGGAGATTTTCTGGTGATGAGAACGGAGGGACAGATCGCATTGTGGGTCGACTGACGCTTTGACTTCTTATGTATTCCCGCCTGCCGTCAAACATTCCAATCTACGAACAAAAGCAAGGAGCAGAGGTCTTGTTCTCGTCGCCACAAGGATATGACAGGGTGAATGCTTCCCAATCCACTGCGAATCGGCTGGTCAAATGAGTACATAGATGGCAAGTCGCGGGTGATGGTGCCAAATCGAACAATACAGGCAGTCGCCCACAAAATACGCAACGATAGTCTGTCGGCGTAGCTAGCATGGCGAGGGTAGAGTTCGGCCTTAAAGCGGGACATTGCCGATAGTGCGAAACACTTTGCTACTTGAAGGCATCTCGGGGTCGTTGCATAGAAGACAACTGTGCACGTAGTGAGCCGGCTCGACACATAACTGGAACAGTTCCTTTGTGTTGATTGACGATAATCTGCAAAGGAACATGCTGAAGACACGACATCTTAACGTTCAGCTTTTAAATAAAACGCCTGTCTAGATAACAGACTGCACACCTATCTCAAATCAACCAGTCCTCCGACAAGCCAAAAGCGCTTCTCCTGTAATTGACTGTAGGCGACGGTGAGCCTGAGTTTTACGGCCCAGGTAAAGGGGAAACACTTACCAGAACTGGCAACACACTCGTTGCGCAGACCCTCATTTTAAATTTTGAGAAGACAGCTGCTCTCTATTGAAAGAGGGTCTAGTATGGCAGGGGCACCTTCGTTGGTGAGCCGGAGAACGTCGGCATCACATCGACGTCCCATTAAGACTTCGAGCGGACGATAGAATGGGTCGGTTAAAGGGTTGCATGGCGGTCACTGGCTTGGCCGAGGTTGGTCGTGACTAGCAGTGGTGTTTTGCAATTTGGAGAGGTTAAGCTTCAAGATATCGCAAAGTCAGAGCTTCGGTGTCCTTCTTAAACATCCGTGTACTGTGTTTCTGTAGTTTTGTACAGTGGAATAAGAGGGGCCGACGAGCGCTGGCGACGTTGTACATGGTACACTGCCAAATGTATGATATCTCGTAGTCACGTTTTCTAATTTCATTGGACGCATACGTCGACGCACATGGGTTAGATACGGAGTCAGCTATATAGCAGCTGAAAGGTTTGATGTTAGGTTAGCTGGTTGGCACATGTTCAGACATGACAACTATGTAGTAGGAAGAGCATGCCGAAGATCTTATCCCATCCACCTGTCAGATCAGGAAACAGCTCCATCGCAGCTGAAATATTTAATGTTAACTCAGCTGGCTGGCACATGTCAACATGTAATATCCATGAAGCAGCTGGACTATCCTGGGCATCTTGTTCCACCCATCTGCCAGATACCAAACCAGCTCCTTCATGGCTAAAATATTTGATGTTGGCTCAGCTAGTTAGCAGGCGTTTAGATGTTGCAGCCATGTAGTAGTAGGTCTATCCTGTGGGTCTCGTCTCATCCACTAGTCAGACAATTCACATATAGTGACCATGTAAGGGCTCGAATCACATAATCTATTTGGTACTTATGTCGCCGGCACATGCTTTATATGAAGAAATTTTGAATATCATGAGAGTTACCTTTGACGCGATCGCGTGTCCTCCTCATAGAAGGGTGTCTGCCGTGAAATAGGTTCACTCGAGTCAAATCAACGCCGCCACCGCTACAACCAGGTCATAGGTACCTCCTGTAATCACAGCGTGTAGCATAGTCCTTACAATGTAACTGGAAAAAAAACCCTTGTCATTATTGTGTATGCACCAAAAAAAAATACATGTCAGTGTCCAAGAAATCAAGATGAAAGCTACATAGCATGAATGTTCAACTCGACGTATGCCTTTGCCCGTTCCCTGTTGTTCTTAAGCATCGACCTCGTGTTCTTGATGCTACGAACCTTGCGCCACCAGTTTTGACGCGACAGGGGTTTGGCATTGCCCTTGCGAATGTCTGCTATCCACTGCTGGAAAAACTCCTCGTTAGTTTCCGTCCATCCTGGCCAGCCATAACCCTGCTTGTCCCAAACGTCCGGAGGAGGGAACCACGAGACCGTTGTTGTCTGCTCGCCACGCCCTGTATATGAGGAATCAATTCACTATTGAAGACACTCACGGAAGACAGACCTTACCTGTATAGAGGCAGTATGTCCCACACAAACATGCAATCTCCTCACCAGTGAGGTCGTCATCCCAGTAGAAATACCCGTCGTGTTTAGACGGGACAAAGTACCCCGAATGATGCACTGTGACCTCGATGGACGGTCCTTGCAACCCAGACTCCTTACTACCGAATTCCCTTGCAATCCTCCCTACAATGCCACTGCCTTGCAGGACTGTGCCCCTATGCAGCCCAGCAGCGCGCGGCACTCGAGCATAGCACTGTCGAAGTCTGCTGTCGTGAATTGGTGCTTGTTAAAACGGTTGGCGTTGTCTGCGTATGGGAGATTGAGCTGTTCGGGCTCCGAGGAGGCCTGCAGAAGGAGGGTGCGGAAGGGTATGTGGTGCTCAAAGTAGTGGAGAGGCAAT